TTATGCAAAATGATTTCAAACATTAAACCTTTCAATAATCAAATAATATTGAAGATTTTAGAGGACAAAGATTTGAGAATAAATATTTCTATAAGAATTGATTAGTATAATACAATGGTTAGAAGAGACACAATAGTACCGAGAAAGTTACGTCAATCAATCAATTTATTTGATTGAATGAACAATCACATTATAGGTTTCATCAAGCTAACAGATACAATCGTTCTATTCTAATAATACCACTATTATCTTACTTATAGTCTACACGTCTCATTAAAACCTAGTTCAATCAATACCAATCAATATCATCTCACTAACAAAATCATCTTCACAATGTCAAGTTATTACAAACTTTGTACTAATACCTTGACTGCCATAGCCACCTTTCTTGTGATACCAAATGAATGTACAATAGCCAATAGAGCCAAAAAGAGACCTCTACAGAATGTCTGTAAACACATAATCATAAACCTTTCATTCAAGGGCTCTGATTGGCTGTATTCGCTCGAGTACAATCTGATCAAATCGCTGCATCTATTATTACAGGATATACTGCAGTCAAGGTATAAGTATGAAGTTCATTATTGCTTGACATTGCGAAGATGTAACAAAATACACTTCAAAAACTTGTTTTGTTTCAACTTTCATAAAAACAATTCATTTATATAGGTATCATGCGTAGGAAGTATGAATGCTTTAAAGTGATCGATATCATTAAAAAAATGTCAAAAGCAGTAAGATCTTCCCTTTTGGACAGATAACATGAAAAATCAATATGGAATCTAATCTTATCAGCACGTAATTCTGTCTGCATGAAACATCATTTTATTTAAAAAGTTACGATTAAATGATTGCGACCTTTGGTAATTTGGATGCTTGATTAAAAAATGTGACAAAACTCTCCAACTCTAAGCTTCATGAAAATCAATATGTCCGCTGTTAAGTATGCCAATCACACAGTGATTCTGAGTATATAGTGAATGAAGAACAGACGGACAATTGGCAGAGTTATTGACAGATAAAGTACAGTTAGCTATTGATTTTTGAACAATTCTTCTATGAGAAATACTTAGCTTATATTTCTATAGCCAAAAATAACCAAATACAAATTAATTAAAACAAACACATTTGACAGATGAAAGACATACCAAGATCGATAAATAATTACCTCTTAAATAAGTAACAATACCTGAATTTTGATAATTTAATGGTAAAAAAAATTTTATAACATTCGATTAATCTTTTCCTTCATGCAACTACAAGAGGAAGAGTCTAGTATATGAAGACAATGTAAATTATAGCAACCTTTAATGATAAATTCTTAGGTAAGAATTATCAACAAATCATTAACGTTCCAATGAGAGCCAATGGTACTTTGTCAGCTTCCACTTGTATTATAGACAGATACCAAGTCATGCCCTTCCGAAATTTAGATGCAGATGTCATCAAATAATAAAGAGATACACTAAACTAAACATTCACCTTAGTTAACAACTGAACAAGTTACTACTTACAAAATGAAACTAAAATGGTTTTAGTGAAAAATGATGTTATACTAGTATTGAATAGCTAGGCTTTGCCATTAGAAAAGAATGATATTAATCGTGATTTCAAATTAATTTCACCACATAAAATATACATGTGAATTTGAACCATGTAGGGCCTACTATAAAACATAAAAATTATGATTCAACTGATCTATTGGTACTTCAAATGTTTTTAGAAACTAAAGATGCATCAATGCTACTGTTCCATGTAACTTAAACTATGTCAGCTGTTATATCAAATAATCAAAAAGCTGTTCCCTTTAAAGATCTTGAAACCTTCCTGTTACCCAACTCAACTTACAACAAAACCAGCATATTTGCATCATTTTTTTTAGAGCTAATATTAATTAAAAATACAAATCTGAATGACGTACCATATTATCCTTTCCTTTCACACATTTTATTGCCTCATGAATAAAAGAATAAAGCAAAATAATTACATAAGCTTGTTTATTTAAAAGACAACTATAAAGAAAACTATAAATTTCTATGTTCTTTGTCTTGGATAATTTACAGTATTTGCCAGGAACGTGGGTTCCTCACCAACTGCACCAGATACAACACAATGATATTCTTGGCATTCTATGAAATGTAACCAATTTGATCGATATCATGCGTGGCTCAGGTTAATGACAGATTGTTGACATTTACATTATCTTCGCCAGTTTGACACAAGTTTCTATTTTTTAAGTAACTATGAATAGCAAGCTGAACTAATTGAGTCTGAACAAATCATTGTATAACTCTCAGTCTGATTTTAACAGTAAATGTTATTCTCACCAAATGAAATTGATAAGAATCAATTTATTATTCAAGAATGAAATAAAATAGAGTTTTATGTCAACTTGTTCTACCCTTAACAGGCTAATGAATAGTACGAACTACACGATCTTCAATGTCTCTGTATCATAAGCCACTTTTACACCAGGCCGCTATAAAGTGTTCCGTTCTTGGTATAGACCAGGGTGATAAAAGGTGACCATTTACATGACAGTATATTAATTGGTCTGAGAACTGATCTTCAATTGTAGTGTAAAAAGAAAACTTTACGCGGAACTCTTCTTAAAGAAGTTGAATTTAAACCTGGTAGTCCCCCAAAAAATAACAATTAATAATGGGAAAGGTGAAGGTCATCTAATGAGCATGCACAGTAAATCTACCTCATGGAGATGGGCCAGAATTGGAATGGTTCTCAGAACGCTTGATTATTAATATTACACAAAATTCTCGGAACGGATCTGAGAAAAGAAAATATTTGTAATATAAAATGGGCATTACAAGTCATTTTCATGCACTGGCCTTCTGATTAAGTATTCACGACGAGGGATATTGAATGTTAAGGGCAAGGACTACTTCTATTTGGTAGTCCTTGAATAAGGGTTATAAAGATGAAAAATTGGCCTATACTTCCATCCCGATGTAAAATAAAATTTATTTCTACATCAAATGTTCAATAAAAAATTATACATTGACTTCTAAATAATCATATACATGAATGTATGAAATAAAGTTAAATAATTTTTAAAAATATTTTGTGAATATTACGCGAATTTATGTGCAGTCAGCAAGTGTAACAGTATATTTAATACAGTAGGAGTTTACAAACTTCAACAAATTGTATTATCTATTTACAGTAATTATATCTAGGGCTCACTAGTTTCTTTCTAATCTCTATAATATCATCAGCCTTTTTAGAAATTCTATATATAAATCACGTTTAAGTGAGCCAGCCGTCATAAATAAGAGTATTTTGTTAAGGTGGCTAAGTAAATAGTAGAATGAGTGGTGAGGTGAGAGCTAAGATCTGGCCTATTTCATTGAAACTATATACACTGTAATGTATGTGTTACAATAACTCTAACCAACTTCAAACATGTTATTCTTCTATTTATCACTACTTATATTACTCTTTTATCTTATAGCTCATGGGAGATAACTCCATTTAATACCACTACATAATGAGACCAAAGTCATTGTATATCCACATTCATATTAGTTATACCTTGATCTACTAATATATATTTTTGTAATTTTGTAGACCTTTGTCATCCTCAACATGGCCTATAACTGTCAACAATTTTTTCAAGCTAATATTCAGTTATGTTATCGTGTTGAGCATAATGAGCAAATGTGACCACAAGATAGAAACAACAAAGACAATGAGCAATTCAAGAAGGCCTACTGAGGTCAGATATATGTCTCTTCAATAAATTTAACAAAACATTTAATGGCACTGAATGAAATTCAACCAAAAAAATAAATAAATAAGCTACAAAAGGGTAATAATAGTCTTTTAAAGACTAATCTGACCCTACCCATTTCATGGATCCATTTTTGGAACTCTAGTTTTAGAGACTTATTTTCATGATAAAAGCTAAGTTTGACTTTTGATATCTATTGAAAGCTGAACCACTATGGAGTCAATCAAGACATAACTGGATACTTCGTGTCCCTATGCTCCACACATTACCACTATACTGTTAAGAGGTAAGTCTTTTAACTTTTTTGTACAACTTTGTAAGCCTACAGGCTTGACTGTGTACCATGTGGTGCACAGGGACATACCGTTATAGAATATTAGTTCACGTCATCAACTGTGATTTTTACTACGTATTCACAGTCCACCAATAGTCGGTAATGATTGTATGGAGTCTAAACAGCCAATCAAATCACTGATGGTCTTAAGGAGAATTTTCACTTCTCGTCGATCGTTTTAAAGTTTGCAATAAATAAACATAACTAGGTAATGACATTAATAGACTTTCGTATGGATATGTTGCTCTAAGTGCGAGGTGCAAATTTTGTTGATTACAACGCACAGTAAGTTCACAATTTGACCATAAACCTTGTCTACACAGTGTGGACACCACAACTAGAGACACACTGTAGTAAGGCTTAAAGTTTTACACATTTAAAGTAGAATATTAAGTAACACTTGATGGATTCTCTGAGGTTGGTTCTCTCAGTCTTGCTGTAGCTTTGCCTGTTTTTGGTGTCTTATAAGGATAGTGATCCAAGCAGTGATAGTCTATAGGCCTAGCCTCTACCTTAATGAACGGAGTCACTGAACTGAAGTGCAACCGCAACAGTGAAACTGAAAGATTTTCGAACAAAAAGGTCTGTGTTCTGAATTATTTTGAGAATAACGGAGACATTTAACACATCTGTTTCCCGACAAATTAAAATATCTAATTTTTGTACATACCTCTACCATTTGAATTTAATGCGCAAAATTACCATGTAAAATAATGACAATAACACGAACAACGTGATTATAATAAGGGAATTCCTTGGGATAGCCACACCAATGACACTAACCAATCAAAATGGCTGAATTTGTAAGTTTGTTCTATTTTAGTCAGCGCTATTTTCATTGGATAAATTCTGTACCAGGGAGACAACTCCAATATTAAAAAGTCACGCCCACCCACTTGTTTCTATTTTGTCCTAATACCTGGTTAATGGCCAAGTGACTCATAAAATAAAGGTAAATTCAATATAATTGGAGTTTACTGTGAGATTAGGTATTTCTTGAGATTTTGAACTTGACATCGGCATAGATTTAAAGGTTGGTATTGTAGAATTTTACTTATATCTATGTGCCGTGGTTAGTCATTTAGTAACAAATTCAACATTAATTCAAGTCATTTTGTCACAGAGTGAATCAAATCGGTTTTACTACAGAATCTACCCCCTCAACTATTCATAGAATTGACATACAAGAAGGGAATAATAAACCCTGAAGGACCTTGTTTGAATTGCGTATTTAAATACATTACCCCAAACACTAATTTTTCACATGTTCACATTGACACATTTACATCTGGCTAGCTATATGATCCACATTTATTGACATTGGCAGTGGATTAATTGATCACCATTGGCATTATTTTATTTTTTTTATGGACATTGGCTTTGGATCAATTGGTCACCATTGGTGTTATTTTTTTTTATCTTTGGCATTGGATTAATTGATCACCATTGGCATTTTTTTTTTTATGAACAAAAACTTGTGTTTTTTGATCACATTGACATTGGGATTTTTGATCAACAACATTGACATTAAGTTTTTTGTTCAAATGTTTTTTCGAATAACACTTTAGTTCACTCTGATACAGATTCATACATAAGTTTAAAGCAAAAAAAATATATAATATCAGGGCCTGCTCAATTTCTTACATTTTGTGATACATTGTATATCAATATCTATATTTTGGTGGTAACAATTCTGTCATGTGTCTATCATAGAGTCAAACTCAGTCATTCATTCATTCATTCAATATTCTAAAATGGCTAAAATAAATTATTTGACATCAAAATAATTGTCAATGTTAGGAAGCAGAAGTAATAAGTTATGGTTATATTAAGCTATATCATGCGTAATAGTTATGAGTTTTAACTATCATTAGTTTGTAATGTATAACCTTAAAGTGACAGATGCACTATTTTGGGGGGTTGATTCAATCTTATATGATATAAATAGTATTCAAAAGTACTAGAAATGTATGAAAATTGCATTCCTTTGTAAATACTTCATACGGGGAATTTTACTCACTTTTTCTATACATGTATATGTCTTTTCTATATATCACAGTGTATCTTAAATTGACGAGTCGTCTTTGCCACTTTCAAGGGGTAATTTACCTCATAGTGCAGTTATTTCAAATATTTTGACATAAGTTCTCTGAGAAAAATATTCAACATATATCAAGTTATTGCAATTTTGAGTAATGAACCATGTCTTACATTATTGCCATAATTAACCATCATATTGTCTTTTTTTATGAAATCAAGAAGCCTTATGTGCTGCATTGTATTGTCTTTCTTCAGAAGGAAAGATGTAAAACTCAAATGGTTTGCTGTAGAATTGATTGTTTTGATTTTCAGAGACATCATGACTATAGAGTTTAGTTGTATTTGTAAAGGAACCACTGTTATTGCGAGTCATCAGAGTGGTTATGGTGGATATCAAGATGTGGTTAATTCCATGTTACCTAATATTCAATCCACCTCTAATGGTAAAACAACCTATGCATCTGATAAGTAAGTCAAAATAGATCTATACTTAGACAAAGTTTATTGCATGTCATATGAAAAAATCTGATTTTCTGCAGTCTTTTCCCTTGTGAGACAGCTTTCTTCCAATTGTAATTATATTTGAGGAACTGTTATGGAGGGAAATCAGTATTATTTGCATGTGTATGTTTTTTTTATTTTTCAGTCATTCATTCCATGTTTTAGTAGATAATGGCATTTTATTTATTTGTGCAGCAGAACCTTCTTTTGGTAAACTTAAACCTTTTACATATTTAGCTGAGGTAGTTACTTTTATTTTTATTTTAGTTATCTTAGATTATTATGTCTGTATGTCTGTATTATACCATATTTTTTCAGTTCTGTAGCTTATTAATCTGTATGCTTGTTAAATGTTGAAAAATAAAGTATTTGAAAGAATTATAATTGAACATGGAATATTTTTCTCTAATCTGCTATGGACAGCTAATATTACTTTTTAAAAAATATTATTTGTAGGTTAAGAAAAGATTTGCATCAAGTGGTCTAGTAGTTCGTGCTTCCTCAGCAGGACCAAATGAATTGAATAGAGATTTTGCTCATGTATTATCAGATTTGATGGTTAGTAGAGTTAATAATTTCTATAAAAAAAAATGACCGAAAAGGTGCGAGGAAAACTGATGGATGTCATAAAATTACTGTTCCAGGATCAGACGTCCTGATATCAACTCTTCGAAAGCAATACTGTGGTTAGATTGATGTTTGCCTCATAGATTTTACCATTTTTCACATCATATTCAGGATATATTTCATTGACTTTTGTTATATAGGAGAAATCTGCAAGAGGACAACTTGGTCAGATGGATGTTCTACAAAATCAAGTTGATGAAGTGAAAGGAGTGATGACTCAGAATATAGAGAAAGTGATAGACCGAGGTGAAAGATTAGAAGATCTTATTGATAAAACCGATGAATTACAGGCTCATGTAAGAATTTTATTTTCTTAAGAGGAGGTTTTTGTCATGGACTTAATGAATTCTGTGTTCATTTGTCTTTTCAAATAAGGTGCAATTCATAAGAATATGATAATAAACTTAATACCATAGACATGTTAAAATATTTATCCCATTCTATTTCAGTCTCAAGCTTTTCAAAAGACATCGAAGAAAATAAGTCGTAAATATTGGTGGAAGAATACTAAAATGACTATAATATTAGTTGGTGTTGGTTTAACATTATTAACTATTGTTATTATTGTTATATTATATTCTACTGGTGTATTACCACCAGATTCTGGTTCCTCTAGCAAGACTACTGTGGCACCTAGCATATCACCCTAAACTCTTCCACCCATTCCTCACAAAATATGCTGATATTGGTGATTCAGAAAGGTACAAAATAATTTTTTATAAAACATTTGATCATGAAACTTTTTACCATAAAATTTCTAATTGAGTTTTAGTTGATAGTAAATTCAATATTTTAGTCTTTTTGGCTCTGTAAGCTTAATAACCCTGTATAATAACAAGAGCACCTATATCAGACAAATGTATTACCAATGTATGTAGTATTACTGTGGGCTACATTCCCCAATTCTTACAATTACCAGAAAGTATAATGACACTACAATTTCATTCACTATAAGTAATTTTGTTGTTATAAAGATTTTGAAGAGTTTTTATCTATACAATACTACTGATAAGGCAACTTTCAATGACATTGACACCACATAAAAAATTAATAAAATAGCAAAGTTTCTATGTTGAAAAAATATGAATAATTGCATTTTGAAAATTTATTCGAAACTGTTTATCAATTATCTTGTTTTAGCCTGTTTTAATCTCTGTCTCATTACAAAGTATTCAAAGTCTCTATGTTGGTGAATCTGATGAAGTCAATAAGACTTGTATTGTTATTAATTATTTGAATGATTCATATTTTGATATGTAAATTGTTATTATGAAAATTTTTAATGTAGTACTTGTGTAGCAAAAGTTTAATCAAAGCTAACACACTCAGGATAACAAAATCATTCCATTTGAAATTTTTATTACGAGATTTTGTAATGATCAATAGTAAAACTATAAATTTTTTTATGTATTGTTATATTTATATTTAAAGGGAGATGGTTTTATTTTGTTAAAATGTCTTTGAGTTTTACACATGTAAATTATATAATACCATATAACATTGTTTAGTCCATAAATTTGCTGACTCCTGCAGCGATACTAATATTTGACTTAAGTACAAAATATGTAATCCTGCACCTCGAGGTTGAAGAAAATCTCGGAGAATTGAAATTTTTTTAAGGGACTCTAGTCTTCTGACTTCTGTGTAAGAAAGTGTAAGTAAGAGCAATTTAAAGACATTGTTGTGTACATATATATTATTGTTATTATTTGTTTGCTATGTAATTGCTTATTGTGTTTTTTTTAACATGTTGAATACTGTAGTTATAATATCAACCAGTGATATATCCAACTTCAATAAAATTATGGCACAATAGATCAAGCTTTAATATTCACTCTCAGGATGAGATTTTCACTTAAAAATCTGCCTGAACCTTTTAGCATTTTTGGCCATTAAAGTTAATTTGACATGTATTCCGTCATGTTTGAACAATTATTTCACCACCAAATATAATATGAATATATTTTGAGAACAAAGTATAAATATTTTATTATTATTTTTTTTATAGCTTTCATGTGCCTTAACTATATATTTGTAAACTGTTTTTAGCTTTGCAGCATATTGATTATTGCAATGTTAAGACTTCCTTTGGGAAAATTGTTTAAATGTAATTCTAAACCTTGCACAGTGGCCCTTTAATAAAAAAAAGTTATATGAAACTTGTAACTTCAAAAAAATTGACCCTTTGGGCTACAATCCCTTGTAATCAAATCAAGATTTTTGTTGTATTTTAATTTGTGTTGTTTAGTGGTAAGGTCTAATCTGATGGATTAGTTAACCTTTGAGTTAAAACGAAATAAAACTTCATATACCCTGAACCCAAGTAACATCACTTAAAGACTATGAACTTGGTAATGGCTGCTTGGGTATATAGTGCCTTATTATGTGGCAGGTTCTGGGGTTGAAAGGGTTAACACAAACAATAGTAGATGAAAAATAGTATACATGTATACAAACATGCAGTACTATTTAGTTATTACTAAAGGGGAAAATTAAGATATAAAACACAATAGTGATGATTTCTGATTAGTGTTATTTCAACAAGAGATAAACGGACGAAATTTCAATATAAATAACAAACAATCTAAAGTGATGAGATAAAACTTTCAAAATTTGTTGTTGAAACTATGAGAGTAGTAAAAGATTGTTGTCAAATCTAGTATAACTATCTAAAAATTGATTATATAGCATGATGTTCTCAGATGTAATGTACTACACTATGTGAAGAGTTCGATGTTGATAAAATTTCACTGCAAAACAAGCCAAATAAAACTACATGATATATTTACTCTTGGAAATCGATGACATATTTTCAATGAATTTTAGCAAGAACATTTACACTAAATCCTGACAATTGTATGCTTAATAATTTAAATAATGGATTCTAGTCAATATATGACTAATAAAACTAATACACATCATTTTTTTCACATTCAACCAGAATTATAATTTACAAGATATTAAATATACATATTAATTTATTTTTAGAAGATTTAATTTAACCATTTCTATGTGATAACAGAAGCCTCCCTAAGAATGGCAAAAGTCTCTCCAATATCAGATGAACCTGCAGTTATTTTAAAGTGAATGTCTACTTGCGTAACTCCTGACACTGAAGTAGCTCCTTAATTCAAAAGTGAAGTTTCCAAATGTTAAATGTTATTTCCTTTCTTTTTAATCCACATCAGACAATAATTATAATATACACAATTAATGATTAATTTCTAATTCTTCGGAATTTCAAATTTGTCATTTTTGAGACTTTATCTTACTTATTTTTAGCTATTTTTAATCTACAAGGACTAAGTTCCTATATAATATACTGTAGTCTAGAACAGATATTTGTTCACAACCAGGACTATTTAAAACATTAAAACAAGCAGTCCACTTTATTTTAGGTAGCAATAAAGATGGATTCTGTCTTACATATCCATTCTCTATATTCTACTTAAAAAAATAAAAAAGACTGCTGGTTTTAAATATCATATTGTCTCAAGTCCACAATTATCATTGTTGGATTATATTGAAGTTCTTGTTGTATACAATTGCCAGAAAAAATTCATGATAGGCCTACAATGAAACCTTTAAGTTAGAGAAAATATTATATTATAACTGCATAAAAGAAAAATAAAACAGAATAACAATAAGATATAAATATGAACATTAAATACACACAAAATATAACATAAAACAAGCAAACCTATAGGAAAATGTCAAGAGAATGTTGGCACACAGATTTGACCAAATAAACTTATAAATAAAACACATATCTCCAAATCTATCAACAAACATGACTGAATACATTTAAGTACTGTACATTGACTAATTTACTGATGTATTATTTAGGTATGGAACTAGTTCTCATGACCAATAGTACTATAGTTTCTTGTATATCATTCTATTACTAGTCTACTACCAATTTTTACTATTTTTTATCATTTTTTTAATTAATTTTTAATTTTATTCATTGCAAAAATATTTGATCTATTTTAATATTTAATTTTAGACAAATCAATAAAGACTATTTACCAGTGTTGTCAGACACTACCGGTTGCCAAACCATTGACTATGCGTTGCCATAATTCTTTACGACATGATTTAGAGCGCCGTAAACTCTGTAGTAGTTCTGTAAATTGTACCATACCACCTGGAGCCATATAGAAGGCATTACGAGCTCGACATACAATAGAAACAAATTCATCATAATCAGCTTGAGTAATATGATGTATTCTCTGATGGGCACATTGCATAAACCTGTAAAAAAAAAAAACTAATGTAAAATCTGTGTCCATGAAAAAAGAACCAATAGCCTTTCATTAATATTTCAAAAATATATGATAACCTTTCGGATTCAATAATACTTTGCCACAGGTTACATGTTTTGAATTATTCAGGATACTTATGCATAACAAATCAAAATTAAGTACTTAAATTCATTCTTAAAAAGATCAAATAGTAAAAAGTAAATATAATAAATGTACTTACATCTGTAAACATTTTTGGAAGAGAGAATTGAGAATGTTAGAACGTAGTTGATTAGATACATGTGTTGGATTGGTTGGATGAGACGCATTGTTATTTCTCGCCATAAATTTAGCAGCCTCCAATGCTAAATCATACAATATATGGGGACTAACAACAGCATTCACTGCACTGGCACAAAACTGTTGTATGTAATATGTTCCTGAAAAACAAAATAATGCAGTGAATTTTTTAACTGGTTAAGAAGAAAATACAATCTCGCCTCCAAAAGGATGTTTTATAGTGTTTTTTTAAATTGAGTTTTACTACTTTCTTATATATATAGATTAGGCCAGGAAATGCCAATATGATATGAGGAACTTTAGAAGAATCAGTCTACTCTTATTTAACTTATCTAAATGATTGAACAATATTTAAATATCATCCTCTGAGAGAGAAATAATGGGAATATACTCATGGTGTAAACCATCAAAAGCAATTTCATATTCTTACAGGTTCAAATGAGATCACCATCAAATTGAATAGATGATCCCGAATGTTTCTAAAAAAGAAATGTCTAAATAAATAATTATCAAAATTAGGATATGGCTTACCTAGTTTCATTGCAATACCCAGTAACCATTTGACATCTTCACCATAGGGTGGATTTCTAGCATATTTAGTTTGAGGTCTATCATCATGTACTCTTCTAGCTAACATCTCCATAGCAGACATACCAACTCTAAACGCAGCCATCACATAGTTAAACTGTGCTGGATTCTGTGATATAGAATGTCCATGAGCGTGTAACTGTACATTACCAGAAGCTTGTATCATTCCACTATTAGTTGTAGTTGATGTAGATGTTGTATCAACTGTATGGAGGGAATGAAATTGTCCATTTGGTGTTGATCCTGGTATATTACCTACAGTATTCACCTGACAACCTGGTCCAGTAGGGTAAACCTGCACAGCTGGTCCAAGTGGCCTCACATTAGAAGAGTGGTATGGTATTGGATGAGTTGGAAGGCTTTGCATATTCACAAACTGGGTTGGATTTTGGAAGGCATATGGGGCCATATAAGCAGGATGGATACTATGTATAGGTAAATGATGCTGAGTATATTGGTGTGAGAAAGGAGCAGGCACTTGTTGCATGTAACTATATGGTGGAACATAAGAATGAGGTAACTGGCCATGATGGGGTCCAGCCTGAGAGATCGCATAGGGAAGAACAACAGCCTGTGTAGCCATTTGACCATTGGCTTGTGGAAGGAGTTGTGGACTAGCTGATGCTGGAACTTGATTTTGAGGTGGTGTTTCACAGTATGGTGGTGGTAATACAGGATGATTAGCAGGACTATTTCTATCAGATGTATTAGATACTTGTTGTGGTATGACAGCAGCAGCACCACCAGCTCCTGCATTCTCACCACTAACATTATGGGATGAATTATCAGCATTATCACTAGGTTCAGTATTAGCTGCAACATCTTCAGACAGTTTATACCAATGTTTACCAACATCAAAAAGAACTTCTGGGAAGACTCCACCTCCTTTAGCAGCAGTTTCTACAGCAAGGCAAGCCCTCTCTAACATATCAGTACTCTGTTCTTTACACTGGAATAATGCTCGACTAACTTCAGTAGGATTGAGAGCATGAGCATGAGGCAGACAGGATAAAGCCAATTCAGCAGCAGCACGAACCATATTAGGATCTCGACCTCTTGAAGCTCTATCAGCTAATGAGGCAACTTCTGGTGGGGTTAAATGTCCTTCCCATGTATCAATCAAGATTCTGATAGCCACACTGCCGATGTCCATAGCTTGACCTACAATACAATTGTTGTGTGATGCATTATCTTATAGTCAAAAATTGCAGTAAACCAAAACTCATTCCCTGGTCATGATTCTCATCAATTTACCACAGATTGAAATTTGCATCTGGAGTAAAGCATTCTGCTGGTTATTTCTAAAAATAGACAAAATAATATACTAACCAGTTATCCAAGATACGTGTGATGAATAAGTTCTGGATAACCAATTTGGTGATACACAATTACTCAATCCTAAAGCATATAAACCTATTTGGAATGCACAAATATGTAGATTACGATGAGGTCCTGGTGGATTACTATTACTGGTGGGTTGAGTAAATAATGATGTTGAACTATTTCCACCAGCTTTAGTTAATATAGTTTTAGCTAATTCAAACATGAAATGAGCTGAAGCTTCAGATGGTTGATTAGGTATTGTTGGCATAATACGATTCTTTCCTTTGAATCTGAAATATACAAAATATTCATTACAAATATGTTGAGAATCATTGTCATTCTATTTAATCTCCAAATTGTCAAGTTTATTTTTAAAGATAACTAAGTATTTATTTTTCTTATAAAGTTTAATGTTGAACAACTCACCTCATGCCTTTAACAACAGCTGGAGAACTTCTAGAGTCAACTATTATATGTGGGGGTAAATTTCTATTTACAAATGGACTGGGGGGACTGAAATAAAAAGAATCAAGTAGGTTTGAGGTCTAAGAGACATATTAATATACATACATTTCTGTCAACAATCATTGATTCCACAGACAAATATAGTAAAAAAATTTCAATCTGCTTTCTTTTTTGTTGGTTTTGCTATTTACCTAATGAAACAAATTAATATAAAGTAACTCACCTTTCATTATCTCTAGGTATTCTTCTGGCACCTTTATCACCAGAGCTTGATGATCCTAGTGAATCACTTTCACCACTACTACCACTATCACTACCTGGACCTTGATGTTTACCAAAGTTACGTCTGACTAAGGTTGGTGAATTGTCACTAGAGGTTGTTTCTGGTGCACTACTGTCAATACTTGCCATGCCTAAATTAAAGTCAAGTAACACCATGAAGTGACAAAAATACATACATTAATACTGGTCTTTTAACACTTGATGACTTTTAATAATAGATAACAGATTCAGAGTCGATTGGTGTGATGAGCTTATTATTCAAAGTCATCAAACTTTCACACATCATCTGTATAAAAATCCACATCCAAGCAAATGACATCAAGATTCTCTAACCTAAGCTACAGTCTGACCTCATAATGATCTATTCATGATTTGGTTAAAAAATCTGTGGTTTTGTATTTTATGTATACAGAATGGGTATGAACATACCTTGTGATGGTTTTTTCTTCATACCAAGACACCTTATCTTAGCATCTAAAGCCTTGATATCATCCTCTTCTTCAAGAGCAGAACTATCAGTATCTTTACCACTAAAATATCAAAATACAGCAATCACTATTACAAGCTAGACTTTCAAAAAATAACCAGTGCCTTAGATCCCTTCTTTTTCTTGATAAGATGGAATCAAATCTGGTGAACCTTTAATAGCATAAATGTCAATGAATGCCAATAATTGCTACAGATGTACACTTTCTTTCATTTCCACCCTTTTCAGCGCTTATGTTATTCATTCCAATCGTTTTTTTTATGACTTGAAAATGTGCAGGAGGTCACATAATACTTTTTCAAAGAATTCCATGAACTACATTAAGACAAATTAGTAATGTTCCAAAACAGAAAATATTGTGAGAGTAATAATAAAATACCTATTATAACGACCAGTAATAGTATAAGTTGTTTTAGGTCGTGCTCCACCACTGATAGAACCAGGTAATGATAGGTTATGTGGAGGTAAACCATCAATATTGATTGAATCATTCATTGATTGTCGACTAGAACGTTCTGGTAGAAATAAAGTATCCAGATTAGATGCTGAAGGTTGTGGTGAAGGATGATGGTGATGATCACGTGGTGTGGTAGTATTACTAGAGAGACTAGAACTAATAGTATGACTAGTAGATGGTCTGTTAACCAGGTAGGTGACTAAACTTGGTGCTTTATACTGTTGATGTATTTCTTTATCTAATATCTTATCCATTATCTATAAATACAATGTTTGAAAAATCATTTTAAATATGGATTGGCAATGAAAGTTAAATGCTAGTCTAAGAGTATCAACCAATTTATACATGTACCAAAACCTGTTTGTCTTTTCAATAAATTCTTGTGCCTTCAAATAAAACAGCAAGCATCTTCAACTTTGAGGATCCAGGTTCTTTCTTAACAATCTTTACCATATTTTCTACAGCCAATTACATAAAAAAACAATATCACTAAAAAGGCTTAAGAAAACCACAAGACTGGCACTAATTCCTCATATGTGCCCACCCTCCATCCTTTCCTTCCCTTCCCTTATGAGCCCACAATGAGACCGACCTATTTGCTTGCAGACATAGCTATAAGAGTATAAGATAATCTACAATAATTCTATAAATTTAAAATGAAATTATTTACCCTACTAAGCCTAGTTTGATCATCTTTATATAGTAACAACATTGTCATAGCTAACTCTCCTCTTTGTCTTCTTGTACTCTCGCATAACAATGGATGTTCTGCTTCTGATACATTTGCTTTTAATCCTATAATACAGAGAATGGGGGTGAAGTTTGGTATATAACCTCCAAAATCTGATAATGAAATGCTTACGATCTAAGCCATATACACTGTGTTTCAACAAGTTTTACTGTATACTGTATCTTTCATTTACTTACCTAAAGCTGTGACAGCGGCATCAAAACCTAGCTTTTCATCAGCAGGGCCTCGACCTAGGACGAATAAAAAACATAATAAAATAGATTTCTTGATTGTCATGTCCTTAAGTGGTAATGTACAGCAAGATTTTCCTCTAGCCAGCATGTCAAATCCTCATATCACAACTATAAATTTTGGCACATACTCATCCGTGAACAATTCTTCTCATTTCTCCTTTTTTGAACAATTGATGGAAAAAACTTTACTGATCCAACCAAGAGCGACCCTAAGCTGAACAAGTAAATTTATAGAATACAATTATGGAACATTACAAAAAATATATCATATTTACATACCAGATAAACATAAAGAATCAAATATAAAGGTAGCTAAATGTAATGGTAATAGAGCTTCTCCTCTAGTTGTTATTTTACCCTCTACTAACTCTTCACCACGTCGACGTAATATATTTAACTGTAATAAACCTAGTGGTATCTTCTTTAACATTTGTAACAATTCTGATTCTTGATAGGCCAGTTTTACCTAAAAATATTTTAAAGTGTACATTATACAGCAGCAAATTATTGTTAATATGACCAGACATCTACAGTGAAATAAATCTGCAAAGTAGTAAAATGTGTCAATAAGTTAAAATAATAATTGATTCTCTTGGACATCAAATAGTGTAAAAGTGTCAAGTGAACATGGATTGCTTCAAAAGTTTTCTTTGAGCACTTGCAAATTTCCTAAATTTGTTGAAAATTCTTATCTTGAAAATCTCACAAAAACTAGCCCAGTCATTTTAGAGCTCATATCTGATATGACAAATAAGTCTCTATCAGCCTAAAAATGAACATACCTCTAAAGGTTTGCAAGATGCTGGTGGTCGTGGTAGATCTAAACCAAACATTCCAACTTGAAAGGCAAGATGATGACATTCAGTATCTTCTGATAAAACACTGACCAGAAAAGCTGCTTTAGCCAGTGTAGCACTAGCCAATAGACTTATACCATTCAAAGCTTTCTTCTTTTTGGCTATTAGAAAAGAGATAAAAAGATTGTAGATTACTCTGAATGTAAATGAAATAAAACATCATAGTAATATAAGTTAATGCATATGACTTTAAGGTTGTGTGACATCAGGGTTGAAAGGATTAAGAATTAATGAATCAATAAATTCTGTTTTGATGTTGGTATCTTAGTTAATCCATAATCCAATAATATGATAAAGCGTACAGAAATATCAAAATGGATCCTGAAACATGTTCGATTTTGCATTTAAACCCATTTAAAAGATTTGGATAAGGTCTAAATAGTTTCAATAATATGAAAGAGTAATCCTACATTTAGGAGTTGGTACATTAGCTGATTCTGCTAATAAATCAGGTGGATTAGCCAACATCTCTTCAGCAAGTTGTTTAGCTAATAAACAAGCATCTTTGGTATGACCATGAGCATGAAGGGCTTCTGCTCTAGCAAACAAAATCTACAATAGAATCCAAAGCAATTTAAAAGCCAAAAGTAATTATTCTTATACACATGACTTAGAATAAGGTGCCACAATGATAGTTGAGTGTGCTAAAAAAAAAACCTTTTAGATGTCAGTTGACATCCTATGGAAAAATTTGCAAAGATAAGTAACTGATGCAATTCTAGTGTGTTTATTTTCTCATGCCAAGACACTAACTGAAAATGGTTCATACAGATTGCAATAAAAATGGAACCAGGAATCAATGATTCTGTCTTGTCCAATGTCAGAAGAAATATTTATACTAACCTTTTGGTTATAAATGAGATTAGAGCTATCTTGAAGGTCTTCATACTTCTTGATACCAGCAAAATAATTTGGTTCTTCATTTTTCTTCTTTGATTCCACAGCCTTGGCTTTAGTATCATAGAAATACATTTGATACTCATCACCAGACTGTTGTGATTCTGAGGTAGAATGTTCTGTATTATTATTTGTAGCTCCACTACCTTGAGGAACTTGACTAGGATCAGCCAACTGTATGGCTGCTACTGCACCTGCCACCTCATCCACTAGATCAATAGCTTCAGCTTGATCTAGTTCTTCTCCTAACTCTTCATCATCAACATCCACACTACCAAATACTGGGTTATTCTCACCCTCATCCAGAGAATTGCTTCGTGAATGTAATAGTTTATTTTCATAACTAGAATCTGAATCTCGAAAATGTCTGTCAGGTTCACAAAATCCTTCTGAACCTGAACTAATAGCTCCATCTATATCATCGCGTCTATGTACAGTGTTGTCATGTCTTCCACGTGCACGTGGGTCCTGAGATCGTTTAGTATGAGCAGCATGTGAGGAGTTATCTGTACTAATAATGTCACGTGAACAGATAGTCATTGGTTGTATTCTAGAGGTTTTCTCTGATCCTTTACAACTAAAATGATAAACCCATCGTGATCCTTCCTTATCACAATAAGTCACACCACGTATTGGATAATCTTCCCATGTTAAATGACAAGCTTCAATTGCTGGTTTAAACCCTGGAAAGTTTTCTATATCATTCTTTTTAACATTACCACTACTATTATTACTAGAACTACGAGCTTTTCGTACTTTCTCAATAGTAGCTATATGCCAGTCTTTAAACTTAGTGCATAGATCATCTCTTTGTATAGGTGAAAGTTTAGGATTTAAAGCTCCTAATCTCCATAGAGTCACTATCTCTTCACAAAGACTAGCAGCAGCATGCTGAGTGGCATTAGCTGAACTATTACCACTTCTAGTAATATGTACAACACAACTATTATTTGGTGCAGAAGATTTCGTTGTGAACCACCAGATTAAAATCTGAAATAAATAAACTCATTTGGTACAGAAATAGTAGTTACTATTAATAAAGAACAAAAATGTTAAAATGCATTATCAAATCTGTTATTAAAGGACTATTCACACCAGGTACAACCAATGTAGGGCTTACACATTGGCCTTAACTTAAATTCTAATATAAATGTAGATTTTAACAGTTTGTTTATTTTACCCACCTGTTCACACTGAAGAACCTCATCAGTAACAATTTCTAACAATGGTACAGAATTACTGTCATGACGTCTGAACATCTCTCTAACTATTGATAATAAATTCCACATTCCTTCTGGTTCTCTACCCCGTAATGGACGTAAGAGACTCTGCCATTCAGCAGCTGCTGGTGGGGCACTAGCTGATAAATAGTTCACATCACTGCAATACAGAAGCATGAGATACAGTTAATGGTGTGCACTATGAGTGAAATAAGTTATATATACTCTATTATCTAGATACAAGAAACGACCACTTACTTTATTGTTACAGAACAAAACAATTGTCAGTATTAATGAAGTCATAGTGTTTAATAACTACATGTATTTTTATGTGGCAAGAATTCCAAAAAATAAGACTCTTACCTGAAAACCATAGGAGCAGGTACACAGAATTTGACTAGAGTTTTATTGATATTTTCATGTAATGTTGATTCATCTAGAGACCAGGATGTCTGTTCACTAGCTGGTGGTCCAGCAGTAGGATCTGTAAATAACACCAATTCTTTATATAGTCTCAGATTTAACAAACTATGCCATTCATTTACTTAACAATTTACTAAACACTAAACTTCATTTACTAAGACACTGACTAGGTTTGACTCTATACCAGACATTCAAAAGTTTCATTATTACGAATCTGTCAGTTAGAAAATGTAGTAAAATAGGTAAAGGCTATAGAATAAGAGAATATGACAGTTTGCTTTACCTGGTGCACCATAAACTGTATTTATAGCTGTTTCTTGTGAAGATAAAAGTTGATCCAATAATTTCTGTGCTGTTGGTAAAATCTGAAATTACATCAAAAATTCTTAATAGTAATTAATTTAACTACAGCAAATTAAACATGATATACTGAAGGCGGAATTAATGAAACAGAAAAGATCATCTTAGGTTTCAAATGATATCTAGAAATTTTGCAACTTTATTTTTCTATTTTTGAATTTCATCATGAAATATGATATTGAAGACTAAAATTAGATAGAGGGGAAGGGAGAGAACAAAGAATATAACCTGTTGTGGTAATGCACTGATTAAATACTGAGCAAACTTCTGTAACTGATCTCGATGTAATCTGGATAAAGATTCTGATACTGGTGCTCGTAAACATACTGAATTAGCCTGAAAAAATATCAATGTATACATAGAAAATTATAGTCAATGTAAAAAACTGTATAAAGACGGAAATGATATCAATACAAAACTACTGTATTAGTCTGAAATGATTTCAATGTAAACTACTAATTTAGTCTGAAATGATATCAATACAAAACTACTGTATTAGTCTGAAATGATTTCAATGTAAACTACTAATTTAGTCTGAAATGATTTCAATGTAAACTACTAATTTAGTCTGAACTGATTTCAATGTAAACTACTAATTTAGTCTGAAATGATTTCAATGTAAACTACTAATTTAGTCTGAACTGATTTCAATGTAAACTACTAATTTAGTCTGAAATGATATCAATACAAAACTACTGTATTAGTCTGAAATGATTTCAATGTAAACTACTAATTTAGTCTGAAATGATTTCAATGTAAACTACTAATTTAGTCTGAAATGATATCAATACAAAACTACTGTATTAGTCTGAAATGATTTCAATGTAAACTACTAATTTAGCCTGAAATAATATCAATGTAAAACTACTAATTTAGTCTGAAATGATATCAATACAAAACTACTGTATTAGTCTGAAATGATATCAATACAAAACTACTAATTTAGCCTGAAATGATATCAATACAAAACTACTGTATTAGTCTGAAATGATTTCAATGTAAACTACTAATTTAGTCTGAAATGATTTCAATGTAAACTACTAATTTAGTCTGAAATGATTTCAATGTAAACTACTAATTTAGTCTGAAATGATTTCAATGTAAACTACTAATTTAGCCTGAAATAATATCCATACAAAACTACTGTATTAGTCTGAAATGATTTCAATGTAAACTACTAATTTAGCCTGAAATAATATCAATGTAAAACTACTAATTTAGTCTGAAATGATATCAATACAAAACTACTGTATTAGTCTGAAATGATTTCAATGTAAACTACCAATTTAGCCTGAAATAATATCAATGTAAAACTACTAATTTAGCCTGAAATAATATCAATGTAAAACTACTAATTTAGCCTGAAATGACATCAATGTAAAACTACTAATTTAGCCTGAAATGACATCAATGTAAAACTACTAATTTCGCCTGAAATGACATCAATGTAAAACTACTAATTTAGCCTGAAATAATATCAATGTAAACTACTAATTTAGCCTGAAATGATTTCAATGTAAACTACTAATTTAGTCTGAAATGATATCAATATAAAACTACTAATTTAGCCTGAAATATTATCAATGTAAAACTACTAATTTAGCCTGAAATGATTTCAATGTAAACTACTAATTTAGTCTGAAATGATATCAATGTAAAACTACTAATTTAGCCTGAAATATTATCAATGTAAAACTACTAATTTAGCCTGAAATAATATCAATGTAAAACTACTAATTTAGCCTGAAATGATATCAATGTAAAACTACTAATTTAGCCTGAAATGATATCAATGTAAAACTACTAATTTAGCCTGAAATAATATCAATGTAAAACTACTAATTAAGCCTTAAATGGTGTTAATGTTAACAAACTGAATCATACTGAAATGACATCCATGAAAATATACTGAATATGTCTCTGAATTTCTCTTCAAAGTTTTGATATGTCTTTCCAATAAGGAATTGTTCATAATGTAAACAAAAATAGTTTTCTCTTGTTACTGAAGTAGTATATTTACCTGATGTATTCTATATAAACAAACAGCTACAACATGAGAACACCAGTATGCCTGACTTTCACAGTTACAATTACACAGAGTTATTCTTCTTCTGTCAAATACTACAGCTACACTACAAGCTTTATTACCCTGGGCCTGGTTCAATGATTGAGGTGGTAATATGGTAGCACTCAGATGAAATCCTGTAATAAATTATAATGATGATATGATGACAAACCTATTGGTCCCAGGCATCAAAACACATACCCAGAAAAAATTTGACAGTTGGCCTACTGCCATCATTATGTTATTTAATATGTCATTCATTAAAGTTTTTAATTAGGTAACAGATGAAAAAATTTCCACTTGTTCCATTTGTGATGTACTTGCAGAAATCACATGAAAATATATTGATTTTACAATATGCTGAGTCATAAAAGAGTAATATTTTAATGAAAAAAATATAATTTCACACATTCTTTTCACACTTTTTTTCTGACTGGTAATTAAATTCTTTTTTCCCAAGAATTACAATATATTTCTGATAATTTCAATTATTTGTATTGAAATTTTGGACTATCCTTAAATATACCATTGAAAAACTAAGACACAATTTGAAATCTAAATTTTACTCAAGTTCAAAGATCAACATCATAATTAAATAAGAAGGAAATTATAATAAAATAAGGTCAAGTGAGTTTAGTAATCCATGACCTACATTCAGAATGAATAAAGGATATTAGTATTATGTAGATAATATCAATACTTATACATTTCCTCTTTTTTCTACATAAGAACTTTATAGTAACTTTTAACAAAAATATAACATGAAATTTAATCTTCCCAATGGAATTAAAATATGGTTTTAAGTTGTAGGCTAATGGAAGTTTAAAAGTCTTTGTGTAATGTCATAGGTATAACAGTCTGTTTGAAGTCAGTAGACTAGTCAATGTACCTATTTATCTAACTATGTATATAAAGATAGGTAAAGATAAGTATTGTCAGTATCAGTATTTTAATCATCAATCACACCAACAACTACATACATTATATACATCTTTACCCATTTCTCACCCTTAATAACCCCATATTCTTTTTTATTTGTGTGTTCTGACTGTCCACTATTATTCTTTTGTTACAAAGTACAATAAAGATCACTGGGATGTGATAGCTTAAGCTCACAAAATGGTCATATTTCAAACAAAATTAGTATTTGTGACTACAGTTGTCACTGGACATATAATTACTAGATTTCAAACAGAAATAAGATCAGACTGGCTATTTTAGGTTTAATTAAAATTTATTTACCTCTAGACCACATTTTTGTATTCTTTTTAAAATGCTGTGGGTATAGAGCAAGATCAATGACATGTTCTAAGGACAATGTGCTTTGAGTATTGGATGGATATCAGCTCAAATTTGCATTAAAGATGGGATCCCTTATTTTCATTTATGAAAATGAAAATGCTAATACTTATATGAATAGAAAGAAGAGGTGTTCTAATGACTTAAAAAAAATACCAGTTTGCCTCACATGTCAATAATTAAATCATAATTAGCTAAATTAGAAGATAATTACAAGCAGAATTTCAATAAGTGGCCGATCAAGAAAAGTCAAATAGTCTTTTTTTGTTTATACAGACTGTACATACATGGACATTTATGAGTGGTTAAAACTCTTAATTATATGCAATAAGAACAGAATGATTTGATCAAGAATACATGATAATACATTAGAAACATCAATTAATCAACTAAAATATAAGGAAACCCATCATTCAAGAAATGAGTAAAGCGTAATAAGTGTAAAATATGTCATGGAGAAAATACTTGATGATTGTTTCTTTTAACTTACCAATTTGTATGACTTCTTTAACTGCCTTACTTTTATATAGATGTTCTCCTTTGGTAAATTCATCTGCACTGCCATTAGATAAACAGGAATATAATCTGAAACAAGAAAATACCATTATACATGGTACAAAGCTGGTGTATGCTCATTGCATCTGAAATTAGGAAATTTATTGTATAGAAGTTTGTTGAATCTATTTCATAAATCTAGAGAGAATATACAAGACCAATAACCAATTAGCGGACTTGATCTAAAGGATCATTACTTTAAGCCATTTAAAGATCATTTATTCAGAGTTCTGCGGCCCATTTTTCTACTAATAAAAAGGAGAAATGGGGAGAATTAAGCCAGGACTGCAGAATTAGTCTTAACTTTTTTTTCTTTCAACTATCAAGGAATTGAAATTCGGAACATGTTATTGCTACACATCTTTTTAAGTTAGCTGTTCCAATCCCCAAAATAGACAGGATCAAGGCTTTCTGATTAAAATTCTGTCTGAATCACAATAAGCCTGTTATGTTGTTTTCAAAAAAATCTATAGTAAGAAATAAGGTCAGTAAAAAGGAAAGGAATAGAATGAAGAAAAGAAATAATATATGAGATATTATAATATATAAGATTATTTATTTTTAAACAATGCCAGATGTTTGTAATCAATATAAAATCCTGTTGTTTATACATGTTCCAACTAGTCAGCAATCTTATAAATAACAACACATTCTTTATATCAATATCTTCCATTCAATTTCCATATCATATTAAATCAGGCCTGACCACTGATAGTAATTTCAAATCTTTCATTATAGAAAACAACTTCACATTGATACCTTACATTTGTTTTTTTGCAGGAAACAAATCTTAAAGTTATTTAAAGTTTGTTTTTTAACCATTCAGAATACAGGGACACTTATATACCTTCTTTTGAAACACATCACTTCACATTATTACATACAAATTTAAAAAACTATTTCAAGATAATACTGGAATGGTAGTTAGTCAATACTAAACTGGTGGTTTTATTTTATTAATGATTATTTGATTTCTTAACTGATGGGTAATTAGAAATCAGTTCCCCAAGGTAATTTATTACGTATATGCAAGTATTTAATTCAAAATTAATACCAGACACTGTTATAAACCTACAAAACAGCATGATCATCATAATACAATAAAAAATAAATTATTCTGTGTGAGTTTGACAACCAAGATTATATATCATGCAGATAGACAAGGTATTAAAAACTTAATTCCAGTATGCTGACTTTACAATTTTGTAAAAAAAAGACCAATCAATATACCAAAAATTAACTAAGAGCCATAATGAAAGTATAAGCTTATCATTTTGGTTGAAAATTCTTTCTTAGAAGCTTAATATCAAAAAATATATATTAGGTGTCGGTTTAGAAAATAAAAAAAAACATTCAGTTCGGCTGCCATATGAAAAGCTACCAACATAAGTAAATAATTCGAAGAATATATCAATATCATTAAAGTTTGAATGGTGAATAGAGGGAGCCATAATATACACATATATAGTTTGCGTTGTACTCGTGAGGCTGCTCATTAGACAAAGACATCTGTATAGGTCAATAAATTGTATACTGGTAGGTAAAAGGGATTGAAATATTGGGTGTCTGTAGGTTAACACTGCTTAATGCTGTATGTACACGAACATATCTGATTTTTGTCGTTGATGCCAAAACGGATTAAATCGTTTGTGTGCCCGTGCTATCACAACAAGATTTTTGCTTTGACGGAAGATTTTGAACATCAAAACAATTTTAGTTTTCCCCAATTTTTCTCACTTCGCAGATGGTTTTCTTTATGTGACTACCCCCCCCCCAAAACGAGAAAAGACTCCACTGAACGTCATTACCCAATCAGATTCATTCTCACTTCAACTGCATGATCATTGCATGATTATCGACATGGGGAAAAAGCCAGACTGGAGATTTTTCGTCTTCTTGTGTGCCCGTAACTACAATCCAATTGTACAATGTGATATACATGTGGGTGTTCTGTATAATTGGTACAATGAGTATTCACAAGATTGAATTATATCTATAGGCATGTTATATTGACTATTATCTGTACCAACCTAATTTACACACTCTAATCTATATTGACCTACACTCTGTTTGGCAGATCTCTTGTCACTGTTGGCTGCTTCTTTTTGTAGGTGTGTCATGCCAATCCTTACTTCAACAATTTTAAGGTGTCCAGGCTTGAACTTATTTATGCTATTGAGCTTGCTTACTGGCATTCCATTTATAATTCATATCAAAATTGATTTCTATAAGCTTATGAATATGTAATTCATAATTCATTGAATGGCCAATACAACTTTAGATAGAACCAAACTTAGTATAAAAAAATTTCACACATCCTACTGCTTTACATAATGTCATAGTCATGTCTCATATTTGGTTTTAAGACAAACTAAAAATCATTTGTTATATTTTGGAAAGTTAATTGGTCATTAAGAAACCAGAATTTGTCACCTTATGACAATGAGAATGCTAAAGATATAAAATTTAGGTACAATAATGCTTTAACTTTTATAGATTTTCAACCTTTAATATATCAATTTTACAAACCTGATATCCTCCTCATTTTCAGGGAAGCTCCAGAAAGCTATTCTAAGTTGAAGCCATTCTGGAATTGGTTCTGGGTAATGTTCAACCACCTCAAATGGTAGATGACAGGCAACAGCTATGGCCGATAATTCAACCAATGGTGTAACTTTGTCTGTAAAATAACAGAACAAAAGATTAGTATAATAATTTTATGTTTTAGCCATTTGTTGTAAAAGTCAACCTCCAAAAACAACTGTCCCAATCTGTAAATGAAACATTTGCCTGCAGTGTAGGAAATGAACTCCTGTCAAGTAGCATGCACATCAAAATATGCCCATACATTGGGTGGGTGGGGGCATTTTCCCCCTAGAAAAGTGGTTTATTTTTAACAAATTTAAGAGCAAATTAAAATCATTTAGAAAGAGGTTTCCCAGAAAAAATGGGTAGGCTACAATTATAAATAATCATAATGATAACAAGTTGGTAACAAGCTGAAGTTGTGATATATACTATCATAACTACTTTGTATAGAGACTAACATACATATAAAATAGGTCATTGAGTACATTTAATATGGATTATTACAATTAATACTCTAAAAATTAACCTAAAAGGAAGTATAGAATTAAAAAAAAGCCTATGAATGAATTAGATGATGAACGTAGCATAAACACCTTTCTATGAATTAAGTAAAACAATGTTTTCATTAAAAGGAGAGTTCCACCATACATTTAGCCAATTGAACTTCAATCTCAGAAACCGGATTTTTTTTAAGCTGGGCTAATCAATAATAGTGTTCACAGCTCCCTGTCGAAATTTGACACTTCAAACCGATGCATGTCCAGAATTTTCCGTGTTTGAAAGTTAAAATTTTGACTCGTCTTTTCTTAAGACTATACCGGATAGAAATAGAACGTAAAGTGTCTCATTTTAGGTATTTTTTGAAGGAATCGTGCAATTTTTGTACCTTTTAAGTACTTCAGAAGACTATTTACAAATATTCGATGATCTGTTTTACAACCCTTGAAAATGGCGAACCTATCCCTTTATAATAGTGATATTGGTATTATTCTACTATTCACATAACAATGAACAGACTGGTGTTTTTAGTCCATTTCTGCTAGATTGGTGCAGCTACTCACATACATAGATGAAATACTGCAGCTAGTGGTAAAAATCAGTCTATTGGAGTTGAACTTACCATTCAATAATTTTTAACAAAATTTGTTTGGAACCATGGTAATGCGTTAAATGAAGAAACATACAGCCATCTTAAATGAGTTCACATAATGAAACATCATCAAATACTAGGCATAACAGTAAGGGCCTATAACTTTGTTATTATCAGGGCAAATATGAAGTAGGGCTGATGTCAGTGATGAAAATATTATATTTCTTTACTATCTTGTCAGATTTGCATACCACTGCACTAACACTTCAGCAATACTTTTTTAAACATGATAAGAACACACAAAATATATTCCTGTCATGACTTTGAAGTGATAAATTGCCACCTGTAAAAGGGACAATAACATTAATGAAAAATACAACTCAGTTAAATTAAAAACTTTCAAAAGTTTATTTTGAGCCATATATTATAAATATTTTTACCTGGTGAACGACTACATAGAATGGTCTGACCACCATTTTGCCTCTTCCAACCTCGCCAGTTGTTGCAAAGACTTTCAGGTTCACTGATCCATGAGCATAATGAATCTTCCTCAAATCTATCGCTGTCCTCGAAAGAAAATCTATCAACATCATAATCCCACTCCTGTATCATTAAGTCCATGGTGTTAAAAAGAGACAATGAGAAAGAAATACTTTATGGTTGCTTCACGAATGAAGGCTAACCAATCACCTCAATTCTCAAACTGGTCTCCCAGAACCAGAGAGATCACGGCTAAAGTCGAAGTATTTTCTCTTTTGACTAATTCTGAGCCATCATTCTGTTATCAAAATACCCTTCAACGTAAGTACGATGTACTTATTGCAATTTTGTCCAGCTGAAAAGACCAAATTAGAACAAATAAGGTCAAATATACTGGATTCTGTCCCGACAAATCATGTTGTAATGGACAATAACAAATGAATTCGGAATGAGTCGGGTCTTTCCGTAAAGGTTCGTGAACAGGTGCTCGAGATCTCGCGAGATCGTCCTTTTCCGCTTTTGAGTAAGCAATGTAAGACGACAAAATATAATTTTAACTAAAATCCTAATCAATCCACCATTAAGTAAAATGAATTGGAAATTTTAGATAAATCTTACACACTGTAATATATTAGCATTTATTTCAGATGGATTTTGTGTGAAAACCATCGTTATTATTTCGTAAACAAGACGTGAAAACTCATACCCTCCCCACTTAAACTATATGGACATGAGACACTTATTATTTTGCACAGTATTGACGTCTATTTTGCTTTTTTGATTAACAGAGCTCAGTTCAGTGATAAGGTGTTTGCATGTCTTACGAATGAATTAAATTTTCACTGTAGGTTGTTTAAGTCATTTAATCTCACGGGCATGTGTATGTGCCAGATATAACCGATTTTGGGCAATGGCAGATCTGCCTAGGCCTACTATTGTTATATTCAGTACCAAGCCAATGCTGTTGAGCTCTTGGCCTTTTTCAGCCACCTGATCAGTTATACTTGTCATTTTGTAGATGGTAGTGATCGTAAATCTACAATATATATTTAGTTTTAGTTAGGGGTACCAGTACCCTGATACGATGGTAGGTACTCTGTTTATTAGTAGGCAAGATTTAGGGTGCAATGACTAACCGGCAGAACCAACCTATAATTCTGCTTTTCTGGGCATAGAATGATATCAAATTTGACTAGTACCTATTGTATAATAAGATGGTTAGGTATCCAAGTCGCTGTATACATGTAATTTACATGGCTGGATTAGTTACATGGGCTTTAACTACCGGTACCCTGTATGGTTTCACATTAGAGTTTAATTATTTTTACTTTTTTTTCCAGCATGGCTCCACGTAAAGGAAAGTCATCAGCTCCTCAAGAGCAAATAAGTTTAGGTCCTCAAGTTGAAGAAGGTGAAGATGTTTTTGGCATCGCACATATTTATGCCAGTTTTAATGATACTTTTGTACATGTTACTGATATTTCTGGAAAGTAAGTATTGAATTTATCTGTTATTTTTGTAAGAATATGTCATGGCCCTTGATGGGTTTGAAACCATGTCCCTTTACAACTTGAGATTACATTAATTAGAACTTAGAAAAGAAACAGCCCAGCAAATAGAATGAGTTTTAATCTGAAGATTTGAGTGTTTTTGTCTGTAGATTATTTTTTTTTATACAAATAGGTTGAATTTATCATTCTTATAAGCCCATCTGATAATTTTAATAGTTTTAAGTATATTTTGTGCAAGCTCAGATGAAAAAAATATAATACTACTCTCTGGCCACATTGAGTTCTAAATTTAATATTTTCTCTCATGTCTCAAATATTCAAAATATGATTTTCAAGTGCATACCAATTGTCTTCGAATGCCATGAATATATAAGTTTTGAAAATTTTGCACTTGAAATGAACACACTTCTCTCCAAGAAATTTGATGTGAAAATAACTTGCATTTTTAACTGAAAATCTCCCTCTGTAAAATCATAGTTTCAAATAATTTTGTTTTCAATGGTTGGCATTTTCATCAACCTAAAGACAATCTAAGACTCTCAGCAATATTTGGAGATTAATATTTCAATTCATACAAAAATGATGGCCAAAATGTGATTTAGAACTTGATGTGGCCAGAGAGTAGATGGAATGATTCAGTCTTTTTGTCAATATAACATGGTCAATGGAGAGTAAATTCTGTTTCAGGGAAACCATTTGTTGTGTCACTGGTGGCATGAAAGTGAAGGCTGACAGAGATGAAGCATCCCCATATGCTGCTATGTTGGCTGCTCAAGATGTAGCTGAAAAATGTAAAAATTTGAAAATCAGTGCCCTTCACATTAGATTGAGGGCAACTGGTGGTAACAAGTGAGTATTATTCCTTTCCTTTTTCCAAAGAACTAAATCTTACATCAGACAGGTAATAATTGGAAAATGATTTTGGCAGCCAATTTAAGTCTCCATTTCCTTGCCTGAAGATACTGAATTCAATTTTATTATCAACTTTAATTAATTGTGTACTCGTATATAGGTCTGTCTCCTTAGACACATTGCAATAATGTCAGTATGGTGCAGAAAATTTTGGCCATGAAGGACCATTTATAAACATGTTCAGTTTTAATTTCTCTAGATATGAAAAATTGAGTTGCAGTGTAGTTTGTATGTGTGTACCAGTATTTGTAGGATCATAATAGAATTGTTTGAATTTTAGGACAAAAACTCCAGGACCAGGAGCTCAGTCAGCTCTACGAGCTTTAGCTCGTTCAGGAATGAAGATTGGTCGAATAGGTGAGATAGTTATATACTTCCTTAGAGGTTTCTAAGAATGCAACACTGCAATGATGACACTGGTTTCTGAATTGAATTTTGGCAATCATTTTCATATGAATTGAAATATCAATTACAAAATACTACTGAAAGTCTTTGAATGCCTTAGGGTTGATGAAAAGGTTAATCAATGAAAAATTTATTAATTGTAAACATGATTTTACAGAGGGGAATTTGCAGTCATTTTCACATAAATTTTCAGGGAGGAAAGTGTGTCACCTTATATTTCTATGAACTATGAAATGGCATACATTTGAAAATTTCATTATGAATATATATGAAATGCGAGATAAAATTCAATTTAAAGCTCAATGTAGTTGGTCTTATGCCTTGAATAAAATATTTAATTAATTTATAATTATCGAAATATAAACATTTCAGAGAGTTATTTACAATATTGAAATCTGATCCCAATCTGGTATATAACATTGCATTATTTGTCCACATCTACAATTCTGTCCAATACGTAATGGTATGTCAAAATGAAGAGGTTAACCTCTCCACATTTGATTTTGAAAAAATAAGCATGAATTTACCTCAAATATATTTTATATTGACTGTCACCTTCCAGTAAACTAGTTATTACTATTTGTAGGGACACTACAAATTTGATTGGATCATTTTCATTCCTACAAGTCTGTACGTGATGACACAGTTTCAAAGGGATTAATGATTCAAATTGTGTTGTAATTTCAGAGGACGTAACTCCAATACCATCTGATTGTAACAGAAGAAAGGGTGGTCGTCGTGGAAGAAGATTGTAAATTAAAATAATAAAAAAAAAATAGATGAGAAGTTTGTTATTATTTATGCACATTGTCTGAACTGACCATTGCATGCTGTGCTCTTATTTCTTAAATGAGGCTTATGCTACTGTTCTTTCTGATGAGGATTATTCCATTACATGGGTTATGCCCTTAGTAACTATCCACCTTCTGATAAACCTAGCTTTATCCCACATACGGTATATTGTAGGTTACTGGTTATTCATTCATTTCATTTTCTGATAAATACCGACTAAGCGCCTTTTATTTTGGGTCTGGTGTCCTCTAGGATCATCACTGGTAATTCAAAGCATGTTTTAAAATCCTTGACCCCCATGGCTTATTTCTAATGGCACCATTGAAATTTTTTTTTTTTTGAAGTCATCTTTGGACTTTCATTTCGGTAACTCTAGATAAACATTGTATATACATGTAATATGGTTAGGCACATTGTTAGCCCAAGCTAACTGGGACAATTTCTATTGTGTCAGTAAGATTAATATCCGTTTACAATCCTTACTGACCTCCATTTGTGGAATTGGGTTTCTCCAATTTGCAGAACCCTGATATTATATTACTTTTATAAACACCTTTCAATCAAAAAAAAGGGTCAAGACACAAAGGCTTCAGTTTTCTGTTCGTGGACCTCTTTCAATCACACTCATCAATTAATAAAAAAAAATCTGAACTGAATCAAAACTCCATTAGAAGGGAATTAAAACCATTCAATCGATGACAATCATCAATGTTCACAATATAATAAATGAGAAAAGTAGATGGCCACTAGCTCCAATTGTGGAAACCGGTTGATAATGTATGTTTCAATTTGAAATTAGTTTTAAAGAGATCCAAAGTCTTAAAATTGAGCTGTTCCCATTTATTAAAAAGTGCAAAAAATGATGAGAACAATCAAGAAAAAAATAATTCCTAAAATGCTATGTACATGAATATATAAGTTCTTCTGACAATTTCATTTTACATGGAAGAAACCATTTCAATTGATTTTAGTTGATCAGACTAAGTATCTGTTATGTCACATATAGGTGTCTGTTGTTTCCATGTTTATATGTTCCCTAGAAAGAAGAAATGAAAGAATGATCATTAGTACACAAGACTGCAATTTTCCCAAATGTTTATAAAGATGCTACATAATATTCATGAACATGCTAGTGCCCTAGTATGCAACATTTACACAAGATAGTATTGAATAAACAATTTTCTGGAAAAGATAATTTTCATGTATAAAATTACTGAGTCAACACATGCACCAAACAAAACGTGATCTGAAATGTAAACCAAAGGTATTTTTGGGGGTTTTGTTTTGTACCCTTTACTTAATTCTTACTATCTGTCAACATTTGGTTACGTGGAAAAGTTCACCTTATATTAATCACATCACAAGATCAATGGCATGTAATTTTTGTAAAATAGCCATCAGCCAAACTTCAAATAAATGCCAATGGTTTACTTTTTTTTTAAGCATTATTACGGAAGCAACCTTTGGCTTTTTTTAAGCATCTGATCACAGTCTTGAGCTACAACTATAGATCAAACTCATTATTGTTTCAACAAATAACCTGAAGAAAATGTGAAAATTCTACAATAATTAAAACACATACTAATATTTTTGTTTAATTGAAAGATGTTCCTTCAACCCACATGTTGACAGATATATTCCGTAGATTAAGTACATGTAGGTTCAATATAGAATGTAGGAAAATTGAAATGAACGATATGAAAATATTTGTGAAATATCATTAGTAAAAATTGCTAATAAAATAAACTTCCTCACCAATACACGTATTAGTAACATAAATATTGTAACCACAACAACAATATTAGTTCCACCCTTGAGTAAAATTGATCTTCTGACAAAAATGAGTTAAAAGTAAAGCTTTGGAAAGAAATTAAGATGATGTTATATTATGGGAAAAACTAGCTGGCCAATAGTAATAAAAATATCCATGCAAAGGGGTAACCATTAAAGAATTTTTTGTACCTTCCATTTCTTCATCACTTTCTTTGTGGTCTTCCTAAAAGCCTTCATCTGATGCTTTGAAATAATCAGTTAATAATTAAATAATGTCTAATGAAAATTCAATAGCATAAGCTTGACATAAGCAATAAGCTTTTGGAGTATAAATAAATAACAACCTTTAATACTGAGTATGATTTAATCTATTTCCAAGATTTGCAGATTACAATAATAAAAATATTCATAACTATAGAACTTGGAAATAAACACTTAAAGATCAGGGAAATTTACTCATTTCAAATCTTAATTTAGTATATTAGGTTATAGACATCCCACATGTACATTAATATCACAATACAAAAAACCATTTAACTCAACCAACTATATTAGTTAAGGGCAGCATTGCTTTCATTTGTGTTAATATAAATTTCATCTGTGCAAAATTCAACATCAATTTCCACAAGTAATGATGTAAAAAACAGAGAGAATTCAAATAAGAGCCAAAATCTTAATTGGAAATATCACATATTTTTTATCTTAATTTTTAACAATTCTGGAAAAGCAAATTTCTCTATATAGGACCTCCCAAATCATAACAAAAACTGTTATCAACTGTGTTTAGTTTGAAAGAATACATGTTTATTTTCCAAAACCTGTAAAAAGGAAATGTACACATTTTTTGAAGGTTTTAATATTAAACTACCAATTTAAATACACCATTATGCAAAAAAAAAAATCAAGGATACACCAACCAAGCTCTGATTAGAATGCACATCTGGATGTTTCGTTTTGTTTTCTTCTCTGGATGATTCCACCCATTATCTGACAAAATTGTTATGCATCTCATGTTCTGGGTCATATGACATTTAACCTACCAGATGCTGTGTTCAATAAAAGATGTTCTTCCTGGAAACTACAGAAAAATGCAAGGCAATCGTCAAGATCTGCATTTTAATCAGATTTCGATTGTTTAGCTTCAGGAATGAAATTTATTTAATTTATCCAAGGTTATAACGACTAGGATTTTATTTGTACATCATTCATTTCAAAATAAGTTCTACTGACTGACTTCTCTATTTTCTTACAGAGAATATCAACATATCCCAAGTACATTACATGTCGTATATTTAAATAAATTTATGTTGTATGTAATGAAATAATTCCTGATTGTTTCAAATTTCAATACCTAGTCTGTTTTCAATTGTCATTTTAATCTAGGATTTGATTTTCTAATTACACAATATTTATATTTTTGTACATATATTTTTCAAGATATAAGTTCACCCCTCAACCTTACTGAAAAAACCATTGCATGAAAAGAAGGTGAAACTATTTTCAAATAATTGCTCAAATTTTTACTTAACACATTTGAAAGTGGCAGTGGGCCAATTTATATTTGCATATTATGAAATATTTAAATCAAAGTTTTATAGCAGAGTAAATGTGATGGTGAAAATCGGACCATTTCCAAAAGTTACAAGCAAATGATGTTCATATAACAAAGATCACTACTTCACTGATAATAACAGAAAAACCAAAATTGAATTATACAAAAGGTTTCAGAATTTGAACACAATTTGAATCATTTTCCCTTTTAATCTTTATTCCAGATCAGAAACTAATATTGTGTTAACTTAATCTTAACATTCTTAATAGGAACAAACTGATTGATAGTGTCAATATTTTAATAAAGCAGATACTGCTGTCATAATGATATTACAAGCACGTAAAGGAATATATAACATAATGAAAAGCAGAGACACAGAAAAAGCATGCATGCTCATGAACACAAACTGATTTGGGTTTCCATATGTCATTCTTCAATAGCAGGGAACCTGGCATCCCAGAATTAATATGAATTTTAAAGAGGTTGATTTTTTTTAATAGTTCAGAAAATTTTGTTGCTTAAATTAATGAAAACTATGGACCAAAATCTAAGAGATACGTGCCCCTTATCTTATACTTTTAACTAAGTTTTAGATGGTCTGGTTGTTGGAAAACAGATGTACAGATGTCAGAAAAATAACCATTCAATTGTAGAGCCTCTATTAAAGCCAAACACCCAAACTAATTTGGTCCGCTTACTTAAAGTGATACGTTATAAACTTATTAACATAAATTTTAAGAATTTTAAACTTGGCGAATATGAGCCAGTAGATATACCTGGTGTCATAAATAACATAACAAGATCCTTATATAATCTGATAAATCCAAAAAAACTTAATAATTATCCATAAATAGGCAATTAAATATTGAAAAACACTTAAGATAAAGCGTTTTTCAATAATTACTTAGTTTTATCAATTTTCCAGATTTTGCAGGGATTCTGTTGTAACTTTATGACACAAGGTAAGCTAACTGATGAATATATACTCATATTGACCATTTCAAGAGCTTAAATTTTATGTTCATTCTAAGACATAGTATCACTTTAACATTAAGTATAATCCAATTTTTCATTATCTCTTTTAAAACAAATTTTTTAGAAATATTTTCACTTATATTCATTTCCAATCATTAATTTTATACAGCCCCTATAATGAAATCCACATGTTTTTAAAATTTCCCGATTTTATATGAAACATTATCAATTTGTGTTCATGATGTTCAAAGAAGCTGTTTTAGACAAGTTGAAAGCAAATGAATTCTACAAAATGGTTCAAAATCAATGAGTGCCTCTTGCTACTGTTGTAAATGCCAACCTTGTCATATCAATGTGTAAACATATATCTAGAAACAGTGTACATCAATTTTTGATAGGGGTGTCAAAGTTGATATGATATATTTATGTTTTAATACAATTTTAACAAGGGTTATCACACAGATTTGGTAATTTTGATGCACAACACCTTTAATGAAGGCTACAAAGATACAGGTAAACACACAGAAAAAAGATATTATGCACAATAAGTACTTTGATTAATATTTAAAATACTTGAAAGTACTGGTATATGGTTAGATGGAATTTGGTAAAAAATATGAACATGAATGATAATGACTGTGATAATGATATGATAATTTTCTAGAAATTGGATGATGTGAGCTTTTTTGAGCATTTCAAGAATTGAAATAATATAAGCCATGCAAGCAACAATGATAAATGGTTATCAAACAATATCTTCTCTTTACATATTATATAAAAACACTTTTGGCACGAGGCAGATGGGGCATATAGAAGTTGAAAGTAATAGAACATTGCATATTACTAATTTCAAAAAAACCTACATTACTTGGATTAAATTTGGCCGATGATCACGTACAATTTTCTAAATTTTTTATTAGGATATCAGTACATAATATGCCTTCGTTTTAGTTTTTCAAAAGTTGTTTTCATAGAAAATTCCTTTAATGCCTTTAACATGATGATTTCGTATTGAAAAAGTAAAAGCCATATTCATGGAAATATTGACCTCTTAAATTTTAATTGCATTGTTTTATGTAGTAGATATAAGATTTTGCAACCATCAGCAGCAAGAAAGACTATAAAAGCAAACATGAAATCAGGACATAAATTAATGCACAAATGAAAATATCAAATAAATGTGATATGGAAAAATGCTGGTTTTGAAAATATCTTGCATTTATAAATAAGATCTCTATCCAGTCTTTGGTTTTGTTAAAATGTGGAATTTTTCTAAGTAAAGCATATCTATTTAAAAATTGATGAAAATAATAAAGTCTATAATAATTTAAGTAATTTAATACTAAAAATTCAGACTATGTCCTCCAATGAATTTCAAAATTTGAGCAAATAAACTACGTCAGTATCATTAACAAGTAAAATGATATTATAATTGTGTTTATTCAAATGGTGTGATTTAATTAAATGCAAATGACATCAATAAACCTTAACATTTAGATAATTAGTAATATATAATAAAAAATAATAAATATTTCATGTATCTATTAACAATAAAGTAATAAAAATATAACTAAACACAATTATTAAAACTCTATGACTACTGATCCCTTTCTAAATTAATGACTAGACAATGACTATATGAATGTGTTTGGCAAAAAGCATTCAATTCAACCCTTATAATGCTTAGAAAATAAATGAAGCTACAATATTAATAAGCAGGACAAAATAAATTGAATACAATTAGCTTCAGTCTTTTATAATAACTTTCGATAGGTCTTTCTTCATAGAAGAAGGCCTTCAAAAAATCTTTCTTTTCCTTTTGTTTTTGAATATTAGTTCCAAATTGAAAAAACTCCAGCTTATTTATTCATGATCAAGTGGTTCAGATCTAAAAATACTAGAATAATTATGAAAGCTAGTGAGGTGGGTGAGCTAAATGAGAAGTGAAATAGGCATCATGATAATTTATTTACAGTGGAAGGTAGGGGTTGGGAGGATTTCTCTTTCAGAAATATCAATTTTACACAAGGGAGAACTCATTTTCAAATCATAAGTAATAAGGTCGTACCTCTGTTAAATTATTCAGATAGAACACAAGAGCTACAACAACACATACCACAGTAATGCCACAACCCATGCAAGAAGTGATAGAGAGAATTGCCAAGCCAATCTATATGAAATGAGAGAGTATCACACTAGATCGTAGTCAACGCGAGGATCAGTTTGATATATAGCTGCTCTATAACTGTACCTATCAGACAGACTACGCTGTACAGGTTTATTGGTAGGGGAATTAAACTGAGTAGTGGAAGTCACTTCATCATCTTCACCAATAGTAGTTTCTACCAGAGAGGATTCCATTTCAGGCAATGCTGTTATTTTACTTTGTAATAATAGAACATATGTTTTATACCGTTTTAACTGAAATAAACAAACAACACTTTTTTTAACAAGGTAACCCACATAGGCTACAACCATGCATGTGGACTCTCTAAAAGAGATGCTGATTTAACATTCAGATGGGTATGCCCTGCAGAATCCTCAAGAACTGTACACGACTCAAAATGATTAAGATCATTTCAAATACTCACTTCAAAATCTAAATATGTTTCCTTAGCGAGGTAGTCCTGTATGTCCCTTGATTTGGCCCCTTTCTCTGGTGCTCCAGCACGATGCTGATGTAGTTCCTGTTCCAAGCTTTCAACCTTTTCTTCATGATTTTTAAATTGTTCCCTCTGAAAATCAAATGATATTTTAGATCCATCTAGAAATTTTTCAGAGCATATGAAGTTATCAATAATCTGAGAATTCTTTCTTGGGTCAAAATTCTCAGCTGTGAATAGATCATGAAACTGCATGGCCCAAATCCAAATTATAGACTCTTTAAACATCAAAATATGAAAAAGACAAAACCCATCAATATAAGTCAGCTATCAACTTACTAAAGTTTTTCTGGTATAAGATACAGGGAGCAGAGGACGCTGGAAACCAGTTTTGGACCCAAGAGCTCCTGGAAGAGGTTCTGCAGAAAATGCTGCAGCCACAAAATTAAGTGTATCCATCCATTCCTGTAATTCTTTACTATTACTGAAAATACAATTCATAAACAGATCATTTTTACAGAAATTTTTTTTTTTTAGTCAAATTTCTTAACCTTTTAAGGTGTCCTCCATTAATTCCCTTTCAAATTTAAAGTTGAATTCAAAATAGACTAGAAGCACAGTATACAGAAATAAAATGAACTATTTGAAATGGTTGAGAAATAATCTATAGAAGTTATCTGATTGACAATCAAAACAATATTTTTAATCTAAAATACCTGGTTTGAAATAAAAATTCAGCCCATTCTGCGGATTGTAATCGGAAAACATGTTGTTTCTTAGTATAGTCAGTGGCCTTGGTTACTAAACAATGATGTACTCTTATAGCATTGCTTGCAACTTCAACTAAATTGCCCTTCTTATATTGATGTTCATCCTTATATAGATATAATATTAGGTCCCTTAATACAGCATAAAACATCTTCCAACTTCTTTTACCTAGACCAGCTATTGAAGATATAAACATTTATTTTAGTAGATAGGTAAGAATTCGAATATTTCAACTAAATTCATCATGTAATTTGAAACATTTCTATTATACTTATTAATACTTTGATCATTAATATTCACAAAACAAATTCACATTGTAAAGGATAATCAATCAGCAACAACCATTAATGTTAATGACGTGAAATGGATGTATTCATGCTGCCTCAAGGGAGTTTTCGAACCAAACAGCATCTCAAAGTGGTGCTAATCTCATTCCATTTAAAACAACTAGGAAATAGAGCTTGAACTTACTTCTCCTTCCATCAGCATCCATACAACATTTTCTCATCACATAACCTTTTTTATATTCTATGGTTTTACTTGGATCAGGCACCTTGAAAAATTGTATAGGTCTAAAAATTATCAGAAGGACTCAAAAATAGCTTACTTTCCTGGAAATTTTCATTGTCAACTGATGTATAATGCAAAAGCTGTTTCATTTTGTTTTGGATGACCATAAAAACCAACAGAATTTTTCAAAAAAACTTATTTTGTTCATTATTTATGTGAACTATAGGCATCACGCCTTATGGTTTAATAAATAAATTCAACAAAGACTTACATCAAGGAATGGATTTTGTCCAATAAACTGTTGAGGGACGGAGACCATCTGCGTAGAAGTTTCATTTGGATGATCAGGTTGAGAATCTTCATCACTTAAAAGACAGAGCAATAGCATATAGTACTGAATAAATCTCTAAACCTCGGATTATTAAACCTAATAATAACAAAATTTCAGTTCCTGAATACAGACATCATACATGCAGAGCATTGAAGGTACATTTTAAATGGTAATACAAAAATACTTACACAGCCCATTCTAATTGTTCACCTTTAATAGAATTAAATACTGTTTTAAGTATATCTTTAGGAAAATTTTCACCATCATTTAGATCAGCTAAATTTTCTATAAACTCAGAACAAGTCATCTTCCTTCCAACAGTCTAAAATATTAACAAACAGTTGTATTACATTATACCCTTTCTGTATACCTCTAAAGACATCTTCGAACACAAATGTGCTTTCTTAGCCTAAGAAGTTTGAATCATTACTTGAATTTGAGCATAATATTTCATGATAAAATCCTCATCAAGTCAATTGGTTTGAAAATGAGGGGAATAACTTTCCAATATTAGGACTAAAGGTGTAATGAGCCAATTATATCCAACTAACCTGTTAGTTAGTCAGTGAAGAAATTAGTTTATGATTTGTTCTAAATAAGGACACAACTCAACCAATATTATTCTGTTTTATTTTTGTGCCTGCATGAATATTTCTACTAGGTGAAACTGTGATAATTAAAATTTAAAGTAGGTTGAGAACTATGTTATCTTGAACCCCACATGTTACTACAAATATTTTAGATTTTATCACCTGTGATTAAACAGTAGAGATAAGAATTAAAATAAATATCTCAACACTTACCTGGCCATGGAGATCAGTATTCAAAAGCATCATTGCACATGTAAGAGTATGACAAGCATCTGAAAAGAACAAAAGATTATTCAATGTAGCAAAGCCAAAATAAATCTACTGTTTGTTACATCAAAATCGCCATTCAACATTCCATTCCACGGAAGATATCACCTACATTCAATTATATCAAGTCAAGTCACAATAATCATGATGCACACTTTTCAATTAATAGTCATAAAGTCTAAAATCATATACATATAAGCTTACCTTCAGAATTAAATGTTCCAGGATTACATTCCATATAACGATGAGAGAAATGAGCTAAAACTCTTTCTCTTTCTTGTGTCTCACCAGTTAAACAGAATTGTTTCAAAAATTTTCTCAGAGAAACATCTAAGGTATCACCAGTAAATTCAAAATTTTTAAGATATTCTTCAGCTACCAAGTTACTGAACTCATTTCTACAATGAGCATAACATAAAATCTATAGTACCATACTCAAAATTAGTATAACTAAGCAAGATATATAACAAAATTGTGCAGCATTGCATTTAATTTTGAAAGTCAGTAAAACAAATAGAAGAAAATTCTTCAACAAATGTATGTGATAAATCTTGCATTTATGTAATAGCCATTAACAAGGCCTTATCGTAAAGCTTAATTCATCCAGTCAAAATACCAGCTACAGCATATCTTTATGATTAAAATCATTGTTTTGGAACCGGCACTAGTTTGAAAATTTTCCATTAATAAACTTTTAAATGTGTATAATTAAAACATAAGATTATATAAAAAGTAACTCACTTTTTAAATAGATGTCTTGAAACATCAGATTTTCTAAATCCATCAAGGGCATACAAGCGCTTAGCTAATCTGGATGCTGAGGGTCTATCAACAGATTTTAATGGTTGATGATAAATACTATCAGCTTCTGATAGACCTGATAAATCTAAGTTACTATCTACTGATGAGTCTACATTGGCTTGGTGTTTAGGTAAAACATTGGATTGAACACCTGCTAATGATGAAAGCACAGTTTTCTCTGATACAGAATTTAGATTAGAATTTAATTCTGTCCCCGACATGTCCTCATTGTCTCTTCCTTTGTTTTTTTGAGATTTTGAGTCTTCAATACTGATAAAACCAGGCATAAACACACGCTCATTATTTTTATCTGGTTTGCGTTCTGGTGAACTATGGCAACTTTTAGAAGTTTGGTCACTAACCTTTTCTAGTGAATTAACAGAATTATCATGACAAGTTAGTGTATCTAAAGAATAAGCCATATTATCATCAATGTCAATATTCACTATCTGATAACCCGTACCAGTTTCTAAATAGTTCTCATGACTTTTACTAGTACGAACTAGAATATCACTTTTAGTAGCACTCCTTGTAGGTGAGATCTTTTCAACACTCTTGCTTGACACCATGACAGTCTGGGTTTCAACAATCTGATCTTTATTGGGAGTCAATTTCTCTCCACCATCTGAATCTGAAGTTTGAACATCGGGTAATACACCACTGTCACCAGAACTGGGAATATCAGACTCACTGAGCTCATGGTTACCATTGACTGATATATTATTATCTTCCGATCTACTAGACATATTTAACTCTAAACACACGACCTTTTCAATCATATTCTTATTATTCTCTTTGATAGTAATACAGTCATTATCACTTCTACTGAAATCAGTGAGTTCTTCAAGACAAGCCACAGGAGCTCTGGGAAGGTCACTCTTTATATTAGATGATTTGTGTACAGGAATCTTCCTCCTTTGTTTTTCTGGAGTCATTTTAGATTTTGATTCTATTGAACTAAATGATTTGTCTGAACTAGTTTCCACACAAAGAGAACTGTTTTCAGATGTTGGAGATTTATCTTGTTCAGCACGTTTTTGTGGTGGTGTAGTTCTTATTATCATATCACCGGTCATAAGAAAAGTCTCAAATCCTTTACCTTTCTGACTACCAGTGGAACCATTGCTGTTTGTAGAGTCATTTAGAGATCCATTATGACAAGCTTGATTATAACTGTCATTTCGGTTTGAGCTTGATGGAGTTATTATTTGTCTTGTTTCTTTCACTGTTAATTTACCATGTAATGGTCTGGGAGGACTTTTTGTTGAAATAGGTATACGTGATGGACTGGAAGTAACTCTACTAGCCATAACTGGAGACCCAAATTCAATTCATAAAATTTGAATAGCTCACTTGCATGATTACTCCATTGTTCTGTAAAAAAAAAAATAATAAAACATGTTATCAAACAAACCAACTGTACTCTATTTCACAATCAACTCTAAAGTTTAAATTAAGCTATTTGTCATCCATATTTTTCAAAAATTGAAATATTAGTCCCATAACAACAATGGATGTCAATTAATTTCATTTAATTATCATACAAACACATCAGACGTTAATAAGCAAATTTATTTCTTTAGAGTTAAAATCCTGTAAACTCTTAAAACTGTTAAGTTTTAACAATAAACTTATAAAAGTTGTAATGTTTTCAAAGGTGCAAAATTAACAAAAAAATTATACAAGAAGAAAAGGGGATTGTTTTGTAAGAATTTCATTCTTAGTGTATAATTCAATAATTACACAGAAAAACAACTAATAGAGCCAAAAATGTTTTGGATGTTAAAATATTAGCTTATAGATTTCATTCACACATTTATGTGGCCTTGTCAGATCAATACAAGCCCAATTTTAAGGCATTCATGCAAATCATTTTAAAAAAAGCTTAAATGGCCCACATTTCAGAGTGAAAATTTTATACTGTAAAAAAAAAAAAACATTTTTAGATCTAGACTAACAATATTTGTGTTTATAAACTAGCCTAAGTTATAATTATGATTTATGAATTAACTACCGGTACAAAGACAGAAAGGAATTTCCAGTCCCAAATGTGGGTCCCTTACAGTAAAGTGCGTTTGTATCTAAGGTAAATAGAATTATTAATCTTATATTTGTATTAGGTTAGACATTGCACGCAACTATAAATTTCATTTTGAATAAGCTTATTTAATCCTTAACTCAGTGTTCGACGTATTGGTAGGCCTTCTTTATTATTGTAGGGTGAAATTGGAATACTGAGCAACTTTTTCCATTACCTTCAATTTAGCAAAAACGCATCATAAGGATGACAAATAAACCTAAATAAATGCAAAATATTTCAGATTCAATTTTCATTTCCTCAGGACTTGGGGCCCAACTCAAAAAATGCAAATGAAACATATCAAATAAAATAATAATTAAACCACAATCAATTAACCTGTAGTTCAGCGTTGTTAGTTGGACTGATACTTACTCTAAAACAATAAGGACGTTTTTTTAAATTTACACATAATGGAAGTATATAAAATACAGGTTAATTTCATTTCATTTATAAGATATATCTCCTGACTTCCGCCATACTCTAAGTCGCGCGTTTTCTCGCTAGGTGTCATGTGATCCTTTGATTCGTTTCGTTTTCCGCACGAGATATTGCGAGAGTTTGGAGACTAAACGAGTTAACATTAAAGAAGATGGCTGGACTTGTCAAGACAGTGACTGTAAGTAAGATGGGTTAACAGGCTCTTATCAAGAGAAACAGTTAAGACTGTCATTGTGTATAATTATTTGCACATTTTTTTTATTCAGTGAAACTTCACTTAGTTTTAAACGGTCGTGTTTTGAATAGCTTAGGCTATGAAAAATTTATTTCGTCTTTATTTTTGTCAGATGCAGATCAGCTGATCTATACAGGCCTAGTAAGATCAACGTCTTGTTTGACTGGGTCACCCTAATAGACTATAGTAAATAGTATAGTGGTGTAACCTATTTTCGTGGATATAAGGATTCAGCACCGAATCTCGTCATAGTTTAAAAAAAAATATGTCTTAGATGTTTTGGTTTGTTTCGATTTTCTTTATGAATCCTTCACTTTGACCCATATTTCATGAGCAACCAACTCGGCAACGGCGGCAGAATGCATCACCTATTTTCATGTACAATGTTTAATCAATGAATAAGTCTAGAAAAACACGTATGGATTCCGGGTGGTATAATTAACTTCTCTTAGTATTTATCTGTAATATCAATTCATTATAACTAGTAACAATTCCTTCAAAACCCACGATTTGAAAAAAAAATAGTGACTGACAAAATAAGATACGTAGCGTTATTTGTTGCTAAAAGTCACTGAAACAACATAAGAATATGGTCCACTTTGTGTTCCATAGAAATTTTCTGCTGACACGGAATCCGCTAGTTGATCATGTGACTTCATTCGTTGGACTACATTCTAGCAGACGACACTTGGAATTCCGATTACCACTTGGGATTATAGGGAAATTCGGCTGATAAAAAATTGTAACGTTTGGTAATAAGTGAAATCCTTTGTACTTGTACTTTGTATTTGTCAAAGTATACATTAATACATTTTACCTTGCTTGAAACTACTGGATTCATTCTACTAGCTGATATTGTACAGAAAACCCATGTTTATCAAAACAAACTAATGCTGAGGTCGCACATGGTCGCTCATGTAAATTATTAATCATTTCCGGAAATCCACGAATAATAGGTTTCCACGAAATTAGGTTACTTGACTGTATAGAAAAATATTAAGATTTGTTGGTTGTCTCCTTATTATTTCATATCCGTCAAAACTCAATGATTATATATATGTCTATGATATTGATATGAACACTGCCACTGTAGGTTTAGGTGGAATTAGTTTTTCATAATATGCGGTTATACTTCAGATTTCATAAGACTTAGTTATTAACTATCAAGCAAACATAATGGGGTTGTTGAGAGGTTTTCAAGCTTTTTTTATGTGAACCAGTGCCAATTGTGACTTTTATTTGCACCATTCGGAATCCCCAATTCTTCTCTAATTTCACATTTTGTAATCTCTTGACCATAGTTTTTCTGAATCATGTTATTACTGGTCAGTTATCACTGATGTAGCCAGTGTGAACTTTGAGGATAAAGGTCAAGTATTATGATTTCTTGAGATTGTCTAAAATTAGATCAGACAAAGCCTGAAACAATTAATTGATGAAATATATTATGATCTCAATATACCTTCTTTAAGGGACAGGGTACATTTTTGTCAAAAATTTAGAGCTACTGGTATTCAGTTTGGATGATGAGGCTATTGATGCTTTGCATATAACTTGAATTTGATGCTTTCAACTGAATTATAGTTATTTACCCTTTTGATGCTGCTGGCATATGCTGTTGGCACGTGGTACCTTGCCTGTAAAACTGTCATTACTTATGATATATTAATCGCATCTGTTCACTGTATTTTAGGATCCTTTGGTTCCAGTATTTGATACTGTTAAAGATAGGATTAATGAAATATGTAAAGGCTTGCAACCATGGCAAATTGTGGTTTATACTGCTGGGACTACACTGGTCATAGTTTATGTCAAAGATTTTTTATTCCAAGAAGAAAGTAAGTAGTACATTAATTGACTATGAAGCTTTACTTTGCCCTAGAATCATTCACAAACCATGTAAGGCAGGAATACCATTTGAAGATGAAAATATCAATATTCCTGTCTGTATTTAACTACTGGTACCCGTATCGATTAAAAATTAAGACTGATGTAGCATTTATATTGTGTTTACATATGATTGTTTTAACGGTTTTAGGTTTAAAAGAAAGAAGTAAAAAAGAGTTTTTTAAATGGATGAAGAAAATACCCTATATTAAAGCACAGATTGATAAGGAAATGGCTAAAACCAAGAAAACAATGATTGAGACATTATATAAAGATCATGCTGGACATGGTTATGTTTGTCAATTACCATATAATGGTTTATCAGAGGTAAATTCCCGCACGTTACCACATAAAGTTGAAAACAACTTTTCATTCAATAGATTTGCACAATGATATGAAGTATCAAATTCAGTACACAAATCTTGATATAGTTCCTTTTTCATAGCAAAATGGTCAATCCATAATATAAACTTCAAGTTTTTACTTTATTTTATCATTTGTTTTAGAAAGAACTGATGATAGAATTAGAGAAATACAGATCCTTGGGTGAGTACATCAGCATTTTTTGGGACTAAGTGACAAAGTTCTTGATGGAATCACAGGTAGTGACAAGACATGATCACATGGATTTTATTACTAATTACAGATTGTTGGTAGTTGTATCTTTAGTTTCTATGAATTAAAGATAGCATGTTATTTAAGATAATATCTAATGTTTTCCAGCTAAAACTAATTGGCAGAAAGGTAGAGTGTCAGGAACTGTTTATAGTGGGGATGAAAAATTAACTGAAATAATGACTAAGGTAACTTCTTATGAAATCAGATCATGTAAAGCACTTATACAGAGCAGATCTCATCTGTCATCTTATTTTAGACTGTGTAGAATTTCTTGACCATGAATCAGGACAAAGCAATTGATTGCAAATGATTATTACCTATTGTTCACAAAGATTGCCACATAGAGTCATGGTATAAACGTGTAAATGATAATCCTCTTGTTGTGTATCAATCTAAATTTTGACACTATTTCCCTATGGATTATTGCACACCTCTCTATATCAGAGCTGTTTTACTCCCTGAATTTTGATATACAGTGAGAAATGATTAATTATTTGATGATGGTATTTGCATCTTTATGCCATAATTTCAAATTTTTCTTTTAACGTATTGTTTGATTTGATATATTTTGTAGACATATGGCATGTTTTTATGGACAAATCCTTTACATCCAGATGTATTTCCTGATATTAGAAAGATGGAGGCAGAAGTAGTAAGAATGAGCTGTACATTATTTCATGGAGATGAGGAATCGTGTGGAACTGTAGGTATTATGTTTAAGGAAATTTTTCGGCTTAATTATTTATTTGTAGTGTAGATAGCTCTGTCAAGTGCAGATCCGGTATAAGATTTCAGCATAGGCCAAGGTTTTGACCTAATTTTTCCTTGTAAGAGGGGTTAAAATGGGAAAAGATTATACCAGTTCACACATGAAACTAAAAAGGTTCCAATACTTTCAAATTAAAGATGATATGAATTCTGGATAAGCAAGCCTTCAGATTTTTGTGGCAAGTTTTCCGAATGCACACTGATGGCTTTACCTATTTTCATTAGGGGCAGAGAAATACAACTCTTTATATTTATTTGGAACTTCTTTAAGTAGTCTATAATTAAATCAATTGAGTAAAAGAGTCTTTGAGTTGATGAAATGGCACTGACTTGACTTAAAAAGCATAGGTAATGTTCAAATACAAATTCATCATTGTAGGTGTCTCAAGGAGGAACAGAGAGTATAATGTTAGCTTGTTTAGCCTATAGAAATTTAGCTAGAGAAAGGGGTATCAAGGTTCCAGAAATGTGAGTTCAGATTTATTGATTCAAATTATACCCAAAACAAGACCTTTAGTTCTGATCAATATCCAATAAATACTGATTTATAATAACAGGTTACAAAATTTATATGTTTATTTTTCTGAACTTGCAACACATAAATTGTGAAGATATTTTGATTTTTTTTCAGGCTTGTACCTATAACAGTTCATCCTGCATTTGATAAGGTAACATTAATTATATCAATATTAAATTTAACATATTTTTAGTGTTATGAAACCAAATCCAATATTTATAACACAATATAAATTTTTAGTTTTATGAATTATTAAGGAGGCACTCAATAAAATTTAAAAAAATATGCCTTTTTTGTTTCAGGCAGCCTCTTACTTCCATATGATAATTAAACACATTCCAATTGACCCTGAAACTAGACAAGTTGATGTCAAGGCAATGAAGAGAGCTATATCTCGGAAAACATGTATGGTAGGTAGTGACTGTCTACTTAACAAATTTACAATTCTGAAATCTGAATGGATCATTCTTCTGTTAATTATCTTTTTCGAAACTTCTTTGTATCTTTCCCATATTTCGAAAGAAGTTGTTCAATTAATAAATGTAGGGTTTATGATGTCATCAATCCCATCACTAAACAAACATTAATTTAAACTTTGTGACATTCGTATATCAGAATCTCTAGACTAAAACTTTTATAATAATCAATTGTTTATATTTCAGTTAGTTGGTTCTGCACCTGCATTCCCTCATGGTATTATAGACCCCATTCAAGAAATAGCTGAGGTAAATATACTTTATAATAATAATAATAACTTTATTTTGGCAACCCATTTAGACTTTGAATTAATTCTGAAATACAAACTATCAACATTTTGCTTTGATAATTTCCATTCTCTTGAACAGCTTGAATGTTGCTATATTAATTGAAATTTTCATTCCCTGAACTATTTTATTTCAGTTAGGAAAACGCTACGATATCCCAGTCCATGTCGACAGCTGTTTAGGTGGGTTTTTGTTACCTTTTATGACAAAGGCTGGTTTTGCACTGGATCCGTTTGATTTTAGAGTTGATGGTGTAACAAGTATATCAGCTGATACTCACAAGGTAATTGATTTGAATAAGTATAATGATTAGAAAATGGATTCTTAGAAAAATGTCTGAAAATGGATCTGGGAATGGCAAAATATGTTTCCAAGTTTTAGAATGCATTGTGAATTTTGAATTCAAACCAGCCTCTCATTGGTGATTTATAACATTTACTCTGCGTGCTACTGGTAAAACATAGCCTATTTTAATCTTATATTTTGACATAATTTCAGTATGGATTTGCACCAAAGGGTTCGTCAGTTATATTATATAAAAAGAAGATATACCGTACTTATCAGTTTTTTGTTCAACCTAACTGGACTGGTGGTATCTATGCTTCTCCAACAGTAGCTGGTAAGAATTGCTTAAAACTTGTATTAACTTTTCAAATACATCGCAGTCAAGTGCATACAAAATAAATAGTCTGGTATTCAAAAGTCATGTTCTGAACTGAAGGAATATTTGTTTGGGGGGTAAATGAAAAATGATCATAGTAGAAATAAAGGGAGTTTAACTATATGGTAACCGTGCCTTCATTGTATATTGCATGGTGTTTCCAATAGGATGTCAGTGTAAAACATTTTATTTATTAATTTAGGTAGCCGTGCTGGAGCTATTATTGCAGCATGTTGGGCTGCTATGATGTATGTTGGAGAAAAGGGCTATGTAGATTCTACAAAGAAAATTATCACAACAGCCAGGGTGATAGCCGATGGGTATGTATGTTATAGCATCAAACCTTTCAAATTATTTATTTGATTTCTTAGGAAGGTATTGGTAAATTTTGACATTAGAAAATAATAAATGAATATTATTATGTTATCTCTCAGTCCTCAAAACAAAGTTTATTATCCTGCAAAATTATAAACAAAGTAAATTTTCTTAGTACCTTTTTGGTTGTAAAAGTTTAAATTATATAGACTTTTGTTTCTTTATTTTCAGAATAAGAAAAATTAAAGGTGTTTTTGTATTTGGTAATCCACAAGTATCTGTTGTTGGTATTGGTTCCAATGACTTTAATATCTTTAATTTATCAGATGCATTAACTGCCAAGGGATGGAATTTAAATCCATTACAATTTCCTTCTAGGTAACCCCCTTTCTTTTATTTACCGCTTGTTTTTAGATTGAATCATGAATTCAGAGTAGTGATGTAAAAATGTTCTTAGCCAGTCAGAATTATAATAAAGTATGCATTTCTGAATATGAACCAAGCGTTACTTGTGACTACGACTAACACTGGGAAACTTCCGAGTTCAAAAAATAACAAATACAGAATATGTCTCATATGTCTTGAATGCTTTCAAATTATTTTTTATAGCATTCATATTTGTGTTACACTGCCTATCTGTCAGGATGGTGTGGCTGAACAGTTTTTAAAAGATGTTGAAGAAATATCAACTGAGTTATTAAACAATCCCAATGCTAAAGATGGAGGAATGGTGGGTTTTATATTTATATTATTATATAGTTATTAATATCGCATAGTTAACTTTAGAAATGTAGACAGAGCAGACTAGGAAAGACAACTGAACACGGACCTCTTATTAACCAATCACAAAATTAGTCAATTTAATTATGCGTGTGGTTTAATATTTGTCAGGTTTTCTCAAGCTGACAAACCATCATGAATTAGTATTGTCACAGCTGATAATCACATGTAAACAATTTGATAACTAAATCACTTTATTGTTGTGGTTGAAAAATGAGATGCAATGGCAAGTTTTTCTCTTTTCCTAGATTTATAAACCATATCTTTTTTGTAGGCTGCTATTTATGGCATGGCTCAATCTATACCTGATAGATCTATGGTACGAGAAATCGCCTGCTCATTTGTTGAAGGATGGTATAACACAACTGTACCAACTACCAGTAATGGTGAAGCCAATGGTTCTGTTCATTAGATACATAAGTATAAGGGTAGAAATTTATGCTGGATTCAAAAGTTTCCTACAACTACACACTTTTCTTGCATTTTACACTGTTTAAGAGATTTATTTCAAACAAGATGGTGGGCTGGTAGTCCTTGCAGAATCCCCTATCACTAAATCCTTGCATTAACTTTTAACTCATAAATATCTAGCCTTACTGTATAAATATTTAAACAGTCTTTCATTGAACAATGAACAATTAATTTATTATGTTTTGTCATCTTGAATTATTAGGAGGCATTTAAACCTTGACATGGCAGTTTGGTATCCTCATCATAACATTTGCACGGAATTAGTTTTGGACTAGCTCAAATAATTCAAACAAATTATTGGGCATAAGATATATTTAAAGTATTTCTGAAGAATTTGCATTTAATACTTGTGGTACACTCCGTATGTTACTGCAGGCTTATTGATTAACTTGAATAAAGACGTCTAACTTACATAACACACTTGATTGGTCCATATTGAGAAATGTATGTATTTGAAATCAAAATATCAATTTTACTTATTGCAAAAGAGTGATATCATATTATGGTTTGATATTTTTGTAGTATTCAATACTCAAATTAAGATGTTAGTTATAATGACCACTATAGGCCTCAGGGAATTCACTTTTCAGATCTCTTAAAATTATAGCCACATAATGCAGATTGAAATTGTAAGGAATGTGTTTTCAAATTGATTATAATTTGTTCTGTGTATATTTTATCAAATCTGATTGTTAGTACTTGGTTTAATTAGTCCATATATACATGTACAGAGTATTTGTTGTTTTTTCAATCATGTAGGAACAAAGTATTTTGATATTGTCAAGCATTAAACTTGTTTTTAGTGTTTTTTAAATATAAGCATTGTGTGTTTCTATACAAACAGCTATTTAGGTAGGGCACAGTTCCCTTTTTAAGTACTTTGATGCCAAGTAAACCTTACATTTACTTAAAGATGTCTGATTTATATTAACTCTAAAATATGTCTCTTAAATGTCTCTTACATTTTGATTTGAAGAGTGCATGTCTTCAGAACCACTGTTGTAAATACTGTTTATGAGTAATATAGTCCCACAGCAAAATAGGCTATGTTGTTTTTACATGCAATATAAAGTCTACTTATTAATATCTAATATATTGCCATGACATTTTTTCTATTTATCCCTGTATTCTAACATAAACAAAAAATTGAATTATTCTTATTACCGGTATTGTTTCTTTATTATCATAGTGCAGGTACTGCAAATTGTTATTGAAGCAAATCCAACAGTCTTTTATACCAGTAAGGCCTACAGCATTAACATAGATATTGTTATCACTTCCATATTAGAAAATGAATTAATTTCGTCAATTTTCTGAAATTATTCAACTTCATATTTGTTATGCCAGTAATGGTATCAATATTATATTCAATTTATAGGATGTAGGCATATATATTAAATTGTTTCTGTATTTAAAAAAATAAACAATTTTTATTGAAGTGGTGTCTTATTCTAATGGCGTTTTTTCAACCAATAAAAGCTTGTGTAAATTAGACCCAATATGAATAATAATCCTTTAGCGACATTTAGGAATTTAGGCCTAGACTATGGAATGAATGAGACAATGCACTCCGCAGGTTGCACTTTGGATAGGCCACAAACGACCAAAAATTGTAGAATGAGGAATCTTTCTATAAATGCAAATGTACATGAGTTGTAAAGCCAATGCTCTTGGTTGGTCCTTTGATTTTCATCGTGGATAAAGATACGGTTGAAAGTTTGAAACCTTAGGAGAAATATAAAAATAAAAGCCAATCTGGCAATACATTAGTTAGTCTGAAATGTTCCCCACATATATCAAGGTTAAGCATAGAACTATCAGTTATATGGTTTGGGCATAGAGTTATACAATTAAAAGTGGTGTTAGAGTGTATTGAGAGGAGTCTCAATGAAAGGACTGGCCTAGTGGTGGTTGTATTCAGAATTTTATTGGACCAATACAAAGTCCAATTTGCAAAGACTTAAAGTGATACTGTACGTCTTAGAAGTAACATAAAATTTAAGAATTTTAAATTTGGCAAGTAGATATACCTTGTGTCATAGAAAACATAACAGGATCCTGATATAATCCGATAAATCCAAAAAACTTAGTAATTATCCATAAATAGGCAATTAACTATTGAAAAACGCTTAATATCAAGCTAAGCGTTTTTCAATAATTACTTATTTTTATCAATTTTCCAGATTTTACGGGGATTATGTTGTAACTTTATGACACCAAGTAAGCTAACTGATGAATAGGCTATAGACCATAGAGTTATAAATAGAACTTATCATATAACTCTATGATATAGACTAATATTGACCTTTTCGAGAACTTAAATTTTATATTCATTCTAAGACGTTGTATCACTTTAAAAGATTCAATTTGAGATAGAAAAATTGTCTGCAATAATATTTTTACTGGTCTGTTTTATGACAAGAAGAAAGTTTCGGATTAATTTGAGTGGGAAATAATCTGGCAGTTCTGCGCAGTGAGAATTGTGGGATATGTGGCATCTGCCACGTTGTTTTTGTTGTTTTTGCAGACCTGTCATATCCAAATAGTGTCGTCGGTTATTTAAACAATATTTTGCTGAAACCTAAATAATTAAGTCAGTGTAAGTTTTGTGTTTCAATTGCGATGAAAGATATTTCAAATCCTTGAAGGTATAAAACCTTCGTCTTCGTAGGGTAGGACAAAGCAAAACCTCAAACTGAAACAACCGGTAGACTTACACGTCTTGCCCCGTGATAATGCAACTGTAAATAGTGAAGTATTTATACAAAAAAGGTCTTGCCAAATGCCAAGCATTAGTAACTATGTTGACTGCACTGTGTATGCAAGATGTATGGTCAAATTATGAACTTGCCGTTAGTGCCATTGATGGTGTTAAAACAGTAACAAACCAAAACCATTGATTATGCCAAGTGATCTATTTCTGTGTTTATAATTGGACATATAAAGTCATATAAAGTAATGTGAAATTGTTTTTTAAGAAGATCTATGAGATTAGTGGATAGACAATAACGGCATTCTTCTTAACCCGTAGCTTATGCATCAAGCATATTAATAGAAGTCAGGGCTAGTACTTCAAAACAACAATATTTCATCAGTTGAATTTTTATTCTTGTTTAATTGTAGATTGGGAATTGGAAAGGAGGAAAATGAGGATTAAAGAAATAGATCGAACAGCTAATATAGCATGGTCACCAGTTGATCAGTATCCTATATATTTGGCTACAGGAACAGCTGCTCAACAATTAGATGCAACATTTAGGTATGAAGTAATTTTTAATTACTGGTACTGGAAAGAAATATTCAAATTAACACTTCCTTAGAAAAGATTGATCTTGTTGAACATAGTACCTTTAATTTCGCAACAAATATTGACTATTTCCAGTTTTATGGCATCGTTGAGGAAGCATCTCATTTTAGCTCAACAATTTTTTACTTGAATTTTTTTCTAATTTCAGCACATCTTCATCAGTAGAATGCTACAGTTTAAATTTAGCAGAGGCAACACTTGACATGCCTTTAGTGGCATCAAAGCAAACTGAATGCAGGTAAAGTTCTCTTACGTTATATTTAAATTTGTATATAGTCTTTATGTAAACAAGTTTTCCGTGCACGATTATTAAATCAATATGACTATAAGATATTTTTTCACATTGCAGATTTCATAAAGTTCTATGGGGTTCATTAGGCATAGGAACATCAGATTTTCCTGCTGGTGTTATTGTTACTGGTGGGGATAATGGTGACATACAAGTGTTTAATGCTGATTCTTTGATAAAACAAGATGAGGACTGTTTGATAAATAAACTGTCACACCATAATGGAGCTGTACGCGCTCTGGATCTCAACCCATTTCAGGTAATTTGTTAATGTTTCGTTTTATATCCCCTTAGTGACCTATAGAAACCCTATATAACTATTTCTTTTGGGTCTCACTGAAATTACCATAGATGCAGGAGACTATATTTTTGAGTTTTTCATCGCAGGCAAAATAAACGTTGTCTAAATTTAAGACGCCTATGATGGTAGCAGGAACTCAACAAATACCATCCATGTGTAGTAGATGTACATTATCAGTCGCCTATCTCTAGTTAATCTCTGGTTAAAATCTTGAACTGAAGTTTTTCAAATTTCAGAAAAATTTACTAGCATCTGGTGGAGGAGATTCAGAAATCTATATCTGGGATTTAAATAAAACTGAGAAACCCATGACTCCTGGTCAAAAATCACAGGTAATTATTAAAATTTCATTTTTTTTTGCTCAGTTTTATCACGAACACAAGACAATATTATGGAATAAAAGAACTCTTTTAATTAAAAATACTAAGCACATATTAAAGTAGTGTGTTTTTGATATGAACTGTTGTTGAAATCTTATATCTTATTTGTTTGAATGTTCTGTTGTGAAATGAATAATTTATCTTCTATAGATTCTGATGTATAATACTGTTCTGAAAGTAACATATTAAATAAAAATTAATTTTGTAGCCACCAGAAGATGTACAGTGTGTAGCCTGGAATCAACAAGTTCAACACATTCTAGGTTCTACATTAACTAATAGGTGTGTGGTGTGGGATTTACGTAAAAATGAACCTATTATTAAAGTCAGTGATAGTATGTCTAGGGTAGGTAACAGTTTATTATATAACTAAAGTAATATTGCTCACTGGATAATAAACTTTAATGAGGATTTGAAAAGTTGTAGACATATTACATGATTTTTGAATTTTTTTTTTTTTTTTTTACTGAAGCAAGCAGATAAGATGGAAAGCTTTGTCTACTACAAAATAATAATTATTTGAACTTGAATAAATGCCATTTTGTGGAAGTGGGTAAACTTGTTTTAATGTTAAAATTTCTAGATAAAATGTAAACATGTAGTATGGCATCCTGAAGTAGCTACCCAACTAATGTTATCATCAGAAGATGACCATACTCCTGTCATACAGCTCTGGGATCTACGTTATGCTACTTCACCTCTTAAAGTTTTAGAAAATCATCAAAGGTAATAAAACTTACAAATATCATATAATAATACAACTACATAAACTCATGTTTTTGTCAGATTTGGTTCAGAATGCACATTGTGTCAGGGAGTTGCTTGCAAATTTTGTTTTTTGAGAAAGAGATGAAAAGCATCAAGTTTTTAGATGGATTGAAAATCAAAACATTTTATGTATGTAAAGGATCTCTCATTCCCTATATGGTGATACTTATCTGACATACAGCAGTCAAAGATTGAAGCATTGAAAGTGGAACAATTTGCAGTAATTCTGTCTATTTGTAATATAGAGGTGTATTATCTATGGCATGGTGTCCTCAAGATCCAGATTTGTTATTATCCTGTGGTAAAGATAATAGAATATTGTGCTGGAATCCAAATAGCAATATACAAGGTGGAGAGGTCAGTTAAGTTAATGAGTCACATTATATTTGTTTTTTTTTTGAATTTCCTCCCATTTCACACTGTGGCAATGAAATATTTCCATGAGCAAAATAAGGTTAAAAAGAATTTTTTATCTGAAGTTATACTTAGAATACATTTGTTCAGGGTAATTCTTAAGGCTAGCTGTGCTATATAAAAAGATTTTTCCTGTGTTAAGACTGATGAATTTATTTATATCTGTTTGTAGGTAATATATGAAATACCAACCAGTAATCAATGGTGTTTTGATGTACAATGGTGTCCAAGGAATCCATCATTAATCTCAGGCTCCACTTTTGATGGACATATAACAATTTATAGTTTAATGGGTGGCGGACATCCAATTCAACCTAGTAATAAGGTAAAAGCGTTGAGATTTTCTATAAATTCCTGCAATATCTATATATGATCTATCCATATAATTGTTTAATTTGATTACTTTTAATACTTTCTTACATATCACAATATGTTGTATTACAGTATAATTATATGACATACAATTACATCTATTATATTAGGTTGCTGAATCTTTTAATACAGTAGAACCATTTGGACAAGCACCAATTCCTGTACCACAAGAGCAAGAAAAAGTCATGCCATTACAAAAACCACCGAAATGGTTGAGAAAACCTGTAGGAGCTTCTTTTGCTGTAAGTATAAAAATAAACTTTTATTGTCTGAGCAAAGTAAAAAGTTTTTTGAAATTTTTCCACCATTATTTTGAGAACTTGAATATCAGTCTGAAAATAGTACTGTCAGTCTTAGAATGTCTATCATTGATAAAAAATATAAACATGAGCACACATTAAGTCTTAAAAAATTGTTTTTACAGAGGACAATTTTCAGCCAAATTTTTGGAATGTTTTTGGTCGAAATTTTTAAGAGGGAAATTGTTATCTTAGTTGTTGATGCTGTATTTTGTGTTGTATTTTAAATATTTCTTGATTTAGAAATATAGAAATGATTGTAATAGAAAATTCTTCAATTTTTGATGGTATTTCAGTTTGGAGGTAAATTAGTTAGTTTTGGACATATGAAGAGTACTAATCCACAACAACCAGTACCAAAACAAGTTTATATCAGTCAAGTTATAACTGAGACAGAAATTGTCAATAGATCTAGTCAGCTAGAACAAGCCATTAATAATAACCAATTCCTAGAGTTTTGTGCTATGAAAGCCTCCAACTGTAATGACAATATGGAAGAAAGTATCTGGAACTTTTTGAAGGTGAGATTGATATGTTTTCTATATTTAAACTGTGGAATTATGATTAGGAAATTTAAGAGCATTCAATTTTTTCATTCAATATTTATGAATAAATATTTTTTTTACAGGTTAATTTTGAAAAGGATCCAAGAAAAGAGTTCTTACACTTACTGGGCTATGATGAGACTGGTCTGGCTGAAAAGGTATAATTAGATAAAGATTTCAATTTGCAAATATTTTGCAATGTTATATCATTGTCCTATATTGAATTTGGAAACTAGCATACCAAAATAAGTTGTCAGAAACACATCTTTTTGGAGGTTCTATCATAGAATATATAAAAATGATATTTTCTTTCATACAGATTAAGAAATATACAGCAGAATCAAATATTAGTGAAGGTGTAGATGCTTCAGAACTAGCACAGAAAATGTCTCAGTTAGGAACAGGGGTGAGTTGCATTACACTGCCATTTAAACTCTTTTAATATTTTGAGTAAAAAGTAGGCTTATATTCTCAAATAAAATGTTCTGATTATCCATGATATGAAGTCTATGAATTTATATTTAACAGGAATTTTTGGATGTAACCAAGTTATCTGGTAGTGGTCAAGTTTCTCCTGGTGTGGATTTAAAGGTATGTATATCATTCATTTAATGAGTCTATATAACCTTAAATATCATCACTCAAACAATAACAATCCTAAAATAAGACTAAAATCCATCTCTTTTGAATCTGTCAAACTATTACAAACTTCATTGCAATGGCCACCTATCATGGAAGTTTGTGAATGAGAAGCAATTTATTGAATTGTATTCTAGTGAAAACAGCCAATCGGAGGCCTAGTCAAAATGTCTGTAGCTGTTTTTGCTGGCGTACAATCGAATCAAATCACTGCATTCTGTGATACAAGAATAGAGGCTATTGTAGTCAAGGTATCCGTATGAATGTTTGTAAAAGGTTGACATTGAAGATGTCTCTTGAGGTCTGTGATAAGTCACTAATGTTTCAAATATAATTTTCAATTCACTTCAACTGATTTGGTATAACAATTATTCAAAGTTAAATTCAAATTTCATTTTACTGTAGACACCTAATGATAGTAGAGATGAGTTATCTGAAGGTTCAGCAGCATTTGATGAAATAGCTGCTACATCTCAATCTGGTATTAAAACACCTTTAGTTATACCTAAAGATAATGGTAAGATATTTATTATATGTCTTGTAATTTTTTTTTCGACATGTCCCTAGAGACAATTTTTCAAAGATTATAGGGGCAGACCCAGAATTCTATTTAGTAGATCATGACCCTAAAATTGTAAAAACACAATCTACAATGTGTAGGGTATAAGTTTTAATTTATTTAATTCTATTTAGGTGCTGATGGATTAATGACACAAGCTTTATTAACTGGTAATTTTGAAGCTGCAGTTGATATGTGTTTGAGTCAAAACAAAATGGCTGAAGCTATTTTATTAGCTATTGCTGGAGGACAAGAATTGCTTAGTAAAACACAAAAAATATACTTCCAGAGAAATAAGAGCCATTTGGGCAGGGTATGCAACTTTTCATATTTGTGGAGCCTTAAAACCTTTTTAGGTATATCATGAAAAGGGGATGTGTCATTTACCTTAACCTGAAAGATTACAAGCAGTACCTTGTATTGAGTAATCTAAATACATAACTTGAATCAAAAATAGAATGATATAGTGAACCTTTGGGCTGAAAAAATAATTAACAAATACAATTGAAATTTCAGCTTATATCATCTATTGTAACTCATGATTGGCCACATATTATCAACAATTGTGAGCTAGATAATTGGAAAGAGGCTTTAGCTGTTATTTTAACTTATTCTAAACCAGAAGAATTTTCACCATTATGTGGTACGTATATTACTAAATTCTCATGTTGTAATTTACTATGACTTGTCTCATCTACAACAATTTTCACAAGGTTTTAAAGATATGCCTTGTGTAGTATAAGAAAAGCCCATGAATTCAGAGTGATCAACACATAGTTATGACTCATTTATTGTCAAGACATGAATACATAGGACACATTATTGATTGTGGCATTTTATAGTATCACTCGCCATGTTAGTCTTTATTAATTGTATGAAATGTATCGTTTAAGTATGACTGATGGAAAAGAATATTTTTTATAAGCAATATATATATATTTGTAGATGCATTGGCTAGTCGTCTAGAAAGTGAAAATAATGGTCAACTGTCTTTGTATGCCAGCTTATGTTATATATGTTCGGGTAATATTGAGAGGCTAGTTGAAAATTGGATGAGAAATACAGAAAATAATAATGCTCCCATGGCATTACAGGTATTATCATTACTTACGTTTATGGGTTTTGACTATTATAATTGGATTTAAACCTGATTGCAAATTTTTTTAATTTGTTGCTTCAATGAATGACAGTTCTTGCTCTATATCCTTGAGATCTTTCCCATCAGTTGAAAAAATTGACTACTTGAAATGGATATATTATTACAAATGTCACATAATCTATCTATCTCAAAAATACAAAGCCATCTCCATTAGCCCATCTCTTTTTAATAGCTCAATTTGTCTGTTGTATATTTTAGGATCTAGTAGAGAAAGTAATGATATTACGTAAAGCTGTGTATTTAACTAGAGGTAGTATATCAGAAATATCAACTGGACCATTAGCTGATAGATTAAACCAATATGCTGGCTTGTTGGCAGCTCAGGGAAATCTCTTTACAGCTCTATCTTACCTTAGAAATGCTAATGAGGTATGTTTATTTTAATTTATATAATATTTTATTGATGATTGTAAATATCCCATCTTATCTCTTGTTACTTAAATGAGAAAATTGTCTTTCATCTGTTATTTTAAACTTTACTCTTTTCATTTGCTTTAGTAAGACATGTATGTTAAGGATTAAATCTTGGAATAATGCATCCAGGATTACTTTTTGTGATCATTTTTATACGCCCACATCTCTCTATGTGGACGTGTATTGACGGCACCCCTGTCGGTCTGTCAGTCAACATATGCTTGTAAACGCTCTAAAAACTAGATTATTTGATTGAATCAAATGAAATTGGGTATGTGAATACATATTCATAAAACGAAGATCAAGTTTGAATTTGAGCTATTTTCGACCGCTAGAAGCAGAGTTATTGCCCTTGCCCCAAAATCTTGAATATTTACCATCCGCATGCCGTGGTGGACGTATATGACTTCTTATTCTGTTAATCTTGTGGATCTTAAAACTAATTTTTTTGATCATGTGACTATTTCAGCCTAGTTTAGCAGTATTATTAGATAGATTGTATCAAGCCATTGGTCAGCCTATTCAAGGTATGACACAGCCCCAGTTTCCATTTCAACGTGTTAACTTACTGCCAGTTGGTGTTAGACAACCTCAGCAACAGCAGCAGGAGCAACAACAGATTAGACAACGTCAACAAATGAGAGGAAGCCATCAAGCTCAGTCTAAGATAGGTTATCAGACAACCACGACTCATTCTCCTAATTATTATAACCCAAACACATACCAACCTCAGTATGGTGGTATAAATAGTCCTCCTGGTCCCCATCCTACCTATAATCCACCACAATCTAATGTAGCTCCAGCACCAGTCAATAAAGGTTAGTTCTCCTATTTTACTCTTTATGCAAGAAAAATACACATTAAATAACATACTTGTAACAATGATATGTTCTACATTTCAACACTATGTAGTGTGGATGATTGTGTGTGTGTGTGTGCAATGAGGAATATTTTGTCAAGTAAGTGGCATTAGCCAACACATTTTCAATTATCAACTGTTGAAAGATCTTCAGTAGAAATTGTTTGTTGTTCCCGAAAGAGTATCCCTCCAACCCCCAACTAGTAGCATCCTTGCCTAGACCTGAAAGTTAGCAAGCTAATGCCTGTCAGCTGGTCATAGCAGCATCATTTTGTACAAATCTTAACTTGTAAATAAATAGGTATTTGAATTTGAAAGGGTTAATATTTTCTCCAAAGTTTTGTCTCAACAAGAATTTTTGTCTATTTTAGGACCATTGGCGAATAAATATCCAAGTCCAGTTCAAGCTAGTAATGATTATAACAATATAAATAGTTATACACCAAGTATTAATCAGTATACACCACAATCAACTCCATCATCTTATACACAACCAACATCTAATTATTACAAGTAAGACTTATTCTTCTTTATTATTTTTGTGAGTCAGTTTTGCTTTACTCGGTTTGCAACATAATAGATTGAAAGAAAGCTGTGGGGTTTAAGTGGAATTGCAATACCCACGGACGTGTATTAGAATGACGATACCAGTCTTCCTGATACACTTAAGGGGTTAAGAAAACCCCTTTACATTAAGGTATCAAAACGGTAGCTTTCTCAAAATGATTTTGAATGGTAGCTTTCTGAAAATGATCAAAATATTTCAACTCAAGCAATGTAATTACATCTATCTATTGTAGTTATAATGCCCAAACACCACAATTAAATAACCAAGGGCCTGCTGTTTATAATCCTACATCTACACAGGGTAAGTATTCTTTAAACTTCTCATTTATTCAACAATAAAATATCCACTGTGCTGTTTAAATTGTCAATTGCAATGATCAAGGAGTGTGACTAATTTTATTGGATCAATTGTCATCAAAGTAACCTACTGTTAAGGAATTCTTGAAACTGAACATATGGATGGGTTTGTTGAATTAATGTGTCCATGTTAAGTTTTGTATTCAATATACAAAATGATGCAAAATATCAAAAATATCTATGACATTCCGATTGATCTCTTTGGTGATTTTGTATAATTTGTGTATTTATTCATTTCAAAGGAGTTGGATACAATCAACCACCCAATATGTCAGGACCTATTATACCATCTTATCAGGAATCGAAAACAGAAAGTGCTTGGAATGATCCTCCTTTAGTTAAAGAAAAGAAACAGGTAAAAATCCCTTCAGACATCTTCAAATTTTGTATAAAGTGCAGAATCTTTGACTCTTATCTTAATTATTTGTCTAATATACTGAAATCTTGAATATTGTCTTAAGTCTATCAGGAGCTTTGTGTTGAAATTTTTTCCTATTTTATGTCTGAATTCAATTAAAGCAGTATTATGAGATTCAAGCTCAAGTACTTACTCCACTCCATTCATCAATGGTTTTGGTTTTAATCAGGAGAATTTTATTGAAATTTATTTTTCTTATGTTCAGCCAAAACAGAATTATGACAGCCAAGCGCCTGTATCTACTCCACTTTATGGTGGTATGATTCAACAACAGAATATGGATCAAGGTCCACCTGGTGCTCCTAATTATAGTAACTTGTACAATCCACAAGAACATCAAGCAACGCAGGTAAATTCTCTAAAGCTCATTTTTTTGCTACAGTTTACCTTTAACCTTAATATTTTTCCATGCATGTTATTTTATTTTAATTTTAACCCTAATTTTGTTTTCTACGCATCTCAGATTCTGTACAATTTGCACCCTTAATGCATAGCCTATTACAATTTTGTTTGGCTTTCTTTTTAACCAAGTTAAAGTTGAATATTTTATTATCCTCAGATATTAATCCATTTGTCTGAATATTTATTAAGATGTTGGGGTGTAAAAAATCTGGAAACACTTATTAAAATTATCTTTACAATCTGTTTGATTCTTTGAATTTTGTGAAAAATGTTTCCTTGTCTCATATACAATATATAATTGGGTAATACTTGCAAATACTAGCAAATCATATAAAAGCCAAATGGATTTATGTCTAAACCCTTAAATTATTAATGTTCAGTTTGAATATAATGCTTACTAATAAAGCATGTACAGATTGAAATATTTTAGTATTTTGTTTGTTTGCTGTATTTTCTATTAGATGCAGCCTCCATCTTCCTATAATTATAATGCTCCTAATAATAATCAGAAGTTTGGTGGGGAGAAGAAGGTGAGATTTATATTCAACAAGAGTCAGTTAATTGCAACCTAATATTGATCTGAATTCTATAATATAGGATTAGAGTTTTTAGCATTCAAAATAACTTTGGGTACATGTAAAGATTTTAGAGTTGAAGGACAAAAGTTAGGTAGTGTTATCTTTTAAGAACCCTTTCCCACCTTTTCTATTTATTGATATTAAAAACACACATGCATAAAATCTTGTTCACTAGCATTTCAGAAAATTCTTTTGGAAACTTTACACTAAATTCAGCTACCACATAACAGCCAAAACAGGAATGAGGACAACAAGAGTGTTTTAACTGTTGGAAAACTGTAATATTGAACTAACAATAATTAATAACGCATTTGGCACAAATTTCAGCCAAGGTCATTTCTTTGTAAAATATTGCAAATTTTGTATAAGATTGTAGCTTGGATTGTTAATGATTGTATATAGGTTTGTAAATGAAAATATTATGTATAACAAGAATAAGCTTTTAATTGTATTCATCAATATGTATGTTTATATTTTTTTAGGCTACCGCCCCTCCCCCTGAGCCACCCAAACCAGTAGTTAAAGCACCTATACCTTCAGACCATCAAATATTACAAGATATATTAGATAAATTAGTTCAGAAATGTTTAGGTGCTGCTACAAATGCGGTATGTATATTCTTTAAGTGTTTATGATGATTTTACTCAGGACAGTCCTTACAATTGTACTGATTCTTGTTCAAGTCAGACTGGTGATAACGTATCATCATTGGAACAATTATCAGAACATTAATCAGAATCTTTAACATATATTTTAATGGCTACAATAGGTGTTACTTTTCTTATCACCTTAAGACATGATCTACAATTGTACATTACTGTACATTTTTCAGCAAATGAAGAGAAAATTAGAAGATGTATGTAGAAAATTAGAAATATTATATGATAAACTTAGAGAGGATACTGTAAGTATACATCATCAGCATCATCATCAATTCTTAAATTTTATGCCTAAAGCTGGACTGTATTCCAGAAAACATAGTTTGAAGAGAAAAGTTTGGTTGTGTGTGGGTTTTTTATTTAAGAAAAATGGTTTTTATACGCCCACATCTCTCTATGTGGACGTATATTGTCAGCACCCCTGTCCGTCTGTCAACATTTGCTTGTAAACGCTCCAAAATTTTTTGATGGAATCAAATGAAATTCGGTATGTGTATACATATTCATAAAACAAAGATCAAGTTCGAATTTGAGCTATTTTCGACCGTTAGAAGCAGAGTTATTGCCAAAAATCCTGAATATTTACCATCCGCATGCCGTGGTGGGCGTATATGGCTGTAGTCCACTATCTTTGAGAATTACAATCAATAGCATAATTTGTAAAGTAATTATGGAATATTATATTTTCAGCTGTCACAGAATGTACTAATGGGTTTACATCAAATAGTTCAATATATACAACAATTTGATTATAATACATGTTTGTCTATACAAACACAGATGATCAGTCAAGGTAATTTCAGTGAAATAAGTGCCTTTATGCCTGGTGTTAAAGTCTTACTACAAACAGCCTCTCAATTACAAGTTTATCTACAATAGATTATTGTAAAATAAAATCATGTTTTTTTTAGCATAATCTGTGTATGATTTTATCAAATAAGAAAATGAATTTTGTTGATTTATATGGAACTTAAATCCTATTTATATCCTCATAGAAATGGCCATAAAAAAATCTGACTTTCTGTAAATTGCTTTAGTTATGGTGCGGGCACACAAACAGTCTTGGTCGCTGATTGCGACCTGAATCTTGAGTAAAATCTCATGTGTGCCTTTGCTTACACGACAAGATAATTGCGTTGCTGACAGGATTTATAATATCAACAAGTTTGATAATTGTCTACAATAATTTTATCTCATCATCCAAACAGATTCATTTCCCTTTCAATTACATGATCTGCACGTGATTATGGAAAAAGACCGACTGGAGATTTTTGCCTTCTCGTGTGCCTGTAGAAAAAAATCAGCGACCTAGACCGTTTGTGTGTACAAACAGAGCAGATTGATATAACATTTAGCATGGTGCAGTTGGGACCAAAGTGGGTTGTATGTGTCCATGACTATGTCACAATCTGTTTTAAGAAGTTATTCTTATTTCTAGTCTTGGTGATTGTAAAATTCTCTATTGTGTGTAATGTAGTAAATTGTTATATATACTATCTTTGTTATTGTTTATTATTATAATGTACATGACAAATAATGTATAAATTATTTTTGAATTGTATTATAATTATGCATGTTATATATAGATAAAGATGTGTAATGATATCTTAATGTTATCTCTCATATCATATCAGATTACGGACATATTTTATGCTTATCATATCAAATGAACACAACTGTTGCAGATATGCAGATTTACACAAGCATTGGTGTATATTTTCGAGTAGTGGAGTATCTAGGGGGTTGGCCATGCCCCCCACCTCCCCAACGTATTGCCCATCCGTTGACAATTGGAGAAACCCGGTTTTGATTTTTATCACACTTGCTCCTATTTAATCTCAATATTAAAAACAAAAATTACAAAAATCTTTAATAATAAAAATCTTCTGAAATTCAATGAATGGATGAATAATTTGCTTTCAATGTGATGTAATAGTTTAATTATATCGATTAATTTTTAGCAAGCTGTCTTAGCAGCCCTAAATAACTAAAACATACTAAATTTTTCCTAAAAAAAACCTGGCAATTTATTCGCGAAACGATCTTAGCGCTAAGATGCCCTAGAATCAATGTTAGAAGATAAGAACTTCTAGACATCCTAGCGCTAAGATCGTTTCGAGAATACCTGGCCTTTTTTTTTATATCAATTCCTAAATTTTTGTATATCTACTCAAGAGGCGATCGTTGTTGAAATACTGTTTGAAATGGCTTCAGATGCAATGAATCAAACCTAATTTTAAAACTTTTCTTAGGGAGTGAAGATCCCCCACTCTCAACCATGGCGCTCAAGTAAGTTTCTTAATTGTCAAATGTGCAAAAGAAATCATTTATTTAATTATATATAATTAAATTTTTTAATTCCCATATTATTAATTTCTTAATTTTAGTTAGCTGGATAGCCTGTTTTAGGTTTAAAATACACCTTTTTAGTTAAGGTAGAGGTTAAACACGGCATCTGTTTCACATATTTTTCACCCGCTTTTAATTCAAACTCATAGGCCACTAATCTGTTTACTTCAGTCATTAATGTAATCAAATCTTCTCTCTGACCATATTTTCTGAATACTTCACTAATAGCTTGTACAAACCATGAGCCTTTTTCTGTGTTACGATATGCAACATAACCTAAATATTTAGAACGTATAGAGACCTTTTAATTTCAAAAACTAAACTATTTTACTATTTGAACTGAATATAGAAATATATATACATGTATATCCCTTGCTTGCGTTTTATGTATCAAAATTATTTACAAAATCTTGTGTATTAAAACTTTTTGATAAGTAAAGAAAAAAATATAAATCAAATAGAAGCAACATACCTTCTACTACCGAAAAAGCTTTTAGAAAATCAGCCTCTATTGGAATTATTTGTGCAATTTCGAATGTTTCACGACCTCCATTGTCATCGGAATATATTTCTACACCATTATCAACCATGCTACCACGACATGCCTGAAATTGTTTCACATTCTTTATCACATCAAGTTTGCACATGTTTCAGATATAAGTACGATATTTGGGAAACCATGGTTAAATTTCTAATTTTTATACAATCGCATTCAAATGTGGAGCTTATATTGTCATGAGCTGGTGAATGCGAAGGAGAGTACGTTTAAAGTATGATCGCGAACCAACTCACAATATTGAGTCTAGTGTTGATAAAATTTGGAGTGTATAGTTAAATTGACATATCGTGGACAAGTTTGAATTTGGGTGGGCTTATTGATGGAGTTTCAACTCTTAATATACGGAAAATACCTTTAAAGTTACCAGTGAACGCAATAGAACCAAAAGTTTTTGTCAAATTTTTTGTTTTGTAGGTTTTTATCTACCATATCTTCGACAATTTGGGTCCGATTTGACACATATTTAACAGCTCTTCTAATGAACTGGGAATTATTCTGAGCGCATCCTGCCTGGCAATTGAAAAATTATACGTAAGTTGTAATTACCTGTATAATGAAGATTTTAGGTTTTCCAGCTAAATCGGGACAATTATCACCATTAAATGGTTTAATAAGGTCTTCAGTTCTAATACTAACACCATCAGCACCATATACATATTCTTTGTCACCATGTGACAACACGGCACACATAAAACAATCATTATTTTTATGGCTTTCACCAGCAACTAAAAAAAATAGAAATATAATATTTTGTTGATTGATATCTGCTACAATGTATTACATTATATTATTGATTAGCTATCGATATGGAAGACGGGAGCCGCGGTGGCTCAGTGAGTTAGACGTTTGCTCGCTAACCTGAAGGTCCAAGATTCAATCCCGGCATATGTCGAGATAATACCTTCGGATTTTTCAATCCGGTCTCCCCCTGTCAGTGATGCAGGTACGAGGGGCTGACATGGAAAACGCGTCTAGTCGTTCGGATGGGACAATAAACCGAGGCCCCATGTGCTACAGGCTGTGCACGTTAAAGATCCCTCGACAGTTGGAAATCGAAAAAGAGCAGGCTAATGCCGCTGTCCTGACAAAATTTCCCTCATTGCACCCTGCATGGCGTTACCCGTCTTCATTAGCCAACATGGTACAGAAAAGTAGGACGTAAAACTCATTTTCATTTTTTCGATATGGAAGACACTTTTTGAAGATTGAGTGTAATACTTTCTTTGCTATTAGTTTTAAGCACACAACTGAAAGACATGTTATCTCAAACTGCTACCATGTTTAAACAACTGAGTCAAAATTAAAATTAACAATACATTTTATCATTAACTTTTCCATTTTAGCAACAGTTAAATCTCTGTACTCTCTCACATCAAACTCTAATTCTGTAAAGCGTTGTTTTAAGGCTTCTTGATCTACTTCGCCCCCTTTTCGTTCATCCATTTCTGTTTCGGGGTCAAATAATACATTATTTATAATGATAGCAATACCACGATTTTCTGTTTTCATAGCATATTCTTCCGAAAGTCTTCTGTAATAAAATTAACAATTTAGTATATTACTGACAACATATACGGAGAATGTCATATAGGCCTAATAAAAGTCCAGATAGTTTAACAAAGTTGTGTTCTATTTTCTACAGCCTGGGATAGGCGGACAAAAACTGCTCCATAAAATTTTAAACTGATATTTACAATTTTGCCCCAAAAAGCAAACAAAATGCTATGCAAATATAAAAAAATTAAGTGTATCTGTACCCTCCAGTAGCTCCAGTATCGCTTCCACGTACAGAACATTCACCTTGACCTAGGCTTATAGCACCAACGTTAGCGTTATCAGGAACGACAGCATTTACATTATCACCTGTAATTATTACGATACATCACAATCATTACAGCGTCTGTTTTTAATGATTGGACGATTTTAAATTCGACATGATTGGGTTTCTATCAAAGTGAAGTTGGAAGTATTTTCTTAATCGCAGAGCAGAGGCGTTAATGAACCATTAGTTGAATGGGCTAAATGATAACAATAAAAGCACTTCAGCATTTCAGAACTGGAGCAAATGATTAGAAATTTTAAAGTGGATGTGTGAGTGTGTGGTTGTATGGCCCGGACCAGCCTTAATCCACGAGGGGACCCAGGCAATGGCCCGAAACATCTGACTCTAGATATTCCAGACCCTGATAGATATTTTGACCGGTATCACTTTCAAATTAGCTATCACTATCAGTAGCTGGAATATAGCTGGTCCCAAGACCACCAACCTTTTTATACGCCCACATGAAGATTGATAAGATCTCGGTCGAGTTCGAATTTGACGTATTTTCGATGAACGGTTTTTGAGATATTGCCTTTGACTTTGTTAAAACGCGTCGAAATTTGTTAAAAATAGTTCGTGAGCAGGATTTTTTTTGCCCTTGATTAGAGCTGATTTAATTGTTTGTTGTATTTGGGTTATTGATATTGATTTTTAAAAAAAATTGTAGAATTACTCAGCATAAATAACTGGCATATATGTATATATAATTGAATTCAAACTACTAAAATTTCTTCAATATAAGAAAATTCCTACTTTAGTCACAAGACTCTTTTATCATTTCTGACAGCTGCCAGTGGGCGTATGTTACCTTGCCTCGCAAGCTATCTTTTCATACTTATCTGAGACCTTACTCAAATTTGAAGTAGCTTTTACAGGTGCATATAGCTGATTGTATCAAAGAAAGAAATATATCAACCTATCCCTTAGGGCACAATGTTTCTGGAATTATCACATTAATTCTAAAAATTGTAATTTTCCTTGATGCGAGGGGCATTATGGATTTGAGTAAAATAAAGATGAGAACTCAGTAGAGGTTCCCTACTTCCCATCAAAACGCCCATACGTAGGTCAACGTTCCGTCAGTAAACACTCTAAAATTCTTAACGAATTTTATTGAAATCTTCGCTGAAATTGGTTATCATCAAAGGTAAATCGAAACATTTAGCTACCCCTTTTCTAGCCTCTGATAGATATTTTGAAAGTTGCAGGTTCGATATCTATAACAGAATGATTATGTTTATTATCACCCAAATTTAACCCCTATCGAAAAGTAAAGGTAATATACACCCACAGGCAGCTTTGATTTTGAAAAAAATATTTGGCATTGCAGTAACAATTTTATTACCAGTATGAAATATTCAACCTTTAGACATACACTTCTTTTGAACTTTTTGAGGTGATACTGAATAATATTACCAAGTTTCATCAAAATCAGTCCAGAATTGGGCCTTCTATTTTACAGGCTAAAAACTGAACGCTTTTTCAAGAACAAGGGCAATAACTCATACTAATTATTTTTCGATTATTCTGATTTTCAATAGGGTTCATCCTTGGGTGATTACTAACACTCATATCAAGATTCGTCAAGATTTGTGCCTTCTGGAGTGCAAATTTACGAGCTAAAAATTGAACGCGTTTTGAAGAACAAGGGCAATAACTCATACTAAATATTTTTCAATTTTTCTTACTTTCGATTGGGTTTATCTTTGGGTGATAACAAACACTCACACCAAGTTTCATCAAAATCCATAGAATTGCGCCTTCTAGAGTGTTTACGAGCGTATTAAGAACAAGGGCAATAACTCATTTTAAATATTTTCCGATTTTTCTTATTTTCAATAGGGTTCATCCTTGGGTGATTACAAACAACCATACCAAGTTTCGACGAAATCCGCCATGAATTGTGCCTTGTAGAGTGTTTACGAGCAATTGTGGACGGACGGACAGACATTTCATGTGGGCGTATAAAAAATTATTTCACCAAAATTCTATATCTTCATCCATTCGTAGTTTCGTATGTATGTAAGCTATGAAAATTTTATTAAGAATAATCATGAAATGAGAAAATATACTATTCAGAAACCACAATCTGTGGTAGGAAAGATTAGTCAGCACTGTGTAGCCTATACTAGTCAATCGAAACTGTATTATAGTAGTGAATGAGGCTTACCTTGCATTTAAATAATTACAGTTGCACGTACCTGATCCATCCCCTTTGTCGCTCATTTTGTCAATCAATTAATTAAAATCAACACAATCAGTTTTAAATTAGGTTCAAAGTAATTAGTTGGACGATTTATTACTATTTTTGATAAGCTGGACTATGCATGCATTTTAATACCGTTACTTTAATGTTTCCTTGTATCAACTAAGTAACCGACGAAGTGAAACCTATGAGTCATTCGAACCAACGTTCGCAACTGTTCGTTAGTTTCAGTGAGGATCTTACCAGTTTGCTCTTGCTGTCGCTATTTTTTGGATAGCGCTGTCACGCTTGTCCTTGTCTTTGAATTCAGGCAATCGGATATTATAAAGGCATAAATCAACAAATTTATCCTCAAGTATGATAGTAAAAAAAGGCGCACTTGTCCCAATTCAGTCAGTCGCTCTGGTGATATGCTGTCGGCCAATAGCATCAAGCGCCTAACGGGCGTTCCAGGAGGGTTGAACAAGAACATTAGTTGCTACGAGAGTGATTATCGATCACGGAAGGGGGAGGTAAATATAGGCCTAACTATGACCAAATTACAATGTGGGCTACAGACCAAAATACCTGGTGCCCGTATTACTGTGACCATATTTCCCCCGACCAAGTTACCGTGCACCATTTAGATTGAAATAAGATGTAGAAGATCACATTAGCATGATGTCTGTAGTACATTATTTACTGTATATATCTAGATTGAAATATGATATAGAAGATCTCATTAGTATGATGTCTGTAGTACATTATTTACTGTATATATTTAGATTGAAATATGATATAGAAGATCTCATTAGTATGATGTCTGTAGTACATTATTTACTGTATATATTTAGATTGAAATATGATATAGAAAATCTCATTAGCATGATGTCTGTAGTACATTATTTACTGTATATATTTAGATTGAAATATGATATAGAAGATCTCATTAGTATGATGTCTGTAGTACATTATTTACTGTATATATTTAGATTGAAATAAGATGTAGAAGATCTCATTAGTATGATGTCTGTAGTACATTATTTACTGTATATATTAAGATTGAAATAAGATGTAGAAGATCTCATTAGTATGATGTCTGTAGTACATTATTTACTGTATATATTTAGATTGAAATATGATATAGAAGATCTCATTAGTATGATGTCTGTAGTACATTATTTACTGTATATATTTAGATTGAAATAAGATGTAGAAGATCACATTAGTATGATGTCTGTAGTACATTATTTACTGTATATATTTAGATTGAAATATGATGTAGAAGATCTCATTAGTATGATGTCTATAGTAAATCATTTACTGTGATATAGAAGATCACATTAGTATGATGTCTATAGTAAATCATTTACTGTATATATTTAGATATTTATATGTTTTTATTTGGATTGAAATATAATGTAAAGGTTCACATAAATCTGAAACCAATTTAATATTAAAAACAAAAGTTACAAATCTGCAAATATCAAATATGTAATGATATAACAGAAATAATCTTCTGCCATTTTGTCAAAATTTCAAAATATGATTTGAATAACACCAGGACCAGCTATTAATTATGGCTGGATTGGGTTAAGCAGATAAATAACAAGAAATTAAACATGAAAATTCTACATATTATTATTTAACTATAATAAAGTATCCTGCTTTACCAATTGAGATCAGAAGTGAGTGAAATGTAAAATGATGAGCACTAAAAATAATCATTTATGTTATGTCTTGATAAATCAAACTGTCTTTTGACCATAACCAAAATGAATGATAAACATATTACATTGCATAAAACAAGTTTTGAGACCAAATCTACATTTTGAACCTTGACATGGGACAACTAGTATCATAATTAAAGTATTAAAACCGAAGGTGAAACCAGCTCTAAAGATTGCACAGCGTGATACTCTAACAGCATGTTTCAGGTTCTGTTATAATATTTCTATGTCATGCTACAAATGATGTATTGAGCACTATGTTAACAGTACCAATATTTGTTATTATGATAATTAATTCAAATATAAAAACAGCTACCCTTTAATAAGTTTGGTGTATGATCTAGATTGCAACACTCTCTAGTTTCTACCATGCTATGATGATAAGCAGGGTGAGGTCAACAAATTGAAAATATAAATTTTATTATTGTATTAGATTTATTTATTTTACAATATTTATGTCTGAAATTGACCACAACAGTTGACTGTGCAGTAGAAAATGTGGTGGTTTAAATTGACAAGTCTTTCTATAGTTGAAAATTATTTTTTGTGCTACTACTGTTTGCAAGAAATGAATATTTCATGAGATAGCTAAAAATCCTCATTATATTCTCTTTCCTTGACTATAGTCCTACTGCTGTTCTTGTACATAAGCTAATACAATATACATTCACAAATGGTTAAAGGGACAGGTAGGCCATTTTTTGACTAATCATACTTTAGTCTTAGAAACTGGATTTTTTAGTTAAGCTAATCAGTGTGTTCACAGTTCACTCCCAAAGTATATATATATATTCAAGACTAAAATTCAACCCCCCAAAATGGCACACCTGTCCCTTTAAGTTATATCACTGATGGTTCTGCTTAAAATGTTTTGGCAGTCATTTCTGCACACTATTTCATATTAATTATTCAATCTTCAAACTGAGTTGAAAGACTCCATATGGAACAAGATTATTATTAGCATAATGAATTAACAATTTAATTTTTGGATCTAAAATACACATCTTTAGTTAACATAGAGGTTATACATGGAATCTGTTTTTTGTTAGTCATATATTCTTTACTGGCGTTTGATTCAAAATTATAAGCCACTAATTTGTTTACTCTAGTCATCAATGTCATCAAATCTAACTTCTGACCATATTTTCTGAATACTTCACTTATAGCTTGTACAAACCATGAGCCATTTGCTGAGTTACGCCATGAAAAATAACCTACAATGAAAAAAAAAACATTCATAAACAAAAATATTACAATTGATTATTTGAACTGAATCTATATCCTTTGCTTACATTTAATTTTTTTTTAATTTTTTAAAATTGTTAACAAAGAGTGTATAAATTTTTTTGATTGGTACTTAGTAAGTTAAAATATAAATAGTAAATAGTAATAATATACCTGGTACTACAGAATAAGCTATGAGGAAATCAGCCTCAGTTGGAATTCGTTGTACTTTATATTCTATTGTTTCACTTTCACGACTTCCTTTACTATCTTGTTGTTCTACACCAGCATCTAACTTGCTTCCACGACAAGCCTGAAAATATTCCACTTTTTTATTTACACGACTTGTTTCAAATATGAAATCAATCAAAAGATAGTTGTTTGGAAATGATTGTCAATTATTTTAGGACATAAGATATATGAGCAATGTTAGTAAACTCACTGTCCACTGATAAGAAGCATACACCACTGACATTTTAAGCAGTTCACAAGTTTTGGATACAAACACCCAGACATTTGTTTTGGACAATGAAACTAGAAAAATTATAGCCTACATAAGTTTTATTTTTACCTGTATAAAAAAGATTTTAGGTTTTCCAGCTAAACTACGACAATTATGACCTTTAAAAGGTTCAATAAGTCTTTGAATTTCAATAGGCCCATCAAAACCATATATAGTTCCTTCTTCACCATGTGACAACATGGCACACATAAAACAATCATTATTGTCATGACTTTCACCAGCAACTGAAATTAAATTAAATAATCATTTGTTTGAATGAACAATACTACTCATAGAAATAAGACTTTACTTGTCTTATAGCTGACCAAAGTGTAAACTGCTCATTGTAAAGCAGGAAGTATTGTCAGTATAATTTTGTTATCTCACTTAAAAATTAAAAGCTATCCCTTTGTCAAAAACAAACAGCTTTGAATACATGTCAATGCAATTAGCTTAAACTAAAATTCAGTAATTCACAATATACCTTTTTTCATTAAACTTTCCATATCATCTCGCTTTAAATTTTTAAACTCTCTCACATCAAACTCCAATTCTTTAAAGCGCTGTTTTAAAGCTTTATGGTCCTTATCGCTTCCTGTTCGTTCACCCATTTGTGTACTGGGGTGAAAAGATACATTATTTATAATGATAGCTACGCCACGGTTTGGTTTATTCATAGCATATTCTTCAGAATAAAAAGCTTCTTCTGTTTCCATAGGTTCACCATGTGAGGCAGATGTTGCTGATGAAAATCCTCTGTAATTAAATTATTAACAATTTTGGTTATAACTGACAATATATTGAAAAGGTTATAAGTGTCTTGGAAAAACTAATACTAGAAATATACTTTCCAGCAACAAAGAAGCATTAATGGACCAAGACAGAAATTGATGTCAAATGATTGTCAGAAGCCATGGATTCTCAAGTGTATTTGAGATGAGATGGAAAAATTTGTCATAGATTGGTAGAAACTCTGTCTGCTGTGCACATCAAAGACTATTGAGAAATGGTCATATAAAAACTGTCCGTGGACATTACATTAACACAGCCACTTCATTCTACAACATTTTAAAGCAATTCAAAAATAGCAACTAACCTGATTCCTCTTGCATCAATATCATCTCCAGCTGCTCCATTATCACTACCAGGTACAGCATCTACATTATCACCTGTAATTATTACAATATATCACAATGATTGATCACATTTTTCAGGTATGCAGCAGCAAGTAATTGAAAGATTTCAAATCTGTCATAGCTGGTTTTCTTTCAAACTCAAGTCATTCAAATTTGTCTTCAATGGATGCTGGCCATAATCAACAATATTCTGAACTAATTTCTTATTTCACCAATTTCCTTTAATGCCATTTTATTGTTAGTGAATTTGTTTTATAGATATTGATCATAACCTTTATTTAATATATTGAGCAAATAATTTGCAAACACCAGCTTCTTTTACAAAACAACAAAATAGTTTTTCACTATGGTAATATTCTGCTACTTAGTTTGACATGATAAATTAGTATGATAATGGACCATGTCCATTTTAACCAAAATTTATTAAAACAAAACTTAAATGAAGGTAAAATGTAATATTAATCACAATTGCATGGGAATATATCTTACCTTCCATATTTTGTATTGTTATAATATAGATATAGCGCCAAGTTTATTCACCTATCTGATAAGATCAATGTAATCTACCTTCTTATAACACCTTGTATTTAAAGGAACTGATTTCATAAGAAAAATTATATATAAATATAAAGAGCCTATTCCTAACTCTTTATTGACAAGCACTCCTCTTGGTCACATGAAACACAATGTCATATATTTTTTTCCAGTCACTATTGCTTTAAATTTCATGCTACTATATTAGGGAATACCACTTACAGCAAACCCTTCAACAATGCTTTTTTCTGACTATACAATTATATCTAACAACAGTCACATAAGTCATGTTTGGTTTCAAACAGCAAAAAGCTTATATTGTTTTTACACTATAATATTTTCCTTGTAAACATTCAGCTCGCTTTAAATAGAAATATGAGCTACTATGAAGTAATACTATGTTAAGTTTTATTGTTGAGCTAATGAATAGTTTACTTATATAATACTATCAACTACTCCCCTAGGTATTACTAGTCCACAGTATTTCTACTTTCTACCTGAGCTATTGATTTATTTATATAATACATTTCTTCTTTTCTTTAGACCTCGTTCATATAAATATCCAAAATGGTTTCCAAGTATTGAACATGTCAAATTACAGTTGAGTAAAAGGAATTCTTTTTCCATAAAATGAATGTAATGAAGCAGAGTGGACACATATGGTACTCGGTGCACGGACTGATCTGTCAACTGTTTTTTTTTTCTTAGTGTTTGCTGTTCTTATGCGCCAGGTGTCATTAAGCTGCCAAACCCCACTTGACCTAACAGTACCAAACCACTTCAAGGAATATTGGACCACCCAACAAAAGGCAGTTCGGTTAGCATTATTAAATGAAATATTTGACATATAATAATTCTTATAGCATTAAAGGTATAGTCATTTTATCACCTGATAGAGCTCAGTTTCATGTGTTCTGGTCAGTTTTTAAAATGATAAATTGATGCCTGAACAATTTAATTTATTGTAGATTTAATTAACTAGTAACTTTTGTTGGATTATAAGAGAACAATGAAGTTGGTATCTAAAATTGAGCTGTCAGCCAGTGTACCAAACATTTATCCTATATGTAGTAAGGACTGGTCTATTGTTTAAAATGAGTGTTTTACTGAAACTTATTCAGAAAGGGAATTATACATGAACATTTATTGACCGTCTTTGATTTGATGACATCATTACCTGCTAATTTATTAACGACAAAAGAAATTTATAATGATTATGACAGCTACACAAATGCTTTACTATCAGTTTCAACTCCATATAGGCTGTGTAACATGAGTAACTGGTGGACATAACCATTTTATAAAGTGGGATTCTAAGCTGTCAAAGGATCAAAACAATTCATGCATTGAAAGGAAACCAGCGGATTTCAATTATTACCAAATATCACAATATTTTATCAGCCAAATTTCCTTACAATCCCCAGCTGTAATTCCAAGTGTGGTCTGCTAGAATATATTCTATTGAATAAAGTCATGTGACAAACTAGAGGATTCCATGTCATCAGAAAAATTTTTTGGAACAGAAACTGGGCCATATCCTTATGTTGTTTCAATTACTTTTAGCAACAAATCACTCTTACATTTTACATATCTTATTTTTTCAGTCAAATCATTTATCTTTAATGGAATTGTCATTAGTTATAATGAAATATTATTAAAGACAAATACTAAGAGAGTTTAATCATACCACTGGGTATCCATACAACATGTTATTTTGACACAAAAATAGGTGACGCATTTTGCCGTCGATGGCGAGTTAGTTACCGTACTCATAAAATATGTGTCAAAGTGAGGGATTCATTAAGAATATCGAAACAACCTATTTTTATTATTTTATGGAATATCTGAGGAAACATAAAAAAAAAAAATTCTGTTTATTAATTTTGACGAAATTCGGTGTTGAATCCTTATTTGCACGAAAATAGGTTACACCACTGTAGGCCTATATAGTTTTCACAAAATTGAGCAAAAGACTTTTTTCTACTTACATAAAAAGCGGAATGTCCCTTTAAAAGCCTCAGTTGTATTCTATAGTTGATATTTCGATTTATAAGAAAATGATTGCCAAAATTCGATTCAGTTAACATTGTAGTCAGACAGTACTTGTCAGTGCCACTGGCAGTGGGTAGGCCAAGTCAGTGACTGGATAAGACGAATGCTATCTTGAATAAAAGTTGATTAATAACAATTGTACCTACCCGATCCTTCGGCGTTGTCACTCATTTTGCCAACTAATTAATTAAAATTAACTTTATCAGTTTCAAATTAGGTTTAAAAATACTATTAGATTAGAAATGTTTATTATTATTGTGTATTGTGAGAAGATGAACTAATATTCTATTTTTGAACACTGTGGTATTTCCGGAAAAGCCTCGATCAACCAGGCGGACAATAATGAATTCATACAAAAACGTAACCAATGGTTAAATCCATTATAGAGTTGACTTGACAGTGAAGTTGAATTATAAATAAGTATGGAAATTTAATCTATCTATGATACTATACACTATGACAAATTGAAATGCGCGGTAGCTAAACAGATTGGTTTCACATCCAACAATGGGTAAGAAAGGAAATAAATAAATGTTTCCTTGCGAACTAAATTTTGTTCTTGCTAGGGCTTAGTCAAGTATGGTACACGTATAGACAAGTACAGAAAGAAACCAATCGTACATCGTATCACGAATACGGGTTTTGACATGGTCTTATTAACCGATCATACAATGTGGTAAGACAATGGCCGAACTGCCATTTATCCGTGATACTTAAAGCTATTCCTCTGATCAGTAATTGATTAGTAGCGCCATTATTCAGGGAGGGGTGTTGATTCGAGTATGTAATGTATGTAAATTGTCTTCAGAAAAAAAAGAATTGTACAAAAATCGCACGATTCCTTAAAAAATACAAATACCTATTTTCAATAGTTTGAAAACCTTCATTAACATTAAACCTAATAGGTGTATGATCAGACTGATTCAAAGAGGATGACGATTTGAATCACAGTTAGCTATCTTTAGGTAAGTCTGCAGCAGGTTACTTTGTATCCCCAAAACCTATCCATGAACATAATCCAGTTTGAAGCGCAAAGACACTGGTTTTTAGCCTCATCCGTGGATATTTGACTTGATTTTCGAGGCTTAGTAACGATATTATACCTTCTATTTTTTTATGTTGTGTAGAAAACATGTTGGGCTAAATTTTTCATCTCAAGGTCACGAGGGCCACAAGGTCAAATTCGAGGTCAAAGTGCATATCCAAGGTCATCACTCGTTAAAACACTCCTATGTCCCAAAAAAGGACAGACTTGGAATCCCTGTCCAATTCCCTTTCTAGAAATATTAATTTTAGCAATTTTGACCCATCGGTTACTGAGCTTTGGTCATTTGAATAATGGTGGTCACGCCCATTTTAGCCAAAATCCCCCAAATTGGGTGGGCCATATCTCAGGAACCGATTGTCCGATGAAGCTAAAATTTCGAATATCAGCTTTTTCAGCCCAAATAAGCATATAAACCAAATTTCAGCAAAATCAAAGGGGGAAGGCCTACGGTTTACCTCATTGGGTGATTTGACATGGAATGACCCTAGTATGATGTCTGTAGTACATTATTTACTGTATATATTTAGATTGAAATATGATATAGAAGATCACATTAGTATGGTGTCTGTATTAATTCATTTACTGTATATGTATTTGATTATTCAAAATTAGAATAAAAAAAAAATTGTTATTTAAGGAATGACCGCGTAGCGGTTTATACATAAGTGTACACAGGTTTTTTCTGTTTATACATCGATAAACTGAAAAAATGTTCAGGTCATTCCTTATAATTAAATCAACTCGAATTCGTGTTTAAATATTATCTAAAATAGCAACAAACTAAGGCGCATAAATACCTAAAATTTTAACATAACGTTAATGAACTGATACTAACAATAGATACGCCCTAGAGAACAGCCAATCAAAAATAAGTAGGTCACCTATCTATAGTCTACTGTCTATTGCTTGAAAGTTGACGGAGCGGCCACATTTAAAGTTCAATTATTGAAAGCCAAGGTTCTAAATAAGTCCAAAAATCATGATTTTGTTGATATTGCACATTCGAGGGAATTTGGAAAATACCGTAATCATTCAGTGAAATGTAGATTTCGGCTCGGTGGCGTTCGAAGGAAAGACATCGACGCTGTGTAGTGACCACGTCAATAAAACCCAATGATAAAAGTAGTCCGTTAAGGGGCGGGGCTTATATTTACATTCCGTTTACACAGATATAAACCGAATTCACGTGACCACTGTTATCCAATCAAATTGCGCGATACCGTGTAAACGGAATCGTGATTTAATTATATTTTTTTTATTAACAAGTTAGAAAGAAGTTTTATGCAGGCCTGACTGTATAAAACCTGTAACCTCTTTGCATAAATATGATCAGTAATAAATTAAGCACAATTTTTACAGTTTTCAACATTCAATATTTCAATTAGGAAGGATGGCATGGTCAAGTGCCAGCCTCTAGGAAAGGAAAAATTTCATTATACAGATATATAAAACAATTAACTGCCTCTATGTTACTAGACTGGCACAAAACACTATTTTTCTCATTGTGCTTCTATCGTCATTTCATATGGGATTTTCAGTATATTCATTCAAATAAAACATAATTAATCTTATTCTAAACAAAACTATATGACACTATGTAAAGCAAAAGTTACAAGAATCAAATGCAAGTATAACATAACCTTATTCAAGGCTAAATAATATCACGGCTTTTAAAAGTTTTATGAAATAAAATAGATTATTGAAAATTGAGTCACTAGATTAAATAAAGTTATCTAAATTACTTGTTCAATATGTATATACATTCATAAATACAATGGTAGATTATATAATCATTATAAAACAAATATGTATATACATATTCATAAATACAATGGTAGATTATAAAATCGTTATAAAACAGATAAACTGTCCTAAAATCAAGAGAATTAAAAATAAAAAAAAGATTTATATATGCTTCTAGACCATCATATACCTTTAAAGAAAATAAAAGGTTTTATTTTGGACACATGTATACAGTTTTTGTTAACATGGAGTATATAACAGGTGCTTGTTTTTTCATGTCTGTAGCATAATTATTACTCTCTGATTGGTACCCGTATGAAACTTCTTTTACAACTTGTCTTAATAGTTTATTGATATCACATTTATCTCTACAGGCAGATCTTAAAACTTTGGCTAAAGCTAAAACAAACCATGACCCCTCTTTCATTCTTCTGAACGCATAATATCCTGAAAAATAAATATAAAATAAGATAAAATATGTCTAAAAATATGAAGATAGCTAGTCAGGGATGATAACTAAATCTTTATTGACCAAGAATATATTAAAGATCTTCATAATAATACCAAATTTCTTCATTATGCATTTGTAGTTCAGAAACCCTGAATATCTCATCAATTTAGGGTCAGTTGAGTTTTCCACAAATCTTTTTAAATCAATAGCAATAGCCCAGAAGCATTAAATTATCACACTCTTCTCGTGTCTAAACGTATCATCAAATTCACACTAACTAACTAACTAACATAGACAAATTTGATGAAGTCGAGGGCAATAACAAAAAAAATCGTCAATTTCGAACTTGACTGCCGTCTGATCAGTCCCAATGCTCACACCAAGTTTCATCAAAATCCAGTGAAAATTGTACATTCTATTGTGCCCACAACAAAATTTGACCAATTTACTATGTCAAGGGCAATAACTAAAAAACCATTTTTCGAAAAATTGACAAGTTCGAACTTGACTGCCATCTTATCAATCCCAAAGCTCACACCAAGTTTCATCAAAATCCAATGAAAATTGTAGCTTCTATTGTGCCCACAACAAAATTTGACGCAATTTTACTAAGTCAAGGGTAATAACTCAAAAACTGTTCATGGAAAAATCATCAAATTCAAACTTGACCGAGATCTTATGAATCCCAATGCTCACACCAAGTTTCATCAAAATCCATTGAAAACAGTAGCTTCTATTGTGCCTACAACAAAAATTTGACGCGACTTTACTAAGTCAAGAGCAAACACTGTTCATGGAAAAATCATCAAATTGGAACTTGACTTAACAATCAAATGAAAACTGTAGTCTCTATTGTCCCCACAAGGAATGTTGACGGAGGGACCGATGGACCAACAGACCGACGGACAGGGGCAACGACAATATACGACCATGTGGGTGTATAAAAAGAAGTAAGTGTGAATGTTCAGACGGAGGCTGAGAGAGAATCACAAGCAGTTAGTAGTTGACCCTGCAGATGACTTGATTTGAATTCATCTGTGTATATCTCATCAATGAATATTCATTACTTTCTTCTCTACAACAAACAAAAGTAAACTCTGATAATTTGGCCTATCAAGGTTAAAGGGACAGGTAGACCATTTTTTTGACCAATCATACTTTAGTCTCAGAAATGAAATTTTTTAGCTGAGCTAATCAGTAATAGTGTTCACAGCCCACTTCAAAATTTGAACCTTCAAATCCATTTGTGTCCAGAATTATCTGCGATCAAATGTTAAAATGACGACTCGTCAAGTTAAGATACTCTGTGATATATTGAAAAGACATATATATATAAATTGTGAGTTATATTCCTAGTTAAGTATTTTCAAAGGAATTATGTGATTTTGGTACATTTCTAGTACTCCGAAGATTATACATACGTTCAAGACTAAAATCAACCCCCAAAAATGGCAGACCTGTCCATTTAATAAATAGATGCAATTTACAACCTTATGAATATAATCAGCAAGCGTGTTTAATACCAACCCTTTCCTTACCTACAAAATTGAGAAACATGTAACGTGCATCTGTTAATTATATTAATTAATATAAGCACATCTCATTCAAAAAATCAGGAAATGTTGGTAGAAAGGTAGCTTTTTTTTGTTATCACATTAAATTTGTCTTAAATTTGGGTTGTTCTCTGTAGTATTTCAAGAGGGATTAAGATATATGAATTACCTGGAGGTGTAGCATACATAACAAGAAAATCTGTCATACAAGGAAACGGTGTTGTTACTATATGATTAGTAAATGGTTTATTATGATAACCAAACTTATCATATTCATAATTTATATCTATATTATGGTTATTAATCAATACACCAGGATCTAATTGTCTACCTCGACAAGCCTGAAAGAGAAAGCAAACAATATCTTCTTAAGAAGTCAGATAAGATTGAATTAGAACCTTCATATAGAAACACACAAACATAGTTTACCATATATCAATTCACACATACAATATTGTCAGATTTTTAGGCTTTGGAAATATTCTTTTGATGCAAAGTGTTCGAAAGAAATGGAAATTTCTAAATTTCTGAATAAGATACCAGTAGGCAATTTTGACAAAAGTAATACAGCTGAATGGTTTTGGCATCTATGAAAACAAACAAGCCATTGTCTTCGAGAAATATCTAATATATCTTAATAAAGTTAGATATTAGAAAAAATTACAGACAAATATCCCAATATATCCAACAAACTTACTTGTATAAAACAAAATCTTGGTTTACCAGTTAACCCAGGACAGTTCTCATCAGAGAATATTTGTAAGATATTTTGTGTAGTTATATAACCATCTGTACAATGTATGACATCAGATACAATTGTTTTATCACCAACTGTCTTCTCCAGATGTTCACCATGACTACTAATAGCCAACACAAAACAATCAAAATCTCTGTCTTCGTTCATTTGTTGTGCAACTACAAAATGACGTTAAATTTGATCATATATTCAACAAGAAGAAGTGACTTACTTGCAATGGCAACATGGATAGCTTTTTCTAAGAATGTTTGGGACAGACAATATTATTTATTTTTCAAGCAATGAAAATGCTAAGCATAATAACTCAAACCAGTTACATATTCGATGTCCACTTCAACTATTTTACTGTTTAGACATACCTACAACATTATATATTCTAAGATACAATAACAAAATATTTCACTGTTAAAATAGTGCTCAGTACACGAATTGTGTAGTGATACAGAAATACTAAAATGTAACCTGAAACGATGTTCAGACCAACAATTGAAACAGGGTGAAATTTTGTCTGGAAAGTGATATTAGCCTACTCTTTTTAGATTTCCAACTGTCTAGGTTTTTATACGCCCACACGTAAGATGGGCGTATATTGTAATCACCCCGTCTGTCCGTCGGTTCACATTTGGCTCGTGCTCACTCTACAGGCTACAGTTCTTTATGGATTCTTTTGATTTTTATTATGTATGTCAATGTTGTTATGAAGATGATCCCTATTGATTTTCGTGATGATCGGATAATTTTTCACCGAAATATCGTGTCTGACTTGACGTTTTTCTCTATTAGCTATATTGTGCAACTCGTGCTCACTCTACAGGCTACAATTTTTTACAGATTCTTTTGATTTTTATTTTGTGTGTCAATATCATTATGAAGATGATCCCTATTGATTTTCGTGATGATCGGATAATATTTCACCGAAATATCGTGTCTGACTTGACGTTTTACTCTATTAGCTATATTGTGCAACTCGTGCTCACTCTACAGGCTACAATTCTTTACAGATTCTTTTGATTTTTATACGCCCACACGTAAGATGGGCGTACATTGTAATCACCCCGTCGGTCCGTCCGTCCGTCTGTTCACATTTGGCTCGTGCTCACTCTACAGGCTACAGTTCTTTATGGATTCTTTTGATTTTGATTTTTATTTTGTGTGTCAATGTCATTATGAAGATGATCCCTATTGATTTTCGTGATGATCGGATAATTTTTCACCGAAATATCGTGTCTGACTTGACGTTTTTCTCAATTAGCTATATTGTGCAACTCGTGCTCACTCCACAGGCTACAATTTTTTACAGATTTTTTTGATTTTTATTTTGTATGTCAATGTCCTTATGAAGATGATCCCTATTGATTTTCGTGATGATCGGATAATATTTCACCGAAATATCGTGTCTGACTTGACGTTTTACTCTATTAGCTATATTGTGCAACCCTGCAGTCACTAAAGACTGTTTAATCATTTCTGACAGCTGCCAGTGGGCGTATGTTAACTTCCCTATGGCCTATGACCAAAGGTTGAATATTACTTGCTACTGTACTGCCAAATATCTTTATTTAAAATCAAAGATGTCAGTGGCCGTATATTATCCTGCCTGGCAAGCTATCTTTATTCTTTATTGTTTAAGTCCCTTTTTGACGTGTTCACAATCAGTATGAATAGCTTGCACTCTACCTTTGACATTAGTAATTTTATTCTTGACAAATAAAAAAAATCATATAACATAAGCCAGTTGTGGCGGTTAGGGTTGATAGACATTAGTCTTCATAGCTGTATTATTAAATGAAAGGAAAGGATATACATTTGATTTTCTGTTCAGGAAAAATTATTTGACTAAATCTTGATGCTCTTATCGCACTCTCAGGAACCAGGTATACACAACCTATTAATTTCTCAATAATTGTGTTAATATAGATTTATCTATTACTCCCATTTTGCTAGTCTCATATATCTGCCTCTATTCCAGCGTCTGTTATTTTGAAATTCGTTGGCTGGAGTAGTGCAAGTAAGACTAACAAGCCTGTTTTATGGGGTTTCTGCACCTCAGATATCAACATATTTTTTTTACCTCAGATCAGCCATGAAACTATCTCACACCCGCCAGGAAAAACTGAGTGTTCCACAAAAAGTTCAAAGGCTAAGGTTAACATGATACTAACAAAACTAAGGTTTAGCTTTGACAACTTGTGAACTTTACAGGTGATTTTTTATCATTTGAATAAGTTATTATTGAAAAAATAAGAAAACAACAGCATGGAGCAGCCTGGAAAATCAGATGGTATGTTCATTTACATTTCTTTAGTTTGTCATAGATTTGTAACTTAAATTTAAAATTTATATAAAAAGAACTTAGCCAATACATTTTGAAATAAACAAAAACTGCTTAAGTTTTTATTTTGTATACAGTTTGAAACAAAATTAAGATTATAATAACCCTTTCAAGCATTGTAAATTCAAAGAACTATTTTTAAACAACCACATTTTAATTGTCATTGATCTGTCCATTGGTCGGTCGGTCCGTTGGTCCACAATAAGGAAAAAAACACGTCAAAATTTGTTTTTAAACACAATAGAAACTACAGTTTTTATCTGATTTAAATGAAATTTGGTGTGATCAGTTATCTCGATGAGATCTTGATCATGTTCGAATTTGACGATTTTTCCATTAACAGTTTTTATACGCCCACATGGAAATGTGGATGTATATTGCCGTTGCCCCTGTCCGTCCGTCCATCCGTCTACAGCTACAGGCTACAGCTTTTATCTGATCTTGATGAAACTTGGTATGCATGTAAATATTGATGAGATCTCGGTCAAGTTCGAAATTGGTAATAATCGGATGAATGGTTTCAGAGTTACTGCCCTTGACTTAGTAAAAACGTGTTAAATGAAACTTTGTATGCTTGTATATATTGCTGAGATCTTGGTCAAGCTCGAAATTGGTAATAATCGGACGAAAAGTTTCAGAGTTATTGCCTTTTACTTAGTATAAACACATTAAATTTGGCTTGTATGCATGCTAAAGGCTAAAATTTGTATCGTATCTTGATGAAACTTAGTATCTTGAAGATATTGATAAAATCTCAGTCAAGTTCGAAATTGGAAATAATCGGATGAATTATTTTAGAGTTATTGCTCTTGACTTTGTAAAAACACGTTAAATTTGGCTTGTATGCTATAAAGGCTGTAATTTTTATCTGATTTTGATGAAACTTAGTATGCATGTATATATTGATGAGATCTCGGTCAAGTTCAAAATTGGTAATAATCGGATGAATGGTTTCAGAGTTATTGCCCTTGACTTAGTAAAAACGCCTTAAATTTTGCTTGGATGCAGGATAAAGACTGCAATTTTTATCCGATTTTGATGAAACTTAGTATGCATGTATATATTGATGAGGTCTGGGTCAAGTTCAAAATTGGTAATAATCGGATGAATGGTTTCAGAGTTATTGCCCTTGGCTTGTATGCATGCTGAAGGCTAAAATTTTTATCCTATCTTGATGAAACTTAGTATGCTTGTAGATATTGATAAGACCTCAGTCAAGTTCAAATTGGTAATAATCAGATGAACGGTTTCAGGCCCTTGAATTAGTTCAATGCGTCTAATTTGGCTTGTAGGCCTGATAGAGACTACATTTTTCATCCGATCTTGATGAAACTTGGTATGAGATCTCAGTTAAGCTTGAAATTAGTAACAATTGGATGATTGGTTTCACATATTAAACCACTACAAACTTTGTTATCATTTCTGACAGCTGGTAGTGGGCGCATGTTACCTTGCCTAGCAAGCTATCTTTGAGTTATTGCCCCTGACTTAAGAAAAACGCATCAAAATTTATTTGTGAATACAATAGAGACTACAGTTTACATCTGATTGTGATCATTTATAATGATGAGTTTGAATCAAGTTTCGATGAATGGTTTTTTAGTTATTGCCCTTGACTGAGTAAAAATGCATCAAAATTTTTATGTCCAAATTTTATGAAATTTTTTGTGTTTGATTAAATCAACAATATCTTGTACTAATTAGAATTTTGGTATGATTTGATGCAGACGGGTGACTGCCTTTGATATATTAAAAAATTTATCAGGGAAGTGAGTTTGTCTTTTGCTAGGCAATCACTTGTTAAGATTGAAATATTTCAAATGTTTTAGAAATGAATAAATATATTTGTATTATAGAAAAGGATTTTTTGAGTGGAGTTGTTAAGAAAATTGGAACCTGTCTTGGGTGAGTATTAGTTATCACCAGTAGAATCAGGTTCAGATTTAGAGTGTATTTATACCTCAGCTACGACTCCTGTTCACTTTTTTAGGAAACATCCATTGTGCAGTTTGTACATCTGATATTTTTTTTACACAGACAGATGTATTCTGTATCAGACAATCTGTTATGAAATGATCAAATTATTTTGTTACAGAACAAATACTGAAGCTATAGAAGTAGATTACAATGATAATTTAGATTATTATAACTTTAATCATACGAAGCGTGGTATAGCTGTAGTGGTTGTGAATGAGAAATTTGAGGGACACAGTAAAAGAGCTGGAGCTGAACTAGATAGAGAACTTCTATCTTATTGTTTTAGATCCTTAGGATTTGATGTCAGAGTTTTTACCGATCTGAATGGTTTTCAATTAGTAACAGAAATGGAAAAGAGTAAGAACTTCTTCCTGAATGTTTGATGAGAGATGTAATTTTTCCAGTGAGAATGTTAACAAATAATATTGATATAAGTAGCATACACAATATAAACATTGAGGTCCTTTTTCATTTCACATTAAATGGATACAGTTGTCCACAGTTCAGTTTTCATTCAAAAAAGTACCAATGATTACTGGTTATTACTTTGCCAATTATCTTCCTTTCAATTGTGATGGCTTTACAACTTGGTTGATATATTCATTATTATCTTCTTGTAGTTGCTTTAGAGATGACAAGGGATCCTGATTTTGATTGTTTTGTGTTTGCTATGAGTTCTCATGGTGATAAGATTCAGAGTCACATTGATCACAATACAATAGTAGAAGAAGATGTAATATATGCTACTGATGGCTATATTCCAACAGAGAGAATATTAAAGTTGTTCTCAGATGAAATCTGTATTGGTTTAATTGGAAAACCAAGATTATTCTTCCTACAGGTAACGTAATGAGTTATTTTGAATACAAAATTTAAATCTTAGCAGATATCTATGTTAGAAGCATGAAAGAAATGTACATGTATGTGTTTTAAAAATTATGCAGATGTAGATACTATGAAAGATTGTATTCATAGAAACATTACGATCTTTGGCTAGCAGCAATAGCATTTTGCACTCATTTGCATGCTATAAGATTGTACTTTGTGCTTATTTGTAGGCTTGTCGTGGTAATTTGTTTGATATTGGTACTACTGTTATAGATGAAGTAGATTCAGCAAGTGATAAAATGGTGATAACAAGAATACCATGTTTTAAAGATTATTTAGTAATGTATGCTACACCTCCTGGTTAGTATATTGTTACTTTTAAGTAAAAACTGTACCATTTCTTTTTTTACTTAAATCATGGCATTATAATGAATTTTTAGATAATAAATGCTAATGCTGCTGATTCTGTTGATCGATATTGAATTGTGAACATCTTAGAATTCATAAGAAATCACTAGAGTAATCTTATTTATGTTCTTTAGATAAGTTTCCACTTACTTCAATGTAATGAAACTTATTTTTATCCATGCAAAATCAGGTTTGTCATTCATACTTTGGAGATATCTGTTTTAGGATTTTATGCTCTTCGAAGAAAAGACGAGGGGTCATGGTTTATAATTAAATTATGTCGTGCCCTCCAAAAAGTTAGCAGCCATCAACCAAATATACTGAAACATTTACGATGTGTAACAAAATGTGTGGGTCGTCATTTTGAGTCTAAATCAGTTTATGATGTTAAGAAACAGTCACCAGTAATATATTCTATGCTTGTTAAAGATATCCTTTTTAATTAAATCTCATATTTTAATCTAATGATTTACTTGTGTTAAGTATTAATTGTTTGTTATATTTTTGATGTAAAATTGAAATTTTGACTATTTTATTTAATTAAATTAGATACATTAGATATTATTTGTAAAGTGCCTCAGAAAATTCAGGGAAAGATGTATTTTTGTACATTCTTTTTCATTTAATCTTTACTTGTTCTTACTCATTATGTTTGATTTACTATTAAGTCTGTTATTTGTAGCTCTTTCTGAGAAAGAAAGTCTTACATCTCAATTCCATTCTGAAAAGGCAGATAAGCAGAGTTAATTTAGTACAAGTTTGTTCATTAGCTGTGGATGCAATCTTCAGAATCTATCAATTTCAATACATAAATGTGGTTTTAAGTCTAATTTAAAGCAAAAAAGTTTCACATATAAACACTATTTATTATGTAATACTCATCATAATGTCATCATAATCTACTTATCGAATGAAGATCTTTGACTTTTCCTTTTGCTTTTAACTAAGCTTTATTTTTTGTGCCTTTTTAATTTCTATTTATTGTCATATCAAAGGGACAGGTTAGACATCCATTTTTTAAGGTAATCAGTAATAGTGTTCACAGCTCACTGCCGAAATTTGAAGCTTCAAATTCATGTGTGAACAGAATTATCTGCATTTGAAAGTTGAAATAACTACTCGTCATTTCTTGAAACTCTGCCATTTATTGAAAAGGCTTAGAACTATAGAGTAAAATTCCTAGATTGAGGTATTTTTGAGGGAATTATTAGTGTATATAAAAATGCATGAAGCTACCTGTTGGTTTTCCAATTAAACCATTACAGATTTCTAATATTTCTAAGGACTATTTACATATATTCAAGAACCAAATCAACCCCTGAAAATCCCCTGCAAATCTGTCCCTTTAAGTGAAGTTACTTGTTTTCCTTTATTTTGTTAGATTTTCTTTTTAATTTTTGTGCTAAAGTAATTTTGTTTTAGTTGTTATGTCTGTTATATTTATTTGTCACCTTTGTACTGCTGTTTTTTCTGTTCATTAGAGATCCTCAATTCTCTTTATTCATCTTGATATCTTGATACAGTTATATATGCACATTTGGGGTTGCGGTGAAGCATAAGCATAGGTAGTAAATTTTATTGTGGATAAAGTAAAAAAAAGGTTATTATCCAAACCTGCATTATTTGCCTCCTAAAATAGGCATTTGGAGTTGCCCCAGATGTGCAGAACTATCTAAACCTGACAAAAAGAATAGTTATATTAATGTGATAATTTGTAGTTATACATATCAGTGAGTACTTATCAACTATTTTTAGTGTTTATATCATTGATTTAAATCTGCTTATTAAATTTTTATAACCCTTATTGTCATCAATCAATCCCTCTTGTCATGCATATAATTTTAACTGATATATCAATATAATGTAACCAACCATTTTCTCCATGTATTAGTTATTGCAGTGCTTTGCTTTGTTTTAGGAATGTTTTTTTTTTTATGAATTCTAGTCAGAGTGCCAGCCAAAACTATACGTCACATATGAACTATTAGGCTGCCTTATAAAACCTGTGAAACCAAATCTGATGTATATGACCCACTTTTTGTATTCCACTATTCAAAATATTCTCAATAATCAATTGTAGAATGATTATATTGTTTTTCGTTTTAATCAATGATTCCTTCAAATTGAGCCACCAAAATTTCCGCCAAATTGAAAATGTTTCGTTTCGTAAAAGGAACTCAGTAATCATTAAACATAACTAATTTTAGCGCAAATTATCATTTAGCGGAATGTGCTCTAAGTGGCGGTTGGGATTTATAACCCACCCATGCTTATTAAGACAATCGTTGCTTCACCGCTTCCTTGTATAAATCATAGAACTATAATATATACGAAATAGCAAACAATATATGATTTAGTTAATAGTTTATTTAGAATTTCATGTGTAGGCCTATATATTCTTTAAAGATAACATGCCAGGCAAGGTAATATACGCCTACTGGCAGCTTTGATTTTGAATAAAAAATATCTGGCAGTAGGCTACAGCAACAATCACCAGTATGAAATATTCAACCTTCAGCCATACACTTCTTCTGAACACTTTGGGGTGATACTGAATAATATTGAGTATGAGTTATTGCACTTGTTTTTGAAAACGTGTTCAATTTTTAGCTCGTGAAAACTCTAGAAGGCAAATATTCAACCTTCAGCGCGGTAATGAATAGTAAAACCAAGTTTTGTCAAAATCCGACAAGAATCGTGCCTTTTAGTGTTTTAGAGCTAAATTTGAAAGAACGAGGTCAATAACTCCTATGAAACATTTTTGAATTTTTTTTTACTTTTGATAGGGTTCATCCTAGAGTGTTTACGAGATACAATTTAAACTCTCGATTCTGCTGATTTTCGGGTTCATCCTTGTGTGATAACGATCACTCACGCCAAGTTTCATCAAAATTCATTTAGAATATTGTGCCGTCGAGAGTGTTTACGAGCTAAGAATTGAACGTGTTTTCAAGAACAAAGGCAAAAAACCATACTAAATATTTTTCAATTCTTCTGATTTTCAATAGGTTTCATCCTTGGGTGATTACGAACACTCACTAGCCAAAACTATACGTCACATATGAACTATTAGGCTGCATTATTAAACCCGTGAAACTAAATCTGATGTATATGACCCACTCTTTGTATTCCACTATTCAAAATATTATCAATAATCAATTGTAGAATGATACAGAAAATATATTAAAATTTAAAACAGAAACTGAAACATGTTCAAGCGGTGCAATCTTCAGACAACTGACCAACAGTATTATTTTCACAGCCTGTTCTAACAACTAAATATACATTTCCATGTAAGCCCCTTTGAACTGCATCACTAACAGGGGAGAACCAGGCTGAAAAAATCGTGCAGGTATTATATTATCTCAGCCAAAGCCAGTATTGAATTAAAGGCCATCCGGTTAGCAAGCAATCATGTAACTCACTGAGCCACTGCTGCTCCCCTTTTATGATCATAATTTAAATAAGTAACTCACTAATGTTTAAAACCTGTTTACTTTCAAATACTGTCATATGTTTAACAGTATCATGTTCAGAACCTTTTACATTTCCACCTGTAGAAAATATGAAAACCATATAAGCTACGGTAGCTAGTTTTTATGACTCTATTCCAGTAGACATCTGCCTTAATATATCTCTTTTAAACCCTGTTTCTCTCTTGCACTGAGTAAATGGTCTTATTTGACATAAATCCTTTGGAGAATTTGCCTGATCAAATCAAAATGAAATGAAATTAATGTAGTTTTAACGTCCTATCCTCAAATCAAAAAAGTTTTAAGGGAATGATGTAAATAAGTTTGAATTGATCCCGATATACTTTATGTTAATATATTTTATGTAGTTCTGTTTACCAGGCATGCTTTGTTCTTGGCACTGTATATCATTAAAACATCGCTATTATATTTGTACAGCAGATTAAAAGTAATTGGTAATATGAACAAATTTTGAAAATAATCCGGATAGGTCTGCCTAATGAAACATGAGTTCATAAAACAAGATAATAAATGTGAATAATCAATACTCAGTTCAAAATATACACACTCCTAATCTAAATATCATCAATATTGACATTAAAAAAGAGGCCTCTTGATCTTGATCAATAATAAAAAATCATGATTCTGTTCGGAAAAATTATTCTAATATACCAATAGGATACCAACATTTAATTTCTTTTGGTTTCAAAAAAGCACCACGTAGTTTAAGATGAACGGATTTTTGACTGAATTTGCTATCATTCTCAGCTGGAAAAAAATGCCAAAATTCCAACAAGTAAGTTTTAAATAGATTCTGTTCGGGTGGGTTTCAGATTAGAGTCTTGTCTTGAGTTTCAACGAGGAGACACACGAGGAGACAAAAATCTCCAATCTCTCACGTGCGGATCATGTAATTGAAAGAAAAATGAATCTGGTCGGATGATGACAGTCCGTGCAGACGATAAAACTATCGGAGACAATTATCAAACTTATTCGACATTATAAATCCCGTCAGCGACACGATAATCTTGTCGTGGAAACCCGAGCACATGCGAGATTTTACTCAAGATTCGAGTCAGTGACAAAAATCTCCGACCGCTCGGGTGAAGACTAACAGTACACACCTAATTTCGTGGAAACCTATTATTCGTGCATTTCCGGAAAGGATTAATAATTTACATGAGCGACCTTGCGCGACCTCCACATTTAGTTTGTTTTAATAAAAATGGGTTTTCTCTACAATATCAGCTTGTAGAATGAATCCAATAGTTTCAAGCAAGGTAAAATGTATTACTGTATACTTTGACAAATACAAAATGGCGGATTTCAGTTATTACCAAACATCACCATTTTTTATTGGCCGAATTTCCTTATAATTCCTAGCCGTAATCGGAATTCCAAGTGTCGTCTGCTAGAATGTAGTCCAACGAATGAAGTCACGTGATCAACTAGCGGATTCCGTGTCAGCAGAAAATTTCTATGGAACACAAAGTGGACCATATACTTATGTTGTTTCAGTGACTTTTAGCAATAAATCACGCTACGTACCTTATTTTGTCAGTCACTATTTTTTTTTTTAAATCGTGGTTCTTTGAAGGAATTGTCACTAGGTATAATGAATTGATATTAAAGATAAATACTAAGTGAAGTTAATTATACCACCCGGTATCCATACAACGTGTTTTTCTAGACTTATTTATAGTTCAAACATTGTACACGAAAATAGGTGACGCATTCTGCCGCCGTTGCCGAGTTGGTTGCTCATGAAATATGGGTCAAAGTGAAGAATTCATAAAGAAAATCGAAATAAACCAATTTTAATTATTTTGTAGAATATCTGAGGAAACATCTAAGACATAAAAAAAAAATTTCGTTTTTTAAACTTTGACGAAATTCGGTGTTGAATCCTTATATCCACGAAAATAGGTAATTACACCACTGTAATATTTTGAGGCCAATATTCCAATTCTAAAAAGAAATTACTGACAAATTTCAAAAACCTTTTACTTTTCACAGACAATAGGTTTTGTTTTTTTTTATTGTTTGCGTTGAAATTGGATTATTGTTGTTTGGATCATATTTTGAATCAGAAGAAAAATAGAAATTGGCTATAGATTGTTTTTTGTTTTAATCAATGATTCCATCAAATTGACGCCACCAAAATTTCCGCAAAATTGAAAATGTTTCGTTTCGTAAAATGAACTCAGTGATCATTAAACATAACTAATTTTAGCGCAAATTATAATTTAGAATGTTCAATTCTTCTGATTTTCAATAGGGTTCATCCTTGGGTGATTACGAACACTCACACCCAAGTTAATCTATATCATTCTTTTAAACTAACTTCACAAACATTGCTCTATCACTAAAGGCTACGCCTACATGCCTGTGCTTTCGTAACATTGCATTGTTACAACCTAAAATTCCCAAGTTTCGTTTAGCTTGGGTGATTACGAACACGTGACTCAAGCCTAGTCTTGTCAAAATCCGTCAAGAATTGTGTCTTGTAGAGTGTTTACGAGCAATTGTGGACGGACGGATGGACATGGGTGACGGCAACATAAGCACCTCTCACCCCCCCCACCCCCCCCCCATTTTATGTGGGCGTATAAAAATAGTTCTAACAGTGCTGTAATCTCTTTGTTGGGTACGCTTTTAATCACAAAATCATTAGCAGATTGGGTACGAATTTACAAATAACATTTATAATTTTTATTGCTAAAGAGCTTTTCACTGTTTACATGAATGCTCCACCTTTGACTTTATTAATTTTATTCTTGACAGAGAAATTAAATAGTATGACATAAGCCATAAAGATAAAGTAGTGAAGGCAAGGGTCGGTAGGTATTTTCTGTTGAGGAAAATCCTTTATCTTGGATATTCTTATCTTACTCTCTTTCGGCTTTGTCTCAGGAACAAGTTTGCAGGTGCTCACAACCTTTTAATTTCTTTCACGGAAACTTAATAATTGTGTTTATTCAGATTTATCTAATGCAATTCCCATATTGCTAGTCAGGAATATCTGGCCCTATTCCAGCCTCTGGATCTGATGGTTATTTTGACATTTGGTGGCTGGAGTAGATTCAGATAAACGCAATTTGATTAAAATTACAATTCTATTTTGTAACTATTGTTTTTATTGTTACCAAGTAATCTAACAAGATTTATAACATTTATAGCAGTCAACCATGTGCCACGCTCCAAATCCAATTCCAAATCATTTAACAAGCAAGTAAACTAGGCCCTGTATTATGAAATATTTTTCATTTACCTGCTGCCAGATCCTGCTATTTCGAAAATATGGATATTTTTGTAGTTTAGTCATACTATTATTATCTCCATACTATTTATGTCACGTCTGAGGTTCCATCATAGATTTTTTTACGAAACTAATCTCACACGGTCAGCAAAGACCGTGTGTGACTCAAAAAGTTAAGAAGTCACAGGGTAATGTGATACTAACAAAACAAAAGTACCGTAGCTTTTTAAAATAACAATCAGAAGCTGAGATCGAGGCAAATGATGCATATTTAATTTGAGTCTGTGATTTATGACATGATCAATAAAATTGATTAAAAAACTTAAACTAGATAGACATTGTAAACTTTTGTACTTTATAGGTGATTTTTTTATCATTTGAATGAATTATTTATGAAATAATTAGAAAACAACAGCATGGAGCAGCCTGGAAAATCAGATGGTATGTACATTTACATTTCTTGAGTTTTTCAGAGATTGTTGACTTCAATCTAAAAATAATATAAAAAGAAATTGGAATAAGCAAAGACTGTTAATTTATTTTTTTTTGTATGCAGTTTGAAACAAACTTAAGATTATTAGAGATCCCAGACTTCCTCTATTTTTCTGGCCGTTGGTATTTTTTTTATTTTCAGATAAAACCTATTGAAAATTAGTTTTAGGAATGACAAGATTTCTGTATGGGAAATGACTTCCAAAGCATCTTAAAATGGTTAAATCTCCCCCTTTACCTCACACGAGAGTCTGTGGCCCTCTTTACCTTCAGTTGATATTTTCCATTTCCTCTATTTTTTCGTTCCTCTATTATTTTCGGTCCTCACTGGGATCCCTGGATTTTTAAAACTGTTTCCAGCATCGTAAATTCAAAGTACTAATTTTAAGACTGAAAATGTTTTCAAATGTTTTAAAAATGAATACATATTGTGTTGAAACGGTTTATCAGTTAACCGATTTCAGGTAGTATTTCACGAGTAACCAGGTTGGATTTGAAATAATCGGTTAACCGGCAATTTTATAAGAAGTAAAAAGGGGGCAAGTTTTTTTATTATTTTTATTATTTCAATCGGGTATGAGTTGCTTAGAATAAAACAGTTATAAAAATTGTATTACTTTTTATTAACTCTTCAAGCTTATTAATATTCATGAGTTTGGATTCATTGAGACAATAGTTTTATACCAGTACACTGATTCACTGCGACTTCAATACACTCATTACACTGACCCCACAACTGGTATAAAAACCTTTGATCTGTTAGAGACTGTAGCAATGAGTGACAATGGCGCCAGTCCGTCTGAACTCTGTCAGGCCTGCTCGTAATCTTACATTGAAGCACAAGCTTCAATGTAAGATTACATGCAGTCCTGACAGAGTTGTTTGATATCTGTCGATTTGTACCGACAATTTGAGGGGAACTAGCCAAAATCTTCCTGGGTACTCATTTACACTTACCGGTACTCGAGTTTAGTTTATGGTGAATCCTTTTATAATCTTAAGTAATTAACAGGGTAACAAACGGTTATTGTCGACTATTACCCGATTCGTAAAATTCACTAACCGTTTCAGCACTAATGCATATAGATCTATATGTTTATGGATAAAGATAAAAAGTCAAAATCTCTCTTCTACTGTCACTTTTATATTATAATGAGGCAAATTTCCAATATATTTGTTTTATAGAAAAGGATTTTTTGAGTGGAGTTGTTAAGAAAATTGGAACCTTTCTTGGGTAAGTTTTAGTTATCACCAGTCAAATCAGGTTCAGATTTAGTTGCAGTACAGTGTGTAATTTCCTCTTTTTCACTTTTTAGGTAATACATGTATTTATGTCTCTGATATTTTTTTCCACCGACAGATGTATTCCGTATCAAACAATCTGTTATGAAGTGATCAAATTATTTTGTTACAGAACAAATACTGAAGCTATGGAAGTAGATTACAATGATAATTTAGATTATTATAACTTTAATCATACGAAGCGTGGTATAGCTGTAGTGGTTGTGAATGAGAAATTTGAGGGACACAGTAAAAGAGCTGGAGCTGAACTAGATAGAGAACTTCTATCTTATTGTTTTAGATCCATAGGATTTGATGTCAGAGTTTTTACCAATCTGAATGGTTTTCAATTAGTAACAGAAATGGAAAAGAGTAAGAACTTCTTCCTGAATGTTTGATGAGAGATGTCATTTTTCCAGTGAGAATGTTAACAAATAATATTGATATAAGTAGCATACACAATATAAACATTGAGGTCCTTTTTCATTTCACATTAAATGGATACAGTGGTCCACAGTTCAGTTTTCATTCAAAAAAGTACCAATGATTACTGGTTATTACTTTGCCAATTATCCCCCTTTCAATTGTGATGGCTTTACAACTTGGTTGATATATTCATTATTATCTTCTTGTAGTTGCTTTAGAGATGACAAGGGATCCTGATTTTGATTGTTTTGTGTTTGCTATGAGTTCTCATGGTGATAAGATTCAGAGTCACATTGATCACAATACAATAGTAGAAGAAGATATAATACATGCTACTGATGGCTATATTCCAACAGAGAGAATATTAGAGCTCTTCTCAGATGAAAACTGTAAAGGTTTAATTGGAAAACCAAGATTATTCTTCCTACAGGTAACGTAATGAGTTATTTTGAATACAAAATTTAAATCTTAGCAGATATCTATGTTAGAAGCATGAAAGAAATTGAATTACGCAGGTGTAGAAACTATAAAAGATTAGAAACATTATGATATCAGAATTGGCGATAGCATTTTGCATTCATTTGCATGCTATAAGATTGTACTTTGTGCTTATTTGTAGGCTTGTCGTGGTAATTTGTTTGATATTGGTACTACTGTTATAGATGAAGTAGATTCAGCAAGTGATAAAATGGTGATAACAAGAATACCATGTTTTAAAGATTATTTAGTAATGTGTGCTACACCTCCTGGTTAGTATATTGTCACTTTTATTAAAAATAAATGTTGCGATGTTGGCATGCATTTCTTCAATGTTAATGAAAATGCAACTTATTATTGTTAATCGATATTGAACAGTGAACATTATAAGAGTTCATTAGAAATCATAGTTATCTCATTTACGATTTTTAAGATAGGTTTACATTTACTTTGATGTAACAAACCTTATAATATTATGACCCATGTATACAGTGGTGTAACCTATTTTCGTGCATATAGGGATTCAACACCGAATTTCGTCATAGTTAAAAAAACAGGATTTTTTTTTTATGTCTTTGATGTTTCCTCAGATATTCTACAAAATAATTAAAATTGGTTTGTTTCGATTTTCTTTATGAATCCCACACTTTGACCCATATTTAATGAGTAACCAACTCGACAACGGCGGCAAAATGTGTCACCTATTTTTGTGTACAATTTTTGATTTATAAGTAAGTCGAGAAAAACATGTTGTATGGATACCCGGTGGTATGATTAACTTCTTTATCTTTAATATCAATTCATTATAACTAAAGACAATTCCTTCAAAGAACCAAGATTTAAAAAAAAAAAATAGTGACTGACAAAATAAGATACGTAGCGTGATTTATTGCTTGTGTTCCATAGAATTTTCTGCTGACACAGAATCTGCTAGTTGATCATGTGACTTCATTCGTAGGACTACATTCTAGCAGATGACACTTGGAATTCCGATTACAGCTGGGGATTATAAGGAAATTCGGCCGATAAAAAATTGCGACTTTGGTAATAACTGAAATCCGCCATTTTGTATTTGTCAAAGTATACATTAATACATTTTACCTTGCTTGAAACTACTGGATTCATTCTACTAGCTGATATTGTACAAATAACCCATGTTTATCAAAACAAGCAATTGCGGAGGTCACGCAAGGTCGTAAATTTTTAACCATTTCCGGAGATGCACGAAAGATAGGTTAGCACAAAATAAGTTTACTTGACTGTAATACAGAATTTATTATTTTTATTGAATATAATCCAGATCTCTGATTTGATATACTAATTGTATCGCGTTGGAAAAGGACTATACTATACTGAATGAAAAAACATGTTTACAAGCTAATTTTTTATTTGTGGTAATATCAAAATGTCTAATTTGATTTGTTCTAGGATTTTATGCTTTTCGAAGACCATCTGAGGGTTCATGGTTTATAATTGAATTATGTCGTGCCCTCCAAAAAGCTGGCAGCAATCAACCAAATATACTGAAACATTTACGATATGTTTCAAAATGTGTGGGTCGTAATTTTGAGTCTAAATCTGAGCAATCATTGTATAATGCCAAGAAACAGTCACCAGTAATATATTCTATGCTTGTTAAAGATATCCTTTTTAATTAAGTTTCATTTTATTTTCTTCTAATTATTTTTGTAACATAATATTTTAGCACAAAACCTACACGTAAATTTTAATTTTGTTAAGTATTAATTGTTTGTTATATTTTTGATGTAAAATTGAAATTTTGACTATTTTATTTAATTAAATTAGATACATTAGATATTATTTGTAAAGTGCCTCAGAAAATTCAGGGAAAGATGTATTTTTGTACATTCTTTTTCATTTAATCTTTACGTGTTCTTACTCATTATGCTTGATTTCCATTAAGTCATTAGTAATATAAAATATAATTTTCCAGAAATGAAATATTCTAACATTTTCATTTTCTCAGATCAAAGCTTGGTAATACATTCAAATACAGTTTTATTTTTTGGTTAACTTGCTGTTAAATATCGGTATAAGCTTTTTATAGCTCTTTTGAGAAAGAAAGTCTTACATCTGATTTCCATTCTGAAAAGACAAATAGCCAGAGTTAAGCTTGTTTTAATAATGCCATTACAAATTTCATAATCTCATACCTGTCAGAAATCTGATTAGTCATTAGCTGTGATACAACATTAATTGTCATTAGTGATTGAATGGAGGTGACAATCTTAAGATTCTATCAGTTTTAATACATAAATGCAGTTCAAATGCTTTTTTTAGCAAAAAAGTTTCACACATAAAAACTAGTGCATATTAGTAGGATTTTCTTTTTATGGTTCATGTCAAATGTATTACGTAATACTCTTATGTCTTGTCATTCAGCAATCTACTTGTTATTGAATTAAGATCTTACAAGCCAATGACTTTCCTTGGTGCCTTTTTTATTTATTGTTATTTTAAGTTTAGTTGTTATATTTGTATTTAGTTGTAATTTATATTCTTAAATTGACAATGTTTGATTTTAATCATTTCATAGTTCTAAAGATGTTTCCTACATGATAACTCTTAAAAATAGGGATATTGAATTTATAAAAAAAAAAAAATATAGTCTTGAAACAATCTGCTAGATGAAACATGTTTTATTAGATATCACATGATTATTTGTGATCTATTCCAAATGAAAGCTTTAGATCCTTGACTGGACACAACGATTTTATCACATAACTAGTGGAAAAAGCTAGGAATTATTCAGACTGTTTTCGTGACTATTTGATCATAACGTTTTGTACATTATTTGATGATCAATTGTATGATCCATCTTAATTTTTTACAACTTATGAATCTCTATTGGAATTTAAAATCTAACAGTTATCTCAGGATTAAATGATGCCATAGATATCCTTGCCATAATAATAAGGATACTGTTAAGTACAGCAATTTGACAGTTTTTATTTTATTTACTTTCTAATTTTTGTGCTAAATCAAGTTTTATTTTAGTTGTTTTGTCTGTTTTTATTATTTGATCATATTAACTGTTTTTAAACTTGGAGAAGTTCAATTCTGTTAGAATTAATATTCATCTTGATATCTTGATACAGTATGTATAGTTAGACAAAGATATTATGCAAATTTGGGGTTGCTGTCAAGCATAACCATAGGCAGTAAATTTATAACAATAATTACGTAAGATTATGACTTATGATTGAAATTACAACAGCACAAGCCGAGGTACAAAGCTACAAAGTAGGGAGTATTTTAGCCAAACCTGCATTATTCACCTAAAATAGACTGAGTTAAGTTTTTGAATTTCCCCATGTGCATAAGTATCTAGGCCAGACTATAAAATAGTATTATTGATGTGATAATTTGTAATTATACATATCAGCAATTATTTGCCTATTTTCAGTGCTTGTATCATTTTTTTTTATCTGTTAATCTATTTTTAACTTAGTTGTCATCACTCTTGTCATGCATATAATTTAAACTAATAAGGGGACACTATCAATATGATGTAACCAACCATTTTCTCCAAGTATTAGTTATTTATATATAGATTCTCTTCTCTGATATTTATAATTAGGAAAGAAGAGTGAATATGAAGTTATTGTTGAAAAAAATTTACATTTTTATGTAATGGTCTTCATAAATTGATTACTCCTAAATGAACATGTAACTAGCATATATAATTCTTTAGGATTGCTCTTCAATAATTTTTATAGCTTTATCAATTCCAACTTCATCAAAATAATTGATTCAAATAGGTATATGAAGCAAAAACACATATAATAAGGCTTGGCATTTCAATTTTTGTGTCTTCCTAATTTTTATTTGATTAAAATTAGTCTTGTAGAATTAAGAAATGTAAAGAAAATCTTTAAAACTTACAAAGCATGCACTTTGGACACAATTTTTACCATTTGGTAATATCAGCAGTTTACGATAATTGCATATTATTATGTAAATCAATCAAAAATAATTTTCAATACATGTATTTTCTTTTTTAAGAAAAAAAAATTCAACAGTCATTCCACCTGTAAAGTGTAAAAATTATTTTGCGTCATATCTTTATTTGTTTTGTTTTTTTTTGTATTATCCATACTTATTGCTTAAAACATCACCAAACAATCTTCCTTTAGGTGAAAACATAAACTTCGCAATATGGAGAACAGAACAATTTTTATGATATATAATTGTTGTATTTTTATGAAATATAATTGTTGTATTTTTATGAAATAAAATTATTTTTTATGTTGGATTGATTTATTTTGAAATTTATGTGAGATTTTTTTACTGTTCTGTCCTGAGACTACAGTTGTAATGCTGTATAAAAACAGCCCCATCCATATGTTTCCATTTGCGATATCAGCATCCGTTGGAAGCGAACGTTAACTTGTCATCTACCAACCAACCTATGTTTCCATTACTGAGAACCCTTATTAGCCATTATATATTTGATATTCAATGTCCATTTTTTAATAGTCTAATTTTCATCAGACTCTTTGCCTTGTATTAGATTTATGTCCATTTCTCATATTTAATTCTTTTAAATTCTAATTCACATATTCCAATCTCTCTCTAATTGTCCAATTTCTTGTTACTCCTACTTTAACTCTGTTTCTCAGATTTTCGGTTATTCCTACCTTATCTCTATTTCTCATATATCCTGTTTTTCCTCTCTATTTCTCAGTTATTCTCCCTTATCTCTATTTCTCAGTTTATTCTCCCTTATCTCTATTTCTAAGATTTCCTCTTATTCCTACCTTATCTCTATATCTAAGATTTCCTGTTATTCTTACCTTCTCTCTAATTCTCAGATTTCCTATATTTCCAACGTAATCTCTATTTCTCAGTTTTTCTGTTATTCCTACCTTATCTCCATTTCTCAGATTTCCTGTTATTCCTACAGTATCTCCATTTCTCAGATTTCCTGTTATTCCTACAGTATCTCCATTTTTATACGTCCACATCTCTCTATGTGGATGTATATTGTCAGCACCCCTGTCCGTTCGTTGGTCCATCCATCAACATTTGCTTGTAAACGCTCTAAAAACTAGATTTTTTGATGGAATCAAATGAAATTCGGTATGTGTATACATATTTATAAAACGAAGATCAAGTTAGAATTTGAGCTATTTTCGACCATTAGAATCAGAGTTATTGCCCTTGCCCCAAAATCTTGAATATTTACCATCGCATGCTGTGGTGGACGTATATGGCTGTGGTCCACTATCTTTTGGATTTCCTGTTATACCTACCTTATCTCCATTTCTCAGATTTCCTATTATTCCTACATTATCTCCATTTCTCAGATTTCCTGTTATTCAACCTTATCTCTTTTCGTCTATCTTTCAGAATTCCTGTTATTCCAATCTCTCAATATGTCAGATTTCCTGTTATTCTTGCTCTTTCTCAATTTGGTAAGACATGCTGTTATTCTCTCCTTGTGGGTTTTTGACCTTAGGCCTATCACCGTTTCCTAGATATTTAGTTCTTCTTAACTTTTCTCTATTTCTGAAATATCCTCTATCTCATAAATTTCCAGATATCTGTTATAATTTTGTCATGTCCTTGCTTATCTGGTGGATTTTGTTGGCCTTTTGACTGCCCCATTTGGACATGGTACGTGTGACTTATTTTCATGTTAATCAATAGGAAGGTAGAAAAAGAATGGACAGTTTCCGTCTTTTGAGAAGAATGTTTGGAATTTAATGCATTCATTTGACATCCCACAACCATACCATTATAGTATATTATAGTTATATGGTTTGATAAAAAAAATGGGCAGCTTTGCTGTAGCCTACCAAAACTATTTCTGAAACCACCTACAAAGAGATGAAAAAATGGGTAGATAGGCTTTAATATCATAATGCAGATGTGTGATATTGTAAAACTGATTTAGGTTACAAAATGTGGAGTCAGTGCATCGAAGGAAAAGGTATTGAACATGTATTATTGAGTGTAGGTCAATGTTATTATATGGGCCTATATTATCTTAGTAATAGCCAGCTGTTTCAAACCATACAGTTATGTTTCTAACGCATATTACATCCATTTGATTTGGTAAGGTGACGTGAGCTTCAAACATTAGAATTTTAACAGTTCACTTGAACGAGTAATTTGACAGTAAAGTGGATTCGCCCAAACCCGGACTAAAGATAACTTTAACCTACCTAAACAATTGTCTTATCGAATGGAATGTACCGTCACTGTATCGATGAGGACATTTGAAGACTTGTGAATGGTGATGTAAAATGTGAATAACGATTCATACAAACTAAGTTATACCTTGTTGGTGTTAACGGCGAATATTGAATTCAGTTGCTGAAACAGTCATACAATGTAGCGAGTTTATTTACTGCATTTATCAATATGGAATAGATTAAGCCTGTTGAGTATGAGGTGTGTTCAGTTGTTTTTCTGGTCATGTATTGAGTTTAAAGGGTGACAGGCTGGTTGAACTGGAGGAATGTCATGGTTTTCTATGTTAGTATATAGTATTAAAGCTTCATATATAACTACAGCTTGAGGATTTCATGACATTTAAACATGATTAAATAAGAGAAAAAAGTATAATTTACTTCTACCTCAAAGATTTTATTAAAAGTGATCTAATAAAATGAATAATAATTGTGCCAAGTGTGGGAAACCAGTATATTTTGGTAAGTAAAAATTATTCTAAATCTCCATGAGAAATATTTACCTTTTTGAATAGATTTGCTCAGGGACTGCTGATGAAATCTAAAAATTATATAAATTCCCTAGATATACTGATATAGTGGACATGAAAAGATATCATAATAGGGGGGAGACTGACTGTATCTACCTGAAAATAAATCTGGGACCTGAAAAACCTGGTGTTTAGTCCCCCATTTTTTTATTAGATGCCTTAAAGGTATTGTGGTGAGGAAGAGTTTGGGGGTTACAGCACCAACCTATTAGTAAAGAATAAACCAAATCATGAAGTCAAGGTCAATGGAAGATCCTCAGATTGCTTTAAGACTTTTCACTGACACATTTTGGCAACTGATAGAAATGAAAAGTTTGTATTGCAGAACAATGAGAACATATCTACATTTAAATCAACTGGACCTCAAGGTCAAATGGTGTGACAGAGTTACGCATTACAAAATTTGAATATAAAACATCCATAAAACTTTCCAAGTTATGTTGTTTTGAAAAGAATTGAGTGTCAACCACTACATGTCTATGTAATTCGGCCTCTCTGCACAAGAGATTAATACCTTAATGCAGTGCATATACTAAATATAGCATCATATTTCTTTCAAACTTTTAAGATAATTCAAGGTGGATAAAGTGTGTTCTACATGAGCAAGTCTATATAAAACAAGATCCTGTTTTTTAAAGATTATATGACATATGAATATGATGTAAAATTTTGATATAGATGGAGTGAAAGAAGTGAGGTTTCGAAATATGTGACACAGATATTTTAAAGAGACTGGGAAGAAAATAAAGTGAAATAATCTGTGTCATAATCAGCACCAGAGTATCAATGTGCATACATTGTGGTTTCTGTCGGAAAACTACTTGTGCATAGACTGGTGACACATACAGCGGTTTACTGTTCTTACACATTTATCTTCCTCTTCTCTAAAAAGTTATTTTCTTGTTTTATTATTAACAATATTTATTAACAGATTCAAGCTAACCCTTTTAGCTTATCATGCAGAAACATTCTATTTACATATTCACCATGATTATGAAACAACAGAATTCAACCATATTCTACCATGTAAATATGTGATAAAAAAGATTATATTCACTGACTATTATAATTTTTATGATTTAGTATACTTTGGACCTAATTTATAACATATCATGTAGTTTATTAAAAATCTAAATATAGAAGATTTGTATTCCTGATATAGTGAATGAAATATTTGAATCGGGTTAAAGTAGCTATAAGTATGAATTCAGCTATAATTCAGTAATGCTCATTATATTATATGGCAAAGACCACTAAACCATACATGCAAATTGGATATGTACCAAAAGCTAAGATCCATTGTACTAAAAGCTAAGAGCCTAAGACCCATTGTGTTAAAAAGCAAAGACCACATAAAGACCAAATTGTACTGTGAAGCTAAGACCCATTGTATTATAAAGCTGAGACCCATTGTAGTATAAAGCTAAGACCTGTTGTACAACAAAGAAAAGATCACACAAACACCCATAGTACTATAAAGTAAAGCAAATTAAATACCCAGTGTACTATAAAGACCCAGTGTCTATATAGCATCCACCCTGCTAAGACCCATTGTACCATTGTACTATATAGCTTAGAACCATTGTATTCTAAAGCAAAGATCCCCACATAAACCAAGTGAAGTATAAAGCATAGATCCAGTGTATTATAAAGCATAGGTGATTTAAAAAAGAAACAAGTAGAGATTAATGAAAGGCACCAGAAATTTAAGTTCAAAGATAAACGAAGTTTGAACTGTACACAAAACAGTTACCTACAGATGCTGAAAACGTAATTAGCACAACATGTGTATCAGTAGATAAAATCTTCCCAGTTTATAGATGTATTATAACTCCTTATGATTTCTAGTTCTTAGAACTATCTCTTCAAAAATAATGAAGCCATTTTGTTTGCCATCTTTCACTTCTTTTATTAAATTCCAAAACTTTCAAAGTTGCAAGGTAGCCAAAGAATTTGACATTAATCTTATCAATCCAAGTGTGCAAATGAAAATAACTTTAAAATACACAGGTAATTTCTACTTCATAACACATTAACCTATTTTTATTGTCACAAATCACTCCACCCCTTACTTATTCTTATTCAAGTGTGAAATTTGGTGATTTTCACAATTTGTTGAACTACACTTGTTACATGGTTGATACTGACAATGTCAATATTTTATTAACTTTTAAAACTATTAGTTAGATATAAAGATAGTATACATTACACTTCTACTACTCAACTTTTAAATAATCAAACTTCACTTTTCTTTAATAACATATATGCTGTGTTGATACTAGTGTATTAAGCACTGCAAACAACTGATGAATTTTAATTAAAATTCTTTTTATTTTAGCTATATAACCTTTTCAAATAATATTTGAAGATTTGGTTGGATTGTCAAGGTATTTTTCTGAGACATAGCAGAGGTGGCCTAGCATCAATGCTTAAAAAAACCCCACCTGTTTGTGATGCAAATAAGATTGAATTGATTGAATGCAATATGATAACAGAAGTGATATTGATTTAATTTGATGTATTATGAAAACATTGATGATATTGATTTGATTTGATGCAAGATGATCACAGTGATGATATTGATTTGATTGGAAACCATGATAACAATGGATTATTATTGATTCCCCAGAAACAATATATTAGTGATATTAATCAACAATTATAATCAAATTGACAGATAGAAAACAAAGTCTATAGACCTTTCCATCTTGTTATCAGTATTTTATTTTGCCACTGGGTATTTTTCAAAGTTTTCACAATATTATTTGACAGCATATACATATTTCTATAAATAGTCATTTTTATCTATACTTAAATTATATTCTTAGACCCAAGGTAGCTCATCAAAATAGACATCAGAGCCTGGTTTGGCTCCAGCATAGGTTGAGATTATATACCTTAAGATATGTCAACACAGTCTCCTCCTTGTCAATGAAACAGATTGGTTGGTCTGATACACTAAAAGCCTTTTATTGTTCAGATTGAACATAAATTAAGGTTTTGTATGCTGTAGGTTGAAGATCCCTAGAAATAAATAAAAATCAATACTTTATTATTACAGTTGTTATTAGTAAGAACAGGTTGTCACATAATGCATAGTATTACACAATACTTTAACTTGAAATCAATACTTTAACTTGAAATCAATACTTTAAATTGCATTTTATACTGGTCAATTAATTACTGTAACTCTTAAGTTGAAGTATGTGAGGATTCTTAATGCAGAGTTAAAACATAACAAATTTTGGAAAGGAAGACATGATTTTTTGAATATTCTTGTTATTGTGAAGCCAGAGGTATATACACAGCTAAAAAAAGACAATAGAAAATTGGTAATAGCATTATTTTCTGTGGTAAAAACAACATGAAACTCTCATCCAGGGGTTTTCAACCTAGGCCATATTCTCTAACACGAAAATGATCACAGGGAAAACTTTAAAGAAAATCACAAAATCGTCAGGATTTATAAGCGAAATTTTAGGTTTATAGGTAGAATTTTTAAGCCTGAATTTTTATTGGTATATAAATTTGAATAAAAGAGCAATCTAAATCCAGATATCCTGTTGAAATTTTAAAGCCAAGCTATATACTCAACTATAAACAGTATATTATTTCTGTATTGTCTGAGTGATAGTATAATGTTATACTGTATTGTTCGAATGAAACTATACATACAGGAAATTATCAAAAGAAATTATCAGAATATATCCATTATTTACAGTCTGTTTGAAGTTTTCAGAGAGATAGAATGATTTGATTATGGTAGAAAAGACTTAATGTTCTGGAGAATTCCTTCAGGATACAGATAACAATTTATTTCTAGCTTTAATCTCATTATTTGACTTGGACCTGTCTTCACAGACAATGACTAATACTATTTCAGACTAACTTCTGAATCAATCAAACCAGAAAGTAAGACCTTCAGAATCCTGACATCAGGAAATCAGAATCTTATGGTTTTGAAAGCATAAATATGACTGCAAGAAGCACTCTGAACCAATTTAATAAGTATTTTATAAGGCAGATACTCAACCATTGAGTTGTAAATATTTGGAAATAACTGATATTAAATAAAAAAAAAATATAGACTTATTATTAGGATGAAAAAATGACACTTTGAGCACCAAAAGGATAATAATGTAATTGTGACACATTTGAGCTCCATATTTAAACTTTCCCCCAGACTATTTTGATACCTATCAAATCATGTAATATATTCTAAATAGAAAGTACATAATGTATGATTTCATTTTATTCATTTTTAGGACATTTCATTAATCATGCAATTTATTTGTATTTTACAGCTGAAAGAAAAACATCCCTTGGTGTACACTGGCATCCCAATTGTTTAAGATGTGAGAAATGTCAACGAGTATTAGTCCCAGGAAAACATGCAGAGGTAAAAAATCATTGTTACATTAATTTTGACACTTCTTGCTAGTTTAATATTGATATTTCTCATAGATTTCATGTTTAGGTTTTAAGCACACACTTAAACAGGTTTCAAATTGTTACCTTTTTAGCCAATTTTGTAAACGATCTTTGAATATTCTACTGATTGAAAGAAATTTATATCAAATATTTAACTTATTAAGGTAATACAGATGCTTTTATCAAGAATATAGTAATATAAGAAGTGACTAACAACCTGTTTTATGAGAGAACCTGTATATGAACCCATGTTACTGGAAACAACATGTGAGACTAAACATGCTTGAAAAGACCAAAGGTGTTGATAGAAAACAAGTATTTAACCTGTTTGGTATATACATGATGATGACACATCTCATTTTACTTCTCAGACTATATATAGCTTCTATTCTCTCTGTTTTAACTAGGGGAGCCAGGTGGCCAAAACCTGAAGATCCAGGGTTCAATCTCAGCATTGGTTCAACCCGGTTTCCCCTTGTCAGTATGCAGGTCAGACATGGAAACAGTGTCAGACAATAAACTGTGCGCTATAGGCTGTGCACGTTCAAGATCTCTCAACAGTTGGAAATCGAATGGAAAAGAGTAGGCTAATGCGGCTGTCCTGGCAAAATTTCTCCCATTGCACTCTGCATGATGGCATTGCCTGCCTATTAAGTGTAGAAGAGTAGGACGTAAAACTCCATTCATTTCATTTATATTTTAACTAGTAGTGATCAAATTGGCTAAAGACAAGCCAGACCTACAGTTCAGTTTGTTCATATCATGGCTGATTTGTAGAATTCTCACACATTGACACTGAAACAGCCTTAATTCAGTTCATATTTGGATATTTCATATGTTTTCTGAATGTGACCAAAATTAGTATACAACAGTAGTAGGCTTACAATTTATTTTAAATGTCAACATTAATGTTGATATGTTTGTTTACAGGGGTTTGTACTTAATCCTTTTAGTTGGACATATATCTGATAAGAAAAGTACAAGAACATAGGTTACTATGATTATACTACTTATTTTACACTGACCTGACCATCATGTTCTACTGGGCAGTGGTCAGGTCAAACTAAGTAAACCACATATATCTGCTGACCAATTCAAGTTATGTAAACATTGCAAGCCCATACAAACTATTACCTTGTCTGTTTGATGATATTGACCTATGTGGTAGTAAACAATGAATTCCTTGTTAACTGTTCTTTTAAAACAAAATGTTAAAAGAGTTGAATGTGTTGCAGTGAAGTTTGCTAGTATTTTTGTCATGTCTAAGATAAAGAAGAAGAAACATAATGAATACTTGTATAGATTTTTCTACTTGATTACCATAGTTTGTGTTCATGATCTATTATTTATACAACTCCTACTTTCATTTTTTATGAACAACCTACCCTGTATGAAGAATGCATCTTTGTTTCATCCGTTACATTCATATTTTCACATGAAATGACATGTAAGGCATAAGATATGTACTGTTACCCTGCAGTAGCCTACTATGTGGCTCAAGCCTTGATAGAAAATGACAGAATGCAACTGTTAATACTAAATCAGAATGTGGTGATGAAAAAGGCCTACTTGCGTTTTGTTGAATAACAGTAGTATTGAAAAAGGCAGAAAGTATCATCATAACCTTATCGGAAAACCCATTATAATAAAAAAAATGTACACAACCAGCTTTTATCCAGTACCTGTACATGAAGTGCCCAGCTAAAATATGATTATACTTAATAATGGTCACTGGTATAAAACAGATGGTGTATATAATCATATCACATGTATTAATGATGCCTGATAATCTGGAAAATAGCTCCCAGAATGCCATAAATTCTCATGCCATGTGCTTAAATGTTAGAGTTCATGACGTTAACATTCATGACTTTAACAGGTTTTAATGACCATTGATATTTCCTGTAAAACAGTCAAGCTTATAATTATAAGTATTAAGTATTAAGTAAGTATTAATTCAATGAAATTTCTCAAATCTCTAAAAAATAAATTATAATGTTTTAATTGTATCTATTTAATGCCCTCAAACATATATTCCATTTCCTCTCTTTTGTTGATTCCTTACTGGGATCCTTGAAGGTGAAATGGGATTAATTTAGGGGTGAATTGGAAAGGGGCTAATTAGTAGGAATGATATGGGAAGACACCATCAATCATAGGTTGCAACCTTTATTTTATTATATCTAGTTCCACTAGAGATTTGATGTTTAATCTTAGAGATGTTACTAGAATAGGAAATGATCAACAGAGTAGTATGTGAAGAAAATCAATATTTTGAGAAGACACTACCAGTTCTGGATTCAATTATTACTCAGTATATCACAAGAAAAGCTTTTAGACCATCAGCTCCACTAGTCTCTTGACAGTCACAATATATATTCTATCATATAATCTAAATATATATTATTTATAGACACTCAAAATGTTTCTTTCAAATCTTGTGATAGAAATTTTAGTTTGTCAACAACTATTTATAAAAAAAGGACCATTGACATCAATTATCCCCCAATGTTTTTTACACCAAAGTGACAGTTTTGGCAATTTGAAATTGAAACAAGTATCATAATAATTGGAATGTTGATTATACTCACATGATATTAAAGCATAGTCTTTATCATGGAAATTCGGTTAAAATCAGGTTTTTCCATTATCCAAAGAAGCATTTTTGCATTTTTTGAAATGTCTTCAATTGACTTGTATAATACCTCATGCTTAATGACTATTAAGTGTTCTATGGAAAAACTCCTACATGTATCTATAGCCAATTAGATCATATATTTTGTTTTTCATTTCAGCATAAAAGTTTACCATATTGTCATAATCCCTGTTACATGGCTCTTTATGGACCGAAACTTGTTGGATATGGATCAAATATTTCTTCTCCTGCAAATTTTCAGAAAAATCGGAATGGAATGACATTTAGTGATGATTTAGACATGTTGAAAACAGAAATATTTAGTTTTGCCTCAACTAAGGCTAATGGATCTGTGTCTGATAAGAAATATGCTACCTCAAAACCAGATGTACGACTTACAATGCCACCTGTAAAAGAGGACAGTATTCCTTCAAAAGAGATCTTTGATTTCTCTACCATAAGGTCAAATTCTCCTAAAAGTGCAATATCCAGACCTCATTCTGCAATTACCCCTAGTGCTACTGCTACAAATGGAATGAAACCAAATATGGAAGAGAAACACCATGTCATAGACTCTAAAATGTAAGTATTTTATTAAATCTATCATGTTATTCATTAAGGTCATACATTCATCACACAAATATCAGATAAAAGCATTCTAATACTAATGTTCCTAACAGTATTAAAACACCAGGAATTTTGATGCAATTTCATTTATTCTTAAAAAAAATAAATTAAACTGGAAAGCTGTATTATGATTCCCATTAATTTTGCAGTTTTGAATGTTGAGTGCTATTGATGCAATATTTTATAGATATTTTATGCTCTTCAATACTTGATATTTTTTTTGCAACAACAGCTGTATTCATATCTGAGTACTATCAATAGCCTTTGAGTAGTTGTCTCCCTTCAAATGTAATTAAGAATTTCTCACCAGGTGGAGTCAGACTAGACTAAAGAATATCAGTCATAATAGTAATACACATGTGGTTACAACTATTGTAATAAATGTTTACCTATGGGATTTAACTGTTATGATTTGTCTTCTAGTAATTGGGTAAGGTTAACAAAGTGTGTTCATTTGAGTGTGACATATGCCTATCCTTAAAGATTGAAATCATATGGTTTTATTGTTGGTTGATGTGTTTTTAATCTTGGTTACGCCACTTATCCTACTTTTACTTTACTCTGAGGCCAAGGGTCTTATGTCTCTTGTTGGTAGGCAACTGTGTAGATGTAAAGGCCATCTTGAATCAAATACCCTACATTTAATCTTATGCTTGAATAATACATAGGGCCTATGGGTATTGCAGTGATGGCGCTAGCCTACTGAGACTGAGGGTACAAATATGGGGCTGATTCAATGAGGCGACAAATTATCGCGGCTGAATTCAAAATTACGTGGAGGTGTAGTAGTCGCAAGTCTCTCATGGAGTGTCTGAGAGGGTTTTCCCATGAAAATTTGTGAAAAAATGAATTGATTTGGTGCATTCTAAGACATAATTTGGTTCAAAAACACATTATGATAATATTTTAAATTTGTTAACAATAACAGAACCTCTTCAAATCCATGAGTATAAAGAACATCTGCTTTTAAAAGTTAAAATGAAGACTTGTCTTATCTTGTTACTCCATCATATATAGAGGGAGAAAGTTTAATTTCTAGTTTGTAGTATATTTTAAGGAATTATGCATTTTTTGTACAGTCATAGTAGCTTTGAAGACTATTTTCATATTTAAGACCCAAATCAACCCTCAAAATGGCTTACCATTGCCTTTAAGCATTATGAATCGTATATGCTGTCATGTCCAAGCCATAGCAATACATTGATAGTTGAGGCTACAATCAGTAGATTATTGATGCTAGAAACGAGCAACCTTACATTTTTGTTAGCCTACTTTGTCTATTGCTAATATTGACATCTTATCAGTTATACATAGGCCTACTTCCTCATTCAATTGTGAAAATCAATTAAATGTACGGAGACCCTTAGCTGATAGCCTATCTGATCGACTAGATGTCATCTCATACCTTATTAGGAATGTCAACATTTGTGTAATTATTCCTGAATAGGGGCAAATTTGGCGTTAACTGGATGCCCTTGACTTTGGAAATGGTGTCAAATATCACTAATGTCAATGTTATAGAAGCTGCATTTTTTTCTCCGAACTTAATGGAACAACATGGTTTGCATGTGCATATTAATGAGATCTGGGTCATGTTTCATTTCGGCATTTATGGATGAACAGAGTATTTTGTAGTTATTCATCTTGACATCAAATTTGGATTGTAAATGCAACAGTTTTTTTTATCTCATCTTGAAACTTGGTATGCATGGGCCTATTGATAAAATCTCAGTCAAGATGTGATGATTTTCAGAAGAATAATTTTGAGTGTCGTTTAGTTAATAAAGAAAGTGATTGTCAGTGGATGTAGGTTACCTTTGCTGGCAAGCTTTTTTATGATAAGGTGTAAGATTTGTTCAGATTACCAAGAGCAATATAGTTTGCCTGAAATGACTAAAACTTTTTTCTCATAGATATACAACTTGTCATTTAGCAAATGAATTAATGATGATGTATACTGGCACTGAAGATTTGTAACAGAATTTCATATGTTATTAATTAGATATCAAACCTTCAATATGGCAGTCTCCCCATTTACTAGTAGTTGCATCTATGATAGCTTTTGATTAAATCCATGCACAAAATTTATGCAAGTTAAATTGAAAATGAAAATATTATACGTTTAGTTTGATAAACTTGTTGCTGTAATGGTTTACATCTCATTGTCACCACTCTAGGACAAAACAATTAAATCTATCACCATAAGCTCTTTAAAGGAAGGAAATATTGGTCATTTCCTGTATGATGTTATTGACAATAATTTTAAAATTGATCTCATTTTGGTAGAGTTGGTTGAAGCATATACATAAACTAGATAGATTTTGTTTTTCTAGAGAAAGTTTATTTTGAATATCTGTAAGAATGAGTGGTAGTAGAAAATCAAGGTGTCTGTCTCAGTCGTCTGCTTCAGGCTTAACAAATTATATATTGAGATTTCGAGGTAGTGATGAGTACAGGTTAGTTTGATCTACACACTAAGACTGGTGTTTACAGAAGTTTTTCTCAGTATATTTTTTTTAGCTTTAAGTCTTGTCAGATGAATAAGATATCAAGTATTAGGTTTACTAGAGACTTCTTATGAAATATTTTGATATCTAGCAGGTATGATGTTTTATTTAATGATTTCTACTTTATTATTTCATCTTATTAGAAAAGTGTGCTTTGAATGAAGTCAATCCTTTACGTGTATCATATTGTTTTGGTAAAACAGCAGACTAAATTTGACACCTAACACAATTTCTATTTTAGATACGAAAATATGTTCTATTGATTATATACAAAGGTTCCAGTGTCTGTCAGTAAGAAGTCTTTAATCATGGAAATTCAACTATAAATGGCTACTGCATACTGTAATTCTTATTCCAACTCTCTCTTATTCTTGTATCTCAATTTTACATCAGCTGTATTTTGGAATCATCTTTTCTCTTAAAGCGAAAGATATATTTGTCATAATGATTTTTTGCTTTACCATCTGATATGAATTTATTACATACACAAATACCACTGCACAATGTAAATCAGATTTTGGGTATGCTCACATTTAAATGAAAGAAAAACATTGGTATGATCTATGTAATCATGGTATAAATGTAATACCTGTTCAGGTATGAGTGATGAAATAAAGTGTTATGGCCTTGTAAAACAATATTTAGAACACTATATCCCTATACTTTGAAGTTTTGTGTTTCGAAATATGGAAAGAAAGTTCTTTCAATGAACACAAATGGCTGATTTAATATGCATTTTTTATGTGTGATTTCGATTCAATGTTTCTAAAATTTATTTTTAGTTGAATAAAATAAATTTTGGCAATGTATAGGTGGTAGAAATACAAGTTGTTCAAGTGACATGCTAGTAGACTAACTTGAATAATGTTGTGTTTAAATGGTTTAATTATAATGACTTATTCATTGCACACTATGTGCCAAATCATATACTCTAATGGGTGTGTCCTATATTTAATCTTTATTTTACTTTTGTGAAAGCTAGATATATATTATCAATGCTTGACAGACAAGTTCTAACCAAAAGGGTCTGTGTGCAGAGGCGGTTCATCATGAATTTGTGATTGTTTGATGGTGACCCAAATATTGACAAGTATTTCTTCTCTTATTTGTGATCTAAGATGTTAGATATAGTCATGTGTTCAAATTTGTCTTATGTGACATATCAATGTTGAAATTGTCTTTGGGCTATTTTTTAAAACTGTGGACTTCTCTTTATATCTAATGGTTTAAGCTAGTATATTTAAAGTTAATTACTTGTGAGTGATATATAATAAGGTTAATTGATAGTGTTGTTAATAACTTTCCTGTTTTCAATATATTTGTATTAGTTAATTATGTGTATAATGATACTGTTAAGCATATTGGTTAGATTTATAAAGTGAGATTTGAGAAAAGGAAGTGGCATGAAAATTGACTTTTCTTTGATATGAATAGAGTAACGGAATTTCTATTTTCTTATTAAAGTTAAAGGTATTATGTTGTCAATTCATTGAAAAATTAGATATTTGTGCAATTTCACTTTAAGGATATTTTGGTTGTGGGTACGTATTATAATGAAAATGGGTCTTGATTGACAATATGGGAATTATCTGGTGTTTTTCAGACAAGAAATGTTGAAGAAAGTTGAAACATATAATCAATATTATAAAGGGAAGATTCGACACCAGGTAACAACAGAAGAGGTATGTACAGAAATATCTATGATAATATAAATTATCTAAGATAACATTATGAAAGAGTACAAGAACACATGTTATAGCTGGTATTCTGAAGAAAAGTGTATATTTACCTAAAAACTCTAAGAAATGTGAAGATATCAGTTTATTAATGGGTTACTGGTAAATCAAAACCAAGCAAACCTACTTGGCAATAATGTTTTCTACTCTAAAGACTCATGTGTAAAGCTGACTGAGTCATATTTAGTCTCTGAGTCTGATAGCTATTTGACAATTGTCTTGAAAAAAATTTAGAGTCTAAAAGAACTAGGCCCTTTTTTGTCACTTTTTCTGAATTATTGAGAAAATGGTGTCCCATGCCTTTTGATATAGCTTGAACCAAAAATAATGAGATGGATTTGAAGTACACATTCAATGTTTACTGAGTGAATTCAATACATTATACATAAGCATAGGACTCAAAACTGAAATACAATTTAGTTTTCCATTCAAATCAATTGTCAAAACTTTTGAAGCCCTGATTTACTGTATTCATTAGCGTACAATCCGATCCAATCACTGTCTTTTACAAACTTCTGTAATATTAGAATAGTGGCTATTCCATTCAAGGTATAAGACAAATTTCTTAAAAAGCTTGAGATTGTAAAGCTGATCACAGGTATGGTCTTGTACTAAAATAAAACTCTATTTGCAGAAAAATCATGAACTAGTAATCAATGGACCATTAAGAATATATTGGGGTGTAGGTAACCCTATTAGATTAAAACAATGTGATGATACCCCAACAACACCTGTAGCTTCCTGGAGACACAGTTTATATTACCCTAAAGATAGTCCTACATCTAGACCAATAGATAATCCTATTAAACCTGTAAGTATCAAATTCGTATAAGTTATCTGTGGATAGTTTTACATTTTTGTTTTCAATAGATAGTATAGTTTTATTTCCATTGATATTTTTATATTAATACATAGTTTATCATATAGTCTTATGTCAGTTGATTAGATAGTACTAGGTCAGTAAGTAGTCCTATAACATGATTAGATAGTACTAGGTCAGTAAGTAGTCCTATAACATGATTAGATAGTACTAGGTCAGTAAGTAGTCCTATAACATGATTAGATAATACTAGGTCAGTAAGAAGTCCTATAACATGATTAGATAGTACTAGGTCAGTAAGTAGTCCTATAACATGATTAGATAGTACTAGGTCAGTAAGCAGTCCTATAACATGATTAGTTAGTACTACGTCAGTAAGTAGTCCTATAACATGATTAGATAGTACTACGTCAGTAAGTAGTCCTATGACATGATTAGATAGTACTAAGTCAGTAAGTAGTCCTATAACATGATTAGATAGTACTACATCAGTAAGTAGTCCTATAACATGATTAGATAGTACTACGTCAGTAAGTAGTCCTATAACATGATTAGATAATACTAGGTCAGTAAGTAGTCCTATAACATGATTAGATAGTCCTAGGTCAGTAAGAAGTCTTATAACATGATTAGATAGTCCTAGGTCAGTAAGTAGTCCTATAACATGATTAGATAGTACTAGGTCAGTAAGAAGTCTTATAACATGATTAGATAATACTAGGTCAGTAAGTAGTCCTATAACATAATAAGATAGTACTACGTCAGTAAGTAGTCCTATAACATGATTAGATAGTACTATGTCAGTAAGTAGTCCTATAACATGATTAGATAGTACTAGGTCAGTAAGCAGTCTTATAACATGATTAGATAGTACTAAGTCAGTAAGTAGTCCTATAACATGATTAGATAGTCCTAGGTCAGTAAGAAGTCCTATAACATGATTAGATAGTACTAGGTCAGTAAGAAGTCTTATAACATGATTAGATAATACTAGGTCAGTAAGTAGTCCTATAACATAATAAGATAGTACTACGTCAGTAAGTAGTCCTATAACATGATTAGATAGTACTAGGTCAGTAAGCAGTCTTATAACATGATTAGTTAGTACTAAGTCAGTAAGTAGTCCTATAACATGATTAGATAGTACTAGGTCAGTAAGTAGTCCTATAACATGATTAGATAGTACTAGGTCAGTAAGTAGTCCTATAACATGATTAGATAGTACTACGTCAGTAAGTAGTCCTATAACATGATTAGATAGTACTAGGTCAGTAAGCAGTCTTATAACATGATTAGATAGTACTAAGTCAGTAAGTAGTCCTATAACATGATTAGATAGTCCTAGGTCAGTAAGTAGTCCTTTAACATGATTAGATAGTACTTGGTCAGTAAGAAGTCCTATAACATGATTAGATAGTACTTGGTCATTAAGCAGTCATATTACATGATTAGAGAGTACTTGGTCAGTAAGCAGTCATATTACATGATTAAATAGTACTAAGTCAGTAAGGAGTCCTATTACATGATTAGATAGTACTAGGTCAGTAAGAAGTCCTATAACATGATTAGATAGTACTAGATCAGTAAGAACTCATATTACATGATTAGATAGTAAGTAGTGCTACATCAAGATTCTAAAGAAAGTTTCTTGATATAAATAGTTTATATTAATGAATAGTCCTATGTCTATTGATAGTTCTACAATACATAGTTCAACATGATAGTGATAGATCAATGGTACCAGATACCATAATCTTGCATTAAACCATTATTTATCAACCGATATCTGCATCACTAGATTATTCTTAAAGAGTACTTGCTAATAATAATATAGTGATCAGTAATACAGTTGGTAAAAGTTTACAAGATGAGCAATGAATTATTTCAAATGATTACTTTTCTATTCTAGTTTGATAAATCATACATTTCTAGCTGTAGGTATATCAATAACAATATAAATGTTGGCAAATAGTCAAAAAGTAATGTATTTTTATCGTTGGATATCAACGAATGCTGAAACTTGATAATATAGTATATTTGTTTTGATAAGAAATTGATTATAGCTATTATGGCAAAAACACATTCTATCAAATACATGTAAAAATTTATTTTTTGCCTCATGCCCATTCCCCTTCCTTCAATTCAATATAGTTTTAGTTTTGGAATTGACTTAGATAATAAGAATAAACTCAAAATACTTGAATATTTCTATTTTCTTTATAGTTATCACCCATTCCATCATCACCTACTCCCAAGTCTCCAACACCCAGTGTTCGTGGTTTAGATGATAATTTTCTCACCTCTACATCTGATGTAGTTGTTCGGCGTAGAGATATACGGAAATTTAATACAGTAGCCTACCGAGGTGACAGACCAAATAAATGGAAAAGAGCATCAATAAATGGTCATGTGTATAATTATGATGTAAGATTTCCACTTTCATTTCTTCATATCAATTTTTCACAGGCCTTGTATGGAGGGAAACATCAAATTATTTGAAATCCACAAGTAGGTCTTGTACTGTAGAAATTGTAAAAATGATGATTTGTTTATTATGAATATAGACTATTCATTCAGATTTATTCAAAGGTCTAAATGAGAATTCACCATAGGATTCTGTTGTAAGATGTATGAATTTTCTTTGAGCAAAATTTCGAATTTGTCAATACCTCAAGATCTGTTCTTGAAAGAACAGAAACTAATGTTTACAACTGAGAGTAGCAAGTTTTTATCAGTATATATTTGATATTGTAGACTAGTGTATTTACACCAGTATTGGGTAGTTGTACAAGTGTAATGGTCTCTAATAATATGACAACACCAGACTGTATTAAAGTTTTATTAGAGAAATTCAAGGTAATATTTTTATTTTTTTTATGGAATAAATTTCAGCTACATATAGCAAGCTTCAGAATAAAATGTCTGATTGTCCTACAATGTAACATAAACAATGTGTCCATTTGAACTTTCCGAAATTTTATGATATCATATTATTGGTAATAACTGCAAGTGGCAAGTCTTAATTGATGTCGTTGTTGATGAATTGTGGGAGAACCAAACATGATATATTGAGTATTATCAATAACTGAATTGCTCTTCACAAATTGATTTCAACCTTCCATTATGCTACTTGTAAAATATTATGCTACTTAATGAAGAAACAAAAATAATGGTAAAAATGTAATTTTGAAATGATTGATTTAAATGATTATTTTTGTTGTAATTTCTAGGTAGAAAATCAACCAGAAGAATATGTATTGACAGTTGTCATGGAAAGTGGAGGTTTGTTGATAGTTATTTATAAATAATACTTATTTAATATTAGATTAATAGATGATGTGCCCAGAACAGTATACAAAATAATAATGGAAGACAATTCAAGATTCATTTTCATAAACTGATACTAGACAACAATCATTTCTTTGGACATTTTAGCTAGATAAGAACACGGGCTCACAAAGATCTCTTCTACCAGCTGTTGATGGTCTTTATTTAGAAATCTATATCTTTTTATAGGTGTGTTGACTGTCATCATAATAAAAGATGTGATATGCCTGTTGAAGAGTTTTACAAAATTCAGTATATTAGTGCAAATATAGTGCACACCCCTATCAGGAAAAATTTCATGTCACCGTAAATAATGCATATATATATATATATATACTTTCTATTTGTTTCAGAAGAGAGATTATTGAAAGAAACAGATTACCCATTATTACATAGATTAAGTCTAGGACCTGATGAAAGTCAGGCTAAAATATTTATCAAAGAAACGGGTCATGTACCAAAAGGTACATTAGTTGAAATGCCCATAATAGAAACAGAAGAAACTGAAAACTTACCACATGAGGTATGTGTTTACAATTAATATTTTACTAAATGAATATACAGTCAAGTAACCTAATTTTGTGGAAACCTATTATTCGTTGATTTCCGGAAAGGATTAATAATTTACATGAGCGACCTTGCGCGACCTCCGCATTAGATTGTTTTGATAAACATGGGTTTTCTCTACAGTATCAGTTAGTAGAATGAATCCAGTAGTTTCAAGCAAGGTAAAATGTATTAATGTATACTTTGACAAATACAAAATGGTGGATTTCAGTTATTACCAAACGTCACCATTTTTTTCAGCCGAATTCCCTTATAATCTCAAGCGGTAATCGGAATTCTAAGTGTCGTCTGCTAGAATATATTCCAACGAATGAAGTCACGTGATCAACTAGCGGATTCCGTGTCAGCAGAAAATTTCTATGGAACACAAAGTGGACCATATTCTTATGTTGTTTCAGTGACTTTAAGCAATAAATCACGCTACGTACCTTATTTTGTCAGTCACTATTTTTTTTTTTAAATCGTGGTTCTTTGAAGGAATTGTCACTAGTTATAATGAATTGATATTAAAGAAAAATACTAAGAGAAGTTAATTATACCACCCGGTATCCATCCAAGTGTTTTTCTACACTTATTTATAGATCAAACATTGTACACGAAAATAGGTTACGCATTCTGCCGCTGTTCCCGAGTTGGTTGCTCATGAAATATGGGTCAAAGTGAAGGATTCATAAAGAATATCAAAATAAACCAATTTTAATTATTTTGTAGAATATCTGAAGAAACATCTAAGACATAAAAATTTTTTTTCATTTTTTTAACTTTGACGAAATTCGGTATTGAATCCTTATATCCACGAAAATAGGTTACACCACTGTATATTGAGAAATAGTCTTAGTGGAGAAATCCACCAATGAAAAAGCACAACAACAAAAAAACAATCAGAAAACTTTGATTTACCAATAAAAGTGCAAGGAAATGCATTTTTTTGGGAAATAGTAAAGTATAGGTTTTTTTTTTCTATCTATCCCATTGATTTTATCAGCTGACATCAACCAAATCCAAAATTGAACTAGGTGAATGATGGTTCAAATCATTTGTCATTTTCAGTGGTGTTCAATAATCTGGAAAAATATATTTAATGTGTAAATTAGGCATTATAAGGAATTGTGTTGTTTACAGGTTGAACAATTATTAATATTACCAGAGGCAGCTTTACGTGGTATTTTAGATAAATTTCTTAATGATGAAGAAAAGGATGTCATGAAAATAAAACAGAAGTAAGTATTTTAGATTTGATTATATTTACATGATTTGACATTGAATTTATTTTCTACCTTTTCTACATTTTATTAACAGCACACAGATTAATGAACCTACATCAATACAAAGTAAACCTTTGATCACTGCTATTTTGAAGCTGATATTCCATATCATACAAAAGTAATTGGTATAATTAGATATACCAATGAACATACACATGCAGTAGATCCTTCATAATTTAAAATGTTGTCAAAGGTAGATAATCACTCATACATGTATGACCATTATGTGATGAAATAAGGTATATATAGACTCACAGATTCTTATTATTATAAACATGTACAAGGAAGATATAGTACATGTTATGTTGATATCCATATTTTATTATAACATCTTATTTCAGATATCAAAAAGCAAAAGACATAATGTTGAAAAGACTTCAATTGCGAGTTTCTCTTGTATAGCAGGCGTAATTTCGTGTCATTGTGATTTGTGTCTATAGAGAAGTTTTATTGTGGAATTTGTGATAAAAAGATATTCCAGTGATAAAATAGAGACATTAATGTAGCTTTAAATTATGTTAACTGCTGTATAATTTACCAATGAAATAAATGATAATAATTGTGCCATATTTGATATCTGAGTGATCCATTATTCTTCCAAAAAGAAAAATACAATGCTGAAAAGATGAAAATAACCAATTTAATTTCTCTATGACTAGCAATATGTTTTTGTGTCTCAGTTTATTGGGACAAAATCTGGTGATAATTTCAACGTTGGTATCTGAGTAACATGTTAATGTTAATCACTTGTTTGTGTCAAAGAGCAGAAAAATATTTATCTTTGTAAAGATTTCAGGATAGAATAACTACTTTTGTCATTATAATTCTTCAGAGTTATCTTGAATGCTGATTGATCTGATCATTTGTCTTCATTGTAGTGATAGATGTCTTTTGGTCCATCATATTTTTCAACATGCAGACAATCTTAAAAAAAAGTATACTATTTTTTCTTAAATGAAGTAAGATTTAAATAAATCTCCAAGAATAATTGACTAAAAATTTCAATATGGTAAAAACTTTAAAAATGTACAGTAATCCAATAAAATTACAAAACAAAACAATAGTCAATGAAAATATTAGAGTGGGAGGGAATACCCAGGACATTGTGAAACCAACATGTTTTCAGGTGATTTCTATAATTATCAATTTTCCGAAGATTTCACCACAAGATGAAATGATTGAAAACTTTAACGATTTACTTTTACTTTTTGCACAAAAAGAATCTTATTTTGGTCATATTTCATAAGATTATGGTGGAAATAAAGCCAATGAAATCTTTTCTGGGTTTGTTTTTATATTCTCTAGGCAGGTTAAAAGGTTTGATCAAATTGACGATAAAATTTGTGGATCGTGTGATTGCACTGAAAATGGTCCTTCTTTAATTTGGACTTATAAGCAATAATGCTTCCACACAGGCTTTTCACATTGTTTTTCAACTATCAGAAAAAAATGTAGTAGCTCAATAGATATATTGAATAAAATAGAGAATTACAAATAACTATTTTTAAATTCATTATGGTTGTGACAAATTGTTAAATGTGATTGCAATATTTTTTCTTGCATTTATAGATCCAAGTTTCACAAACCTACATGTTAAATTTTTAAAACAAATTACTGCTCAAAGTTTGATGTTGTCAAATATATTTACCAGTTTCAATGTGTATGAAATACATATAAGTTGACTCGTTTCCTTTTTAAAACTTAATGTTAATGTGTAGTATATCAATACAATGTTATATACTTTTAATTTAACTTACATGTAATAAGTATATTGTGATGTATATCAATATGAAGTCAAACTTACAATTTAAGCTATACTGGTTTGGCATGCAGCATGTTATTGAAAATGAATTATGATGTTGACTTGAAAAATTCAACGTAATGGCTGATATGTTTATATCAGTCAGTTATTGGAATTTGTTGTTAAGGTTATGTATTGCTCTACAAATGTGTAATAATCTACATGTTTTGTTAACTTCTTTGTTTTTCTTTCATTAAGGCATAATTTGCTAGAAGTAATATTTAATATTGTGTATATATGTAAATCATTTTCATTTCTATTCCCTTTTATCTTCTTTATTTGATGTAAGAAGCTTAAAGCATAAATCAAATGTTGCAATTTGATTTCTTTGGAATAAATTCATTAAACTTTAAAGGGCTAATGGAAAATTGTGAAAACTAGCATAACTGATAAAAAAGAATTTTGTTGGTAAATTTTTTCCAATATTATGCTTGTTCTATGAAAAAAAAAAAAAAAAAAATCAATATTCGTAACAATTTTTCAACACTCTTTTGTATCACGTAAATGATTTAATAAATGGAATTAAACTTCAATTCAGTTTTTACTTGTTTGAATTAAATTTGTAGGTGTTTTTTCAAACACAATTACCAGGATAGTTAAAGACAATTGTAAAAAAACTGCCATACTATTAACAAAATAATGTACATACAGCAACATTTTTAGAGCTGATAAACATTTTTACAAAAATTAAGTGTTGAAAAAGCTCTTGAAAGTTTTGGTTTTATCGTTATAGATTGGGACAAGCATGTAGTAAATGCTTGTTAAATAACTGGCTTAGGTAAAACTTAATTAATCATGAAAGACTATAGAGGTTTATAGTTTTCAAGAAGGTAAAATTGCTCAGATCAACAAAACAAGCAATTTGAAAATAATGTCCATAAAAGATAAAAATTTATTATGCTTAAAAAACAATAACATATATTATAAAAACTAGTATAAAATTAGTTACCCTATTAATGTCTATGACTGGATAGACTTTTTTGACATAGCTAATGCTTACAGGATTTCAAACAGGTATTGGGACTAACATTGAGTGTTATAACATAGCTAACACTTACAGGATTTCAAGTAGGTATTGGGACTAATAATGACTGTTTTAACATAGCTAACACTTACGGAATTTCAATCAGGTATTGGGACTAATAATGACTGTTTTAACATAGCTAACACGTACAGGATTTCAAACAGGTATTGGGACTAATATTGACTGTTTTAACATAGCTAACACTTATAGGATTTCAAACAGATATTGGGACTAATATTGAGTGTTATAATATAGCTAACACTAAACAGGTATTGGGACTAATATTGACTGTTTTAACATAGCTAACACTTTCGGGATTTCAAACAGGTATTGGGACTAATATTGACTGTTTTAACATAGCTAACACTAAACAGGTATTGGGACTAATATTGAGTGTTATAACATAGCTAACACGTACAGGATTTCAAACAGGTATGGGGACTAATAATGACTGTTTTAACATAGCTAACACGTACAGGATTTCAAACAGGTATTGGGACTTATAATGACTGTTTTAACATAGCTAACACTTACGGAATTTCAATCAGGTATTGGGACTAATAATGACTGTTTTAACATAGCTAACACTTACAGGATTTCAAACAGGTATTGGGACTAATATTGAGTGTTATAACATAGCTAACAATTACAGGATTTCAAACAGGTATTGGGACTTATAATGACTGTTTTAACATAGCTAACACTTACGGAATTTCAATCAGGTATTGGGACTAATAATGACTGTTTTAACATAGCTAACACTTACAGGATTTCAAACAGGTATTGGGACTAATATTGAGTGTTATAACATAGCTAACACTTACAGGATTTCAAACAGGTATTGGGACTTATAATGACTGTTTTAACATAGCTAACACTTACGGAATTTCAATCAGGTATTGGGACTAATAATGACTGTTTTAACATAGCTAACACTTACAGGATTTCAAACAGGTATTGGGACTAATATTGGCTGTTTTAACATAGCTAACACTTATAGGATTTCAAACAGATATTGGGACTAATATTGAGTGTTATAATATAGCTAACACTAAACAGGTATTGGGACTAATATTGACTGTTTTAACATAGCTAACACTTACGGTATTTCAAACAGGAATTGGGACTATCATTGACATTGCTAACCTGCATTTAGCAATTTGATATTGGGATTTCAAAGATTATGTCGGGTTGAGTCGAACTTTTGCTGTAACATATTTTACTCCACCCTATCCGACAATCACAATTAAATTAGAAATGGAGATCCTTCTTCAGCATACTATAAACACAAGGCATTTGTTTTTTACCACCTTTACGTTCAAATTCAAAAGCTATCTTCGCATTTACTCTAGTCATTAGTTTAACAAAGTCCATAGATTTCCCATGATTTAACAGTGTCTCGCTTAAGGCGGAAATAAAACAGGAACCGGTTCTGAAATCTCTTGCAGAAGCATAACCTGAAAATACAGAAAATAGGAGAGATTCAGATAATACAAGATATATAATGGTCCTTTAGTCAAAATGGATATAATAAGCTATAATCGACACTTGATGAATATGACATTAACCTTTCCCTTTTGGATGTTTTATCTATTTCATATGTTAGATCTAAAATTGAGATGATCTGTTACCTGATACGACCGAGTAGACTAGAATAAAATCTTCATCTAATAAAGTAAATGGTATTGGAAAAGTGAGAGAATCTTCAATAGAGTCTACCACATCTACACCAGGGTCCATTTTATCACCACGACAGGCCTAGAAAACAAATTTAATTAATGCATGATATAGGATCATGTCCTGTCCGTAAAACCCTGACCATTTTTACTGGCTCAGGCAGATGATTTTGACGGCTTGTCACCTGGGATCATATTGTGTTGGAATCCACTATAAGACCTACATGGATATTTATCGTTGATCCATAATCGCTATAATCAAGGGCGATATCTCGTCAAAATTTGGATGGGTGTGTATATAAAAATGAGTGAAGACTTACGTTAACTATGAATAACTTTGGCTTCCCAAATAGAGACGGGCAATTTTTTGCGTCAAAATATTGCAGTATGGTTGAAATATCTAAAGGACCATCTTCACAATGAATAACACCTTCTGATCCATGGCTCATAAAAACACACATAAAGCTATTCTCTAAACTGTAATCTCTTGCAGACTCTAAAAACAAACAAACATTTAATCTTATGTAGCCTAAAATGTTTATCTCCCTTTATAGTCATTACTGACTTTTATTTTCGATTAATAAATATATAGGAATCTTATGAATTTGTTAATAACACTTAAATCGATGGATATTCAAAATTTTGAACTTCTTACCCGCATCGAGAACACTTTTAACATCCTCTGTTGAAAGATTAACATAAGTATCAACTTGGAAACCGAGATGTGTTAAAGACCTCTCTATATTTTCTCTATCAACCTTGGATCCAGGTCGGCTTGATAGATGGTGGAACACACTTTGATTAAATATCAAAGCTTTGCCTATATTCTTACGATGAAAGCAATATCTGTCACCTTCCACACATAATGGGCTCTTACAATCCTTTTGGTCGAGTATTCTTATGGAATTTTCACACATAGATAGGCAAACCTAGAGTTAAATGAAATTTGATTACAATATAACGGTCTCAAAACATTGTACAAATACGTTAGGCATAAAATAATAGCCAACAGTTGAATCGGTAAAGTCACGCGGCTGTATCACTATTAGGCAAACAGAATCTGATGTGTCAGTATTAAGCAATTAAACAGAGGTATCAGTACTACTACTAGACAAACAGTTGTATCAGTAGTAGACACACATCCGTATCACTAGGAACACAGCTGTGTTAGTAGGCCTTCCAGGCAGACTTATGATCGAAGCAGATAAGTGTCAACAATTTACCCTAACGGACATCAATATCTTCGAAAGGAAAGTATCTTTGTTGAAACCGTAATACAACTTTATCAGATCAGTGGATCCTTTTGATATACATGTAATATAACCAATAGATAAAGACCATCCTCTACTAAACATGAACATATCGTCATTCGATTGATAAGAATTATAAACCTACGTTTAAAGATCGATTTATGATCAGAAATCTACCACATAATGAAACCCGTGCCTTAATAAAGCTCAGAAGTTTCGGATACATTCAGAATAGAACAAGGGTCAAGGTATCCACTAGAGATGTTACATCTAAAATAATTCGGTATTTTTTTTTCTTTTGCCATAAGCTTAGGCCTGTGAAACGACCGTAACTTTGACTGATAGTCACATAATTATGTTATCGTGGCCGCAATCCAAACATGTTATAATGTATTACAAATATCTACATGTTTATTAATGTATGCCCGTTTGGCCGACCATTAATGATTCAGATGCCTACCAGTCTATCATAGTACGGTTAAACAAAATAGCTATGAATTTAATCTTACCTTCATTTCAGTCAATCAATTAATTGACAATCAGTAGGCCGTCTATATGTTTTTGGGCCTAATTATTTACTCTGATTAAATTCACAATATCATGAACATTATATAAAAGGATCCATGACGATATCATGAGATATGAAATATCATGCGATTTCCTTTCCATGTAAAAAGCAAAAAACCCTGAAATTACACAAATATTTTTATCGAGAAATAAGTAATACAACTCATCCTCACTGTTTCCCTCTATTATTGTTGTTAAGTATTGTTATAGATGATAAACAGTCATGTGAAAATCGTGGAAAATACAGCTCGCCCACTGTCTAGAGTTTACTTATCGAGGTGTATTATAATTATTCAAGTAGATATTGACATAACCCCTTTAGTATTTAGGTTCACATTCTCGATTTCAAAGTATATTATCAGATAATACTCGAGAAAGGCCATGTAATATTCATTTTTAAGATAATCATACACACACATTATTATATTGCCCTGAATTTGTATTTAACGCCTGAAATAATTTATCATCTTTGATTCAAAACAATCTTTATGTATAAACTTCGGAGATCTTGTAGAATGGAACAACACAAGGCTGTCAACCTATTGGATATCTAAGCTCAACCAATACTGGAGTTCAACACCTGATGCCACTCTGATTTGTAACATCCGAATGTGATCAAATCGCGTATATATTGTCGCCCCCCTCGTAAACACTCTAGAAGGCAAATTCTTGCTGAAACTTGGTGTGAGTGTTTGCCAATACTCGTGTTTGCTATCTCACAAGGATGAACCCTATTGAAAAAACCGAAAAACGATTAGTATGAGCTATTGCCCTTGTTCCCTTGTTCTTGAAAACTCGTTCAATTTTAGCTAGTATACACTCTAGAAGGTTCAATTACTGACAGATTTTGGCGAAACTTGGCAATATTACACAGTATCACCCAAGACAGGCGCGGGTGACATTTTCTGTCAAGACAGGCTGACATTTAATAGTTTTTTTTATTAGACCATTAGATGTTCTAATGGGGGTGAACATAGCTATCCTATAAAGGAAATGTTATACTGAAAATGAAATTATTAATTAATTAATGACACAGTGGAACGACTAGTCCCAAATTGTCCCTATAGAGTAGCTGCATAGATATATATAGCTCAGTGAGTAGCTGTGATTATTCTAGACTCTTTTTGTTTGTGGTCAGTAATATTTGCTATATAGTATGGTAGATTAATAGATTAAAACACCTTACCACTCCTACAACTTTTTTTCGTCTAAAGTTTATTGCTGATAAAATCAAGTTATTAGAGTTATTAATAATAACTCGATTGAATGACATCCTTTGAAGAATTGTCTTCAAAAGAAATATTTACATATGTACATGTTTGAAAACATGTTTATTATCATTAGTAGAATTTGATAATCGAGACACAACTTTCCCCCAGTTCTAAATTTAAGTTTCACTTTCGACATTTCTTTAAAACTTTAAACAAGAAGTAATTTGCAGTGTAATTTTCCACCATTCTGTAAGTATGAGTAATTAGATTGTTATTTATTTCATGATCGTATGCGAACACTGCAGGTCAAGTTTTAGTCACTGTGTTATTAACATCACTTAAGGGGAAATGTGACATTTCTGTCCATTTTGGTATTATTACGTTTTGTGCCTATTTTGAAGTATAGGCTGTAGTTATAACCTATGGAACGATGTAGAATAACTGTGTCAGAATGAAAACTACATCGTTTGAAGGGACAGATCCCTGATTGGCTTAGCTAAAAAAAATCCTGTTTCTGATACTTAAGTTTGATTGGTTAAAAAGATTAGCCAAGATTAAAAATCACTTCCAAATATACACTAAAAGTTAAACCCTTATACCCACCTTATCAGAATTTGTATATTTAGAAACACAATTATGTTCCTGTAGTAGGCCTAGTGGTAAGTTTCTTAGAAAGATTTATTTCAATAAAGCATGTAATTTGAAAACAAAAAAGCACCAAATTATGAAAAACAATAGATGCTTCCAGAAAATTTCAATTGTGATATAATGTGAAATTTTTCCTGAAATTTAGTATTATCTGTAAGTTAGTTCAAATAGAAGTTTATAATATTCTCCATAAACACTTTACTTTACTTTGTGGCCTTTCATGAGACTATGTTCTCATCACCATCAAACGATCATAGGTTAGAAGGCCTCTTTGGAAATCTTTTAATAATTCACATTTATACATATACAGGGAATATAATGATAAAAGTTCCATGTCAGATAAATAACGATTTTTTATTTAATAAAGTATTGATTGAAATGTCTGAATAGCATAAGACAAATGAATTAAATTTCATAGGTCATTATGGCTTCATCAAATTTGGAATCAAAAGAAGATGGCGAAACAGACAGCTCTGGTTCAGACTATGATAGTGAGTATGTTAATTATTATAATTATCAAACCTTACATAATCCTTTATTTTTTGCATAGCTACTTGCAACTCTTTTAAAAAATGTAAGATTTATGATTTTATATTTGGTTTTATCAGAACTAAATCAGAAAAATGAGTCATCCTTTAAAGAAATTCATAAGAGACCTGTACGTTAACAACTTAAGTATACCTTTTTCCCATAAATGTAGATGTTGATTCTGGAATAAAGGCAGCCACAAGAAAGATATTTAAAGTGTTCAAGAAGATACTGTAAGTTCTATTTGCTAATCAATGACATGGTTTTATTACTACTGTACATCAATTCAAGGCATCATTGTTTACACTACTGACCCATATCAATTAGTTGATAGGATCATGGTTCACTTAACAGTGGTGCTTCTCTAAAGGCCACATAATTGTCAAGTGGAGGCAGGGGGTATTTGGGAGGTTGGGGGTTTGGGGGGCTGAATATTCCGAAATGTTGTTGGCTTAATGAAGTAAATATCATGAGATATTGAGATGTCTACCAATGCACATTGGCTTGTCAACAGATCAAAATCGATAATTTTTCTAAATGAAGTCGTATAAATAAAGTAATTTTGTACATGTTAAATCAAATATTATATTTATAATTTTTTAGTCCTCTAGAAGAATCGTCAGGAAAATACAAACTTCACACTGAGAAACTATATGGATCTAAAGGTTCTGATTCCTATGATTTTAACCATGAGAAAAGAGGATGCTGCGTCATTATAAATAATGATAAATTTACTGATATGTATGACAGACCAGGCTCAAGTTGTGATGTCAAGAATATGGAAACTGAATTTAGAAATTTAGGATTTGATGTTAAGATATATAATAATCTCACAGCTTCCTATATAGATAAAAAACTTAGGAAAGGTAAATTTATTTTTTTGTATATTGATTTTAATATCCTTGTGACTACAAGTTTCAATTTGTGTCATGAATATATCTTTAAGACTATTTTTACTATAATTTTTTGCCATAGTTGCCTAGTAGAAATGAATGACACATGTAAAATCAGTTTGTATGTACACTTTTATGCAGACATAAATAGAACCTTTTGAAAATTCAGAAAACCACATAGTTAAGAACCTATTGATATGAAACATTTTGCAAAATGTCGGGCTTGTTTCTACAAGAGTAGGCATATTTCTTGAGTTGACTATTCCTATTATATATATACATGTAATATTCATATTAATGATATATTTTGTCTGATATTTTCAGTAAGTATGAAGTATGATCATGAGAAAGCTGACTGTTTTGTTTGTATCATATTGAGTCATGGGGAGGAACATTTTGATCTGAAACGAGAGAGAAATGATGTTATCTTTGGTAGTGATGGACATCATATTTCTATAGCAGAAATCATGGAAAGATTCTCAGACCCATATTGTCATGGTTTATTGGGTAAACCCAGATTGTTCTTTATTCAGGTAAATATACCCTCTAGAAAGACTCTTGGTTCTTTCTTGCATTTCAATTTTAATCTTCCAGGAAAGGAATTTGGAGACAAATAAATGAATGTTAACAATAGGAACCAGACATGAAAGGGATTGTTAAGAGGTTTTCTAAGCCTTTTATGTGTTTTGGGAACACTGATTGCATTGATTTGCACCATTCCTATTCAGTCAGACAACTGTTGTTCAAACAATTCAAATAAACAAATCTTTTGGTGTCATTGCTATTGAAAAGGCACTGTTTCAAATAAAGTATAAGAATATTACTTTGTATCAGGTTTGAGATTTCTGTTACATTTGCTATTAATTATTCTGTACACAGGCTTGTCGAGGAGTAAAGACTGAACAGGGTGTCGATATCACCATTAAATCTATTAAAAAAGTTGAAGTACCAGTACATCCACAGAAACCAATTGATAGAAAGTTTATTTATGGGACCCATTGTGGGGAAGGCAGTGAGGTAAGATCACAAGTCTTAACCAAAGGTAACGGCACAAGCTTAAAAGTAATATTTGTTTTCAATATTGTGTTCATTTATATATCACAAAAGCAGTCAATTTTTCACATATGAGTTACATGTGAGATATTTGTATTAAGAGCATGTGACCTCTCTAGATTACTATCAGTTATGTATGTATTATAGGTGTCAGTAGATGCTAAAGCTGATAAAGTATTATATGATATAGGAAGAATGACTATAGATTCAGATGAAGAAGAAGATTTTATAAAGTATAAAAAAGGATTAGATAGTCTTATAACAACACCTAGTCCATGTTATACTGATTCATTAGTTATGTTTGCTTCACCACCAGGTAATTATTATTTGTTTGTCCATACCCAATCTAAAATGACATGAAAACAAAAGATAGCTGATATCAATTCTGCTGATGAATCACCATCAATGACCTCGCTTCAAGATCAAGGTAAAATGGTTTGGGTCATTATATGGAAATATGGTTACCATTCTTTGTTTCGTATTTTATCACAATTATCATTGTTACAATGTGGCATTTTTAAAACGCAAAGAAGAACCTCATCTTGGTCACTGAGTTATATATAGTAACGTGGAACACCTGTTAAAAAATTTGGAACTTTGAGTACCTACTTTGGACCAGTATATCGTGCATTGTTGGTTTCAGGCTTTATAATCTTGACCACAAAAATCAACGCAATTCTTCCAACACGTGATATGATAATTGATACCCATTACCATAAACCTCTCAATTATTCAATGAACAAAAACAACACAAGTTTAGGCGTTTATTTACTAGGTCACAATGTCTTCTTTCAATTTCTGATAAAAATGGCAGTTAACAGATCATCTCAAATCAGACCCGCTTACCATGAAATCCTACCCAGAATCCCTACCCAGAATCGGTCAAGTGATTAACCGTTATAACACTAGTAGATTTGGATGTGATGATCACTAATGTTATACAAATGTAACATTCAGAAAATTAATTTATTCTTTTTCTTGTATTCTAGGTTACTATGCATTCAGAAGAGAGAGTGGTACATGGTTTATAAAATCTTTAACTTATGTATTACAAAACTCCCTACGGTCAAAAACCTTTCAACAAATGTTAACTCATGTTTCATATGAAATGGCAATGAATTATAAATCAAAGAATAAGAAGAATCTAAATATTGATGGTTGTGTCACCATTCCTTGTATTATGTCCATGTTAACAAAGGATATCTATTTTCATCCTAAGAAGAAATGACAATCTTTAAACAATGCTCAAGATGTATTTTATATTTTTGCAACTGATGGCTTGTTAGAGCCACTGTAGTTAAGAATTAAATCCATTTCATAATTCATTTTATTGGCTGATCAAGTTTAACACTATACACTTAATTTGAATAAGAACTGATTACCATGGAAGTCAATGATGTAGGTTTGAAATTGGTAATCCAAAAATTTTTGTATTTATGATGGTGGATTTTAATTCTGTTAAAAGCTACAAATAGCTGAAATGATAGTCTCAGCCAGTAATCATGTGTTTTAACTATTATCATACTATTTCACTAGAGCAGAGTGAAATTATTATTGGTGTTATACGCAAAGATATTAACATACACTACATCATTATCAGATATCTTTTAACAGTACATTACCATCCTGTGGAAGTCAGTTCTTGCCCTTTACTAATCTCAAATGAATGAGAGGCTGTGAGTAAATTCATTGCCTTGTAAGTATACACTTTCCTCATCTATGAAAATGGAGGGAAAAGCAAGAAGACAAAAAGAAGTTCACAAATATAGGGTTATAAAAATGAAGGATATATTTCCCTTCACTCTCTTGTGGCCCATTTCAGGTAGTAAATGGCTACAATTGGCTTCCTATGCTTGATTTGTCCTTTATTTTATATGTAGGTTTTAAAATTATTTTCTCTGTTGTAAATGTTGAAGAGGAAAGAGTTGGAATTGAACATTGATTGACATGTCCTCTTTAACTTTTATCATTACTCATTACTAGATAAATTTATTGGTAACAAACAAAAAAAAGTGTGGAAAATGGAATTTTGACTGTAGATAGATTTTTATTAAGCCTGTTTGATGTTCTAGTTTATATTGTTTAATACTGTTTATAATGACTATTTGAATTCTGTTTCTGCTGCCTGTTTGGTTGTGAAGTTGATTTACTTAAATATTTTTATATAGAAAAATCTCATAGGGTAAATAATTTTGTATGTGTTATTTGTAACACGATAAATATATAAGAAAAACATTTACTTATTGGTTCCAGTATACTACCTCTTAGAATGAACTTAAACTTTAAAGTCTCAAACTTGGTCAGCAAATGTATATAGCCTATTCATCAGTTGGACTAACCAGGTACAATGACTACAGAATAAAATCTGTAGATAAAACGATATACATACATGTGTACAGGTCAGGAAAAAAAATCTGGAGATTTGCCTTGAAAAATCTGGAGATTTTTCCAAAGCGCATGAATTCGTGATTTGAAACTCCAAATTGATTGTTTTTTTCTTTTTTTTTTTTCAAATAAGCTTTAAGCCTGGTAATTTCATTAAATTGATCATAGGCCTACATGACACAGTTAAAATTAACAATCTATAATTATGGATAATTCTAGAAATGGTGCCTGATATTTCAAATTTAGGGGCCCAAAAACAATTTGATATTAGTATTCTTCAGTAGGCCCTATTGATTGAATCAAAAATAAGGACAAGGTGAAATGTTTGAAAACAAGAGTGCAAGCATGATCCCAGCCCTCTAAATTAAATTATATATATTATATCTATTAAATTAAATAATTATTGAAACACGCTTCTAAACATGTTTCAAAATTACTTATTTTAATGAATTATAATTAGTTTTATGAATTTATTGGATATTGAAGGATTCTGTTATATTTTTGACACCATGTAACTCGACTGATGATCAATGACTTATTTTAACCAAGATTAAAAATTTCAATTTTTTAGTCATCCTAAGAGGCAGTATACCTTTAACATATTAAGAAGAAATATTATATATATTTCAGTTAGATTTAATTTTTCTCTTTATTTATTTACATTTTTTTTATATTTTTAAATAAATTTTTAATCTGTCTACTCATATTGAAGAATAAAATTTCATTTCATATAATCTTATTGTATTCATTTATTTTTGGGACATCCTCTTTGCACACTTTCATAGATAAATCTAAGATTCAAATGAAGGCTAGCAAAAATTGTTTGATAATATTTGGGCCCAAAAGAGCAAAATATTTGTTGATCTTATCATTTTAAATGTTCTGATAACTAAAACTTTCATGATCAACTACAAGATGACAAAGCTGTGAGGTTGTAATAGACAATGTATAATGGATAGTGTAAAACAGTTTGTTTCACTGGATAATCGAGACACAAATTAATGAATAACATCCCAGACACTTGACACCATTGATATATCAATTAATGAGTCAAACGGATATTCATGTTAAAGGATGTCAGTATAAACTGTATTTAAGCTGAAATCAGTGTTTTGAGAATGAACACTTGAGTTTTTAAGATGAATTTTTGGTCATCAGCTAAATAAAAAATTGGAATTTTTGAGATGCTATTTATAAATTGACATGACATTTCATAAAAAGGATTGTTTAATGACAAGCAACTGTGGAATAGTGAACTGAGAAGACTATTAGCCTGATTTGACTTAACATTTTAACCACTCATAGACCGGTATTTGTTATGGTAAGTTATGAAGTGTGACTTCCCTATGTTAATGGATCATCAGGTTTCTTAATCTTTTTGTATACATGTATATCAAGCTTATTTGATATGATATAAATTGCTGTCCAACCACAATTTCATTTTGATTATCATTTTTGTATGAATTGGTATTTGATTTCATTTAGGTTGGTGAAATGCAAACCAAAACAACAATTATAATTTTGAAATATTATTTTGCAGAAGAAAATCTCCAGTAAAAATCAGTTGGCCATTAGCACTGGAAATTTATATGGGAGAAAGTGCAAATACAAAATCAGCATGACATTTTATTTTGCATACTATATAATTCAAGTGAAAATTAGACTCTGAGCTCTCTGATGTTGGAGAGTAATTTTGTACCTACGATATTTAACTATAATAGATGTTATAAGTTTTGTTAGTATGAAAAAAAAAAGTATTTTAAGAAAGGGTTCACTACTGACAATTTGTTTGAAAGCTATTTTCTAATTGTCAAATATTTAAATTTCCTTTCATTTCAAAGTGCTCATTTTGAAAATACAAATATCTGATACAACTATAATATTTCCTTTCATTTACATACTGTGTGTTAACTCATTCTCCATTACAAAGTTATTCTGAATATCAAGTTTCATAGGCCTACATGTCTTCTTAGAAGCTTTCAGAGATAGAACCCATAGAAAAAGAAATATGTATTTTTTGAAAGTTTTAATCACATGTCAATGTGTCAATGATGTTTCAGTTATTATAATGGCAGAAGAAAGAATTGAAAGTTTTGATGAGACAAATTGGATGGTGTCTGATGAAGAAGGTGATGTTGATTCAAGTGATTCTGAGTTTGAAGATAGAGAAGGTAAAGTAGTGGATATGTACTCTCTGGCCACATCAAGTTCTAAATCACATTTTGGCTATCATTTTTGTATGAATTGAAATATTAATCTCCAAATATTGCTGAGAGTCTTAGATTGTCTTTAGGTTGATGAAAATGCCAACCATTAAAACAAAATTATTTGAAACTATGACTTTACAGAGGGAGATTTTCAGTTCAAAATGTGTGTCATTTTCACATGAAATTCTTGGAGAGAAGTGTGTTCATTCCAAGTGCAAAATTTTCAAAACTTATATATTCATGGACCCAAAGGCATTCTAAGACAATTAGTATGCACTTGAAAATCATATTTTGAATATTTGTGACATGAGAGAAAAAAATTCAATTTAGAGCTCAATGTGGCCAGAGAGTAGTTATAATCTATGATATAAAGGCCATAGAATTTAGTTTGCTTAATTGAAGTTTTTATATGTCCACATTATAATGTGGTCGTATATATTGTCGTCGCCCCTGTCAGACTGTCCATCCATCAGTCTGTCGGTCCATAATTGGCTTGTGAACGCAATAGAGACAACAGTTTTTATCTGATTTTAATGATATTTAGCGTGATCATGTATATTAATGAGATCTTGAACAAATTTGAATTTGACCATCTTTCAATGAACGGTTTTTGAGTTATTGCCCTTGACTTATGAAAAACATGTCAAAATTTGTTTGTGAACACAATAGAGACTACAGTTTTCGTTTGATTTAAATGAAATTTGGTGTGAATATTTATAATGATGAAATTGTGGACGGGTTTGAAATTGACTATCTTTCAATGAATGGTTTTTGAGTTATTGCCCTTGACTTAAGAAAAACGTGTCAAAATTTGTTTGTGAACACAACAGAGACTACACTTTTCATTTGATTTGAATGAAATTTGGTGTGATAATTGATAGTGATGAGATCTAGAAACTGATGTAAATCTGCCTGGATTAAAAAAAATAATAATTTCTGCCAAAAATAAAATTAAAAAGCTTTGTGTTGTTACAAGGTAAGTGTTCTTTGATATAGGCTACCACTTTTTAGAACCTAACTATTGCTAATAGTAAAAGACAATATAAAACTGCTTAGTGTCTCTATTTCTTGATATTTTTGTTGCGCCCAAATCTACTGATGTATGTTAATATGTGATTTTATTTTTTTTTTGTACTAAATTAATGATCCTTAGATTCCAGTTTCAGATTCTCATGATGTACCATTATTTCTTCTAACATGTTTTCCTTTGAAACTTAGTTAATGTAGTAGACCTGTGTTGTATCGAGAGTGAAATATATCATTATATCAACAGATGACAATAATAATAGAATAGTGCTCAATACATCAATTGTAGAGCGATATAGAAAATTTACTGATTATATTATCATTTTTCAGTTCGGTATGTGAGGAAGTAAAACAGAAATTAAAAGAACATTATTCTGAAAATTCACATCATGAATATGAACATTACAATGGAAAGAATTTAATGATTGTCATTCAAAATAAAGATTTTCATGAAAGTCGTCAGAGACATGGTAGTACAGCAGACGTGGAAAATTTGAAAAAAACATTCAAACGTCTTGGCTTTATTGTAAAAACGTTTAAAAATTTGTCCGGAGAAAAAATGGATGTTAAATTAAGAAAGGGTAAGCATTAAATTTTTTTGACAATTTTAACGATTCCTTAAACATCTTTTTATGAGTTAGGCTATAGTCTCATTTCATTTTCACTATAACAGTGCTTAATAATTCTCATTCTTATTTTAGCAAGACAAAAATTTAATCATAAAGATGCTAGTTGTTTTGCTTGTGTGATATTAAGTCATGGTAACCAATATGAAACAGGTGATTATGAGAGAAAAGACAGTGTATTAGGTGTTGACGAACAAGCTATAAGTATAGAATATGTAATGAAAATATTTAATAATGATAATTGTCCTGATTTAATGGGAAAGCCACGTCTGTTTTTCATACAGGTAAACCCTTGTTTTCGACATTTTGTATTAAGCATATCAAATGGTGATTGTTGGTTCTGTTCATGGTCAGCATCTAAAAGTGATGAAATTGAATAAGACATCTTTTTTCTCATTATTCTAGTGGATCCAGCTGTAAATACAGATAATCTAGCAAATGTCAATTCTGTTTGCTTTCCTTCTCTGTCCTACATATTACCTAGAAAGTTCATCTAAGAGACATTGTATATGTGTTTAATATATGTATTTACAGGCATGTCGAGGTAAGGGATATGATAAAGGTGCTGAAACTCTTGTACCTGTTGAAGACAGTAGCAATTCAAATGTGGAACAAATTAGTAGTGAATTAGAGGTATTTTATAGAATTTCTAATATTTCATTTTTTAAAAGAATACAACTTGCATTTGGATTGAGAATATTAGATTAGAAAGGATCCTATGAAATTGGCTCTTTTTAGTACATAATAAGTTAATAAAAACATTATCACCAATTATGAATTTAATATAAGAAGAATATAAAGGGTAAAATGTGTTATCTTTTCATGTTTTGCTCTAAACGAAATTTGTATATTATTATATTTTAATTGATTAAGGAGACCTATATTGAAGCTACGTCAGGTGATTATTCTCCACCAGTAACTACATTTACTTACCCTACACCATGTTACTCAGATTCAATGGTTATGTTTGCTTCTCCACCAGGTACTCTTTAGATGTAAAAATATTTTTAATGTGATGTTAAAGGTGTACTGTTCATGTTATATAGAGACTCGCTATGCATGACATTGCACAATTAACATATCTGATAAAGCACAGAAGTCTTGGAATGTATTTCAACTATAAATTAGTTACTATAAATATTTATGGAGAATCAAGTCAATCAGTGTAAATATATCATTGATAGCTTCAGTAAATAATTGCTTTTACATTTGTAATTGGGTAACACATTGACAAACTACATGTATTTTCAATTTTTTTTCAACACTTTTCGTATAGATAATATGTATGAATTTCGGTATCAAAGTTACTTCCCATGCCTTTGTGTTATCTATGACTGTAGAGTAGCATGTATATGAAAAAAACAATTAACTGTGTTGATGTTAACATATGTCATCATTTCTATTCCATATCCATTTTTAATTTCAGGATATGCAGCTTATGCAAGAAAGGGTGGCTCAATATTTGTATCCTGTCTATGTGATGAATTTCAAATCTATAATAGAAAACATAACTTTTTTCAAATATTATCAAGAGTGGCAAATCAAATGGCATTAGATTTTGAGACAAGTAATGTTGTTGAAGATACAGATTATGAAAAATGTAAAATTGTTCCATGTATACACTCATGTTTAACTAGGGATGTCAAATTTCAAATATTAGATGATTAATTCAAATGTACATACAAATTGGCACAAGGTTCTACCAGGAATCAACCATGGACCTCCATGTCATTAAATAAGGGCATAGCTAGTAAAGCACCTTCAATTCCCCAAATTGATAGAGTCTTTGACAGGTTTCAATTTTTCATAATTTATCTGTAAATTTTGCATTTTTTATTTCATTAATTACATAATTTGCATGTTTCAACCCTATCCATAATCCACAAGATTTTCATTGTATAAGAAGTTTTCAAAGAATTTTGATTATTTAAGACATAAATTTCATTGCATATATATCACCTTTCCATGATTAAAAAAGACACTTTTGGTTCTAATGATCTTTATGTTTTTTTAACCTAAAAGAAGCAAGGACTGAAATGTTAGTAATGACATTAAACTTGCAGATTGCTTTGTGAAATTGTAGATGAATCTTTTCATAACCTTACTGTTCCAATAGTACATTTAGAAGGTCACTGATTTTTGATAAAGATTGTAACTTGTAAGATATGTAGAGAGAATGTATAGAGAGTGTATATAGGAGAAAGTTTGAAGTGTGAATGAATTTTATTGAAGACAATACTCTAGTTTATTTGTATATAATATTTATTAATTAGTTGATATATTAAAGATAGAAATTTTGCTCAATTGAACAATGAGTGACTGCCTGTTTATGTGAAAATCACTTAGTTTTACAAAGAGTTAACAGATGACACAGATTTTCTGGTGCAGCAATATTCTTAAAAACATCATTCCACAAGTTCTTCCAATTTGGATCAACAGCTTGTCGACACTGAAACAAATACCAAGCACTTGTTTTATTCCACTACTGTTAATTAAATATGCCATATTACATAATGGTTACATTAAAAAAATATATATTCATTTACAATACATATTAGCTTTACCAGGTGATAATTTCATTTAATGAATTCACTTTTATATGTATTACTTTTTTAAGTATTCCAGGTCAATTCAGAGTTTTAACTGTTGGCACTGTATAAGGAATTCTTGGATATTCATTGTTAAACAGTGACATACATTGTACTGTATTGTATCTGGATATGTATTTGAATCAGATTGATGGTGATTGTGATGTAATAGAATATTTTGACTGGTGTATTTAAAGCTGGTCTTTCATTAGTCAAATGTTATAGGAATATTAAATCTCTTGATAAGGTGATGTTTTAAAACTTGTATTTAAATAGACATTATATAGCAAATATTGTTTTGAAATGACCATCTATAATGTTATGTCCAGTTATTTTAAAAGAACTAAAATTTATTTACCTCATCTTTGACTGGTTCAGGAAATCTGTTGCAGATATCATCCACTGCTGTCTTTACTACATCCTATATAATTTAATAATAATATTCACTCTACAGGCATAGTTATATATAGAATTGTGAAAATTACTGTAACATCACCACCTTCCATTTTTTAAACCCTGGACCAATGTAATCGACTGAGCAAATGCCTCACTCAGACAAAGAAAGATGAGTAAAGATTTTATTCCCTTCCTGAAGTTGTTCTTTTCTGCATTCATAGCAACAACAACTGAACACTGGGACATCTGTTATTGGCTTTACTGTAGTCCTACTCTCCTGAATCCTACTCACAAAGCTGAGAGTTTAAACTATTTCAAGTTTATACCACTATAACCAGTGTTTTAAACAAAAGACTGGCAGAAAAAAGGTGAATACTTTTCATCTCATGGTCATGATTCTAATCTGTTATCTGGGTTCAAATAACATAACAAGATTCCATTATTTTATAATGTAATGTGCAGTGCTTCAAATGAGACTTTTAACATATTATATGAATGAAGTGGGCTCCATGAGTTTAAATCAAAATAAATCTTCAAAATGTTTTACTGAAGAATCACAGTTAAAGGTAAACCACATTCTAAAACATTTTTGTTTATACAGGCCATGAGCACAATCTTAGTCAAATCTTCACTATTTGAAAGAAGTATGTAAATCAAAACTTTTCTCTTTTTTCATGGAGTTTCAGACCAAATTTATCAAATCTTTGCTTTTTAAGTTGTGCTAGAAATGTACTTTTTGGAGTAAAGAAGAACTTTTGTGGCCTTCATCATATATCCCATATTGGTGTACATAAAGTTCAAACAAAACTACAATTCAATGAACAGTTCTTACCTCATCTTTATAAACATCAGTATCAATAGAACTGACAATATCTTTACATAAATCACATTTCACTTCATTAAACGACAAATTTACACTTCTTCTTACCAGTCTCAAAAATGTATCTACAAAATACATTATGGATACAACTGATCAAAATCCATTTCATTGGGATTATGATGTAACAGGTCCTTTGTAACAGATGGTCATCTTTGTAGGAATACATTTCCTGTGAAACAGTTACTTTCTTTAGGTTAATATTGTAGGCTTAAAAATGAGAGGATAGGAGATACAAAAATAAGAGTAGGACATCTACATTGATATTATAATAGTATAATAGAAATTCACTTACTGTTTTTACAAACATGAATTTCTTCACAAGCCTTTTCAGGGTCTAAACCATTCTTGAGAGCTTTTTCTAATTCTGGTATATAAGTCAAACACTGAAAGACCATGACATATATATATTTGTTTATTGACAGATGAAAAGTACATTGTTTCTATGCTATAATTAGAGACAAACCTTATTTCTTAAGTCAAGTGGTCATCAAAACATTACCAAATTGAAACATATTGAAGATCTGAACACTGTATGTACAAGGTTCATCATATACTGGACCTACTCACCAATAATTTGAATGAAGCAGGCAGTGAATTACAAACTTTATATAATGTAGCATTAATCGCTGCTTCTGATTTATTATCTTTAACATAGGTATCAACCTCCTGTACTATTAATTTACATAGTTCACATCCAGCTCCATTTTCCTGAGCAAGAAAAATCAATCATATAAAATTATAATTTTAACATATTTCAATAAAACAAAAGTATGAACATGTTTTCTGGAACCTACATGTATCATAATATTTTCATATTTAAATGTTGAAAATTCAATCCTGAATTACAGATGAAACGTGCTGATTTGCAGAAAAAATATCTCAGTTTAATAATCTATAATCTACAAAAGTAGTCATTTGAAACATGTATCTGGGTCTTAAGTAGTCGTTGGCATTCCAGCAAATAGATATTCATCAATATATTCCTGTTTATTTTTATACTGAACACAATAAACTGCAAAGATAATTTCCTTACCTTTTCCTTTGGTTCTTCTTTGAGGGTAAAGCCCTTCTTTGATACAAGTGGTTGTGGTTGAACAATTTCAGATTCAGATTTCTCTTCACAATCTGGTGAACACCATTTTTTATAATCCTAGATAAGAGGAGAATAAAACCATTTTTATAACAGTCAGAGACAAAAATCTAAATATTGTTCTCCACCTTTTACAAAAGCAGGGTCAATAACTCAAAATAACAGTCATCAATACACATACATACGTATACTGAGGCTGATCAGTAGTGTTTAAAAATTAGGTTTAGAAACAGAGTAAGGGTAACAGAATGGTAAAGCATTAGACATTTAATAACACAATGATAAGAAATTTGAAACTGGGGCATTGAGGCTGATCATAATCATGGAAACAACAGATAACAGATGATGCATGATCACATATATCCACCCCATGTGGAATATACAAATGTACACAACCATTAATCTCAACTTTAATCTGGCTTTTTGGGGGCTTTTAATAACATAAGTAAATGGTGTGATTATATTAGACCTATATCTAGATAAAATAAAGTTACCTCAGGAAAAATTATCTTCATTTCAGTTTTACAAATATCACATGATGCAAACCTTGGCTTCTCTATCTCATCTATTAAAAGAATATGATTGAAATATTGAAGCGGTGTCTACTAGCTTTTTAAAATTTTACTGCTGTAGGCTACTATAGCATTTTGAAGAATCACAGCACAAAGGGAATTTAATGCTGATTCATGCAATCAGATCAAAACACGGTTCTAAATATTATCTTGCTTGGTTAGTTGGTTCCTCAATCTTGTACTTAGATCGGTCATAGTTTTTGCCTCCCTTATGGCCAACATTTTTAACCTCCAACCAATAAGAACACTGACTCAAAATTGCTTCACTTACCACTGGAACATACATGTATATCTGAACATGCTTTTTCTGGATCTAGTCCACTTTCTAATGCTTTGATCAACTCAGGTTCAAAAGATTTACACTGGAACATTTGAATAATCATTTTAAAAACCTTTTGACTTTTATTTTTGTTATAATACAATTTATTACTATTTCTTGAATTGAACTATTGTTACGATGAGTAATTTAGCAATGACCCGATGCTTTTGTATCAAGAGCGATATGAAAATTCTTAACAAATATGCCTGTATGTAGGTTGTGTATTTCACTTGCTAAACATTTGCATATTATATTAAAACCAATTCCACACATACACAAACAAATATTCTAACAAGATAAACTACATATCAAAGCTATCAAAACAAAGATATTTAACCTGCTGCAACATCCACTGAGCTGTACAGAGAGTCCTGAGTCTGTGGTTACAAAATTTTCAGTATGTAATATCTTTTCATTGAAAACAAAACATCAAAACAAAACAAGAAATATACATTAAACAGCAATAAACAATTCACTTACCATCACAAAGATGAATCTTAGTACAAGCCTCTTTAGGATCTAAACCTTCAGCTAAAACTTTGACCAAATTTGGTGCAAAAGTTAAACACTGGAATTAAGAGAATAATATGATTCGTTTATTCTTTGTCCGAATACAAATTAAATTTAAAAAATATCTGGCACCACAGTCAACAGAATCTTTCTCTCATTGCTGAAATTTTATACTTCATTTAGTGACAAAATTATTTCATTAAAGTATAGACCCTACTTACTGTAGTTTTCAAAGGATCAGGCAACTTGTTACAGATTTTATATAACGTTGAATTGATTGCAGCTTCTGATTTATTTTCCCTGACAAACTGATCTATTGTCTGTACAACAAACTGACATAAATCACAACCTCCTCCCTAAAACAAAACAAATATTCTTATAACAGGAGACAAACGGATAAATAATGCCACTAGGCACTATTTCTTTCTATTTCTTTCTGTTGCAGTTTTTTAACAGTTTTTTTCATGTTCAATACATTTGAAATAGATATCAGTATTTAAATATTGCCATTTTGTATTTATTAATGATCTACCTTTATCGGATTTGTCTTCAAAGAGTCTTCATGATGATTGTGAACATTCAAATTACCTGAAATAAATTTGTAATCAAATTTTACATCAAAAAACCATTAGAAGTAGCATTAATTTCCATGTTTGCTTGGTTATATCTGGTTGTTTCCTATGTATTTTGTTTCTTTCTGTTTCATCCTATGCATATTTTGGTTCTGTCTCATGTAAATTTTGTTTCAACCCAGTTTACCCATCAGTGATGCAGGTAAGAGAGGCTGACATGGAAAAAGCGTCTAGTTGTTCGGATGGGACAATAAACCGAGGCCCCGTGTGCTACAGGCTGTGCACGTTAAAGATCCCTCGACAGTTGGAAATCGAAAAACAGCAGGCTAATGCCGCTGTCCTGGCAAAATTTCCCTCATGGCACCCTGCATGGCGTTGCCCGTCTTCATTAGCCCACAAGATGCAGAAGAGTAGGACATAAAACTCCATTCATTTCATTTTCATTTCATTTCATGTAAATTTTGAATACTTTTATATTTTCAGAATTTCTACTTACCAGAGCACAGGTGAATTTTAGTACAGGCTTCTTTAGGATCTAAACCTTGAGCTAAAACTTGAACCAATTCAGGAATAAATCCTAAACACTGAAAATAAATTTGAAATAGCTCAGAAAATATAATTGATTTAATAATATCAGGTGATTCATTATAGATTTTATATAAAGTTTATAGAATATAATAAATAACTTACTGTAGATTTAATAATATCAGGTAATTTATTACAGATTTTATATAAAGTTTATAGAATATAATAAATAACTTACTGTAGATTTAATAACATCAGGTAATTTATTACAGATTTTATATAATGTTTATAGAATATAATAACTTACTGTAGATTTAATAATATCAGGTAATTTATTATAGATTTTATATAATGTTTATAGAATATAATAACTTACTGTAGATTTAATAATATCAGGTAATTTATTACAGATTTTATATAAAGTTTATAGAATATAATAAATAACTTACTGTAGATTTAATAATATCAGGTGATTCATTATAGATTTTATATAAAGTTTATAGAATATAATAAATAACTTACTGTAGATTTAATAATATCAGATAACTTATTACAGATTTTATATAAAGTTTATAGAATATAATAAATAACTTACTGTAGATTTAATAATATCTGGTAATTTATTACAGATTTTATATAAAGTTTATAGAATATAATTAATAACTTACTGTAGATTTAATAATATCAGGTAATTTATTACAGATTTTATATAATGTTTGTAGAATATAATTAATAACCTACAGTAGATTTAATAATATCAGGTAATTTATTACAGATTTTATATAATGTTTATAGAATATAATAACTTACTGTAGATTTAATAATATCAGGTAATTTATTACAGATTTTATATAAAGTTGCATTAATGGCTGCCTCTGATTTATTTTGTTCAATATATTGATCAACAGCTTGAACAACAAATTCACATAACTCACAAGCTCCTCCTGCCTAAAATAGACAAGATGGTATTTCCTATAAAAAAAACATCACTGCAAACAATTTCAAATTTGGAAGATCAAAACTGAGGTATGAGAGCCAATTTGTACAGTCAGTCAAAAGCAATATCTTGAATAATACTCCTTTTTCAATAAAGTGTCAATTTGATTATCATCTTACAATTTATTATAATTTTCATAAATTTTTATGATAGTGTTTCAAAGAGGCCAGTAGCCAGCATTTTACATCCATATAAGGAGCGTTTCAATTAATGACTATACAAGTTTGCTGCAATGATTGGGTTAACACTAAAAAATACAACACAATAATTCAAAATAATCACTGCCATGGATAGATTAAGAAGCTATTTTCTTCAATTCTGACCTGATTTTGAGTATATTTAACTTCTGTTGCTTTAGGTTTGAGTAAAGATGGAGCTTCAACAACTGGTTTATTTGGATCTAATGAACAGAATGAATGAGTGAGTTTTACAAAATCATTATATGGTAATTTATCACAGGCATTTATTGTGTGTGACTTATGACTAAATTGGGGACTTATCACAAAATGTTTCAACAAAATAAAACAAGTTTTGTTCAATTCTATAAAACTAATGAAAAGTATTTTTTTACGTAGGCCTATATTTGTTTGTAATTATATCAAGGGGAATATATATAATATTTAGTAATGTAAGGAATTGAAGAGTATACTAGATAGGTATAACATTTACCTTCACAGAGTTTTATAGCAACACAAGCTCTAATTGGATCAAATTCTTCAGTTAATACTTTAGCCAAGTTTGGTGCAATTGAATAACACTGCAGTGAAAATAAATGAAACTATGTCTATAACAAATACTATATAATACAAAGCCAGAAGTTTTTATGATTTTAGTTTCTATCTTTAGTCAAAGATAGAGTCAAATTCCCTCTCAAAAATAATATATGTTATTCACAGGGATATCATGATAGTAATCTCAAACCAATTCTCAGTTATTTCCAATTTGTTGTATCTGTTATTTTACATAATAATCAATGTTTTCAAATTAATAAGTTTAAAAAATAATACCATTTTCTTAATATCATCGGGTAATGAATTGCAAATTTTAAATAATGTTGAATTCACTGATTTTTCTGTTTTATTCTCACCAATAACCGAATCTAGAATCTGAACTACAAATTTACAAACATCACATTCTGGATTCTATAAAAATGAAAATAATATCATATCTAATGTCACATATTATTGAGTGAGTTTTAAGTAGATGTGCCATAAACTATACATGCACCAAATATTTGATAAAGGTGCTACCAATATCTTTATCAGTATTTGAGTAATTTCTAATGTGAACTTGTGAAGTTTGTTATATTTAATAGAAATATGCCAAATATGTTATAGTGCCTTCATTTGGATAAAGGTAACGGTATGAGCTGACATACACAATTCTCATAAAATTACAAGTATTCAGGAATTTTTGGCAACAACAAATCATCTGAAGTAGTATTCATGTGACTTACAGCTTGCAGTTCTAAATTCTTGATTTCATTCTCAACCTTTCTTTCATTGCTTGTAGTTCCTAAAACAATAAATTTAACATGTCAAATATATTTTGAACAATCGTTTTTAAAACACATACACTATCAAAAAAGAACCACCTCCTTTAAATATCTGATTTTATATAAATTTATCGAGATCATCTATGAAATGATCCTAAAAAGATTCTTATACTAGAAATAAATAATATAATTAAATAATAAAAATCTATTTATTTCAATAAACAAATATTTCATAACTGACCGGTACACAGATGAATTTTAGTACAGGCTTCTTTAGGATCTAAACCTTGAGCTAAAACTTGAACCAAATCAGGAATAAATCCTAAACACTGAAAGAGAATCAAAACAACTGATAAGAATGAAAGTTATTGTAGATTTAATAATATCAAATACTTAATTTAGGTAGAAATTTATATCATAATATATATTATATAGAATGAAATAAATAACTTATTGTAGATTTAATAATATCAGGTTATTTATTATAGATTTTATATAATGTTTATAGAATATAATAAATAACTTACTGTAGATTTAATAATATCAGGTTATTTATTACAAATTTTATATAATGTTTATAGAATATAATATATAACTTACTGTAGATTTAATAATATCAGGTAATTTATTACAGATTTTATATAATGTTTGTAGAATATAATATATAACTTAGTGTAGATTTAATAATATAAGATAATTTATTATAGATTTTATATAAAGTTTATAGAATATAATAAATAACTTACTGTAGATTTAATAATATCAGGTTATTTATTATAGATTTTATGTAATGTTTATAGAATATAATAAATAACTGACTGTAGATTTAATAATATAAGATAATTTATTATAGATTTTATATAAAGTTTATAGAATATAATAAATAACTTACTGTAGATTTAATAACATCAGGTAATTTATTACAGATTTTATATAAAGTGTATAGAATATAATAAATAACTTACTGTAGATTTAATAATATCAGGATATTTATAACAGATTTTATATAATGTTTGTAGAATATAATAAATAACTTACTGTAGATTTAATAATATAAGATAATTTATTATAGATTTTATATAAAGTTCATAGAATATAATAAATAACTTACTGTAGATTTAGTAATATCAGGTAATTTATTACAGATTTTATATAATGTTTATAGAATATAATAAATAACTTACTGTAGATTTAATAATATCAGGTAATTTATTACAGATTTTATATAAAGTTTATAGAATATAATAAATAACTTACAGTAGATTTAATAATATCAGGTAATTTATTACAGATTTTATATAAAGTTTATAGAATATAATAAATAACTTACTGTAGATTTAATAACATCAGGTAATTTATTACAGATTTTATATAATGTTTATAGAATATAATAACTTACTGTAGATTTAATAATATCAGGTAATTTATTACAGATTTTATATAATGTTTATAGAATATAATAACTGACTGTAGATTTAATAACATCAGGTAATTTATTATAGATTTTATATAATGTTTGTAGAATATAATAAATAACCTACTGAAGATTTAATAATATCAGGTAATTTATCACAGATTTTATATAATATTTGTAGAATATAATTAATAACTTACTGTAGATTTAATAATATCAGGTAATTTATTACAGATTTTATATAATGTTGCATTGATGGCTGCCTCTGATTTATTTTGTTCAATATATTGATCAACAGCTTGAACAACAAATTCACATAATTCACAAGCTCCTCCCTGAAATATTTGAAAATATTTTAGATAGAGTTCATAAGCAGATGATATGAGAATGGTAATGATTTTTAAATTGATTAATTATAACTTAACTTATCAAAAATGCTCCCTTCAGATATTCTCTTAATTAGTGTCAAATCCTGTGGTTATCAAATAAAATCTATTCTCAATCTAAATCAGTAAAACTTATGTTATGTAAGAAGTCAAGAAGACTTACTGCTGTTGATTTCTTGGAAACTTCTTCTTTAGTTTTTTTGTTTTGATCAATAAGATAACCTATGAAAATTAAAATACATAATATGGACCTTTAATAAAAATAGTAAGAAAAAGATATAATAATAGGAATAATCTTACTATTGGGTTAAAAATTTTATTTCGTACTTTCTTCAGGATAATTTAAGCATTAAAAACATATATTTTAGTTTTAGAGACAATATGACTTACCAGTACACAGATGAATTTTAGTACAGGCTTCTTTAGGATCTAAACCTTGAGCTAAAACTTGAACTAAATCAGGAATAAATCCTAAACACTGAAAGAGAATCAAAACAATTGATAAGAATGAAAGTTATTGTAGATTTTTTACAATATCAAATACTTAATTTAGGTAGAAATTTATATCATAATATATATTATATAGAATGAAATAAATAACTTACTGTAGATTTAATAATATCAGGTAATTTATTACAGATTTTATATCAAGTTTACAGAATATAATAAATAACTTACTGTAGATTTAATAATATCAGGTAATTTATTATAGATTTTATATAAAGTTTACAGAATATAATAAATAACTTACTGTAGATTTATCAGGTAATTTATTACAGATTTCATATAAAGTTTACAGAATATAATAAATAACTTACTGTAGATTTAATAATATCAGGTACTTTATTATAGATTTTATATAAAGTTTATAGAATATAATAAATAACTTACTGTAGATTTAATAATATCAGGTAATTTATTATAGATTTTATATAAAGTTTATAGAATATAATATATAACTTACTGTAGATTTCATAATATCAGGTAATTTATTACAGATTTTTTATAAAGTTTATAGAATATAATAAATAACTTACTGTAGATTTAATAATATCAGGTAATTTATTACAGATTTTATATAAAGTTTACAGAATATAATAAATAACTTATAGTAGATTTAATAATATCAGGTAATTTATTACAGATTTTATATAAAGTTTACAGAACATAATAAATAACTGACTGTAGATTTAATAATATCAGGTAATTCATTAAAGATTTTATTTAATGTTTGTAGAATATAATAAATAACCTACTGAAGATTTAATAATATCAGCAAATTAATCACAGATTTTATATAATATTTGTAGAATATAATTAATAACTTACTGTAGATTTAATAATATCAGGTAATTTATTACATATTTTATATAAAGTTGCATTAATGGCTGCCTCTGATTTATTTTGTTCAATGTATTGATCAACAGCTTGAACAACAAATTCACATAACTCACAAGCTCCTCCCTGAAATATTTGAAAATATTTTAGATTGAGTTCATAACCAAATGATATGAGAATGGTAATTATTTTTAAATTGATCAAAACTTATCAAAAATGCTCCCTTTAGACATTTTCTTAATTAGTGTCAAATCCTGTGGGTATCAAATAAAATCTATTCACAATGTAAATCAGTAAAACTTATGTTATGTAGAAGTCAAGAAGACTTACTGCTGTTGATTTCTTGGAAACTTCTTCTTTAGTTTTTTTGTTTTGATCAATAAGATAACCTATGAAAATTAAAATACATAATATGGACCTTAATAAAAATAGTAAGAAAAAGATATAATATTAGGAATAATCTTACTATTGGGATAAAAAATTTATTTCGTACTTTCTTCAGGATAATTTAAGCATTATAAACATATATTTTAGCTATATTATTGTCCTGTTATTTGACGTTTTGGCTTACTGCCTTCTTCAGAAACACCCAAAATAGATCTCAATATTTTAGTTTTACAGACAATATATCTTACCAGTACACAGATGAATTTTAGTACAGGCTTCTTTAGGATCTAAACCTTGAGCTAAAACTTGAACCAAATCAGGAATAAATCCTAAACACTAAAAGAGAATCAAAACAACTGATAAGAATGAAAGTTATTGTAGATTTAATAATTTCAAATACTTAATTTAGGTAGAAATTTATATCATAATATATATTATATAGAATGAAATAAATAACTTACTGTAGATTTAATAATATCAGGTAATTTATTACAGATTTTTTATAAAGTTTATAGAATATAATAAATAACTTACAGTAGATTTAATAATATCAGGTAATTTATTACAGATTTTATATAAAGTTTACAGAATATAATAAATAACTGACTGTAGATTTAATAATATCAGGTAATTTATTATAGATTTTATATAATGTTTATAGAATATAATAAATAACTTACTGTAGATTTAATAATATCAGGTAATTTATTATAGATTTTATATAAAGTTTACAGAATATAATAAATAACTTACTGTAGATTTAATAATATCAGGTAATTTATTATAGATTTTATATAATGTTTATAGAATATAATAACTTACTGTAGATTTAATAATATCAGATAATTTATTATAGATTTTATATAAAGTTTATAGAATATAATAAATAACTTATAGATTTAATATAATGTTTAAAGAATATAATAAATAACTTACTGTAGATTTAATAATATCAGGTAATTTATTATAGATTTTATATAAAGTTTATAGAATATAATAAATAACTCACTGTAGATTTATCAGGTAATTTATTACAGATTTCATATAAAGTTTACAGAATATAATAAATAACTTACTGTAGATTTAATAATATCAGGTAATTTATTATAGATTTCATATAATGTTTAAAGAATATAATAAATAACTTACTGTAGATTTAATAATATCAGGTATATTATTATAGATTTTATATAAAGTTTATAAAATATAATAAATAGCTTACTGTAGATTTAATAATATCAGGTAATTTATTACAGATTTGATATAATGTTTATAGAATATAATAACTTACTGTAGATTTAATAATATCAGATAATTCATTATAGATTCTATATAAAGTTTATAGAATATAATAAATAACTTACTGTAGATTTAATAATATCAGGTAATTTATTACATATTTGATATAATGTTTATAGAATATAATAACTTACTGTAGATTTAATAATATCAGATAATTTATTATAGATTTTATATAAAGTTTATAGAATATAATAAATAACTTATAGATTTTATATAAAATTTATAAAATATAATAAATAACTTACTGCAGATTTAATTATATCAGGTAATTTATTACAGATTTGATATAATGTTTATAGAATATAATAACTTACTGTAGATTTAATAATATCAGATAATTTATTATAGATTTTATATAAAGTTTATAGAATATATTAAATAACTTATAGATTTAATATAATGTTTAAAGAATATAATAAATAACTTACTGTAGATTTAATTATATCAGGTAATTTATTACAGATTTGATATAATGTTTATAGAATATAATAACTTACTGTAGATTTAATAATATCAGATAATTTATTATAGATTTTATATAAAGTTTATAGAATATAATAAATAACTTACTGTAGATTTAATAATATAAGATAATTTATTATAGATTTTAGATAATGTTTATAGAATATAATAAATAACTTACTGTAGATTTAATAATATCAGGTAATTTATTACAGATTTTATATAAAGTTTATAGAATATAATTAATAACTTACTGTATGTTTAATAATATCAGTTAATTCATTCTAGGTTTTATATAATGTTTATAGAATATAATAAATAACTTACTGTAGATTTAATAATATCAGGTAATTTATTATAGATTTAATATAATGTTTAAAGAATATAATTAATAACTTACTGTAGATTTAAAAATATCAGGAAATTTATTATAGATTTTATAACAAGTTTATAGAATATAATAAATATCTTACTGTAGATTTAATAATATCAGGTAATTTATTACAGATTTTATATAATGTTTATAGAATATAATAAATAACTTACTGTAGATTTAATAATATCAGGTAATTTATTACAGATTTTATATAAAGTTGCATTAATGGCTGCCTCTGATTTATTTTGTTCAATATATTGATCAACAGCTTGAACAACAAATTCACATAATTCACAAGCTCCTCCCTGGAATGATAAAATCTCTAATAATAACTAATATCTTTGAACTTTTCACATATAAACATGATTTTTGTAATTCCAATGTCTATGGATTCTGCATCCCATCAGTCTTCCTATGATGGTACATATATAGGTTTTTTTTTTAACAAGAAATATCAGAAAAATAAGATAAAAATTGGATTATAAACTTACAGCCCCTGGTTGTTTTGACTGAACTGGTTTTAGAACTCTTGGAGATTCCTTTACTTCTTCTCTTGCAGAACAGACACCTAGATGTCCACATAATTCCTGTGGTTTCTGAAAATACCAAAATTGGTTAGTATCAAATATGTCTGAATACCTGTCACTAGATCACTGGTTCATTACCGGTACTAATAATCATCCAACTAAGTGAAATCAATGAGGTTTGTTCAAATGATCTCCAAAGCTAACTGTCTTGATATATTAAAAAATATTCACCATCTGGGTTGCCATGATATCCATTGTTTCTGGACTTGCTCCATGTACGATATCCTGACATTGTGACTTCTCATCTTTAGGTAACTCATTGCACATAGACAGGAGATGATGGGTCACTTGAATCTACAACAAATAAAAATTGAATTCTGTTGATGACGATACCCCGATGAAGATTCTATATATTCCTAAAAAAATATTGAAAGCACAGGAAGGGATCTTGTCAAATGAGCTCTAGTCATATTCCTGTGCTAATATAAACCTTGTCAGGGTGGGTCGTTGGGAAATGGACATAATAAAATCATAAAATTTCTTTTAGAAGTTTTGTCTCACCTGTTTGTCCTGATTTAGTAGAGAATCATGTAAATTCTCAATGAAAGTTAAACATAATTTACAGCTCACTTCATCTTCCAAAGATTCTAATGATATTACTGGTGATCCTGGAAAATATTGTTCAGTTTATGTGGAAACTTTCTAAAATTTAAACATGGGCTTGAATCAGACAGCAACTGTGATTTCAGCTAGAAACTGGTGGCATGTAGGAGAATTTAATCAATTGTTTCTGAACTGAGCCAACCGCAGCCAGTTCATCAATCCTTTGCCAGGTGCATTTCAATCATGCCGAACAGTCCCAAACCACTGTATCCATCCAATGGAATGTACTATAAAATTTAACAGAATTTCAATGTAAGAGAAGGAAAGAAAACAGCACAAATTTATGTAGCATTAGGATTTAGGGGGAGTAATACCACACATCTTAAATCAAAATCCAAGATTCCTGATGCCTGCTTAAAGAAAAATAGGATGAACATTTCTTTGGTTTGCAAAAATCAATTCCAATATTTACCTGTTGCAAACACAACACAAATGGCAAGTATAATCACCCTAAACATGGCTCTACTTGCAACTCGACTTTTCAGTGCTGATCATAGAGAAGAGAAAATAGATGGTAACATTGGACTCTTACCCCCAGAAGATAGGATTTATCAGTCACATGATCACATTTCTATAGTTTGAACACTCCAACTATCATGAAGTAAACTGATAAGATCTCCAGTGTTATCAACACTTCACTCAGATGTAGTTTAGGAACAGATAAAAGTGAATAGTAAGACAAAAAAAAAAGTTTGATTACCAATTAATTCAAAATGAATCAAAATACATTGATAACACTATCCCTTTCCTGTATTTGTATAGACTTTCCTTCTTTAAAGGTGCAAATATTAAAGATTCCCTTGACCATTATTTTATCTTGCTTTATATTACTGCCAACAAAACATGAAGCACTGAAGAATGTGTCCTACACATATTCACAATGTATACTTTTTGTTTAAGTCTTGTCCCAAATTTACATACACAAAACTGATAACAAAAACATGATCCCATGCATATGATGGTAAATGACTATGTTTAATGCGAGTGCATTAAAACAAATCTTTAATGATCTGTCGGATTTTGTGAAAAAAGAAAGTAGACAAATCTAAACATCACGTGATTGTCACGTGACGATTGACAGCGATTCTTTCTAAAAATCAACATCATGGCGGCTGATACGGAAGGAATGCAAAAGATGTTGCCTGAAATTAACCCACCCCGGAAAGTACCAAGACGCTCTATGTGTTCTTGTAGTAGTTATAGTATCTTTAAATTGCTGTTGTTTCTGTACACTTTAATATTTTTGGTAAGTTGATTATATACAATCCTTTTTTAAGACTTCGGTTTCGGAATCTTCCATACTCAGATGTGCTATTGATGATACTGATAAATAGTGTAGTAGGCTATCTCTGCAAATGCAATACTGCCAGTGCAGCATTTAAACAAGAATGGATACTTTCCTGTTCTTGGTTGAATTTTTTTTATTAGTATAGCTTGTAAATTTTGGGTATAATGTATGGTCTTTGGGTCTACAACAGGGCTTCATGAAAATTCACAGAATTTATTGGCTATCAACTCACCATAGGCCTATAAGCCAACTGGATCCCCTACTACTACTGAGATTAGACTTAGAGTTTTAGACAGTCTTTGGGTTTATGTAAATGACAACTATTTTGGATGCATTGCCATTTTACAGAAGGGAAGTGTGTTTATTCAAATGTAAAATAATCAAAGCTTAGTTAAATATTCTTATTCAATAGTCTATAATATAAAAAGATGGACATGAAAATTAAATACTTTCTGTTTTTGTTGTTGTAGTTGTTAGATCTAATGTTTAATAGAAGAATAATTTAAATTCTGAGCTCACTGTGGTCTACAGAGCGTTCTAATGGTATTAACCAAAATAAGCTATGGCATGGCATTTACATAGATCTACTATGCAATATGTTCCAAGCTGAATATAATATGCTAAAAAATGGTAGCTTACAATAAAAGAATATTTTTTACTTTATATTAAACATGAATGTCTTTGATATAACGGGTACAGGTAGTGGTATTTAGACACTAGTTACTGTGTAAACTTGTAGCTTACATAATATATTTTAATAAAAAAACATTCAGTTTGGCTAGTCGATAAAAGATATAAAATGTGACATTTAAACTTCTATTTTTATAATTTTCATGTAAATGATGATAGATTCATCCGGTGGTATTATTAAACTGAAGTTTTTAAAATGTCAATCAATAAACATCAGCTTAGTGTTAGGTCTGTGTCACAGACTGTCTAAGTACTGTACCAGAAAAATTTGTATATAAAATTTCACATAAAAATCTAGGCTAGCTGTCTATATGCAATCAAGTCAATCTAACTTTATTTTAGAATATTCCTACCCCTTTCACTGTCTTTGCTTTTTTTGTTGTTGTTGTTTCTAATGATTGCTCCAAGCAAATTGATACTGTGGTTATAAAGCTTATTTATTAGTAAGCTACCTAGGGATTATTTCAAGGCGACCTTAAAAATCAACACACCCTTCCCTTTGATATAGTGAAAACTGTTCTGATCTTCAAGGCAATTATTGAAATATGTTCTGTATTACCTGTACCTTTGAGATTCCTACTTACGTCATTGATTTTATTGCAAACTGCAGAATAAGATCTATATTGCCAGATCTATTAGTATGATTATATTGATTTGTAGTATAATGATGATGTTAATTAGATATTTAACAGACTCTATTTATTGATTTTATTATCAGAAAACAGAGATAAATGTATGAAATATACATATTTTTACATAATATTATTTCTAATCTTATTGTGTCCACTAGTAAAAGAAAAAGCGTAGTAGTTTTCATTCTCACATCCATGTTAAGTAGAACCGATAGTGAATTCTATTCATTATTTTTGAGGAACTATCCATTAATACATAATTTATTAAACAGGTATTTAAACTGGTGATATATCCATGCAATAGTTTACATGACATAACCAAAGGTGTGTTGAATATCAGATAAAATTTTTGATATAATGTAGGGCATGGCCAACTGATGACAACTGAAATATTTAAGTTTGAATTTCTCAAGATCTTGAATATCATGTTGAGAATCAAATATCTGAATCTTCATTTTCAACAGACTAGTACTGGTAATGAATAGACTTTTAGTTAATGAATGTGCTGCATACAAAATGAAAATATGACAATAAAAATTATTAGTTTGAATGTTTTATTCTATGTATCTCCTGTCACCTGTCAACTCTTTAAGTTATGAAAGTATGTACTTATATGGATATGAATAGATAATTAAGGAAATGACATTAAGTTTGATATCTTGATAACTCAAACGAGTTTTGAGTGTCATTTCATTTTGTAAAATTTTATAAAAAATACAGGGTAAAATTCATAAAACACACACAAATATGTAAAATTTACGAATTAAAGGAATAGAAGGTCTTAGAATACACCTGTATTACGGCTTTTATTTGTGTTTAATAGTGACCAGTGGTTAAATGAGTATGCATCAATTTAAATTTTGAAGAAGCTACAATAAAACTATATTCAGAATTTGAGAAAAAAAGACTGAGTTATCAACTCTAAAACAGGAAAAAGGAAAAGCCCATCAATACGCAATCACAAAATGGCAATCATCTTCTGGTATATAACAAACAAACTTTGATTAATATTCGTTGCAAATTGTGTCAGTAGTGGAGAAATCATTTTAAATGATATGAATTGCTTCTTCTTGGTCTTCTGTGAATTTTCATTCTTTAAAAAAAATTTCTGATGATGTCAAGGTCAATCAAGAGTAGATATTAAGGACGCGGTCAACTGTGAGAGTTACTGCCCCTTATGCTTACCACGGATTTCGAACACTCACAATTTGAAAATCACTTACTGGATGTATTCAGCGTTTTATAATTAATAACTCCATTTTTTTTTTATTTATCGAATTATATAGAGATTTTGATGTAAAGTTATGACACCAGGTAAGACCACTGATGGATATATACTGGTATGGGCTAAGTTTGCTAAGCGAAATTAGAATTTTATGTTAATTCTAAGACAATCTATTCCTTTAAGCATTGTCTAAGCTTCCTGTCAGATTTTGACTATCGATGCTAATTTTATTTTTAAAGATAAATGTCCTATAGTGCATGCTGAATTCTGGTTCATATTGTGTAACTTATAGTACCAAAGTTTGATTATTTCATACCCTATAATATAGTATTAAAAACTAGGCTATATTTAGTGTTTATTTAAAAGTATGTTTAATGTGTATTAAAGTGCATTCATTTAAATATTTTGCAGTTTGTTGGTTTATTTTTACTGGGGACCGGTATACTAGTTGAACTAAGCAGACAGGACTATACCTCTATTAATAAAAACCTGCTTGCACCAGTAATATTACTAATATTAGTTGGTTTGATTATTACTATTAATGCTCTATGTGGTCTGATTGGTACCATCACAGAAAATCCTTGTCTGTTAAAAATGGTAAGTTAAAAGCTAGTTTGATATGTATAGTTATAATGTAAAATTCATACTGAATTGTATAAGCCATAACTTCAACAATTTTATAATTTCAATCTGTAAATTGGCACCTTTCCTATCAGGAATGTCTCAGTTTGTTTTATCTTTGTCTCATCAACTTCACAAAATGCCAAATTTGAAAAAAATATATCTTTTTCTTTCAGTTTTTAGTGTTCACTATAATTGCATTCCTTATCCAAGTTACTATTGGTGTTTTGGCGTACGTTTACAGGAAAAAGGTAAGCATTTGCTAATTATTAACACTGCAGGATATATGGAAAGACTAGTTACTACTCATTTAGACCTGGCAATCACATTTCATTCACAAGAGAGTGGTATTTAAAACTCATCATTACTATGTAAATATCTAGACCAGAATATAATTCCAGACTGACTGATTTAGTGAGAACTATTAATATTTTCTGATTTAGAATTGCAGGCTTAGATATACAATACCACTTTTTAGCGTAAACACCATCTGATATTCTATTCATACCTTTGGTGCCAGTTGACACTATAAAATCCTACTTCAGACTTGTCATGATTGATAGTGGGATTAATGGCATTTAATATTTATTTGAGTACATGGTACTTCAAATCCATTTCTATGATATAAAAATTCATCATTTGTCAATGGAGCAAGGTCTAAACTGAACTTAACATGATCTGTGTCAAAATGATATTTGATATAAACACAGCTTTTAGCATTCAATGTGTATCAAATTTGATTATTACCAATGTGAGAGTTATAAATAACAAATATATATAACATTTTTTTAAAGATTATATTGATTAATAGATTGTGTTTTGATGTCCTATATTTACTAGAAAAAATGCAAGCAACATATTACATACTGATAACAGTCATCTTTGATATAGAATAAAAGTATAGCTTTCTGTGTCTTTAAAGGAACAGGTAGGCAATTTTTTAGCTGAACTGATCAGTAATAGTGTTCATAGCTCACCGTCCAGAATTATCTGTGTTTGAATGTTAAAATGATCACCCAACAATTAAGACACTCTATGATATATAGAAAAGACATATATATATAGGAATAGTGTGTAAAATTCCTAGTTTGAATTATTTTAAAGGAATTATGTGATTTTCGTACATTTCTTGCACTTGTGAAGACTATTTTCATATATTCAACACTCAAATCAATAACCCAAAATGGCACATCTGTCCCTTTAAAGTAATCTTTAATTTACCAGGTACAAAATTAAAATTAGAGCTACTCAAATCACTTTCTAAATTGAAGATTCAACATCAAGTTAATTTACAACTATGAGACACCTTTGGTCAGCAAAGGAAATTTCAGTTGAATATCATTTTAGTTTTCATGCATACGGCTGAAACAAAGTTGTGTGCGTTGTTGAAGTAAATAACAAGACTGGAATATATTTATTTATAGTATATTTATTTATTTATGACATGTATAAGAAATTTGAAATTTAATTGATACATTCCCAGTATAGCTGTACCATATAAAGTAAAACTGTTGGTGTGAGAGAGAACTGTTGATAATGAAATGTTTATCTAGTGAGTAAAAATAGTTAATCAGATTTAGTGTGGATTGAAGATAGACCTCATTAAATTACTGTGTTAATAGTAGTCGTAAAATCAATACTCATCAACTTTTTTCCGTGTTTGGTAGGTTGGCCATATTTAAGAGACTGATTCTCCATTTTGGGGAGTTGGGTCTTGAATATATGTAAATAATCTTCAGAAATAATAGAAATTCATAGAAATCACATTATTCCTTCAAAAATATCTCAAACTAAGAATTTCACTTACTATTTCCATATATGTCTCTTCTATATTATGGCAGTGTCTAACTTAAAGAAAATTCATTTTTTTGACTTTTAAACACGAATAATTCTGAACACACATTGAAGGTTCAAATGTTGATGTGAGATGTGAATACTATTACTGATAAGCTTAGCTAAAATATTCCGTTTCTGTCACTAAGGTACGATTGGTCAAGAAAATCTGTCCCTTGAAAGAGTTTGCAATTTGATTTTTTTTTTTTACTGAAATATAGAAGTTTGCTGAACATTTGAAAAATTTTAATGCAATTTAAGGAAGTACTTCAAAAAAATTGTTTAAGCTAACAGGTTAATAAGATTTTAAAGTACATTGAGAAAAATTTCAATTTGATGAAAATAATTCTGTAATTTACTTCAAAGAGATGCAATAAAACTGTCTTGATATGAGGCTAGGTTTAATGATGAAGAATAACAAGATCTAATAAACCATTTATTTCAATAAACTACTCTGTAATGGGAATTCTTCAATGACTGTTATATTAAGACTCATGTCTTCCACTATGTCTTCTGAGATGGTATTTTCCTGAATCATTGCCACTCAATGAGTTGAACGCACATAAATTTTGACAGACTATTACTGAAATTTCTGGAAAAAGTTCATTTTGATTTATCTGTCAGTTTCATGCTGGAGTTCATTAAGAAGACTTGACAGAATAATCGTAATGAAACTTTATTTTAGAGATTTTTTATTATCTGAAGTCTTTTGCCCTATCACTATTGATTAGTATTTTATATAAGATAATGTCTACTGAACCTATTTCCTTAAATAGATGTAGCATAATGTTTTCATAAATACATGTATACTGGTCAAAATTATAAAATCATAGTGTTCAAACCTTGAATTGGATCGAGAAGAATACTTTCTCTTTGTTTTAGGTAATCTAAACCAGGCCTGTGCAACCTACGGGCGTCATGTAAATTTGAGGGAAATGCGGCCTGCGAGCAAATGCTTCGTTTGCTCTTGTCACGGTCGATGTGGCCCGCAGATTGTCGCTGCCTATTCTGATATCGAAACCCATTATATCCGTGCTGTTATATCAAAGTATGACGTCAAAATGAATCTAACCAATCAAATCGTTTACGAGGTCTGATTTTACGTCAAATATGTCTATTATTTGCAATGCACATTGAAATACAATATTGAATAAATCACTTGAAAAAATTGCATGTTTCTCATTGTTTATTCCATGATTCATTGATGGTTGGTTACATGGCCCACGCCTACTCACATCCCTCAAATGTGGTCCGCCATTGCGGAAAGGTTGCACAGGCCTGGCCTAAACCATTACTTACAAGTGGTACAGTATTTTTAGGGTAAAAGTCGTTAGTCACGTCTACCCTGGATTGAGAAATGAAAATGAAATGAAATAATGCAGCTTTACATCCAAAAAATACTTTTACAAATATAAACAAATAAAAACATTGATTATTTATAGTATTATTCAGATTAAAATATAACTAATCAATATAATGTTTTTATGTTGAATGTTGAATTAGTTCCGCAACATTTCTCAACAATAAATACTTTATAATAAACATTGCATGTGTAATGTGAAAGCAGTCATAGAATGCAAACAGATCAAAGGGTTGTTGAGTAACTTTAGTTATTGATTGTCAATTTTCTGGAGACAATTTAGGCTGTATTTAGTGAATAAAACATAAAAAAATTCATTATCTGCAATGTGTATCTGTGTTTTTTTTTTAACATTTTAAGAACTTGTCATGCTGTTTTAGAAACTAGGAAGAATTTATTTGTTGTCTAATAATCTTTTCTGAATAGTATGTAAACTATGGTCTATATTTCTATTTGTTTAGATCAAATATTATATAGGCTACAGTCTTAAAATGTGGGATCAGCTCAGACATTAAAACAAAGGAACAGGATAACCTTCCAGTTTTATATCTTTGAATAGTTATAAGATATTAATCTTCTAGCATGATATTGACTGAAAGACTAGAGCTATATATCTTATCTTCCAAGTTTAGACTGCCCTGTCCTATATATATTGATTGAATCGGATATTATTATAAAGGCAACTCGATTCCATGTTTTTATTACTCCAAATTCAGACATGAAGCAATAAATAGAAGTTATGTTTAACTATAGTATTGAATTACAGGGAATAGTATTTTATAACAATGACTGTTTCCTCAGGATATCTTGTCATGTTTTTTTGCCTTATTTTGATTCCGTGAATTATTATGTTCATTTTAGAAATTCCAGTTGACCAGTTTTAATGGCTTCATGTATACACATAGGAATGAAATGGGAACATGGGTTTATCATCCATTTCTTGATCTAAGTCTGTACTGGGTATACTAATTGTAAATTTTCTATGCAAAGAAATCATTTATGATCATGGACACCAATTTTCTTGGAAATGTCTTTTGGAAGTATATTTTGTTTTTCTTCATAGTATTTTGTATGTTTTCACAATACATTCTATGGGAATACTAATTATTGGATTAGATGATCCTCAAAAAAACAATATGTTCCTCATAAGTTAATTTGAAGAATATCAGGCAAACTGCACAATGATAAGACAATGCTCAAAAAAGAAGAAGGGTGACTGATTTTTGTGAGCATGTAATCGTTGTTTTGATGTCACAAGATCAAAGAAAAAACATTGGTACAAGTTTGATGTTCAAGATGTTGATGTGTGGAGTATATGATGGACAGAGTACAGACCAAAGTAACCCGATAAACATTAATAGTGTTAATAGGTTATCATTATAATCAAATTGATAAATTCTAAATTTGAACTTTAGATAAGCTGTGTACAAGTTGGAAAATTCTTGATGTTTTAGCCTGTTTGACTTTTGAAATGTCATATTTGTTGAACAGCTTGACAAGTTCAATAAGTATCATACTAACAGTAGGTCTTGCTAGGCCTGGAGATTTTGTAGAAGTTACACCCCCCTTTCTCTGAAATCTGAGCCTTTTTTGCTTATCGGTTACAAAGTGTAAAAGATTTCATATAAAGATGCTTAAGGATTCTAAGCATAATTGATGGATCTCCCTTGAGTGATTTGTATATCTGTCTTTTGAGAAACACATTATCTTATATTATAGTGCAGAAAAAAGCTTAAATGAATTGTAGGTTGCTATCTAGACTATTCAGTTGACAAACACATTCTAATTCCCCATAACCCTACTTAGAAATTTTTTGGACTGGAACAACAAAAATATCTGTGTACAATCTCTTTAAGAACCATTCTATAAAGTGACTATATATAGAGTGTCAAATGTTGATTATTTAACTGTCAATTCAACTGGATTAATCAACCAATTCTATAATTAGATTGTCAGTTTTGTATTAGTTCTTAGCATTGTAATAAATTGATCAGTCAATAGTAACTTTATTACCAACCAGGCTAGTTCATACTATTGTTACGGTACTGTTTAATTAGTCCTACCAATAATTTATTCCATTTCATTAATTCTTCACTCTTAATATCTTTCTGAACCAGTGTTCAACTTTCTGTCTCTTATCTTTCTTCTGACAGCTATTTTGACAGAATGAAGACTTTTTTGCAACAGGGTGTTTGAAAGGTCGAAAAACTAAAATATGTCAGAACCTGTTGGTAAGGGTACATCATGGGGATTTTGACTACTTTTGCTTAGTTGGAATATATGCTATTCATGGGTTTTAATCTTCTTTGATGTGTCATTTTTCTTAGTATTCCAAATAACTCTGCAGTAAATGAGTAACAAAATCCCTGGAAATATCAAGAGTTTTTGCAAGAAAACATTCTACAAGAATCCAAGATCATTTTGAACATTCAATAATCAATTTCCTGCAGTTAACTGAAACTTCTATTGATTTCCATGTTGTTTGATTTTCAATGAATATACTTGAATTGAATTCTGGTCTCTGTAAGGTCTAAGTAGATCTTGGTGGTGTAAACATGTTTGTTGTTTTTAAGGTAGCTCAGGTCATGTCAATTCAATAAACATTCCAGACCAATAGGAATGATTTTCTCTAGTTCACCAGACTGGATTTCTTTGATGTAATACTTGTATTTATATTGAAACCACTTATAAGATTAGTTACGAAGCCCACTCAAACAATAAAAATGGAAACTTCATGTTATATGGAGTGTTGAAAGCTTTTAGATCAGTGTAACTTCTCTAGAACATTCCTTATTATAGCACTAAATAAACAATCATTGTATTTTTACTGGCTATTTTTGGCTGATTTGAAAGGAACTAGTCCAATACTACAGTTTTATATATCAAATTCTATACATTCTCAATTCGATTATCATTTTGGTGGTGGGGCATTTTAGAGATGAAGTGATTTAATATTTTCTTTTAGTTCTTTTGCATTTTGCCTTGTAACCTTCACTTGAATACAATATCAGAATGGAATAGATTGAGCATAATGATTAGCAATGTGTATCTGATGTTGTATTTGTACTGTCTGAGTAATAAATTATAGTAGCCTGACACGTCAGAGTCAATATTGACATTAAGTCACTTTATGGTGTCATGACATGTCACTTGTAATTAACTATATTGATATTGTATGTTACATGTCACACATCTGTCAGTTCTTAATTGAGTTCACAATTTATCTTGTAAAAATCACTTGTTAGATGCACTTCTTGAAAAATGTCTAAAGATTCGATGTTAAGGTTATGAATTATAAAATTTGATAAATGCTATACATTATTTTGTGAAGTGAATAGTTATGTTGAAACATATAGAACTAATTTAGACTGAATACATATAGACTTAGGAAACACATATAGACATATACAGGACAAAAAATATTTTTTAAATTTCAAAATTTCATGTATATTTACTAATTTATTTCTGTGTATTTTGTAGGTACCTGAAATCACTAATTCTCATCTCATGTTTGGTGTTGAAGAATATAGTAAAAATTCAGGAATCAGATGGGGAATGGACAAGATGCAAAAGAAGGTAACAATTTATTGAATCAATAGATCTATCCAAGAAATGATTCTAGCAGAGTAGATATTAGCTGGCATTTATAGCCCATTTTTAATGACTCTTTACATGTTGTCAATTACATGTATTTTGATTCAGGTGTTTTCATTTTTTAAGAAGGCATAAACCTATGCATTAATTTGCATAATTTTACTTTGATATTTGATATTTTGTTGACAAATAAACCACAGAAATAACTGAAAAAATTTCCTTTCATAATAAAAGATCAGATGTACTATAAGATGTATTGTGTTTATTTATAGTTTATGTGCTGTGGATTAAGAAGTTATCAAGATTACAGTGTTTATAATGATGATTTTAACTGTGTATCCGAAACACCTCAATCTTGTGGTGTACCAAGCTCCTGTTGTAGACCTATTGAGGTAATATTATTCATACAGTTTCCTTGTGCATTATTATGGCAGATCAATAGTTAAAGTGGCAGAATATTCATTCTTGAGAATATAAAAGCCGAGATCTCTGATTTGATTTTGATGGAGTCATTACATTAATATATAACATATTACGCATCATGTGTGATAAAATAGGTATTTTTATATATTATTTTTGTTTTTCCAGAATATTGAGCCAAAAGAAGACTGTGGATATGGCATTATTGGCAATGGAACGGTAAGTTTGTATATAATCTTATTAATTGCTTTAGGAAAAATAATTTTAGTCAATCTTGAATAGGCCATCTTTCTTGATAGTTGCAGTGAGACTAAATATGTAAGAGTAACCAAGAACTAGCATGAAGCCAGAAAGGAACTTAGTAAACTAATTTCACTTTCATAAAGACTTCTTATACAAGACTTCTTAATTCTAAGAATCAGAAGATGAAATTATTTAAATATAAAGTTAGTATGATATAACTGAATATAATATGTTGAAAAACTTTTTTAGATTGCTGATAAAGTGTATACTGAAGGATGTAAGGCTATGTTTTTACAATGGTTGGCTACTAATCTAGATCATGTTGGAGCTACTGCTCTAGGATTTGCTATACCTCAGGTAATCAGTAACTTATTAAGCCCCATATAAATTATATAGTGATAAGTGATACCTATCTTAAGGAAACATTTCTTATGTGCACATGACCTAATGACCAAAAGTGGGGTTTGAAGTTGGCATACAAATTGCTGATTTGAGGATAGTTTGTGCATAAATATGCTACTAGGTAAATGCTGAAGTTCACAAAATTGTTAACAAATATAATAAATGTGTTTTCTGTTAAAATCCAATAAGATCAATGGCTGAAAATCTATATAATATTGAAAAATACATATACCCGGTACAATTATTGTATAGATGAAATTCATGATATATGTTTTACATAAAACCTTGTTGTATTTCAGATAATTGGCATAATGATAGCTTACTTCTTTCTACGTAAAGTTATGGAACTACGAGTATGGTATAGAGTGGAGAATTTACAGTAAACATAACAGTAGTATGATTAGTAGAAACCTTCATATCATATCCAAATTACATGTAGATGGTTTGTGTAGTTAAGAACTGAGTAATGTTATAAGTAATAATGATATATGAAGGTGCTATATGATAAATACTAACTATTTACTGAGTATATTATTACTAGTCAATAATCTTATAGTTTAGGATATTCACTTCTTATTTTATATTTACACAAATTTTCACATATTGGTATCTCTTGTTACACATTTTGTTTGAATGACCAAGGCTTTTCATTTTGTTTCACATTTTTGAATAAAAACTTGATGTCTTATTGAACCTCTTTTGAGTTAATACTATTATCATTTTCTCTAAATTCTCAATTTCTAAATGTCTTGGAATTACTTTCTAAAGGTGCCCTCACACCATAGCGATTACCACAACTCACAACTCTGTGGTATGAGATTTGTGTTCGAACCTTATGACTGCTTCTCTAATTTGCAACTATATGTGACTAGTGATCGCTATGATGTTGGGGCACCTTTTTAGTTTGAATTCTAGTATGATTCTCAGTGAATTTGATGTATCTCAGAATTCCAGGTTTATGTTTGACTTTAGAAGTAGAAATTTTCATTAGGAATACCAATATCATCTATGAAAGTTCTGATAGATAAATAGTTTAGAAAACTTATGTGTACCATTGATTTATCAAATGTCTTAATTTATTTTCATCCAAGACAGTTTTACTGTACATATATGACATTAGGTATAAGATGGACAGTTAATGGTTATTTTTCAAGGATTAAGCATAATATGGTGTGATTTTTGTATGTGTTCAGTATTTTGTTATAGAAACTAATATTTTTGATGCCAAATTATTTACTTTTGTTTTTTTTCTTGATTCTTTTATTTACATGTTTTTCTACTATTTTGCTTTAATGTGTTTTTTATCACACGTAGTATTTAGGTTGTAAATTTTTTAAAATTATAACATTCCTCTGAGATAGTTTCTATTTCTTAGTCTAGTGCTTGTTTATGTATTGTTTGTTAACTTGTTTTCATTAATTCTTTATATTTTATGCATGATATTAATGGTGTTAGGTCTTATTTTCATTAACCATAGAATACTCACGTCGAAGTACTTTACTTTTCTTACAAACAAATTTTCTTGATTATTTTTGTTATTGATCTGTTCTAGAGTTGTGAATCTCACTAAAAGAAACAGGAAATTTTAGTATCAGTCCAAGGTCCACAAGGGGATTTTTTTTTACTTTTATGTTGTATCTTATTTTTAAATAAATATTCCATTTCATAAGAATTTTGTAAATGTTTACTGCTTTAAGTATTTGATATTTTGCAATTAAAATACTTTGTTCTTAATTGTGTTATTGTTTCTGAAAAATGATCACTCGACTGAAGTGTTCAGCTTTATAACTTTTATCCATTTATTGGAGATGCGTAAATTATTGGTGCTTGAAGTCAAGATCAAAATTCCTACGAAGGCAGTTTTGGTACCTATTTGATATAAATCTGTGTGATGAAAGGTATCACAGGTCTTCGCACTATTGATAAGTGTATCATTTATTTACCTATATATAATTTTTGATGCTGTTGTCTATTTATGACTAAAGACTACTTAATTTTAACAGTACTTAAAAATTACCACTTTGGAATTAAGGAGTTTTTACACCAGATCCGAAACATCACTACAAAAAATAGAAAAGATAGCCTGAAATACACCCACCAGCAGCTTTTATTGCAAGTACAAATCATTGTATGTTGTCCATTCACATTTGGTTCATGTTTAGTCTATAGAGAATTTTAAGCAAACATTATTGTATTTCACCATGGCTGAAAGATAAAGAATTGTGAATATTGAACACACTGCAAAACATTAAATCAATTTTTTACCCAAATATCAATCTCATCAAACAAAAATCAAAAGAATCCATCAAGAAATGTAGTCTGTAGAGTTCTCAGGCCAAAGGTAAATGGACAGGGTGAAGACAATTTCAGTCCATACTACATGTCGCCATATAAAAATCACAAGAATCCATAAAGAATATTTGCCTGTAGAGTGAGCACGAGTTACACAATACAGTCAATAGAGTGAAAATGCTAAGTTGGACACAATATTTCAAAGAAAAATTATTAGATCATCAGGAAAATTGATAGGGATCATCTTCATAATGACATTGACCCATAAAATAAAAAGCAAACGAATCCATAATGAACTGTTGCCTGTAGAGTAATGAGAGTTACACAATACAGTCAATAGAGTGAAAATGCTAAGTCGGACACGATATTTCAAGGAAAAATTATTAGATTATCACAAAAATCGATAGGGATCATCTTCATGACATTGACCTACAAAATAAAAATCAAAAGAATCTGTAAAGAATTGTAGCCTGTAGATAGAGCTACAAGGCAAGAACAGCAATGACCAAATAATAATTATTCTTGAAAATATCTTCTATCCATGATTCTATTCTCTTTATTATAATTATCCATCTAAACAACATTATACCCTGCTGTGGAGAGAGATTTTGAAGTATGACACACTTCAAACAATCATAACTTCTTACAAGAAGGTTCAATTGATTCAGAATAATTGTGGAATTCTATAATAACTCAATAATAAATAAACAGTAATATAACAAAACTTGATAAGATTATAAATATTGCACAAAATACAATGCTGATAGGTTAATAAAATAATAATGGTTTTACTTCTACATTTCATATGTCTGATTCCTTTCCAAAAGACAAACTATTCTTGAAATTGGTATTTTTTGTTTAATCTCTTTTTCTCTAAGAAAATGCCAGCAGTCATTAAATAGCAATAAGAATTTCTGAGCAACCTTACCTAAATTAAATATTTGCATGTAATTTGTGACCTACATATTTTCAAAATAGTTGTAAATTTTTATATTTTTGTATAAACATTTTTTTGGGTAAGCGTCAATTTTAGCAGTATTCACACAAAAAGTAACAAAATAAAAGAGCTAAGGGTTTTGGAAAGAAAGTTATTTATATGAAATGGAATGTTAATATTATACAAGCTAACTAAAATTGAGCTAATTACATAACAAATATATTGGTATACACAATATTTATATACAATTTTACTATATATATTTATGTTATAATAATTAAAGCTGGGTTTTGTTCATTGTTTTAATATATCTGGTAAATATAATTCACAATATTATATGGAATGAATATATTTCACTCCAAATAGTATATAAAAGTTTTACCCTTGATATAACACAACTATTTAACATTGGATTTAAATAATCTACTGATTGAATACAAGTCAGATGATCAATTCAAATTCCGTATTTGAATTCCAAGGTTAATGGATACCTTTATATTGGTTTATATAGTTATATATCAAGGGTAGCTGTTGTGTATACAATTCAAAACTTGATATTAGGATGCTTAACCTTAACAAGATCAAAGGCTAATTACGGTTATAGATCTAATACAATTTTAAAATTCTAAGGCATGTCTAGCACCATGGACAACCTCTACAACTATTCCTAGCATACACAAATATTGGTATAACTCTCCATGTGTTTGTCCACAGTAAAAGGGATATTGATATATCCTTCATTGTATATAACAAGCTAATATTCATTCTACTCTACACATATATATCTAAATTTATTCATATATAAATATTTCAGAAATCTTTGTTGATTTTTATTGTGAAATGCAAATTTGATTCATTATATATAAAGATTGCACTTTTCAAATGAGCTGAGCCAATGTTCTGATATATATCATTTTCTATGAAAGACAGCACACCTTTGTCATAATACAAATACTATATCTATTGGCAATGATAAATAAGCTATAATAATACATAATATACATCAACAAATACTATAATATACAATAAGTTAAAACAATGTCTATATCTAGGCTACATAATTTGGATTTCTATATTTATTATTTAATCTCTTTTTGAGATTCTCAATGTCTCATAATGTCAATTTTGTACAATATATCATACAGTTGTCAACTGCAAACCTCACAATTCCATATCAAATTATATCATGAAATTCAACTCAAAATCAGACTTTGGCGAGTCATGTCATGCATTGGCATATGAGAAGAATCTCACTTACTTGCCTTAATCCATTGTGGAGACAGAAAAGTTTTGTGTTTAAATCTCGTAAGTGTACAGGTTATATTTCTTTTATAATAAATAAATGACTAGTTTAATTGCCTATATAATATATATATAATATATATGTTTATAATTTACCAATTGATATAGCATCAGCAGCTTTAACTATATTATAACAAGCTTGACAAACTCGAACAGGCTTCACTATTCTCAATCTACGGATCTCGGTTTCATAGCGACTACATCTGTAATGAAAAAACAAAGAGCCCAATAAGCTTACTGTTTTGAAAAATAATTCAAGTCAAGTTTTTTTTAAGCCAGAACAGATTATTTTTCTATTATCAATGAAGTGTTATTATTTCTTTCAGAGCAAGTAACAAAGCTTACCTAGAGCAAAACACTTTTCCACAGTTCCTACAATGATGTCTTCTTTCAGAAAATGAAAATTTAACATTACAAGATAGACAACTATCAACTCCTTCATCTTTCATCCAATGGTCAGCTACAACTCTCCCAGGCTGATCAGTGACAGTCCAGTTAAATATTCTACCTCTAGCATCACCCACAAATACTGTTTTATGATCTCTGTAATAGATATACAATAATAATCAACCATCTAGCATCACCCACAAATACTGTTTTATGATCTCTGTAATAGATATACAATAATAATCAACCATCTAGCATCACCCACAAATACTGTTTTATGATCTCTGTAATAGATAGACAATAATAATCAACCATCTAGCATCACCCACAAATACTGTTTTATGATCTCTGTAATAGATAGACAATAATAATCAACCATCTAGCATCACCCACAAATACTGTTTTATGATCTCTGTAATAGATAGACAATAATAATCAACCATCTAGCATCACCCACAAATACTGTTTAATGATCTCTGTAATAAATATAGAACAGGATAACAAACATCTAATAATTACCTAGAGACAGCTAGAGCAGTTACTGCAGCAGGTTCTTTATTATCTTTTCTTTCTATAGCTGTATGCATTGTTAATTTACTACGAAATACTATCTGTCTTAACCACTTAAATCCTACAATATTGAGTCAATATTAATTTGAAAGTGAAATCATAATACTGGGAATTATAAGCTTAATGCTTGATAATATTTAACTTTCTTTTAAACAAAGCAAAAAGGTATGTATGGAGGTATTTTGGATTGTCGCGGAACAAACAAAAGAGGACTTCTGAAGCTCTGGAAAATGCTAGATAAACTTTAGAGAAACATTTTTTTTCATGAAAGATACAAATCTGAATAGGTATTTACCATCTCTCAATGTATTTTTGGTAGGTTTAGGTCTTTCAGTAAATTTAACTTGTTGTATGTCACTATCATTAATAACAACATAACCAGAACTACTAGATTTTATAGAGTCAGTTTCAGAATCACCGCCTGATTTTAGATCACCATGACTTTTACTACGAACTTCATTATTATCACCCACGGCACTCACTAAACACGGTTCAGATTGACTTGGCTGTGAACCAAAACTCTTGTCCAAAGCATCTTCACCCAAAGCAGCTAATGACTCATTATTTGGTTCAACAGGTGCATACTCTTCTAGATCACCATTAGTACTAGTACCATCATCTGTTTTATATATATCACTGGTACTACTAGTTGTACTCATATTAGATTCTAATCTTTCTAACATGCTAAAATCATTACTCATTCTATCACGACTAGATTCACAATCCTTATCTTTCATTTTCTGAACCAGATGACTCTCACTCTCAGCTGATGAACCTAATTCACAACCTTTTGCTACCAGAAAGTCAGGATCCTTAAAATCACGCAACATATCAGTAGCTGAGCGTAATTCACTATAACTATCACACGATTCTCTCCGTGAGATTTTTGGTACATTGACTGGAGGACTTATACTAGTGTTTCTAACTGATTTACTATTATCTTTATTAGTACTGTCTGTATTATCTTCTTTTAATTTAGTTTTAGTCTCATCTGGTACTTGTACATACTCTATACTCCACATCTACCAAAATAATATTAAAATGTTTAAGAATTTGACAGATTGAAGCATTTGTAAAGATGTCATATTGACCCTTATTGTCAATTAATGTTCAGCCATACTGTAGCCTATGTTTCTGGTATAAAAATCTTTTGAGAAACAGCAGCCTGTTGTTGCAGAAGGACCAGCATACCAGATATAGTACATACATAAAAACATGACATTATAATACTTACCCTAACAACACCATCACTACTACCTGTCATAATAACATTCTGACTATCCCATTCTTTTAACTAAAATATAATTTTACAGATTATCATTTTAAGAAAAGAAGGCTTTATATTTATAACATACCTATTATGGGAACACTGTGTAAATGGCTCACATAATGTATACCTTGAGTTTTAAATCTTTAGGAGTACATGCATACAATTTTTCTTGTACTAACTAACATTAAGTCATACCTGAGAGAAAGCAACACAAAGTATCTGTTGATTTCTACCAGTAGAAGTATTAACACAGGCTATTTCTTCACCATTTATACTCCATAAATGTAAATATGTTCCTGCACATGTTGCTATATCTCCCTATAAATAGAACATAGGTGTAAAAATGTACATAAGGATAAATACATGGATAAAATCTCTCTTCTGCTTTCACTTAAAATAATGAGGCAAATATTTTGCAAATATACAATGCTTCTTCAGGCCAGGATAAAGACTTCGGAGTTAAACGAAAATGGAGGTATATACAAATAAAGAATTGCACAAGAATAGATACATAGAGAATAGATATAAACTTCTATGTAGGGATAGATGTAAATAAGTTTGCAGGTTCAATGAAATTCTATTAATCAATAAGCGACTTGAGACCCCCTGTTGGTGTCGACATATCTATAATAATAAATTTTATAGGTTTTAATTAATATGAAACTTACTGTTAACTCATTTATACAAACAGCTGCTACTGGAGCTATATGACGACGTAACTGTGTAACAAATAATAATCTACTCATATCCCATATAACACAAGTTCTATCACGTGATCCACTAACTATTATATGGTAGGCTTGTGACGCAGCTAAACATGTAACAGGTTCAGTATGACCATATAATGGTTGTTTTAATACAACTTTTCTTTCTTTAGGTATATGTTCCCATACATTAACAACCTACATAAAATTATGAAAACAGATAAATGATTGGATTGATAAAGTACTTGACAGAGGAATCTCAGATGGATTGTAATATAAACATTCATTTTCCATTCCATCATGACATGAGTGGGATTAAAAGTTGCTTGATGGTGTCAATTGAAAATCAATCAACAAACATATTACTCTGTAAACAAATTAACCTTTTTTATCATCACATCTAGATATGGGTAAGGGACACAGTGCCCTATTACAAATGTATTTGTTTTGAACAAGAACCAGGAATACAGATGTGAAATGAAAATCATTTAAACATAACAATAATAAATGATATACTAAATACTTACACAACTTGTTCCCCCAGTAATAAAAACTTTAGTATTAGGACATGCTGCACATAATATAACTCCATTGTCTAAACATTCAAATATAGCTGAAGCTTTCTCTGACTCATAATTACCAATTCTAACACTGAGATCAGAGAAACCCCAGGCTAAATATCTACCATACGTTGGTGCTATTAAAACTTTATTTTGTTCAACAGCTAATACACTCTTTTCATTGTGTATAATTTGTCCTACAGCACTCTTCAATTCTGAAAATTATATTGAGATCTTTAAAATCTGCCAAACTTCCAAATAAATAATAGTCAGGGATCCAAGTCTTGGTTGGTGTGCCTTACTCATTCAAACGGGCATGGATAACAAAAGATGATTCCCAAAACGGTTTTGCCAAGCTGGTAGAAACAATTTTGAGTGCCTGAGAAGTTTTTATCCTGGTTAAATCTGGTTGTATGTTTCTAGCCGTAAAGTTAAGGTAACTTAACCAGACTGATTTCGTTTGGAATATTTAAAAAATCTTTTTCTCTTCCTATTTACATTATATAAAGATATGTTGGTCTCTGTGCACATTGTAGATGGCTAGTGTAAAAGTGTCTAACAGCATGACTTTATATAGCATCATATCATACCTTACCTTTAACGGGTTGCATGGAAGGTTTAAGATTATCAACGTTATGGAAAAATAATCTATCTGTTGTTACTGACATACCACTAATAGGATCTAAATATCTTATATTTAATTTCTTCTGCGGATGGGGTCGTTTAAATAACTGGAAATAATAAATAAAAATATAACTTCATTTTTAGGATAATATTTCATACATATTTTGGTATTTAGAAATTTTTTCAAGCACCAAGATTACATTGCTTGATTATAATCAATTACTGATATTAACTGACGCATTATTTTAAAAAATGAAAGAAAAAACAGTGTTCATGATTTCACACATTTTTGCAATACCACTTCTCTAGTATCATATTCCGTTGTAATTGCATAAATTTCAATGAGATTTCGAAACACACATCTAACATTATTAGTATAGTATGGTTCATTTTAAACAGATAGTTATTACCTTACCTGTTTAGCTATTTGACCAAAGTTATTAATAAAACCAATAGTAGCTGATTTCTTGAGAGGATCATCAATAGAATAGATGTCTACATTGCCCTCATAGAATAGATGATGGAACACATTGACAGCTTCTACTGCTGGTTGACCACTCTGTTTATAACCAAATATTAAATCTATCCAATGATGTAGATGTGAACTGACATAGTCACATTCTAATGCCTACAAATAATCAGAAATGAAACTAATTAGCAATCTCTGCATTGTTTTCCCCACTAAAGACATTGTGATATATCTGTATGTGTATGTGCGATATACCGGTATGTGTATGTGTGATATACCAGTATGTGTAAGTGAGATATACCATTATGTGTATGTGCGATATACCAGTATGTGTATGTGTGATATACTGGTGTGTGTATATGCGATATACCGGTATGTGTATGTGTGATATACCAGTATGAGTATTGTGTATGTGTGATATACCGGTATGTGTATGTGTGATATACTGGTATGTGTATATGTGATATACCGGTATGTGTAAGTGTGATATACCGGTATGTGTGATATACCAGTATGTGTAAGTGAGATATACCAGTATGTGTATGTGCAATATACCAGTATGTGTATGTGCAATATACCAGTATGTGTAATATACTGGTGTGTGTATGTGCGATATAACGGTATGTGTATGTGTGATATACCAGTATGTGTATTGTGTATGTGTGATATACCGGTATGTGTATGTGTGATATACCAGTATGTGTATTGTGTATGTGTGATATAGCGGTATGTGTGATATACCAGTATGTGTAAGTGAGATATACCGGTATGTGTATGTGCGATATACAAGTATGTGTATGTGTGATATACCGGTGTGTATGTGCGATATACCGGTATGTGTAAGTGTGATATACCGGCGTGTGTATGTGTAATTGGAGAAATAAGGCAGGACATAAGCCTTAATTCATAAGTTTCCAAATTTTCTAATCCTATACATATAAGCTCAAACACCATACAAAATTGAAGGAAATAAATTTTAGACCACGCAAAACATAAAATATGCGCATAAAAATTACCTCTCTATGTATTCTGATAAATTCTTTAGGATCTGATTTAGCCCATGGTGGTAATACAACATCAGATAATGCTACACCACTTTGTTTACATCCTACAATATATTAAAATAGCACACAACTTGAATGCTGAATTAAATAGAATATAATTGACTACAATATTTTAAAAAAAAAAATAGATTCAAAAGCTAACACAAAGTTCATACTTTTACTATGCAGAACATTGTTATGATATCTGATAGTTTAAAAAGAATTTCACAAACTACATACCTAAATCAAAGTTATTGGCATTGAGTAAAAAATCTGGTAAATAGAAAAATTCCGGAATCAGTTCTTTAACGTCAGCCATATTATGTTTTGATGCAGAAAACCAGTTTTCACGAATACTATGAAACATTCTATCTGCTAGATCAAAATGTCCTCCCTGAATATAAACAAAAAACAAAATAAATTTTTCATTTTTTGGATTTTGTGGTTTATAACATTAGCATTGATGGAAATTATTTTTATTTATAAATCATGAATATTTAGCACTCTTTGAATAGAGATAGTTAGATACTGATACCTGTGATCTATCTATATACTTAAGAATAGAGATAACTTACTTGTAATTTTAAGAAATGTTGAGTAAATGGTTCCATTCTGACTAGATAAGATGCTACTATCATAGCTGATGAATAATGTGTACCATAATGGTATGGTGGAGTTTCTCCTACAAAGAAAAATTACACTATTTACACTTACACAAGAGAAATGATCCACTGTACCACAGGCTGAGCTCATTAAAGATCCCTCGACATCTAGTAAGAGATAACTAATGTGGTTGTCCTTGTAAAATTTCCCTGAATGTACACTGCATGACATTGCCCATGATTATTAGTCATTAATTTATTATCAGATGCAAAAAATAAGGACATAAAACATAATTTCATAATATTTCAAGGAAATCATTTTAAAGTCTATTCAATTTTCAAGTGTAATGTAATATGATGGACAAAAAAAAACTTCTGAAGATAATGTAAATATTACCTTGAGGGTCATCCCATTCATTATACCGTTTCTCAAATTGTTTTAATCTTTCTGGTGTCTGTGCTCCCATTGGTTTAGATAAATCTCGAAAGGTAGATGGATTACTTAAATCTAACTCCTGTCAAAAATATAACATACAGAACATACATTTACATAAAGAATAGTACAGTATTTTTTCACTTTGTAAGATAATCAAAGAAAAACAATGTTAAATCAACATATCAAACCAAGAGTTTATTTATAAATGGATTTCGGCATGTAATTACTTCCATGTTAGACATAGCTCTAAAATATCATATTTTAACTACTTTTAATAAGAAACATATACCTGTGAATCATAGTCTGCTAGAATCCAAGGAAAGACTGGATATTGCATTAAATCATTATAGCATCGACCAGCTAGTGTATTTAAATGCATCAAATATTGGAAGTTATTTATTTCTCCCCTCTAAAAATAAAACAACATAAATATGTGAATAACGAACAAATGCATAACCTCATTCGAAAAAAACTTTTATAAAACTATCATAAAAGAACATAAATGGATATGTGAAAATTGAGTCATTATCCTATTTGTAGAAAATGTAGAAAATAGTATAAAAGTATAAATACCCTACCTCCCATCTCTGAGTGACTGATTTTTCACCAATTAAACTACTAATAATACCCCCACTGAAATAGAGATCATATCATGGTAAACAGAAAGGAGAAGAGATTAAGTTCAACAAACATAAAGCAATAATTAGAAATATATATATTAAGAAAAATATACAATAAATGGCTTTATATTCCAAGGTCAAATATACTTAAACATTGCCTGGTACCAATTCAAATTTCCAAAAATATGATGAGTTTATAAAAAGAGGTTAAATAAATACTATTCAAAATAAAATAATTTATCTTACCCAGATTCTACTTTAACATTCTGTCTCTGTCCTGACACTGATTGTTGAGCATTATCAGTTATTGCTGTACCCATAGATTGAAATCTAAATAGAAAAAAAAATTATAATGGTTTTACAGGTTAAATTTCTCAAGTGTTAGGTGTTTATCACATCTTATGCAGATATAAAAGGTTTAAATCAAATTTTCTATGATTTTAATGAACTTTTCCAAGCGCAAGATCACAAGTTGACTGTAAAACACTTACTTGGCAAAGACTTTGTTTCTAGTTTTTCTTGGTAGAGCTAGTAGATAGTTTCTACCATCAGTAGAGAATACTTCTATAGCTATTGGTTGTAATAAATATCTTCTTTTATGTACTTCACATACTTCATCATAAGAGAATTTACTAAACCTACATTATACAAATATACATAAGAGAACTTACTAAACCTACATTATACAAATATACATCAGAGAACTTATTTAACCTAAATTATACAAATATACATATAATACATATGAGAACTTACTAAACCTATAAATGATACACATATATGTAACATGTAAAAGCTTAATTTCAACTACATTAATCTAAATTTCAGGATAAATTATGAAGTTATTTCTTTGGAGTAACATCCAGTAAACTTACATTCGTTTTAAAGCACCACCACTACTCATAGATGATTTAGGTATTATAGGTTCATGATATCTAAAATAGAACATTGAATTGTATAAGTATGTTATATTGTTGCGGTTTGAAAAAGTCACATTGTTCATAATTCAAAATGGAGGATATGATACACTGAAGACCCAAAAGACTGAGGTAAAAAAGAAGAGAAAATTTAAAAACTGTAATATTTTCTGTAAAATCATGGCAATCATAGCCATTTTTAAACTGATTAACGCTAATTGAATTTGCAATGAATAGAACAAAATGATATAAAAAATGCAATGAAAATCATTTACCCTGGTGGAAGACTTTCAATATCTCTAATTTCTCGAGTTTTTAACAGAGTAAACCCATCAACAACATAATAATGATCTTTACCAAATAATAATAACCCTTCAGCAGTATCTAACCCTTGTATTCTGGCACATCGAAACATATGACTGATCTAGAAACAAAAATCGTTTTTCATTATAATTTAATAAAGATATGAGATTCAGATATTATACAATTTGGGCATTTTCTTAGTGATATTTTCATTATTTTACCAAAGGATTCAATGGAGTAGACAATGACAATATGTATGAAGTTCTTACCTTTTCACCTTCTCCTAGTAATCTAAGTATAGCCTGATTATCTCCCTTGTTATAAGTCGTCTGCTCCTCATGTTGACCTTCACCTTCTCTGTCTAGTTGACCATCTGTTTTGTCTTCCTCTGTATTATTACAATCTGTATCTTGACCATCATCATCAATTCCAGATTTATTTGATATCAACTTGGACATTTTACTGATATCAACTGTAAAGAGAAACTGATTTGATTCAAAAAGGAGGAAGCATTTTGGAATCAGATTAAAGAATGGATGTGAGAAATAGAAATTGTCTTCTATTAACCAGAAGAAAGTAAGCATCATTTACATCTGAGACTCAATCATTCTTACAGCAAAACTGGGTCAATTTGATATGGTGATGGCTTCGTACCTTGGTCTTATTATATTTCAGTATAGCATTTCAAAAGGTAAGAGCGCCTGTGATTTACGCCTAGGAAGATAAGAAGGAAATTACCTTCTGGTGAGTTCTGTGTAGATGTATCAGCTGATAATATATCAACATTATCATTACGTATTATAGGTAATTTATTTACCGCTAGTATACCACACGGTCTGTATTGTTCACTATATTCCTTACTATCAAAACTAATAGCTACTTTATATCTTAATGGCTACAAATATAAACACATTCCTTTGTTATAAATACTAAAATATTCTCCAATCAGCACCTCATTAATCTAAGTAAGATTCTCAATTAAAACTTCCTTATCAGTTTTATCAAAACTGCCATTTACTTTACCTCAGGTCTTGTCATTTTCCATTATTGAACTTATACAGGTTGATATTTAAGTAATAAAGAATATCCTGAGAATACTCACACTATCCTCTAAATCAGGTCTATATGGATAATGTACATAAAACATATCATCTAATATCATTTTCTTTCTCATTCTACTAGGTCCTTCTGTCATATCTAGTGTATATTTATCTAATCTACATCCATACTGGGGTCCCCATAATCCACGCACACGTAATAATTCATTCTCCATTGTTAACCATTCTTCTACTAAATATCTTTCTAAATGTAATTGACTCTACAAAATACAATACATAACTACAATGTACATGGTATGGAATAATTAAGAATGAACTATGTCTTCTATAGATGTTAATATGATGTACAATACAAGTTGCTACTTGGCACAGCTTATGAAGACATGCAAAATATCAATTAAAGTGGTAGGTAATTTGAAAGGGAGGTTGAAGTTCTTTAAATAAATTCATAGTCCAGAACATATTGTGACCAAACTTGAAATTAAAACTATTATATACCTGTTGAAACTGTTTATGTTGAAAATTTATAACATCTTTTACTAATGTTATATGACTATTGACCCATCCATGATAGTACTGAAATAGAATATAAATCAATTGGTGATACTCATATGTACAGTAATGTTTAACAATTGATCTTACTAAGAAAATATTGAAAAAAGAAATAAAAGAAAGAAAAAAATTGAACTTACGTTAACATGAACATTACAAGCTGGTGATATTTTGGTGGGTATTTCACGTTTAGTTCTTCTACTAGCTAACCTCAAGACACCACTACCTACTTTCTGTAATTTCTAAAAACAGATAAAAATGTATCAGTTTTCATCTTAATTTTTCACTATCAATTAATCTAATCAATGGACACTGCTTAAAAATCATGCTACATCATTTGCTTGTCATTTTTTTCATTATTTTTCTTTGTTAATTGTGCACAATTGTGAATAATTAATTTTGAGCAGATCAGTCAGAAGATATAGTCTTTGGAACCAAAATTGTTATTTTAACACTTTTCATTTTTCTTTAATTTATTATTGTCTGATCTGTTCCATTAATAATGTAATGTGAAACTTACTGATTGTATTTGTGTTTGTAATTTATCTGTATTTGTAAAAGGTGATTTTCTCTCACTTTCAGCATAAGTCACCCAAATTCTAGAAGCTGACTCCTGTATCATTAATCTAAAACAAAATAAAATAAACAATCCCCTATATTTCCACAGTGATTTTATTTTACTAAATTATTAGACCAAAATAATAGCATGGTGTAACTAAAATGAAAAAAACTAAAGTATTTCATTTAATCATATTAAATCCACATGCACATGACATCATCACAATAACAAAATGAGACACGGCTTGACTAAAATGTCTAATTAAAATTAAAAGATCCCACCAATATATATTGATTAACTTACCTAACTGAGTTTAAGTCTGGTGTAGATATAGGTTTATTATTGGTATTATTATTAAATGTGATACGAAACAGTTCTTCTAAAGCCTACAAAATCATACCATTAAAAACTTAAACTCCAAAAATATAACATTTTGTACTACAATTTGTTTAGATAGCACAGAGAAAACTGACATACCCAAATTACAAGCTGACAAACTTAAAGAAAGAGATAGGAAATATAGACGAGGGACTGTTGACTTAGCCCATGGCATAATAAGTTCAATGAACCTCTTAGATCGATCTTGGATGGAAATAAATGATAGAGACACATTTTCATAGGCCCTTTTTCCCTAGTTCAATGGACTGTCAAAGAAGCACCTGTTACTCATTCAAGGGAATAGGGTTCTACATGAAATTTAATACATGTAATTTTCAACTTACTGGTTTTTTAAAGATGTACAATTCATCCCATACTCGTCTAGCAGCATTAGCTACTAACTGCATGCCCTCTGACAAAACTGAATTAGGTTCAATACTAGTGGTTGTATTATCTACATTATCATTACTATCAGGCTCAACATGCCATGTTGTTGTTCTAGCTTTACTTTCACTTAAGTTAGCTCCACTAAAATAACAAAAATAGGACATTTTTTATTTATCAGCTAATTTGAAGATTGTCATAGTCTGGATGTGGCTGGCATGGAAAAAGTATCAAACCATTGGGAAAGGACAGACAAGTTTTCAGTTTAATGGGAATAAATGGTGGTTAACTGATCATTCATTCTATAAACTTATAGCCAGGAAATACAATAATGAAGTTACCTAGATTCAGGATCCTCTGTTAGTTGTAATAAACAGTATGTTAAACATCCAACAAATTCTTGATCATAGTTTCCAGGTCCAAACACAAGATTCCTGTTATTTGTCAGTTTATGTAATGAATCTAAGACACCAGTTTGACTAGACACACTGTCTATTGGTCTAGACAATTGAAATAGGATAGTTCTATTCAAACATTTGTAAATAGGATCTAATGACACTCCTGATGCTGAAAATACAAAAACCAGATCAATTCAAGTACAGAAATTCAAAAAATTCAAATTTGGGATTTACATTGCTGCAGTATGTCAACAACTGTTCCTTTTAAAGTGTTTACAAGTACAAATGTGTTGAAAAGAACCCCTAATGTTTAAGTAACAGTATTGTAGTTCAGGGGGATAAATCAATCCACATAAAGTGAAATTTATAAATACTTACATTTGCGTTTACTTTGAGAAATCAATTTACTGACAAAATCGAACACTTCTTTAGCCTCTCTTGTAAATACTCCTACAAAAGACAATATGTCTCAGTTAGCATTAATGAATATAGTTGTTCATCAAGAACTGAAAGTGACAAGAGTTTGAACTTAAGAAGGTAACAATTATAGGATTTACACATGGATTATTAATCTGAAAAGTGCATAGCTGAAATTGATCAGTATCAGCTTGTAAGGAAGATCTCCAACAACAATTCATCAACTTCCCTTGTTCTTTTCAATTTGAAACACTGTCATCAATGGTGTAATGTCTAATGACACAAATCATACCATAATATTCAATGTCTTGCAGACACAATTAAGATTCAGACTAAAAGTTTGAAGTAATCATACCCTGCCACAGTTTATCAACAACTCTACTGGCAAAATAAAACACATTATTAGCCATATTGGAGTAACTGTTTCCTATGATAGGTAATGCAGCCTGATCACCAAGTAAACATCAGCAGCTAATAGATGTTCCATCAGTATATTTAACATTTCTGTTTGAAACTGTTTCTGCTGAGCTCGACTTGCATGTTCTGGATAACCCTAAAATTATAAAACATCATTCATTTAGAGGAGATAAAAACAGATTTTGGTCTGTGTATGTGAATCAAGGTCACATTGTATTTTCATTCTGAGGTTTCTGTAATTCTGGAAAAAAATATTACAGATTATGAAGCCAAATCAAAATGGTGCTAATAAAAGCCAGAAGTGTTTCAAATACACAGAAGTATTAAATGTCATTGATTTAACTGTCTGAGTGTAACATAGAATTATTAATTTCATATCCATATAAAGATGACTGTTAACTTACATCTAACATAAGATCTATCACAGTAGTTGACTTAGTAGAAAAACTATCAATAACTATAGTTCTTAGAAAATCTATAATAAATCTTCTTGCTGGATGTCCATTCAATATACCTATTATTAAAATAAAACGATTGATATTTTAATTTAAAGGTGTCAATAAAAAGTTTTAATCCTAACAAACAACTAACACCGAGTGTCTGTTGAATTGATGCAAGATTTGATACATCAATAGCAATACACTCTAAACTGTATTCTTACACAATTTAAACTTGTAGATATATACTTACTATCAGATGTTTTACTGGGTTGTTTCAATAAAACAATAGGCTCACTGTCTGGAAATGGCTGGAAGAAAAATAAGGCATAGAAAATAATGGTGGTTAATGGAGCACCTTCTTATATTTATGAATCTTATAATAGGAATGAAACCATAGGGCTTGTCTAAAATAGATAGATTAAAAGGACTGAAACTTAAAGTCAAGCCTTTTCTTTTTAATTATTTTAGTGCAATGCCCATGACAAATTATTTTATGTGAAATAGTTATATATAGAGAAATGAAATGAGTATTTACCTTAAACTCTTCAGTTGGTGTAGTTACATCACTATCTATTTCTGGAGTAGGATAACTAAATAATGTAGCTGATAATGCCATGATAAAGTCAGGTGTGGTACATAGATTGAGAAAATCAGTCTGATTATGATAGAGAAATAATAAAAACTGTAGTAATATCAATGGATAGTCTTTACTTTTATCATTATCATCAATTTCCTGTAATATAAATTTGTACATTTTAATTAAAACATTTTTTAATCATTATCATCAAATTGAGACAAATTAACTCTTAACCACCAGGATGCCCAAGATTATTGTCCCATCTGACTAAATGCTTTTTTCATGTCAGCAACCAGGATTCAGGATTAGCTCGATCTATGCCAGGATTGAGCCCTGGACCTTCAGTTTTGCCATGTTATTTCAAGATTAATGATATCCAGTTGCCAATATTTCAAGACATCTAAAACTAGTTTTATCACCTTACCTCATTCACAGCATTTCTAATCATAGCTAATATAACTATAGCAGCTTCTGAACATAGTTCAACTTTCTCTTTAGCTAATAGTGAGACTGGTTTACTAGCTGGTACACCAAATATAACAGTCCATACAGCATCTAGACTGAGCTGAAAAGAAAAATAGTTTGTGCAAGTCTGATCCTTTAGTATATAAAACAAATGATGTCATAATGTATGATTCTCGCCATATTTCTACTTGATGATTTTTAAAACATAAATAAGACAATTATTTTGGACAATTCTTTTGATCTTGAAGCCAATATACAACCATTGTATTTGTGTTTGTAACACATACAAAACACCCTTGATTATTAAAGTATTTCTATGAAATTTGTCTGAATTTCTGTTGGAAATACGTAGGGAATGTTCGCTTACCTCTACATCAGTAGGCAAATCTTTATTATGTTGTCCTAATAACAACGCCATCAATAAAAAATAGACTGAAGATATATGGTTATGTTTAGGTAATGTCCATTGTAAAACAGTAAAACCTGGTATATGACTAACTTCGGTACTATGTTCTTTATCATGAGTTTTGTTGGTTATTCCTAGGTTGAATCCTATAATTAACAAGGTTTTTTTTTTCTGTTAATTTGATTAATACTATGAAATCACTCAATTTCAATTTTCAGACAACAAATTTTGCATAACTTGCAAATTCCTTTTTGTCAAAGGTATTTTGAGTACTAAATCATTATCCTTTATTTGAACAGATAGATACAGGACTGTAGTGAATAACCTTACCTAGCATAGCAGCCATCTGATTTTTAAGAACATTTTCAGTATCTTCTAACCATCCACCACCACAACTGCCTTCACGAAATCTCTGTACATTATTATTATTGCGAAACATGGTAACCAATATACGTAGGGCAAGGACTACAGTTGTGGGGTGAAGATTTTCTTGAAAAAATAACATCAACCAATCAAATCCTAGAGTTTTTAAGATATCATCACATACACTGAAATATAAAATACAGTTTTTCACTAGAGTATTCGATAGCCTTGTGTTGGTTTGTGATCGGGTGACCTTGAGTTAAGTCACCTTTTCTCTTCATTTCATTTGGCCCATTGGTATATATGCTGGTAATCTGGGAAAATATCACTGACAGGGAACAATGGTATCTTCAGAGATTTTAGAAATTTTAGAATTTAGAAATGCAACTGAGTTTTAAATATCTCCTCAAAATGTCTTTCCATAAGAATGAATTTTTATTCTTTATATATCCCCCTGAGTGATTCATAAAAATAGATAGTTACTTACTGTATATTTAAATTAGAAGAATCAGATAATATTAACTTCAATGTAACATCAAGTAATGTATTTCTTAATTTCACATTCTGTATAATACTGTTAGTGTTATCTGATAAATAAATAATGAAAATAACTATGTTTTAATTCCTGCATAACTCAAGAAATACCACAGATAAAATAAGAAAATATTTTGACCATTAATAGACCAAGTGAAATTTGTTTAGTCCAATTTGTTTAGGTGAGGTTGAACTAATCAAAAAAATAGCAGAATGATGTATAATATGTGTGGACTATTATATGAATGATCACAGGACGAAAATATACATGTACTTACCATCAGTGGAAGGTTGATTAATATCAACTGTTTTCTCATTAATATTAACCGGTGGTATAGTAGATAATATAAACTGTCCATATCTAAATATAGAATTCTTGACTGTTTTTATTGAGTACTTTTTGGTATTTTAGTGAAACAACCATGAAAGTATGCATTTGTAAAAGCAAGAAAAAATGGGTGCACGAAATAGAGTTAAGATATAAACGTTGTCAACTCACAAAACAGCACAAGCATAATATCGAAAAAGAATCGAAAGCTTTTGATCATACTTGCATTGGGTTTTGTCAGAATTTAGTTGGAAGGCTAAACACCACTAACCACATAATGATGAAACCTTAAAATCATACATACTTTATGTTATTCTTTACATTATATAGAAATACATCTGATACTTACCTTAATAAAGATTTATGATGAGGAGCTGTGTATAATAATTCTCCTATAACATTAGCTATTATTTTACTAGTATTATAGGATATACAGGTATCTTTTAATACAAATAACAATGATGATACCAGTCCTATATCTCTCATCATAATACCATTACCTTTAGCATCACTGTAATACACAAACAATACAAATTGAGGCAAATATTTTATACAAATTTCTCTAAAACATGCTATACGTTTATGTCAGCAAATTTCATTTTACATATACATAATAGATGAAAGATATAGCGAATCTTGCTTTGATATATGATAGACGTAAGACCAACAAAATTTTGTTTTGATACATGATCGATATATGGACATGGCAAACTCTGTTGATACACGATAGACATATGACATGGCAAATTATTCATTTATTTATGATAGACGTATGCATCAGCATCAGGTCAACAAAACATTCCAATAACCTACCTAGAATCAGTCAATAGTTCATAGAAATGTTCATATAATGATTTCTGTAGATCACCTGGTGCTTCATGCCATACCTACAAAAACAAATATGAATAATGTTACAAATATTCATTAATAAAACTTTTAAGTTTAATTTGACCTATTTTGACAGTAAAATTTGACTTCTTTAAATTTTTGTTCAAACAACATGTTATTACCTCTAAATCACAGAGCAAATCTTCAAACGCTACTCTATTAGGAATAACAGCCGATTCCCGACCACTGTCCAGTGTTCCCACTAATGAGAAGGTAAGATGTAATATATGACTATTTAATAAACTACGCTTCTTTTTATATAACATAGCTAACATCTAAAATACAAGAAAATGTTCATTATTCAACAGAGTATACACTTCTTATACAAATTTATGGTTGTTTTTATTTGAGTTGCTTTTAAATAAGGGCTATGCTTGTAACCTATCTCGTTTTGTACCATGGACAGGTCTAAATACTATTGCCTGATGACAGTTTGTGGCAGAACTAAACAAGAAATTAAATGTACAGAATCTATGCTTATAGGATAATATATTACAGTCACATGGTAGACAAAGTCACAACTTAAGATAAACAATCAAATAAAGGAATCAAATTAAAAAAAAAAAAAAATACCTGATAACCACGTATTCTATCCATATCCCACCTAGCTGATCTACTACTATTAACAACACAGACTAGTGTTTTAACAGCAGCATATAGTCCTTCGACATCTTTCGCCATAGCTATTAAACCTAAAACAGCGGCTGTACCTCCAACATTATCTAACATCTTCGCTACTGGTCTTGGACAAAATGTTCGTACACCTACAATATACAGGATTTAATATATCAAAAAAATAAATCGAAGATTGTTGAAGCAATTTATAAAACATCTATTGTATGCAGTAGGCTCAAAGCAAATTATATAATACCTGACATGAGTCTTGAAATCTCTACAATTTTAATACTAATTTCTCTTTCAGTAAACGTATCTTATTACCTCTCTCTCTGTTCATTTAGGTGTATATAATTGGTCCCAGCCTACCATAACAATGATGAATATAACAAGCAATAAGTTTATTCTTACCTAGATATCCCATCAATATAGCACCTAAACTCCTAGCAGAACCTGCTAAATGTCCAGCAGAATTATGTAATATTCTTATTGGTGTGGCATTTTCATGAGCTGACATAGCAAGCTGAAATCATGATAGATAATATAAGATGATGAAATGAACAAGTTGAATTGCATTACTGTTTTTGTTGTCTTTGTACCTTTATAAAATGGACTTAGATCTATATCTAATCAATGCATTCGTGCATAAAGACCATTAATTCTTAAAATTGTGGAAATTAAGAGCCTAAGCATTTTCATTTATTGCATGTAATGAAACCAACCTGTTTAGCTATAGATTTACTGTCATATTTATTGTAGATCTTTCTTATTTTAGCCACAGTCATTTGAGATAAAGCATGAGCATGTACACCAAATACTACTTTTTCTTCTGTTATAAATGGCAGAGATACTTCACTACTCTCTAAAAATGAAAATATTTCAACATTATCATTTTGATTCATAAAGTAGCTAATTCTCAATCACTCAAAAAACTTTACATTCTTAAATATAGTTAATCAAAATTGAACCTACCCATTAGAGCAGCTTGAAAACTTCCAATGTAAGTTGGACCAAGATTATAAACATTGGTGATAGTATTAGTAGAAACAATATCCTCTAAGAGATGGCATGGTCCCTGTCTCCACGTTAATCTTGATAAACGTCGTAATTGAGGGGGTGTACCAATATAACAGAATACCGAGGTAAAGGCTGTTGGACTCGCTGTACCACCTGCACCCAAATTTGGTGATATATAGTGGAGCTGAAAGGAAAGGGTACAGACAGGACTCTTTTCAATGTGAACATTTTGTTATGACATACATTGACAACAATATAAGTGTTCTAATTTAATGACAAAATTTTAGTGCTATAAAAATCTAGAAACAAATATGATTGAAGATCCTAACAAGCAATAAGGTTGTTTCAAAGGTATCATTTACAGACTCCAATATTTTGTGCTGCACATAACCAAAGAAAATTCTTTCCTGAAAAAAAAATACTAGTCAAAATGACAAGACAGGGACTAACCTTATGTGTATTTATATGTTCACCATCAACAAATAAACTGACATTACTATTCTTCATAATACCAGCACGATGGAACACTAATACTAAATGATGCCATTGTCCTTCTTGAGTTAATTCTGGATGCCAAAATCTTACAGTGTTATCATTTAGTACAGGTTCTTGTTCTTGTTCTGTACCGGTGACTGTAAACACACAGTAAACTTAGTTAGGTTAGGTATTTTAAGTACATAAGGCGTAATAGAGGTGGTCAGAGAGCTAATTGTTTTGACAAATATTGCCAAAGCATGCCTAGCTGTCTTGCAAGTTAAAAAATTTGTAACGTTTCTTAAAGTTCCATACAGATCTGAATACAGATGATATATTAAAAGGATGACCTTACTGTGCCGAGATACAAGAATAAAGGTTGTAATCTCACCAGAAGTAGGCATGTAAGTTTCTTGAGTGGAGACAACCAAAGCATTATCTTTAGACGTTAGATAAACACTTAAACAAATCAAGTTTTCATCTCTTCCCTGGATATTCCGGACTACTGTTAACAAACGTACAGGATGAGCATCAAGAGTTGGATTGCTAAACTTATCAACACAGAACCATGAGGAATATGTTAATCCTGATGGTGGTGGAAAAACTCTTTCACCTGAAAACATTTAACAAATCATGCCAATTTTGGAGTGATGATACAGAGCTGTAGATGTTATAAGAGCCACTAAAATAGGACTGTCAGAAGAGTTGCAATGTGATTGCTAAGAAATTTGCAATAAATCTGTTATACGAAACGAGACAGAACTGCTGACACGCTTTCTGTTCCATATTCTTTATATATAACACAAACCCAATGGAATATAAAGTTAACCAAATACAGCTTTATTACTTCAAAAGAAGATAAGAACTAACCACTTCCAACTCCTCCATAAACAATAGGATCTGATGTACCAACAACACCTCCAACAACAGAGGGAGTAGGGGGACCTTGTGGTGCTATACTAGGTAAATATAAACAGGCAAATCCTTCTGCACTCATATCAAACTCTACAAATGCTGGAGTGACAGTAGCACCATGCATTCTAGCATCTCTAGGTGTCGTCATAGAAACTAAACATTTCACCCTAGTTAGTGGAACCGTCCTGCCAGCAGATTTGAGTTTTTTCTCTATTTCCATTGTGGATGTTTTGTCTTCTATACCAACTGATTTTGATATCAGATCAGGATCGTTCCATGTTCCATTAGAACCCACATCCTGTACATCTTCTACAGGACGACAATTTAATGGTGATCCTAATCTCAGAAAATCTCTGAAATACCAAAACAATCAAAGGTTTGAAAATATTATACATATAGATTAGATTAATAAAAATAAAAAGATATTGAAAACTTAAGTATCATCCTATGTAATAATTTTCTTTCAATAAGTCAGGAATAAAATATCTTTATATACCTTAGATCTCTAGGTGTTAGAGACTGTGATGCCAAACGTTCAAACATAAACTGTAATGGTGGATGAAGTGGGAATGATTCATCAGCTAATGCTACACTACCATGACTAAGTAATTCATGTGGAAAACCAGCATCACACATAATTTGTTGATTACGCTCAGGACGAAGTAAAGATTTTAATATCTCAGATATGCAGGATTTTAGATTTAATGCATCCTACAAAACAAAAACAGCAAAACTTATGATACATGACTCTCATTGAAGAGGTAGCCAATTATAAAACTTACCATGCTTAGTGATCATACAGGCAGGAAGTTAATAAACCACTGTAAAACTTAGTGAGCTAAGTAAATAAGTAAGTAGTCAATAATAGACTTCATGCTAATTGGCTGGTAGGCAAGTTATATAAAACTTACCAAATTAAGTAGAACAAGTAAGTAGTCTATTATAAAACTAAAAGCTAATAGAATAAGTAAGAAATCTATTATAAAAACTTACCAAGCTATCTGAATAATGTTCTACAGCTGGTAATAAATGAAATATTGATAAGACGGCTCCAGCATGTACAATAACAGGATGGTCAATAAGACTAGATATATTGATATTCATACTGCCAGTACTACCACGTTTAGGTTTATTTAGGGTTTGATTATTACAAGGTTCTTCTATCACAGACATATGTTTCTTCAACAATAATGGTGAATCCGTTTTGGCATAATTACTGGAAGGTCTGAAATATAAATAAAGATGAATCATTATTCAAGATAGCAATTTAAGATATATCTGCAGTTTAAAAATGTATATGAAGTCAAAATTATATTAAAGCAAAATTCAAATCATTCTGACATAGATTTTTATCGGATTTGACACAAATATTTTTAAGAATTATCTTACCTATCAAAAGCATCAAGTGCCATATCATATAAATATCGAAACATTTGACAGGCTGATATTAGAATTACTGGAATGGATTTCTGGATTCTGCAGTAGGAAAAATACATAAATCAATATATGATACAGGTGCTGGCATACATGTTACATACTACAAAAAAAATGTCATCTAAATGCAGAAGAAATCAAAAGTTTGCGAAAGATCCATTCGTACACATGAACATGACAACAGTTTGCTTACTGACAATAATAGCTCTGCCCCCCACATTATCCATTCTCTGGCTTAAGCCTGCTGCAGTGAGAGGAACTAGCTGTGCTGCCTGCCTCCAGAGGCTGTCAGCTGAGCAATATTCTCACCACAATTTTCAACAAAGACGAGAGCTCTCACCTGACTTATTGTTTCACTAGAAAATCTTCGGCCAATTCCATATGTCAATGAAAACAACCAAGGAACATTCGGACTGCATCCGTGTCATGTAACTGATCAAAATCTCTGTTTTGGGATAAATAACGCATAGACACTAATAGTCTTGCCATGTTTACCACGTGATCCGTCAACACGTTTCTATTGGTTTGCTACTTTTTCTAGCTCAGCTGGCAGTTTACACGTCTGCACACAGTGAATTTCTGGCCTCTTGAGGCAGAAAATATCAAGCAAGATAGATATTTTTCTCACAGCCCTCAAAGCAGAATTCAGCGCAAACGGGGGAAACAGTTCATCTCCCAACCTCTTGAGGCAGGCAGCTCAGCTAGTTCCTTGCGTCTGCTGCAGGCTTTAATACAGTTTTATCCCTTACATAATAGCTAATAACTCCCATTCCATATACTTACTTGTCCTCTTTAGAATGTTGAAATAAATTGGTGAAGAGTTCAGTGTTATCAGTTGGTTTAGTATCTTCTGATTCTGTTTGTATATCAATATAGGTTGAAAAACATCCCAATAATCTAACAGCTTCTGTTAAACTATCATATCGTACCTATAAATAGACAACATAAAGTTATAAACAGATTCTCAGAAAAATGAAGATATGAATACCTGTAAGTATATTACCGTCAAGATGCAGAACGTCAAATCCAAAATCTGTCAGTTTCACTTACAAATGACCATGCATTAACAAACATCATGATTCCAATTATTTCATTAAGTTTATATGTTATTTGTCCAAAAAAAGGAGTGGATTACCTCGGAAGCAAAGAATTTGGCATTGGCAGGTTCATATCTCATAGCCACAGTTAGAGTGCTAAATACAGTTCTCAACATTTGTAATATATCTTTTCTTGGTACTAAAATAGAGATTATAATAATACATCATACATACAATAATACATCTATATATTGAATAACAGTAGCTGTTAGATAAATTTACTCTCAACTGACACAAATCCATAGCTTTTGATAAAAATATGACATCATTTTTGCTTTTTCCATGAATATCAGTCAGATGTTTGACAATTCTAATCATTTTGTTGAAATCTGCCAAATTTTCAAGAATGGTGCACTGTTATCTTCGCTTTAAATTTCCTTTCAGGCTTTTATATAAATATTTCCAACATACTCAATGAGAAAAGGAAGCAATTTCATTACCTGAATCCCATGGTGATTTTGGTGGTTCTGCTAAACAACCTTCCATAGACACTAATACAGACATAACATACACAAACCCACCCACTCTACGAAATACTGTCCTTGTACGATGACTTTCACGTAGTACATTTAATAATGACTGAAATAAAGTAAACACATGATATATTACCAACATAGGTCATATTCAAATCAATTCAAAATATTCCAACTGAGGATTATGTTCTTTTGTTCCCACTCATGATACTGATAGACCCAAATACTAACTTAAATTGACTCTATATAGTGTATTAACTAACGAAATGCCATTATAACAGACTTACCTTTAGAATATGTGTTTTTAATTCTAGGTTAGTAATAGTTGCTGTTGGCATTAAACCTAATAGAGTGCCCATATCATCATCCCCTCCAGGTGATAGTACCAATTGTTGTACTATATTTAACGCCATTTGTCTACAGTTTGTATATGGTACCATATTGTGGGCACATCTAGCACCACCACATTCACGAAAAACACCTACAAAATACATACATTAATTAACAACCTAAGGACCAAAAAAAAAATTTCTTTTCTTCAATTCGAAAACCATTTTTTGTGGATCAAATTTATCACCTAAATTTGTTACATTTTGAAGACAATATCAATATTACCTTTGAAACTAGTAAATATTCAACTTTTTTAAACCTTTAATCAAACCTAACATTCCCTTTTTTTTTTTTTACAGAATTTAAGCATGTAGTTAGTACTGTTCAATCAAGATTGCAATCCAATATCATATAAATATACATACCAGCATTACTGCTATTACCACTCAATAATAATGCTAATGATTCCATAACTAAATGTCCTAATTCCTGTTGTTCAGGATCAATATTTTCATTTTCTGAAAATTTAAATATGTTTTACATTAGAGGCTATAATAACAAATAGTTCAATAAACATTCAAACTAGATAAGATGATTCAAACTGGAGACGTTAATAAAGTTCTAGTCAGTATCAAGATGTTCCTATTATCTACTCTAGCCAATCTGATATATACCTATCTCAGTTTAAATAGAAAATTATTTTGATATACATATTTATAAATATTTAAATGGTGTGTAAATGTAGAATTCCTTTACAAAAAGTTAAAAAAAAATACTTAATTCTTAGTTGCAACTATAATCAACCACTTAGTAAAGAAATATCAGAATTCAACGAAAAGTACCAGTCCCACCTGTATCATTATGAGGTTCTTTTAGTAATGCAGCATAACGATGCATACATGTGACCATTACTTCTAAAATACCCACTTCCCTAAATACATCTCTATATACACTGTGGTACCGTAATATGTGTAATAATGTCTTCATACACAATATACTCGTGGATATGGAACTAAAAGCAATGATATACATAAAATATTTAGTCTACATGTCAAATCAAAGATTCATTACCAGCACAATGTTCACAGGGTCTACTGACAAAATCTTTTTCATAAGCTATTCAAGAAATTTTGTACTTCTGGCACTGTTTTCTCAAAAAGTTTCATGGATAAAATTTATCATTAAATTTTTTAATGTTCAACATAACACTCTTGATAAAATAGAAATGCAAGATTTCATAAGTAACAAAATTCTTTTCAAATTTAGTCAACTCTATCAGAACTTACCAGAACTTTATTAAATATTGTTTTATATGATTTTCATTTTGTAAATTAACTGTCAGAATTATGATAAATAGGTTTAGTATACTTACTGTTCAGATTTGATTAAAATACTCAGACTGATCAGTTCTTTACATGGTACAAAGTTTAAATTAAATACAATAAATTCTATCAGCTCAAACAATTTACTCTACAAGAGAAAAAAACTGGTTGGTAATCTAGTTGATGATCAACCATTCAATTTTGTGTTAAGTAGTGCTTGCCTGTATGTCTGTAGCATACGAGCAGTACTTTATTGTCCTATCTAATCAACTAGATGCTTATTCCATGTTAGTCTATCCACCCTGCATCACTGATTGAGAAATTAAGTTGATTATTTCAAAGGTAACCTCTTCACCTTTTGTTGTTTCAAATTCTGCATCCCAAGCATTCCTGAGACATCTTCGTCCCAAAGCATGTACAAATGCCTGTAGAAAATAGAACGTTTTGACAAAAATATTTGAATCTTCTACCAAGTTGGTGAAATGAAGAGGAAGATTAAAAAATAGTAAAGTAACCTGTATATCAGGAGGTTTTGTATGTATTTTCTCTATAAAGGTTGGTAATGTATGCTGTGGTTCTAATATAAAATAATTGGCATTATCTTGATGATAAATACTACTTATAACATCTAATATAGTACCACACAGATGACTTGTATTAGACTGAAATATAAACACAATATAGGAAATATCAAAACTGAAAATCATAAAACAATGAAATATCAAATTAAAATGTCTTGAACAAACACAAAATAACTAATTGTAATTCCAACAAAATTGGAACGTATCTCATAACTCACACAGTCTAGGTTCCTCATCTGAATGGAATAAAGAAATTATTTTTCAAGCAAATGAAATGTGGATAAAAAGATATGTGAAGGATTGTGATAATACCTTGAGAAAGACTGACTGTAAAACTTGGAAAGCATGTATATTACGTACACTGACACCTGCAATAGATATTAATAGTTATTTGTTTGACAATCATTTACTGTCAGAAAAAGCAACTTTATAATAACTCTGGTGAAAAATAATCTGTAAACACAGATATGCATACATTCAAATATATTCAAAACTTTGTATTTGAAAAAAATGAAAATGTAAAAGCTATTGGCATCATTCTTGATAGATATCTCTCAATCAACATCAACATTGTAAAGTGAATTTTGGTCATTAAAATGTACCAAGTTAGTCAATGCATACTCGATCTTTAATGATTATTTATTATCTCTATATGAGCAGTTTGGTTAAAATTGAAGCTAAAGACTTTTACTACTTGTTGTCCTATGTGAATATCAAAATAATTGTTCACTGTTAATTTCTTGCAGATTTGAGTAGAATTAAGTACATTTAATTTTTCAATTGCATAAAGAAATTGCACTAAAACTTGTCTATTTGTCAAGTAAGCACAATTTTCATTAACATTAATTATTTTTTTTGGATATCTGAACACTTACAGTATAACACATCAACATTTAAAATCTGCAGCAGATTTGTACATATTAAAGCTACAAGCAATTATTAAGACTGCTATAATATATAATATACTAAAAATATCTACAGAGTAGTTTAAGAGAAAAAGAAGCTCTAATATTATGAAAACGTAACTTAATTTCCTTGATACAAAATTTGAGGCCAGAATGTATTTATAAACAATTAAAGTAAAAAAAATACCCTAAAAATTAAAAGTAAAAACAATGCAAAGGAATAAATGAATACTTTCAAAAAAGATTTAAGACAACATGCCAATGTAATATAGATGTCAAAGTCTGAAATCTTAACTTGCCAAACATCCAAGAATATTGTCATATTAGATTTGTTAGAAAATTATGCAGAAGGAAAGAAAATGTCCCATTATCATGAAAACTCAAAATAAAAAGAATTAATATTTACTCAACTGTAACTACCACTTGAATAAACTTGAACATCTGTTAATTTATATTATTATTTTAATACAATGATTCAAATAAAATAAGGATAATTTGACTAATAATTTAACTAAAATAATTTATATGGAAACTTTGTCAAGCAAAGAATCATATAATGCTTGACAATTTCTATCAACAATATTTTTTTTTTTGACTTGTCAAGAAAGTAAAACAAATATGTGTACATGCAAACTAAGATCACAAAGATATGTTTAGTGTGTCAATAGGTACTTTAACAAATGGGACCCTAGCTCTGCGTTTAACAAAAATACGAAATTTAATATTGAAAATAAGTATAATTTTATATATGGCTTACAAAAATATATAACAACAGATATGTGACAGACAACATTCAAGATGCTTTACCATGCTACTAAAAATACTAGAATATTATACAAAAGTTCCATACCTTTACCAGCAGGTTGTGGCATGCAAAAGCCTGGCATCTGAAACAAAGATCCAGTACTACCAGCATTCGGTTTGATTTCACAAAAACCACAAGTGGTTAAAGAACCTACTAATAATACCAAATTTCTTAAAGCCTGGACAGCTTCTTCTCCATCATTGCTTTCTAACCTGAAATTCATAATATTTAGATAGACAAGACAAATAGCAATCAAAATGTAAATCATTTAGGTAATTTTTCTCGACAAATATTTTTGGGTTTTTTCCTACTGCAAATAATATATCATAAAAAAAAATATTAAAGAATTCCTCTTCATTATTTAATACAAAAAAGCAAGAATCAGGAAATGTGTCATTAAAGCAGAGAGTTGACTTACTTCAATAAAAATTCTGAAAGGAACACATAGCCTTGGCATGATTTAAAATCATCCACTAAAGTTTGTGAGACTTCACTCGAATCTTTGAGAAAACAAAATACTGTAACAAACATTTCCACAAGTTCTAATGGTGACAATTCTTGTACTCTTTGCATGTTCTCTATACAGTGTCTGACACAACCTTTCTCTACAAACAATGAAATAAAATAATTAAATTTGGAGCCAAGGGAAGAAGAGTAACACGACAGCCTCTTTAGTTTTTTGTTATCAAAAAAGAGATGCAACATGTCTCACATTGATTGATTAAAACTAATATTATGAGAACGGAAGTGTGGAAGAAAACTTGTTAGATTACAATGAAAACAAAAAAAATATTAGAAAAAAAGAAATTGTAGTCTAATCTAAATTATATAGATTTTGAGTTTACCTACTATTGTTCTAAACCTAAATGAAATTATAAAGACCAAGTCTTTCAAATATGCAAATGAGCAGATTGTGAAAACAGGTCCTTTTTTCTGTCGGCCCTTAGATAAAGTTTCAACCATTATACTTAACACCCAAGAGAGATTTGTTTACAATATCATACCATGTATATACTTGACAACAGAGTTGGTTAAGCCATGACGAGACAGAGTAACTAACACTTCTCCAGCACTCTTTCTCCACATAGAATTATATGCTGGACACCAACTAGTTATGGCACTAAATAATAAACTTAAATCATCTTTTCTGGCCAATTCTTCTGCAGGTGAGGAATGGTTGCTTATTCTAACCAATACCTACAATTGAATGTGATATAACAATGAAATAATGTGATCAGAAAAAGAATGAAATCCTCATAAAAGCACTGGCCGAGATCTCAAAACCAATTTGAAATTTCTGACAACCCTAAACCCCAACCATCAAAATTCTTCACTTAATTGAGTATGACATTTTTTTATAATGCCAGTATGAGAAACAAAGGGCATGGTTCTAAAAAAAATTCTGAGAACCTTCCATTTCTTACATACTTACATACTGAAATTAATTAGGTTAAGTGAATGGTCAAAATATGAATACCTGAACAAAGATTCTTTGCAACAATACTCTCTTTTCTTTTGGACTAAAATCACTGCCTTCTGGTGTATCATCTTCATTTTCTAATTTAGGTAAATCAAAGAATAAATATAAACATTTGACTAATGTTGATGGTAATGAAGCTGCTGTCATACAATCAATGAGAGCATGTTTACCAAGTGATAGTAAATTAATAGCCCCCAATAAACTCCATCCATTACTGACTTGATTATTTGATTCTATTTCTAAAAACTTTACTATAGCACAGCTTGCTGCTTCTGAAAGTATACATACAATAAAATTAAGGTTCAAAATCCACAATAACATCTACTTAGAGTTAATTAAAAGGTTAACACAAACACAATTAGAAGAACACAATTTGCAAAGTGTGGGATTACCAATGTATCAGATGTTACCATGTCTTATAACATCGATTATTTCATCATTTTTTCATTACAAAACACACATAATACTGCCATAAAACACAAAGGTTTCTTTAAAAGTCATAGGTCAATTCTTGTAGGCCTATATAAAATAGTAGTATGGCAAAGCATAAGTCTTTATCTCCTTAAAAAAGATGTTTCCCTAACAAGAAATAATATTCTTTACTTCGTGTTTTATCATTTTGTGTGGCTGAAAACCACAAAATACTGTATAATTTGCTCTTGAAACTGACCTGTAGATTGATTTGATGCACGTCTTCGAATTTCAGTGACCATCAGCTTAGAAACATGACTACAAAATTGTAGAATATCACCCCATTTGTCTGTCATATCATTTGATGGAGCATTTTCAAACACCTTGAAGTAAAAAATTAATTATAAGTTTCTTTTAAAATATCTCAAATCTCTTCTTCAATAATTTTTAATTTCCTTTGCTTTTTTGTCTGTAAAGTCAAAATTTAAGAAATTTCCAAACCAGTTGCAAATGGTTCAATATTTGAAACACCTGTTGAGTGTTGGCAAATTAGTTAATGTATGTTGATTTTCTCAATGTCAGTTATAGTTTATCTACTATGGAAATTTGATTATCTGATTTTTGTATCTCTAGTATAACAATTTTTTTCTTAAAGGGATAGGTAGGCCATATTTTTTCACAAATCATACTTTAGTCTCAGAAACAGGAATTTTTTAGCTAAGCCAATCAGTTATAGTGTTCAAAGCTCACCGTCGAAATTTGAGCCATGTCAAGAATTATCCGTGATTGAATGTAAAAATGACTCGACAATGTAAAATACCCTGTGACAAATAGGAGAAGTGAGTACAATTCCTAGTTTGAAGTAATTTCAAAACAATTATGCAATTTTCGTACATTTCTAGTACTTTTGAAGACTATTTACATAAATTCAAGATTAAAATCAACCCCCCAAAATGGTGCATCTGTCCCTTTAAAACTTACCTTACAAAACAAGGGTAACATGTTATATAATTTGTCTTCTTGATCTTTTTGAGTAGCCTTAGCTGTGGGATGTCGAAACTCAGCAAACAATTTTCTTAAATGCATCAATCCTAACGAATTGTCTGGAGAATTGGATTTAGGGTCAGGGGCACCCTTATTACCCATTAATTTTCTCATAAAACTCATCTTGAATTAAACTGAAAAAAATAAAGCACCATTTACCAGACTGGTAAAAGAATAAAAGAAGTTCTGACCATACTTCTTTCAATGCATATTACAAATATATGAAGTATATTATAGTGCAATGACTGCTGCATCAGTCAGTCAGTGAGAAGAATAGAAAAATCTGCATTTCATCATGATCAAGCTACAGTAAAGAGGACTGTTATTCTGATAGTTGAATAGATAATACATCTCAATTGAACAAAGGCATATAAACAGTAAATAAGAGATAAAGCCTTTAAAGGTAAGTGCGGAAATTAATTTTGTACATTAGTATATCAAAAAGTAGCCTAGACATTGAAATAGGCCTACAGAAATGTGATAATACGAGTAAGCTAAGTAAGCAAGTGAGATTGAAGCTGCTGTTATGAGAAAGACAGGACCTTTTCGTTTTTGGATGCTTTCATCTTAGCTTTTAATCATACTTTATGCTCCTGTCACTACTGACTGATTGTCTGTCTGTCAAGATTGCAACTTTAGGCTTACTTACCCTGATGTTGCTCCTGTCAAGGAGTCAAGTAAACACCTTGACAACTTCCGTAAAACATCTAATGTCTTAAGAATTGAAAGAACTGCAGATCAAGTCCTTTAATAAAGACCTGGCTTCATCAATTAATAAATAATATGATAGCCTACACTGTGTCAATTGTAGGCAAAGTCTATGGAAAGCGTAGGCCTAGCTAGATCGTTGTCCCTTTCTGCTATATATGATATGCAGTAGGCCTAATGATAATCAGCTATCTTGAGGCCGTTGGCCTTGTTTAGTCATTTAATTTTCGGTTCTCCGATGAATAGCTTTTTGTAGTCTGATGCTCTATTATAAATTAAACGAAAACATAATTTTAGCATGATATCACGCAACACAATCAATTTCTTTTCAATTTATTTCACTAATTTCGCTGGGAAATATTATTTTTCCGACACCATTTCCACCGTTTGTACGCATGTCAAGATGATAATATGAGGGGGCGCTTTCTACATCCGTTGAAACAACAACAACCTCATCAGCTGAATCAACTACTTTCGTTATCCTACAATCTAAAATTGAATAGTTTTCAAGCAATGTTGACGTAATTAAATAAATTATTGCTAATATCCAGCTGGTGGTGCTGACATGGATATAAACCAATTAGATTTAAACTCCACACCCCACACAAATGATGACTATGAAAAAAGTGGGCGTGTCACTGAACATGCAGACGACACACCTGCTGCAGTTGCAGTAGATGTTGATGATAATCCCACCAAACCAGAAAAGCCCTGTGAAAATAACACTTCTACAGAAGCAACAAATGATGGACACATTCCCATTCCAATGAATACTGGCAGTCATGATAAACACATAAATGCGAAATGTATTGAGAATTTGTGCAAAGGTATGGTTCACAATATTATCCCAGATTTAGAAAAGGCAAAAGTTTCTGTTGATGAGGCACTAAGAAATCAGGAAGTCTTGATTGAAACAGTCCAACAGGAAAATACAAAATTTGTGGATTGTACAAGTATGGGTCAGCTGGTTGATATGATGCATGAAGCAAAGTCATATTACAACAAGCTAATGACAGTTAAAAAAGATATGAATATGTTGTCAGATAAAACACAGAGACTTAAAAGAAGAGCCGTGAAACTTCAGCAACAAAAGCAAAAAGAAGAACAGTATTCAATTCAGCGACGTGAAAGAGAATTAGAGAAAGAGCAACAACTGATAGCCAGAGTTGCTAAAAAAAGTGATACTCCTTCGCCTTCTACAAATGATCATGATTCTAACACAGTGTGACATATATTTTTTGAGGAGATTAAATAAACTTGATATGATTTGATGGAGCATTTAAGCTGTGTGTGAGATTTCAATCAAAATGTGATCTTATGATGTTATCTTTTTAGATACCATATCTTTAATATTTGAAGGGATAGTGTTGTAATAATTGTATTTTACTATGGCACTTTTTCATAATTCCATTAACTTAAATATACTTTAATATCTGTTGTATACCACCATACTTTCTTACAATAAGATTTTCAGATTCCCTTAGTTAAATTGATATGAGTTCTGGTTCTAACTTTTGGATACCGTTATCCAGCTAGACTTTCATATAGGGAATTACCTGAGAGGCAATATTAATGTTTATAAATATAGGTCTATATATAATCATTTAGCTTTTGGTATATTATTTATTGCAATTTTAACATGACAATTAACTTATTTAATTGTGACACCCTAGTACAATGTGCATAAATCACATAAATATCTTCTTTATGACCCTCTAGCATAAAAATTTAAGTGGCTCTTGTTCAGTCAGGCTATATTCTCTTGCATGAAAAAGATTGCCAGGAAAATCTAAGAGAAAGTCATGAAATGGTAAGGAATTATATCAATCTAGGATTGGAAAATATAACCTTGTAAACCCCTGCCTTAGATGGTCATAATTGAAATATGTGTATCAGGCCAATATAAGAAGTTCCAATTCTGTACATGGCAGTGGATTTGTTCTTATATCAAATTTGTCAGTTGTTATATTTGTGTGCTTGTTTGCATGTGTTTTGGAACTGTTCATCAAATATTCAGCATATCATTTATATGTGGAGTGAAACTTTAATCATCACAAAACAAAGTTTCTTTTGCTTTGATTTTCTTGGTCTGCTGTCCCAACACAGATTTGTTTGGCCACAAATAACCGATCTGAAAGATTCAGACCAAACTAATATTGTATTATGTAACTTCTATAAAAAATTTTGAAGGGAAATAACTCTTCATCAAATCAATAAACAAAGTAACCCGAGCTATTATATCTGGTCCAGGGCATCACTTTCTCTTGTAAACTTTTATCTCAAGTCTTACATGAAAATGTCACTTTTCCTTTATAAATTTAAATAGTAAGTTGTTTGAGAATAGAGGGGTTGGTCTAGAAATGTTGCACATCAAGAGTCTGTTCATCAAGGAGGGCTAAAGCTGTATTACCAATCCAGTGAATAATAATGTCATTTTATTGATAATCCTTTTATTTTAGTCAATTACCTAAGGCGTTTTCGATTAGGTGCAATTTGGTTTAGATTAGCAGTGGTCCACAAATGCGAAATTCAAATCGACGATTTGGCAATATGGCTGCCTTCGCTGACAACCAATAAAAGACCACTATTTTGATTTTGTTAGCAACTTCCACATGCCGCCATCTTGGACAGGCCTAATCGAATCGCCTAACCACAACCTGGGATGATTAGGCAAATCAGTTTAGGTAAACTGGCTCACAAATGTACCTATTAACCTAATTGTCCTGGCTCACAAACGCACAAAATAGATAATCTAAATAATCGAATCGGCCCACAAAAACGCCTCAGTACTCTATAAACCTGTACTTCCATATAATAGCATAGATTGACCATGTACTTTTAAAGATTACCTATACTTTCTGTCAAATGCCACATTTAAGACATGCTCATAATGCATCTTCAAATACAATATAACTAAAATAACAATATTTGCCATTTCCCTGAATTGGGGAAAGTAATGATCAAACAAAAATTCAAAACACTCTTTGAATTTAAATTTCATTTATTCTGATATGGTGTTGTAACATGTAAAAACTGATGTGCACTAAAAAAGTAAATTTCTAAGATATTCTAGTTTATTCTATGAGGTCACAACAATACAGTGCATCTCTTTCCTTCAAGTTATTCTGATGTAAATATAAATGCAACTATCTCAACATTAGTGAACAATACAAAAATATCAAAAGTATAACATTTTCCTGAACAATTAATTTCCACAAATGAAATAAATGGGGAATGTTACAATCATAATCTCAAACAAAATTTGAGTAATTGTCTAGTTTTAACAAGCTCAGTTCTATAAATTATTTGAAGTAATGCAGAAAAATTACAACATATGCCATATATATATATATATACTTCTCTAATTAGCTAAGTTACTTTCTATTAAAATCTTAACATTTTAAAGTTCTAAAATCAACAGAAACTGATGCTCTCACACAAACATCCACTCAAGCACACACTAGCTTCTCAATACTCATTAAAATTCAAATAAAATTGCAAAGAGTAATCTGAATTGCTGCAAACAAATTTAATATTTTTTTTTATACCAAATTCATGTAATTTCAACAGATTAAAAAACAACATAAACATTTTATGACGCATATAGAAACATCAGGTTTTAGAATTTTTGCAATAAACATATAAACACAAGAAAGATTGATTAGAGTTTAAGGTACATGAACATAGAGGTGAAAGTGACTGCTAACAAAGATAAGGAAAATGTTACAGTTGATCCAGTATTACAACCATCTTTATCACAATTACAGTAGAAATTCTTGACACCTTTAGTACCACTTCTTTCTTTACATTTCATATCAACTTCATTTGTAGCACATTGACGTACATATCGAATATGTTCCACCTTATTATAAGTTACTGTAAAAAATGAATAAATACATTATTAGTAGGCTTATATAATGATACTTCCATAATGTTCACTTTTAAATACTTGAAATACACTTTATTTAGATTATAATAGTCATATTGTGTAGTAAACAATACAGTTGGTATTCTTAAAATAAGTTTCATCTCCTTGAGATTTTCTATATAAGCTAATTTACAAATAGTTATGATTATTGTGAATAATAATTACTTACATCTTTGTTCCATTTTTCTACATGCTGTAGCATCACTAGGGCAAGTGACCAAAAACTGTGTGCTGTTTCCATTAATGCTTTCACAAGCTTCTTGTGCATAAGAATTACATACATGACATTTTAAAGCTGAACCTATTAGGAAAAAAATACAATTTTAACTTAAAATATATGTCTCATAATTAGACCTGGCTCTTAATTCTATCCTGTACAATCCAGATACCCCATGGATTATAGACTAACATAAAAAAGCTTTAAAAAAAATAAAAATAATTATGAATGATAAACATGTACTTTAATTAATAGTGGGAGTGTGCACCATTTTACATTGTTTCTTTAAAAATATTTATATCATAGATTAATTACTAATAGGATTGTCAAAACTAATTGTTATATAGAAATTGAAAATTAAGTTAATACTAATGACAAATATAGAAAAAAATAAAACTGGCTTCATAATATTTTATGTTTTGGGTCACCAGGAGACACGAGTACTATAAGCTCAGTCACTATTCCTATTTTTTTTAATCAGACTGGAACACTATACCCCTTTCATTATAATTTGGTTTAAAAGATTTTATTTGTGACCTAGGCCTGTGCTTTCATGAGACTAATCCTAATTTAACACAAATAGTTGTCTTTACGCAAGGAACACAAAAGAATATTATATTTGAGTAGAATAAGATGTAGACCATCATTTACACATTATCTTGTTGCAAAGGTAACCCATCATATTTCCTCCAATCAAATATTCAGTACAATCATTGGCCTATTTTTCTTCATAAATGACATGACTGAGAAAGCTATAAATCTTTCAAGTGATACAGTACATTGACATTGAGTGTGTAAAGGTGACCTCTATTTCACTTCAATGTTTGCGAGTGTACAATATCAAAATCCTAACTCCCTAACTTAACTCTATATACCTGGGGTTAATAATATAATTTATAGGAACTCAAACAAACTCCACGTTTTACCATGAGTCTAAGGTTGTCTTACAGTTAATGAAAATTCCAACCATTGAAAAGTTCCTACATTTTTACTTTAAATTTAGTTAAACTTTCTCTGTTAATTTAATGTGTAATTGAAATGAACAATTGAACTTCTATGTACTATAATTTAAGTTAAAACTAGTGACAGGCTTTTACTAAGTTGGGAATTTCAAGGAATACTACCTCTTAGAGTGAGCATATAATTACTAAAGTGTGAAATTTTGTCAATAAGAGCATATATTCAACTATATTACAATACAATTTCTGTTTAAGACAATAAATCCATTAACAGTTTTCTATGATTTTATGAATATATTGGATAATAGAAGGATTCTGTTGTTGGTTATGGCACCAAGTCCACTGATGAATAAAGACTCAATTTGGCCAAGATTCAACATATAAAATAGCTAATATTCCTTTAATTCAAATAGCTGTGAAGTGATTTAGGAACAAATCTCAAACAAGAGTAAGAGGGATAGATAACCATAGGCCTACATAAATGTATCAAAATCATTATCTTTTATCATAAAATGAAAGTTTACCTCCTACTTTTTTTTATCATAAAGGTATTGAAACTGAAGTACCGGTACCGTACCGGTACATTGAAAAAAATTATAACAGAATTAAATGGACTAATCTAGCAGAATATTGAACGTTGATACAGAAATATCATTACTCAGTCAATATTTTCAAGAGTAAACTCATTATGCTTTTTCATCTAAATGATACAAATTTTGCATACAACCCTTTTTAGAGGCCTGGCAAGTACCTTGGCTTGTAGCTACAGACTACAAATACAATCAATGATAGTATAGGCTAGTACTACCGTTTACAAGTATACACTATAAGTCAATACATACCACATTCGATGTAGAGCAACACCAACATAAACGCACAACAGATGGACGGTATCAACTGCATGGTGACTTTCTGGACACTAAAATGTTTACAAAACAAAATGTGGGTTAGGACCTCCGTTCAGTGTAGCAGTCACCTTCAGTAATGACGCTAGGTAGCGACATCTAACGGACACTATAAACAAGTTATAGCCTGTTTCTCAATATTGTATACTGTTATGTATTGTTCAACCAACCGTAACATTTTAATGCACACGTTTAAACAATGTAAAATTATGTAGTTTGCCTTTACTTCAAGAGTAAGATAGGACCAAAGTTAGGCTAGCCGTTTTTCATCTGTCAAGTCGATTTCGACGTCCTACTTGATAATTTTGCCACAATGAGGGGAAGAAAGCTATGAAAATTTCGGGCTATTATTGCATGGTTGCTGGCCATAGATTTCAATATTACTTCGACTAAGTGCTGGTAACTTTATGATTAGGAAGGTTTTAATCAGAAAATTGTAGACTTTGACTAGGCTCTGGATAATAGTTATAAAGGCATTTTACTTCGACGTTGATTTCAGCTGGCCAAATTAATAATTTAAAGCAAATAACTCTTGCAGTTTAAACAATTAGCGACCTAGTTTAAAAACCTAATGAATGGACATTAATGAACAGTCTCACACTTAACTCCCTATCAATTGTTTTTTGTTCAGATTATGTGAAGGTCATTTGTAGGAATTTCCAAAGTTAGTAGTTGAAGGGCAATATCAATGACTAATTCATTAGAGCGTGACGGACAATTGTCGCATTTTGTTATCGTATAATCTCTAATCCTACATTGCCCGAAGCTGGCAGATCCAAATTTAGCAGCTATTGTTCACTATTATGTAATAAACAAATATTGATCAATAAAAATATGATAGACATCCTAATGTATTGCCGTTCTTGACATACAAAATAGATAAGACAGAAACATGAGGTGATATAAAACTGATAATTTATAGGCCTATATTGTACTGTAAACGATGTGAAAACAAATCAACGAATATTCAGTTTCATGAATCGGTAGACGGACAAAAGCTTCTCCGGACAAGAATCCCTATCACCTACGATATAAGCCCCTCCACAAAAAATATTTCAAATGTAGGCTATATACAGTGGTGTAACCTATTTTCGTGGATATAAGGATTCAACACCGAATTTCGTCAAAGTTAAAAAAACGAATTTTTTTTTATGTCTTAGATGTTTCCTCAGATATTCTACAAAATAATTAAAATTGGTTTATTTCGATTTTTTTTATGAATCCTTCACTTTGACCTATATTTCATGAGCAACGGAGGCAGAATGGAATGCGTCACCTATTTTCGTGTACAATGTATAAATAAGGCTAGAAAAACACGTTGTATGGATACTGGGTGGTACGGAGCCCCTAAGGCGCAATTGTAAACATATTTATTTATTATTTCGTTTAAACGAAATAAGTAATTCGTTTAAACGAAATAAGTAATTCGTTCAAACGAAATAATTATTTCGTTTAAACGAAATAAAAAGATGAGTTAATTATTTCGTTTAAACGAAATAGACGAAAAAATTTATTCGTTTAAACGAAATAAACATAGGGTATTTCGTTAAAACGAAAATTATTTCGTTTAAACTGAATAAATGATGTTATTTCGTTTAAACGAATTAATTATTTCGTTTAAACGAAATAATAAATAAATGTGTTTACAATTTTGCCTTAGGGGCTCCGTAGGGTGGTATAATTAACTTCTCTTAGTATTTATCTTCAATATCGATTCATTATAACTAGTGACAATTCCTTTAAAGAACCACGATTAAAAAAAAAATAGTGACTGACAAAATAAGATACGTAGCGTGACTTATTGCTAAAAGTCACTGAAACAACATAAGAATATGATCCACTTTGTGTTCCATAGAAATTTTCTGCTGACACAGAATCCGCTAGTTGATCACGTGACTTCATTCGTTGGACTACATTCTAGCAGACGGCACTTGGAATTCCGCTTGGGATTATAAGGAAATTCGGCCAATAAAAAATGGTGACGTTTGGTAATAACTGAAATCCGCCATTTTGTATTTGTCAAAGTATACATTAATACATGCTACCTTGCTTGAAACTACTGGATTCATTCTACTAGCTGATATTGTACAGAAAACCCATGTTTATCAAAACAAGCAAATGTGGAGGTCACGCGAGGTCGCACATGTAAATTATTAATCCTTTCCGAAATCCACGAAAAATAGGTTATCACGAAATTAGGTTACTTGACTGAAACGAAACCTAACAACATTGTAAAGATAGCTTGCCAGGCAAAGTATAATACAATAAATACGCCCACTAGCAACTTTGATTTTAAATAAAAAATATTTGCCCGTACAGTAACATTTACCAGTATGAAATATTCAAACTTCAGTCTTACACTACTTTTGAACTTTATTGGGGCGATACTGTATAATATTACCAAGTTTCGTCAAAATCTGTCAAGAATTGGGCCTTCTAGAGTGTTAATAGGCTAAAACATGAACGCGTTTTCAAGAACAGGGGCAATAACTTATACTAAATATGTTTCGATTTTTATGATTATCGAGAGGGTTCATCCTTGGGAGATAACAAACATTTACAACAAGTTTCGTGCTTACGTGCTAAAAATTAAACGCATTTTCAAGAACAAGGGCAATAACTCATACTAATTATTTACGATTTGTCTGATTTTCAATAGGGTTCATCCTTGGGTGATTACTAACACTTGCACCAAGTTTTATCAAAATCCGTCAAGAATTGCACCTTCTAGAGTGTTTACGAGCATTTCAAGAACAGTACAATAACTCAATTTTTCTGATTTTCAATAGGATTCATCCTTAGGTGATTATAAACAAGTATACCAAGAATTGTGCCTTCTATATTGTTTATGAGCAATTGTGGACGGACCAACGGACGGACATGGGTGTCCGAAATATAGCCTACGCTCCGGTATATTTCATGTGGGCGTATAAAAAGTCAGAAAGGCATAAGTACAAGTATACTGCTGAATCACCAAGTGGGGCTCTAATGCTGAACATCTGTTCAAAAATCTTAGAGGCACATTCAAATGTCCCATCCATGTACCAACTTGTGGAGCCTGCCAAATGCCCTAGAACTCCCATGTTCCTTAAGCAACGATACGATCGATTATTCACATTATCATGTAACGTTGCTTAAGGAAAACGAAGAACTCATCAGTCGCAAAGTCCGAAAGTTGGGGGCGGGTTGGAATATTTGCTAGTAGCCAGAGATGTCGTTTCGCAAGGTCCATGACTACCTACCATAATGTTGAATCAATTCGTCTTATCATGGAAGGGTATTCCTCATTTATCTTATACCTACATATTAGATAAACTAATGTGTGTAGGTTACGGTACTCAAATTCATTACAAACAAAAGTCAATGTCAGATAAATAAACCTTATTATTATCATATTGTGCTACATATGATTACAGACTACATTTGCTTTGGTCGAGGGAAGTTTAGATTTACCTCCCATTATTCAGACATTCCGTTTGAGTTAGCACAGAGCCGATTGGTTAGCAGTTATAAAATGTACATTTTCCCGTGAACCACCAAATTCTCCTACAGATCATTAAAATTTGACTTATTATACGCCCAAAATATATTTTGGCCGTATTGTAATCACCCTGGTGGTCCGCCCACAAATATATTTTGGACGTATCGTAATCACCCTGGTGGTCCATCGGTCCAACTCGGGCCGTGGATATTCGCCACCCGGGTGGCGAATAGTCCACTTCCATTAATTTGACTATTCGCCATCCGAAAAAAATCTCTAAAAATTCATGAAATGTCAGCCTTTTTGATATAATTGTTTCTTTCAGTGACATATTAGTCGACTCTGAGTAATTTGTAATGGATTTTGTCAGGTTCAGACAAGACCGTGTTAATATGAATTATTATTCTTGCAATGAAACTAAAGGAGAAATTCCGCCATTTTGTTTACACCAAATTAGCATACATCCCAAAAGGTCCTGTTAGTGTTGCTATGAAATTTAGCATCATACGTTTGTATAAGAAATCCGTAGAAAAAAAAATGAAATAAAATAAAGTTTTACGTCCTACTTTTCTGCACCTGTATGGGCTACTGAGGATGGGCAAACGCCATGCAGTGTGCAATGAGGGAAATTTTGTCAGGACAGCGACATTAGCCTACTCTTAATTTCGATTTCCAACTGTCGAGGGATCTTTACGTAAGTAAAAAAAAGGTTGATGAAGATGTGTAAATAGTAAAAAATAAGACATAGAAGGCGCGTGTCCAAATTGTGTCACATTTATCCTAGACGCATTTCCAAGTAAGCCCTTCCGATCCCAAACACCGACAAGGGGAAATCGAGTCGAAAAATGTGTGAATGTGTAAGTAATGTATGAGGGTGCTAAATACACTGCATTGGGGTGGGTGGAAATATGTATTCGAAGTAATAAGGTTTAAGGTATAATAAGGCGTACGATACTGTGGGTGGTAAGTAATGTTTACGGGTGGTAATAAGGCGTACGGTAATACACAATACTGACGGGTGGTAAGTAATGTGTAAGGGGGGTAATAAGGCGTACAGTAGTACACAATACTGACGGGTGGAAAGTAATGTGTAAGGGTGGTAATAAGGCGTTCGATAATACACAATACTGACGGGTGGTAAGTAATGTGTACGGGTGATAATAAGGCGTACTATAATAAACCATACTGACGGGTGGTAAGTAATGCGTAAGGGTGGTAATAAGGCGTACGATAATACACAATACTGACGGGTGGTAAGTAATGTGTACGGGTGATAATAAGGCGTACTATAATAAACCATACTGACGGGTGGTAAGTAATACGTAAGGGTGGTAATAAGGCGTACGATAATACACAATACTGATGGGTGGTAAGTAATGTGTACGGGTGATAATAAGGCGTACGATAATACACGATACTGACGGATGGTAATAAGGCGTACGATAATAGACCATACTGACGGGTGGGGAAGGATGGTAATAAGGCGTACGATAATACACAATACTGATGGGTGGTATGTAATGTGTACGGGTGATAATAACCCTGTGTTCTTGGTTACCACCCTCAGCTCTTGTTCACCACCCTAGCTGTTGTTCACCGCCATCAG